ACCTGTGCATGTATTGCGGATCTGCTGAAACGCTCCTTCAACAAAAATGAGCCCTTTTTTCATTTTTTTTTTTTTTTTTTTTTTTTTTCAACCAGTTCAGTGGGATATATACATAAGCTTTCCCATTGATTTTTTGGAGCACATTCCATTTTACGGGAAGGTAAAAAGTCAAACCTTCTTCTACCCCTATCCCTATCCTATCCCTATCCCTTCCTCCATCCCTTTGCCTCTCCACAATGCTCAATGCTACCACTCAAGAGATATGAAATACACATTAGTTGAGCCCAAGGATGTCCCGAGCAAAATCTTCTTTTACTTTCATTTCATTAGTCTATATCTTTCTCTTACTCCTCTCGTAATACCATTGCATCAAAAAGAAAACGTGTTTGTTAATCAAACATTTTTTATTTTCTAGTGAAATTTGTATATACAGCTGTGATCGTTTGTCTATGTTACAATTCAGGTCTCGTGTCCTACTTCTACGGAGATAATTTAGCTAAGGATACGTGATTTGTATAAGAGTTTTTTTTTTTTTTTTTTTTTTATGGGTTCCATGCACTGGTCTTAGTCCGACGCTTAAAGTCATCCACCTTGAGCAATAACTGTTCAGCTCGAGCAATCAGTCCTTTACGTCTCTGTCGAATAGACGGTTCACCTCCACTCTCGACAGCGTCAATCTTGAGCATGGCTTTGGTTAAATTCTCTTCTGTCAATAAAACACGTTTGCTGTTCGAGATTTCGCCCGACAGGATTTGATCCAGCTCCTTGGATAGTTCCTCTAGATTGGCCTCAATCTGGTCAAGCTCGGCTAGACTCTTCTGCTGAAGCTCACGACCAGGCAAGACCAGATCATCATCAGAGGTGCTTCCAGTTGTCTGTTGCTCATAACCGTCGCTTTCTCCGGACGAGGATAGCGCAGGAGCTTGACGTTCAGGATGTGAGGTTGTTTGGTGGGCAGCTGTAGCAGACGGATTCGAATGCTGTGGCTTAGTCGGTCTTTGCACAGGAACCGAAGTTTTGACTGATGATGATTCCTGAATATCATTATCACTAAAAGTAGCGTCTTGTGAGACCATCTCATCATCACCCTCTTCAGATGCAGCAGCAGCTATTGCTGGGTCGTTTGATGAAACTTGTGCGGATGTAGCTTGATCAGCCTTAGCTTGTTGTGTTTCTTTCCGACGATGACGATGATTACGCTTTTTTGAAGAAGCTTGAGTAGGACGCCATTGAGGATGTTCCTGCTGTGGACGGTGTTGATGCTGTTGATAATGGTGTATGCCATGGGGTTGGCGATTGTTTACGGTTTGATATGGAGCTTGATATGCTTCCTCTGGATAATTGCGTTGCTGCCTTCTTTGTTGTTGAGGTTGCTGCTGGTGCTGTCTTCTTTGAGTAACTCCTCGGAGTGGACCTTTATGTTGAGGCGCATACTCTTCTTGCTCCTCTACATCGTCATCATCGTCGTCATCATCGTTATCATCATCATCATCGTCATGTTCGTTTTTATCATAGTGCTGCTGTTGTTGCTGCCGCGAAGGGTGTTGCTGTTGTTGACGTGACTGTCTCTGCTGGCGAGGCTTAAATGAGTTTGTACTGCCAAGGGTATAGTCGTCATTGTCCAGAAAAGTATTGCTATCCGCCTGAGAGAAAGGATCAGAAAAGAAGGGATCAGAAAAGGAAGGAAAGAAATCCTGTCGCTCTTGACGCCGCTGTGGTCTTTGGGTGAGACGTGGATCCCGAAAAAATGTGGAGAAGGGATCCATGTCTTGCAAAAAAAGAAAGAGAAATAAAGCAAAGAGTGGCAAGAAGAGGAATGAGGTTAACTGAGTAGAGATACGATGTTGAAAAAAAAAAATAAAAAAGAGAAGAAAAAATGTATTTACTCTTTTTATTCATTGACAGAAAGAAAAAAGGAACTATCGCGGTGTCTCTGGTATGCCCTAGAAAGCCAATGAAAATTCAAGAAGGTGCTCGAAGGGTGTCATAGTCTCATTATTAATTATTGCCACCAAATAAAAAACTGCACAGTGACGCACACCTGATGAAAAACCAGAAATGTGGAACATGAGCTATGATGCAAAGAAAAAAAAACCCCTCCCACCGATGTATCAATTTTAATATTATTAGTTATGGAGTAGTCTACATGTAAAATATGAATGCTTTTGCTTATTTTTTTTTTTTCCTGTATATGTTTTGCGGAGTATGATTATGACGTCCTTCTTCAAGTGGTGTTGTTGGGTTTAAGAGTTCCAGTATGAACCTGGCCTGGAAGAAGATGGATCGGCTCTGATTCAGCGGCCGGTACTATTTGATCGTGAGAAGTACTAGCAGGGACAGAGCGAGTAGGAGCGGTAGGGTTTTGGGTATTTTCTATAGACTTCGTCATTGGCTCAGATCTATTAATGCCAGAACTTCCTGGGAGCGCTCGGATACCCTGATTATAACGTGCTGTGTTGAATGACTCACTTTGTGGGACTGAAGCTGAAGTTGAAGATGGAGGGATCTCTGTCAGAACTGAGGTCATTGGCGTCGCTACATATGCCTGTTCATTGGCCATAGCCTCCTTTTCTACATCCTCTGCAGCTTTCCGTTGCCTGCGTTTCTCCTCCCGTCGTTGGATATGGTCCCTGACATCAGGTCCATCGCCCCATGGATGTGTCAGGTCTCGGAGATGTCCCTTTTCTTCAACATATCGATCCAGGACGTATGTCCAAATATACCAGTTTCCGCCCCCGACATAAAATGCAACCAAGATATCGACCGTATAATGAGCGCGATTAGCTATGACAATAATAGCGGAACCAATACAGAGGGCCCAGACAAAGATCAAACAGATCCAAGCCAGCCATCGATATCGATGAGGGAAGCGGTGATAGCCATGACTGGTCCAAACAAGAGCAGAGATCACAAAAATGACGGTGTGCCCGCTGAACATGCAATCGCCACATCGGTGGAGCGTGAAAGTGGTAAAGAATTGGCCGACAGAGTGAATACATCCATCACGCGGATCTGGGAAGGAGGTGATGGCGACTGTAGTAATACGCATGAGATTGCAGAGCGCCCATGTCAACAGTACCTTGCAGAGAAGGTATAATGGACGATAATGTGTCAAGACCAATAGCACAGTTGGGACAAACATGACAGCATCTGCTAAATCTGTTAGCCAAAGTAGTTTGATTGAAGGGATCACTTCAAAGAGTCGGTCCGATAATTTGGGTGTTGTTGTGTTGTCTGGCGAGAGATACGAAGCAACGTTTGCCATGACATTCTATCCAAGACAAAGAGAAAGAACAAAGCGGTTAAGTGACCATGCTCTGCAGAGGACAAGAAGAGGAAAGACGAAAGCGCAGAATTCTGCGGTTTGAATTACCATAAAATACAAGGTAAGGCCAAAGATGACGATGACTAACACGGTGACCCCAATACTTTTTTTAGTGAGCTTATATCGCCGGAAGAAGGCACGTTTAAATCGCTCCCATTTGGTCGCCATGGCTCAGTATCCTATTCTGTAATGTAACAAGAGGGGTGGAAAGGTTTTTTTTGCCAGATAGGCTGGTGGAAATTGAGTATGCAGATGGAGGAGAAGAAATAGTAAAAGTTTGTTTGCCAGTGCTCGCTTTTTATACTAGGTACCTCTTTAGGACAGGAACAGCATGCATGATGCCATGTCATGGATGTATTTGTTGTAAATAAATAATAAGGTCAGAGAGGACCGGAATTGGTCATATTGATGGACTGACCGATCAAAGGCATTGTCAATCTTCTGCTTACATCTGAAGGGCAGCAGATGGTGAAGAGCACCCAGGTTGGAAGCAGATAATGGGTATTAGTGGGGTATACCCCATGTCTTCATAGGCTTGTCACCATGATGACTGTCACCCTATTAAAAGAAGACCGCCAACAATTAAAAAAAAAAATGTCGTCATTTAATCGTGTTAATTGCAATGCAAGGCAGCCGTTAAACAAACAATGTTAGGCTGTGGGCAGAGGGAGAAAAGAGTGCAAGGCAAGAAAGAGAGCTTTTATATTCTTTTGTCTGATGCTGACTTCTGGGCTGGACTAGGCAATTCATATAGCACGTGTCCATGTTCCGAATTCCCCTTCTCTTTTCTCACGGAGAACATGCAAGCACATATAAACTTTTATTAGGTATACATACAAGGCTCCACACCTATGCACACACGGAGAGAGGTCACTATCTGCCCTTAAACTACTACAAACCTCTGCCAGCTTGGCTTGTAGGCGTGGAAATAAGGACGGACTCATGAGTGAATATCCTAACAACATTTGCTTTCTCACCCACAGGATCCACAAATGTGACGATAATTATCATGGTAAAGTTCTTTGAAGAGTAAACGACATGCAAAATAAACCTATAATCCATTGTTAATGGTCTTGAGATACATCTGTTAATGTGCAATACTACGAAGTCCATTGCACGCCTAGCGCGACTGAGGTGGGTGAAATCAGCAGTACCGAAAATGATATTGATAGTCATGGTGGTAGAGACGATGACATTTTGACCCGTAGAATATTGTGGTCGAGCTGGACTACTAAACTGATTGCTGGAGGAATATAAAAATGAAGTGGAGTTGAAAGAAGAGAGCTTTTACGAAGAAACGTCGTCAAAGTGCAGGCTAGCGTGACCACCGTTATTGGATCATTCCAATATCGTTTGTTTACTATTTTGGCTGTCGAGTGCTGAATGGAGTTAAGAAATGTAAGTTGGTATTTAACGTTGAAAAACTTGAAGTTCTGCCAGAAGAGTTCAACCAATAGTGATAGCCTCTTGCCACAAACTTTTGACGAAGATACGTGAGGACACGCCTTTACCAAAGGGAAGTCCATATTAAGCGATGTCCTAGTATCTGGAAGGAGAAAGGATTTTTTTAAAATAATAAGGGACGTTCTTAAAAGATTAGAACCGAATGTTTAAATAAGGACCCAAAGGGTCTGTGCTTTATCATCAAGGTGCTCTATCGCCCAGTGGACTCTGCTTGCGAACACAACAGTCCATTTGGAAACCAACCGCAGAGTAGATTGCAAGCATAACTCGTTGCTATGCAAGGGTCATTAATGTGGGCATACCGGGTATTAGACTAAGCGTAAATTTACCAACAGATCAATAGACCTTTAGTGGGCCTAGTTCTCTCTGCTATAAGCGGTGCATGATGGTTTTTGCTGTTGCTATTTTCTTCCCCTTTAGTGTCATTTCCGTTTAAAACGGGGTATGCTCACTACCGTTGCGTGCCACACAAATTGTTCCTCTATTAATCAATCGCCAAGACACATAAGCGATAGTTGAGCGCTGAAGTAGACGTACATCAGATTTGTATTATATTTCAATTGGTTGATGGGCATTTACCCATCAATGATAGCAATAGACAAGGTGAGCAGCAATGATAATTCGTGATATTCGGTGGCCATTACGCGTATTCAGTATTATAGATCTCATTTGACTCCTTACTGAATGCGTTTACCTCTAAATTTGAGTTACCTCCGTTTAATCAATTATTAAAGGACCATCTAAGCTTGAGACACTTTAGACATTGCCTTTTTGCCCCCCCCCCCGCCTTCAAGAAATGGAAAGACGAAGAAAAAAAGAGAAAAAATAATATCGAAATTGAATGAAGCTGCGTGTTGGGGAAGATGCTCCATCTGTACACTTTAGCCAATTGTAGCTTCCGAATTGCCTGATTGACCATGTCTCGTATTTTCTTCATTGGAGAAATCCTCAGAATGTGGGGTGAAGAGAGCGAGCAACTTATGAGAGAAGTTCCAAAAGCTCGCAGCCACTATGGATCTATAGGCTGGTTTTTTCATAGGGCGGAAAATAATAGTAAGATATAGATCATAGCGGAAGCGAAAGAAAAAAAAAAGCCTCTAGAATCCCGTCTGAGAAGGAGGCGTAGGCTTCTAGCACCTGGATAGGGGACCTGATATTTAAGCTGAGGCCCCTGGCGACTACGCCCAACGCTGCCAACCAGAATAAGCAGCCTGGAACATTTTCTAGCCATTACTAGAGCATTTCTGCGCTTCTAATGCATGGAAGGGAATTGTTGTCTTGCTCCACGAGCTGGAACTCCGCTCAACTGAAGAGATATCCTTACCACTTTCTCGCCATCGGTGCATAATTTCATTCAGGCCAATTCCGAACTTGTGGAGTCGATCAAGAACCACAAGCAATTTGAATTGGTCGGCTCTGTTCACCCGTAACACATGAAGGTGCAATGATCTTTTTTTTTTTTTTTTTTTTTTTTTTTTTTTTTTTTCCCGAGAAAAATACTCTCTTATTGATACGGTATACGCGATATCGCTCGCACTCGTTTCAAGATTCAAGGCCTAACAGGTGACGAATTAAAATTCAACATTTTTCCATAAAGCAGTTTACGTCGAGGTGAAAGTGTTGCTGGTCTGCAGGATTTGTCAGTTAAGGTAGTGTGCTCAAACAGAAAGACGTTGAAAAGGCTAATTAGGTAATAATTTGTGTAAAGGAGAATTGATCGTTTGAGGAGCTCGATCGTGGACAATTGACAGCTAAAACAGTGGATCACAAGAGAACAAGAGGGGCAAGAAGAGAGGATCGCTTCAGGGATCGATTCTGGAGACTAATCAGCCAAGACATCTTTACCTGCTTGCATGTTTCAATATGTCATCTTCAGCTAGTTCATTAAAGCAGTAAACATGACTGGCCCTTGTATCAGTTACTGTCCATGCCCCAGACATTCCAACTGCGTTTTTCCCCCTTCTATCGATGCCCACATGCCGTGCACATGCACACTCAAACACACAGCCTCTCCCCCCTCTCAAACATTCGTAGTTGGCTCTTACTAAAACTGATTAAGTTAATGTTTATTTTATTTTATTTTATTTGTTTTCCTGAATGGCTTCATTTCAATTCTCAATTCATTCATTCTACATTCACATTCGCACCTGTGGAGGGGGAGTTTTTTTTATCTTTTTCCATTTCATTGTCTGTCTGTGTCTGTGCTTCTCTGTCTACCAAGGAATGGTTGCAAAGGCCAATTAATTATCAGACTTTGTACATGTACCTTTTTTTTTATCCTTTGCAAAAAAAAAAAAACCCCCCATCGGAGTACTCTTTTCTTTTCCATCTTTTCTTTTTTTTTTATTGTTCCACAACATTTCGACCTAACAGTTCTCTGATCAGCTCCTTTCTCTCTCTCCTTCTCACTTGCACACTTACTCCCTCTCTTTTATATATACCTTGCTCAATCCTTGTTATTAGTCTCTCCCTCCTCTTTCTCTTTTTATTCAGTATCGATTAGCACTTTCCGATAATCAACCTTTCACCTTCCTGGTTCCGTTGATCCATTAACCCCTGTTCTAATCCGCCCTGCATATGACCTTACCGGTTCCGAAGGGAGATCAAAAGGTGGTATCAATCAATTATGAAGTTTGCAAAATATCTGCAGCAAGAGATTGTTCCTGAATGGCGCAAGGCCTATCTCAACTACAAACAAGGCAAGAAGCACCTTAAGGCAATCGAGTCCGCCATCAAAAAACTCGAGACTGCTTCTTCATCAGGACGTTATCAACGACAGTTTAATAATGATGACACCCAAACACAAGGACCAGCAGACTTGGTATCTTCGTCATTTAATTCTACACTTGCGCCTCCCACAGGAACCACACCCATTATCTCACAGAGTCGGGGAAATATCAAAAGTTATGACGCCATCGCAATCCCTACACATTCCTCTTTCCCAGCTTCACGAGGTGCTGGCCCCTTAGCCCGTTCATTGTCAATGCTGTCAACAGCGCTGAGGCCTTCCGGTGAGGATGGAAATGAAGGGAATACTCAGACTTCTGAAGGCAACTCTACTGGACAGAATATGCTGTCAGTCCTAAGCAACACTTCACGACCGAGTAGACCAACTCGGTCGTTCAGTTCGCCAGCTCTTAAAACCATGATTTGTAGATTCTCATCAGCAGACACTACAGAGCGTCCCAGAAGAGGCCCAAGAGTTGTTCTTGGTAAATGAAATGTCTCTGCAAAAGAGACTTTACTTTGCCACATGTGTCAGATTTAGGATTGGTTCATGTCTCAAATCATTTAATTTAACCTGCAACCTTTTCCTTATTGCACCTTAAACGGATCACTTACTTTAGGGGAGGGTGAGACGCTCGACAGTGTTATGGATCAGCTCCTTGAAGAAGAAGTACGGTTTTTTAAATTCTTGGATGAACAGCTCAAGATGGTTGACGAGTTTTACCGAGGTATTGGCTAATGCCTTTGTTTTTTTTTTTTTTTTCCTGACTGATCGCTTGAATGTACGCACAAACAAATCTATCCTGGAGGGAGCTCGGCTGACATGACTTCCTATTATTATTGACTTATTGGCTTTTTTTTGGCTAACGTTCGGCCTTTCGCATAGAGAAGGAGCTCGAAGCTGCAACTAAATTCAAAGTTCTGAAGCAGCAACTTTTTATCGCTGATGAATGGAAACGTCGTAATGACCACAAAACGGTAAGTTTCTATATATATATATATTAAATAAAAAATAAAGATAAAAAAATAAAAAAAATAAAAAAGAATCAATAATAACAAAAAAAAAATTGTCACCCTGCGCATGATTTTCCTTACTAGACAAAGATCGGGGCTAACGGAGGCTGGTACCAAGCAGAGTGGACAAAAATGAGAAGAAATATTGGGAGTTTGATGGGTGGGTGGGAAATCGAAGACGTCACACTTGCTCCTAATCTTGTTTCTGCATCAAGCCCAGATAACCATCAGAATCAAAGGTCCACAGGATATTTGATCGGTTCCAGCATACCTCCAGATCAAAACAACAATCTTCGGCAGCGGCGGCAAGACACAAGGCAACAATCAGTCGATAATGATGCTAACCTAGCCCAGATGATCCTTGATGACAAAGAGAATCGCCGTCAATATCTTAGCCATAAAGTCGCCAGGACAAGAATCAAAGCCGCACTTTATGAATTTCATCGCAGCCTTGAGATGATCAAGAACTACAAGGTATGCTCTTTGAAAGGACATGAAACTGACTATCATTTGTTTAGTTACAGATTCATCCTCAATCTATATTCCCTAAGCTGATCAGCTGCTTTGTCTATATTGCTCTATGGTATGGTACTTTACTGAATCCTAGGTGCTCAACCACACGGGCTTTGTCAAGATTATGAAGAAATATGATAAAACTGCAGGATGGAAGGCTTCCAAGGCTTTCAAGGAAAACAAACTCCGTTGTATGTATTTCATGAAATCAGATGCCTTAGACGATCTCATTAAGGAAACTGAGGATCTCTTTATCGATAATTTTGAGGGTGGTCGCCGCCGTCGAGGCATGGCTAAGCTGCGGGTTCCTGATTCCAAAAGCAAGGCAGGTCATCATCCAGGTCTTTTTCATATATTACATTGTTCATCGATTATAGTAACTACCAGCGATGGCGGACACAGACTAATCAAAATTGGTACTCCCTTGTGGCTATCATATACACTTGTTTTTAGTCCCATCACGCCACTTCTGCAAGAGTAGGTCTTTATTTGGGATTGGCAATACCACTTTTCATCCAAGGCCTTCTGTCGGCCTTCTCAGAGGACACCGCAAACAAACTTCCATTCCGAGACGCCTTGATGATAGTTTATGCTGGCATGTTCCTGCCTATTTTGTTCGGATGCTTGTTTGGTGTTAATATGTGTGTGTGGTCCAAGTTTCGGATTAATTACAAGTTTATTTTCGAATTTGATCCGCGCGACAACCTGGATTATCATCAGTTTTTCGAGGTAAAGCATCTTCCATATATTCGCTTGGCTTGGCTTTGACGAGTTCTCAATCCGCTCTGAGAGGGTGGTCGTAATATCTGACATTATAACTTACAACGCCTAAAAAAAAAAAAAAAAAAAAAAAAAATAGCTTCCAATGTTTTTTATGCTATTACTCTCCATGGCGATCTTTTGTAATTTCGCATGGTCAGTGACGAAACATATAGCCACTGAGTTTTATCCCCTGATTATCATGTGCATTGTAATCACAATGCTGTTTTTCCCCCTCCCAATTGCTCATTGGAGTGCTCGTCGATGGTTCATACAGAGTATTGGGCGTCTTATTGTCAGTGGATATCATGCAGTCGAATTTCGAGATTTCTTTATTGCAGATGAACTTAATTCACTCGCCTACTCAATCGAACAAACCGAGTTCGCTATATGTGCATACGTTCGATACTGGGACAATCTTGGTAAGACATATTTACAGGTCAATACTGATGAAAATATCTCTACATCACCTCGAACAAGTATATTGATGATTTTGAATGCCATTATGATCCTCTACGGCTGTTTATTTATTTATTTATTAAACAGAGGAATGTGCTACAAGCAAAACCTGGATAACACCGTTTTTGATGGCTATCCCGGCATGGTTCCGTTTTATGCAATGTCTTCGACGCTATCGCGACACACTCGAATGGTTCCCTCATCTCCTCAATGCCGGCAAATACTTTTCGTCGTTGTCGCAGATCTTTGTCTTTTTTGCATTCCGCCTCTACAATACTTCACAGCTTAAGGCCCTTTACATTGTGATTTCGATCTTTACAAGCCTTTATACTTACTCCTGGGATGTGTATATGGACTGGGGTCTATTCCGGTTCGGCAAATATGGAGGGGGCGCATATGGGAATCCGCTCTTGAGGCCTGAGCTTGTTTATAACCGGAAATCTGTCTATTACTTGGCTATCGTGTTGGATTTCCTTGGAAGGTTCTCGTGGACTTCAAGACTCATGGGCTTAAGGCTCAATGGGATAGTTCTATCATTCATTCTAGCTTTGATTGAGGTGCTCCGGTAAGGCCATGATGGGAACAAAGTCATTGTTACCAGTTGAAGACCCTCATATTTTGCTGTTGCTGATATCTTCTATCGCTTAATATATTCATCGCCGATGCCTTGTTTAGTCGCTGGATGTGGAACTTTTTCCGCCTCGAGAACGAACATCTGAACAATTGTGGTCAGTTCCGAGCCATTAAAGATATTCCGCTCCCTTTCCATATTCGTGTGGCAGGCAACGCTACCGAAGAAGAGGAAGACGAAGAAACGGAAGATGAGGCCGAAGGACGGAATGGCGTTAAATCTGAAGGCGGTGCAGTGAAGGACAGTAAGAAAGGGACTGTGAGATTTACTGGCGGTGAAGAGATGGAAGTCTTGGCTGTATCGAATGGATCTGTAAACGGAGAGGCGGCTACGGATTCTTCTGATCGTGCATCCGTACCTTCTAACGGATCACGCAAAGATAGACTTTTTGAATCTAGCAGTCCTCAAAATGCACTTTTGACTGTCCCACCTCTTGATACTGATGGGGATGGAGCAGCAGGAGTCGGTATTGGTAGCAGTAGCGCGTCTATACGGTCTACAGGGCCAACGAGTATCAAAGGTCATCATCGAATAGGTCTTCGAAAACGACCGAGCCAAGCGACGATGACAGACCATTCGCTCGGTGTACAGCGAAGCAACACGGTTGTGGATAACGCAATGACGGAGGCAGGTATCAATGAGGATCAGAGAGAGCAATTAACAAGCATCAATAAGTTCTATGATCGTCGTGACTTCGATAGCAGGGTTTTAGATACAATATCGGACGGCTTCTTCAAAATTAGTAAACGATCGAATGCCAGCAGGGCTGGCTCGATACGACATGGCGTTGGCGCCCAGGATCCAGACGCTAGTGGCAGGAACAGAAAAGATAGCACAGATGACGATGATACTGATGATGATGAAGCATAGACTAGTATGGGTTAGCATAAAAAAAGAGTAACAAACGAGTAGCTGCGGAAATAACAGCAACGCAGACATTATATTCCAGTAGATTCTTGAATCTATTACTAAGGGGCGTTGTTGTATATGTATGTGTGTGTGTGTCGGTTAGTACGTGCTGGGGTTATCTGGGGGCGCAATGAAAGACACTTTATGTATCATATGGGAAATCAGACAAATATTTCGGATTTTTTGATCATGCTATGTTGCCACACAAGTGTCGCTTTTTTTTTTTTTTTTTTTTTTCTTTTTTTTTTTTTCATTATTATATACTATACGCGTAAGTGTTATGTTGCCACACCCAAGCACAGCACAAAAAGTAAGCGCAGTAGGCTTCCAGAAGCTTCCCGCGTAAAAACAAAATTTAAGGTTGTGTGACAAATCCAAACTGCCAAATATAGAAATTACAGGCAAGTTCGTTGCCCTACGCATTTGTCAACGAACGCAAAGAAAAAAAAGTATAAAAGCCATTCTTTTAAGACTTTTTTACTTATTTTCATCTCAAAAAGAAACTTAACAACGACCTCATTCTAATCGAAGTCAACTTTCCCTGCTTCCACTTTTATTTCTTTTTTTTTTTTTTTCCCTTTTTTTTGCACCCATTCTACATCATGTATTCATTCTACCCTGTGCACTCTTCTTCTAGGCGACAATACCACCCCATCAACCCATCTTCTCTGCACCCTACACCTTATTCCCCTTATTTGTACTATCCAGTGCCTGCCTCAGCGCCTTTGATGCCATCACCGGCCTATAGTTCGATATCCGATCTGAACTATTTCTCTTTGGGCGATGATGGTACTGACGAGGAAGAGCTCTTGCTCCGTGCTGCTCTCGAACGTAAGCAGCAACAGCGTTTAGCCAAGCGGCAACACTATGAAGAGCTGTTGCAAAAGGAGCGTGCTCGTCATATCGCTATCGCCCAAGCGCAAGCGCGAGCTCGGGCCGAATACGAAGCCGAACAAGAAGCCATCCGCCGATATAACAAAGCCCAGTTGGCGAAGCAGCGACAGCAGCTGCAACGGCAACAACAACTAGCCTTATTTGAAGCTATTGCTTTGCAGCAGGCACAGCAGGAGCAAGAAGAGGCTCGTGCTCACGTTTATGCCCGTGCCCACGACAAAGTGGCATCCGCTGCTGCCGCTGCTACTCTCAGAGCCACTTTTGGTATCAACGGGATTGATGAAGATGACGAGAATGATGAGGAGAACACTTTGAATCCTGTCAGCAAGCTCTTGAGCACTTTGCTTGCTCCTCACTCGAACCGATCGATACCTCAGGAGGGTTATTCATACAAGCGCAATCATCACTGCTCTCTACAACTTCAACAGAAGCAGGGACAAGTCGGCCGAGAAGCTTCCGTTTCTACTACTTCATCGTCTGCTGGCACTTCAAAGGAAAGCCAAGACTTTAAGAGGGCCCAGAAGCTGAAGAAGGATGACCAAAAGAGTACCGCTGCCGCCGCTGCCGCCGCTGCATCTCAGAACGAGGTCGAGTTCTACGATGTTATCCCCACAATATTATCCTTTGTCGAGGCTCTCTTTGAAAGGGAAGAAGAGCCTGATGTCAACTCCAGCAAGGCCAACGGCGAGTCATCGGGCTCAGCTAGCAAGGACAAAGCACGCTACAAGCCCAATATGGCCTTCACGAGCACCAGTGCCAGTGCTAGCGCCAATGCTTCTTCACCCGCATTTGATCATCCATCTTCATCTTCTACAGAGTCATCTCCTGAGCTCCGTGCGGCCGACATCCTCCTCCGACGCCAAAAAAATCAGCAGCAGCAGGCTATGACTCTTCAACAGAAGCATTCCGAACTCAACTTGATCGACTCTGCGCTCGACAGCTTTGCACTCGACCTGACCGAGGCCCTCAAGAATGATGTGAAAGAGGAGACTAAGCGGATCGTCCTTGCTGCAGAGGAGAATATTAGCAAGGCTATGTTCCAAATTGACTCTGTCCAGAGTGATGGCAACCTTTCAGTCCGCCAACGTCGCAAGGAGCTGATCAAGAAGAGTCAAGATATGCTTGACTTGGTTGATGGTTTTAAAAACCGTGAGGCCAACACCGGCAAGCAAGTCATTCGATCCACTCCCACTGCTGCTGAAGTCCTCGATACCACGCCGGCACCCTCTTCTAGCTCTTCAGCAGAGAAGGAGGGGGAGGGTGATAAAGTTGATGTTGAACTCGAGACGAAGATAGAGATCGAACCTGCTGATATAATTGATGCTTTGCCAGAAGAAAGCACTGTTAGAGCCTCTGTAGAGCAATCAATCCAGAGTAATAGCAAGAGTCAAGTTGAAGATGAGAATGAGGACAAAGACGAAGTTGTGGAGCCATATAATGTTGTGGCTACGGAAGCATCAGCTTCACCTCTCGAGTCAGAGACCATTCAGGAGAAACACAGTGACAATGAAGCCACTTCTACTGCTGCCTCTACTGATGTGCCAACCAATATCAAATCCACTGTCGCTGCCACTACTACTACCATCCCTGTAGAGACTGAGAGTGACATTGAGATCAATGTTAGGCTCGAACAAGAATCACATCCAGCTGTGGACTCGGAAATGAAGGTTAATGATTCAGACTTATCGAACGATGACTATGAGCTCGTTCAAGATTTTTAAAGTACAATTTTTAATCTGTAGTTTTTCCCAATAAAAGTTATTCATGTTAATAAATCTGTAAAAATGCATTATCAGAAGGATACAAAAAAGCTTGAAATGTTTTCTTTAATGTCTTTTGCTCGACTTCTTTGGTTTTCTCCCTTTGAAAGTATTTCTGAAAGCAAAAGGATTTTATTACACACACGCTGACCGGTTGAATTATGGTACAGTTTTACTCGAGACTAAGTGATACGTGCAAAAAGTGCATTCAACGTTTCTCTCTTTTCTTTCTCTTTCTCGCCCGCTTGTCTACTCACTACTTTCCTTTTCCCATGTTGATCTTGCCGTATCCGGCACAGATCTGGTGGTTTATGAAAGTTCACCAGTTAATTCCCCAACCAAGAATGCCAGTGTTGGTACAACCGAGCCTCAGTCGGTGCAGAAAATCTAGCCAAAATTGGCCATAGATAGATTCAACATTAAGATAGACCTTGAATGATATAGCCCATTTGACTGCTCTGCTGGAACAGTTTTATTCTAAAAGTGGTTCTTTCCGAATGTGTCTGTTTAATGCTTTTTTCTCTTCGTTTTTTTATTTAATTAAGAAGAGTGACAAAATAAAGACAATGAAAAAATAAGTCGTTGCTCTCTTTTTCATTACTTTTTTTTTTTTTTTTTTTTTTTTTTTTTCAAAAAATAATTAAAAAAAAAAAAAAAAAATTATATATATATATATATATATATCCGTCATTTAACGCTTTTTTACCATTTTTTTTCTTCTAATTTTGAGAGAACTTGGGTCGAGGAGTGAAAGGTTTATGAATGAATATTGGGGAAAGCTTTTTTCTTTTCTTTTTTTATTATTTCATGATCCTTTAAACAGTGATCTTGAAAGGGAGAGTACCCTCCTCACGCTGCTCATCCCATTTGGAGACCTATATATAATTTCAGGAGTAGAGAAATATACATGAGTGATATTGCTCGCAAAGGATGTGTGATCAGCGATATTTAACCTACACATGGGAAATCAATATATATATATACATACCCAGTCATTGGGGCAGATGCTCTTGAAGACCTTGTAGAAATCCTTGCAGGGAGCAAAGTCCTCGCCACGAGCGTTGATGCACTTGTAATAATCACCATACGCCTGCCAGCAGTGCTTGCTCTGGTTGGTGTTGGGGAAACGAGCGTCGAAAGGAGCTATATTGAATAAACACAACAAATAAAGTTCATAAAAAGAAAAAGAAAAAGAAAAAACAAAAGAAAAGGGTTACATCATTTGCTCCTTTCATTCTTTCTCTGCCTTATATGCTCTATGCATTACAACAGAACCGTGAAGTAAAGAATTGTGATATGAAGCAATTGAGAAAAGAACAAGAAGGCCGAAAGAGAAAAATAACACGGGAAACCAAAAGAAAATGAATAGTGGAGGATTAACAGTGCAAGACAGGTAGAACATGCGTTTGTATATGCGTATGGATGCGTGTATCTGTGTAGCGTGGTCTAATGTATTTCGCGACAACTCTATAGACGCCGTTGTTCCGATAGTAGCTTGAAACGCTTCCTGATCCGCGTTTGTTTTTTTTGATGTGATGGATCGCCTTTTTTTTTTTTTTTTTTTTTTTTCCTTCTTTTAAGTAGTATATGTCTGGAATCATAATACGCACCAGTCTCAATCTTGATCTCAGCGTTGTCAGACATGGCGAAGGATGATTGTTTGTTCCGTGGAAAGAAAGTGATTATCGGATTGATTCAAAAATGGATGATGGAATAAAAAAGCGGGTCCGAAAACAGCCACTAAGAATGTTGATTGGCGCGCCGGTCAGTACAGCACAAGTCTCTCTCAAAATACGTCATAGAAGTGGCGTTTGGTGTCTTTCTTCCAAGGAGATGTTCCATTCTTGTCCGTCGACTGGAGAGTTGCAATGAATGAACCTGATAACATTGTATGCGTTTAATACATATGCTTAAGCTGTCCAATCGCCAGCGATGAACAACTGTAGTCCTGTGCTTCTTTCTAACCATATGAGACCACAGTTATGGTACATAGAAATAGTGTCAGTTTTTCGATCTGTTTGATATATATTTTTTTACACATTAGATGATATGATAAATACGAACTGATGAACTGGCAATGCATAAAAATATTATTGATGCAAGCGCTAGTGAGTCCATGCCAAGAAAGTATATCGAAAATCAGCAATAACCGTGTATCGAGCTAAATCATAGTACACAACGTTTATCTTTTAATCTTTCACTTGCCTCTACCAACTCTCAACCTTTTACTCCTTCTACTCTAGGCCTAAAGATAAACAATACGCTACCTCTTTGCTAACTTCTTTTTCGCTAGAGGGATGTTATCGAGTCAGTCTTCAAACTGATCTAAAATGATTGTCATTCAAGACTACTTTTTTTTTTTTTAAAAAAAAAAAAAAAAAAAAAAAAAAACATCGCTGGCTCAAGTCTTTATCTCAAACAGCAACAGTACTAGGTCAATTCTCACCGAGCACAGACTCCAGGACACAAAAGAGGCAAGGAATCAACTGAAACAGCACGATGGAATAAAGATTGCTAAGCATGAGACGGCATATAGACATGTGGTTACGCGAGGAGTATCTGTGCTGGCGAAAGTTGGACTTTTCACAGTCCCCCACACAGTCAATCAGTTAGGTGCATTCCAGGCATCGTTGCCTGTTCTTTTTTGGTTGAGGATATAAATATTGATATTACTCATGTTATTCTTTAATTGAATAATCCGTTCATTCCTAACTGCAACTATTGTATTTAGGAACTCAAAAACACATATCTCGTTGTTCCAGTGGCCGTTCGCAAAGACACGGACACTGATATCCACCTTCCTACTCTGCAGTGATTTCGTGGTCACATCATGTGTACTCTCTACATACAGGCGAACATCTCTCGCTGCTGCAGATGCAAGCTCGCCGCTATGTCGGTTAGTTGGAGTTGGAAGTGTTAGCATAAAAAGTAGTGTTGGTATAGCTTCAAGGTTGTATGATAGGTACGACATGCTATAACTTACGGAAATTGGCTTAATCCATTTAGTATTCTATTCCGTAGAAAAATATATTTTGTCCGGCCACTGTACATGTAGTAAAGGGCACCAGGGTTGTGTAAAGGTCAGCAGAGGATAATCTAGATAAGAAAAAATAAAAATAAAAAATAAAAAATAAAAGTCAATTAGCATGGCATCACAGTTATGGTGGTCATTTGAATGTCACAAAGGAAGAAGGTGAGCATCCATCCTAAAGACTACCCCATGGGAACTCAATTGCTACCATGACAGGCGCCAGTAAGACCACACTCGTCGCAACTACTCAGGGACACCGTGCAGGACGTAACCCGACACCCAGGCCAAGAGTAACCGCATAGTGACAAGTGCGTTTTCAGCCCGAAAAGATGAGCATCCATCCTAAAGGCTACCCCATGGAAACTCATTTGCTACCATGACAGGCGCCAGTAGGACCACACTCGTCGCAACTACTCAGGGACACCGTGCAGGACGTAACCTGACACCCAGGCCAAGAGTAACCGCATAGTGACTAGTGTGTTTTCAGCCCGAAAAGCAGAAATCCATCCTAAAGGCTACCCCATGGAAACTCAATTGCTACCATGACAGGCGCCAGTAGGACCACACTCGTCGCAACTACTCAGGGACACCGTGCAGGACGTAACCTGACACCCAGGCCAAGAGTAACCGCATAGTGACAAGTGTGTTTTCATTCGCCGAAAAAGAATAGGGAATGTGGAAGTAAAGTGATGAACGAAATAAACAATAAAATGTCGCGTCATTCATTCATATGATGTTCTGTCTCGTGGCTTTGAAATCATCAGCAATCTAAGCTGGAAGCGATTTTGAGAACAAGCACGTGCTTGTTAATTTTTTAAATTTGAAAAAATTTCTAAGTCGAACACCGCAGGAAAGGCTCTTTTTTTTATTTCAAAGTCATTTACACCACAGAGAATAGCTTTTTTTTCTTTTTTATTTATTTCTTTTAATTTCTCTATATTTTTTAAAGATGAGAATGATGAGAGGTAAATTTCGTAGTGATAATCGGATGAATAAATGAGACTGTGAAATAAGAGCAAGAAAAACAGTAGAGTGATTCACACGAAGGTCATTTACCTGTGATCTGGACTTTGCTTGAAAAAAAATGACTTAAAAAAAAAGTTTGGACAGAGAAAAAAAAAGCTATCCCCTGTGATGTAAATGACTTGGAAAAAAAAAAAAAAAAAAAAGAGTGTGTTTGACTTGGAAATTTTTTCAAATTTAAAAAAGAGACCTCCAGCCAAAATGTCAAGTTTGGCTTGATCTGTAAAAAGTCGACAGAAGAATGGAGTTTGCTCGAGCGTAAATTCGCCAGGTTAATCTAATAGAATAAGGGATGCTGTACCAAGGACGCAACAGGATATTTTCATGCTAGGCTACACCATACTGACACTTGTAAACTGGCGGTGTATTGAACCAGTCAAGCCCATTGGCGAAAAAAAAAAAAAAAAAAAAAAAATTAACTGGCTTTGGTGTACCGGTGAAAAAAAATGCACTAGAATTTATGTAGTATCTACAAATGATCTCTAATACTAAATTTGTTGTGCAGCGTGATCATGATGGCAACGTATTGCTACAGGAGATAGCCATATCAAGCAAGCAAACGAAAAGGATGAAAAATGTCTGTAGTTCTAAGAGCTTTGAGCAAGCTTTATCACAGAAATCGACTGCAGCTCCTTCAAGACCTTGCAAAAGGAATGAATCTACAGAGGGCATGCTACTCGTAATAGACTAAAGGCATACTTTTGCTTTTGCTTATATTTTATGACCCCAATCAACCCCGCAAGTACTTTAAACGTAATAAGCACTAATGTAAGTTAAATGCAGCAGTTGCTTGGTCCAATCACCATTTAAGTTGAAGATAACGTCGATTATATCCTTAACGTGGAACAGAGGGCCAAGCCTGTCGCTCTTTTAGTTAGGCCTTTTCAAATATAAATGGTTACTTAACAAAATTCTTATAATTGAAAGAGACCAACCAAAAAGAGCGACAAGCTTCCTCTGACGTGTAGGACAAATGGACTTGAGTCACTGATTATGGCTCTGTAAATTCGTCAGACTTGCATGAAATGGATAGCTCAAAATATGGTATATTTGCTCTTACTGAATGTTTATTTGTGAACCCCCCTTCCTATATTTAATGGACAATTTTGGTTAATGAATATCAAGGACTGCATTGTGATTTGGAGATTTGAAAATATCGGAACCTGCGGACATAATGTAAGGATAGACATCTTGGAAATACCATCTAAAATCGAATCTGGATGTAAATCAAACATTTTCCTTTTATCTTCACTTTCGATAGATTAATGGACGGTACATTTGCCCCATGGAACCCAACGGAGAGGATGGTCAGGGTTTTCGACCTGATTTAATAAGGGTAAGGAACCTCGAAGAAAAAAAAACTCAAGACTCATATTCGCTACTTTCTTCATCTATAGCTCCAAATAAATGACGATGCACAGAATGTAGCACAAGTTCTTAATGAATTAACGGACTCGAAGCTTTAGACTCTGTTTCGACATTTGTAAGTAGAAATGTATGCTATCATTACTATGATCACTATCCAAATTTCTTTCTTTTTTTTTATTATATATTCTTCATTTTCTTCATATATATTTTGACTTGTCCAGGTCATGGTCAGTACGTAAGAAGTTGGTCCCAGAAAGGTTCACGGATTCTGGCACAAAGGAGCGTCTGAAGATGTGTCAGGCCTGTCTCCCAGCCGTTTCTAGCAAAAATCTGTTAAATCACACCAGATCTAGCCAGCTTTTTATGATAGCGATTCTACATTTGTTTTGTAATTTTCAGAAGCATTGATATAGACTCATATAGCGTACACGACGATTTCAATTACTACTAACCGTGGGACAGCCAGAAATAAAGAACCCTCTCTTTGTCCTATTGAACTTTAGTTCCATATTACATAGTAAGTTATATCAATTAGGTTAAAACATTGCAACCCCATTATATTGAAATATGACTATAAATCAAATCTTCCTCCTCATCTTGATCTTCGACTTCCTCTTCGTCAGCTTCATCAGTCCGCTTCCTCTTATTGTGCTTTGATGGGGTGAACACAGCAAAGGGCTTCGTATACCGGAGAGGAGGAGTTGTTGGTAAAGGAGGGAGTGGGATGGAGGACAAAGTTTCCTGCACATGCACGGCATATCGAGATGTGTGATCCTAAATACCAGGAAATGAATCATTGTCAATGCAAGGATCAAGGTTGCATCGCCCCTGCATACCAACATAAATACTAATCACAGAACTTACGGCGAACTTCAGCAGAACCTGCATTGAGTTGGATTTGAGGAACTGCTTCAGCTGAACTAAGTCTGCAGGGATCCAAACCACGTTGTTGGTGGATTTGCCGGCGGCGATAATGTTTCCATGCCGCTTCAACGTGTAGAAGTTGAGGCATAATCCCCGTCCCTCCGCAATAATAGGGTAGTGTTTGCACGTATCCACTCCTTTGAGCTCCAAGTCGTGCAAAATGGCTGTATTAAGGCGCACTGCTTTGAGCTGCTGCTTCGCGCAAACCGACTCAGATGCTGTGCCGACCTTGAACTCAAAAATACAAATCTCATTGTTCCAGTGCCCGTTCGCAAAGACACGGACACTGATGTCCACCTTTCTACCCTGTAGAGATTTTGTGGTCACACCATGTGTACTCTCTACATACAGGCGAACATCTCTCGCTGCTGCAGATGCAAGCTCGCCGCTATGTCGGTTAGTTGGAGTTGGAAGTGTTAGCATAAAAAGTAGTGTTGGTATAGCTTTAAGTATGTATGATAGGTACGACATGCTATAACTTACGGTATACCACGCACCACCTGTCCTCCAAATAGCACCGCCAGAATGTGTGCCCACACTGATACGACAACATGTTCTGTCATTGGAGGGGAAAGCTGATTGGTAGAGATGAGCGTACAAATATAATCGACTATCTGCAGTACTGCCATTCTTTGCCTCATGTCCCTGGTTGTGGGTGAGGTAGGACCAAGTCCCCCAAGCATGCTCCAGACCTTAGTCCGCAAACTCCACATATTTAACGGTGCGAGAGAGTCCTCTTTGTATCCAGGACAATATGTCTCCAACAGCTCACTCATCAACTCCGTGATAGCATCATCCTTTTCATCTAGAGCCGCTACCACGGAGTCATCTTTGAGGGCCGAAGCGAAAGTGAACGCCCGCGTGGAAGGCGAGACTGTGTTTACAATTCCACTTAAGGCCACCCTATCGTCCAGCAGAAGCCAACAGGCTATGGTTAGGCCTAAATAATGAACCATATGCTCATACACATTTAATTTATTTACTTACAAAACTTCTTTATCCACATGATATGCCCGGTTCCTGCTCCTGTTGTGATCTCTTGACATTAGAGTATTATGGGCGTATAGGTAGAGTTCCTTGTACTCCTGGCAGATAAAGTTGTGGGGAACAGGCGGTAACGCAGCGTTTTGACCTTGCACCTAATATCAATGCGGATATCAGGTTAGAAATACATATATAAACCATGGTGAGACATGGTATTCACAATGGCAGCTTGGAAACGATTTCTTACTTTTTTATACAAATACTCCAACAACGGCAAAAATGGAGATAGCTTTGAGCCGGCAACGATCTCCTTAAGGTCATCTAGTTCCTCTAAAAAGCCGACAAGATGTGAGCTGTTGGACTCTGTCATTTAATCAGAACTACACCGGTTTGCTTACCATTATCGCTAATGGGCTCAATGTCCTGAGAATCTTCTGAAAGTACACCAGCATCAATGTCGTCAGAAACTTTGGTCCTCGTGCCCTCATCTCTACGCTGGCTATCAACCATATAGTCCTTCAGCCTATGCCTGTCTATGTGTCGCTGAAGGTTTGGTCCTACTTGCTCGAGACCTGCTTCTTGCACTTTTACGGAGGCATTGCTAATAGTCAACTTTGAACTTTTGTTCAAGAGTCGTCTGGACCAAAATATGTCGTCAGTGTTGTTCTTGAAGTGCTCGTAGTCCGAATTCAATATTTTCAAGCGTGCTTTTGCTATTTTGCCACTATTAAGTAGGTTGGTGTAGGCCTGATGCGCATCCGCCTTGTCATAGAATCTGAATTTTACTACAAAGTTTGGGAATGAGACGTGCTCTTCGTTTCTTCGTTCGAGAGCCCAACTCAGGTGCTTCTCGAGAGCGCTTAATAAAGCAACCGCTGGTTTCTGTGGCATGGCATTGACTTGTTTTGACAGCATGATTGGGGTTTAATTGTTGTTGACTTAGAATTTGAATATGTTGAGAGAAGATTGATTCCACTTTGAGCACAACCCTGAAATTTTTTGATGGAGCGCTCAAAAAGGAAAAGCTATATTTTCTTAATTAGAATAGCAAATCAATTCAATCCGCACGAATGGCTAAAATTCGTCGATTGAATTGGGCTAACTATTTTAAAAATATAACCTTTCCTTTAATTATGTTAATACGTCTCCTTTGCCACTGTTCTATTCGAAAATAAAATCTTGGTATCAAAAAGACCTGTGCACACAATACATGGTAATCAAATGATACAATTGGAAGATGATGCTTTTGAACACATTCCTTCACAAATAAGATGGAATCTCTTGGATTGTCGTACTGCTTCACCTGAAGTAAGTCGAGCGCATCTGCTTAATTAGGCCGAGTAATTACTTCACGTCCAGTGACAATCAAGTAGATAGAGTCGTGTACACCATGTTCTTGTGTCTCGAGTCTAAGTTTTTTTTTTTTTTTTTTTTTTTTTTGGCAAGTCTGCTTTTCCCATCTAGAATTCACAAATGTTTATAAACTGGTGTTTATTTTTTCTGATGATGATAGGAAAACACAATCTGCAATGCTTGGTCGACAAATAAAAAGAAGGTTTAACTAACATGTCGCCGGGGGGGTTTAATGCATAGCCGATTAAATCCCATTCTTCTGTTTTTATTCAAAAAGAAAGGAGCTTTAAATAAAGAGCATCTGAAGAAGACTTGGTGCCAATAGACAAAGAGCTATCCATTTCACATCTTTTTCCATGGGTCTCACCAAACCTGTAGCAGCATTGGACTTCGTGTTAGTTGGTGGAGGCGTCAGTCCATCATTACCTGTTGGCGAACCCCTGGATGTGGTTTTAGTCGTAACAGTTGCCGTTGTAGATGATCCAGGATTGATTGTAGGTAATGTCGGTCCTGCTTCTCCCAAGATACATCCACCCTGCGGTACCGTCACTTCCAAGCAGTTTTCGTCCGTCACAGGTGATCCCAACGACATTTCCTGTACACAATGCGCTACGCTCGTGGATGGCTGGTACCCATAATACACTCCTGTCTTTTCTCCTGCATGACCGTTATACGAGTCGTACCCAATGCATCCCAATGCGTACTGACATTTTCCAGGACTCGTACAACAAATTGTGTTTCCACCACCGTTTGTCCCAAACGCTGGCATGCAGGATGTGGAACTTAAGAAGCTGGGCAACTGAGCTGGACAACAGGGCAATGACCGTGTCGCTTTCAGAACGCCCTCTTGATAGCAGGTCAAATAGTTTTGCCCATAGTTATCCCACCGACAAGCATAGCGGGAGTTACCCACAGTACAACCTAGATAACCAAAGGGGCACTTGCCATTGTAATTCTCACACACCCCTGATTCCGTACAACAGTAATTCATAGAAACTTGGTTATATCGTGTGGTGTTGGTAGCAAAGTTCTGCACAACGTCGTCGACCCATGGAAAGTTACAGGAAGAGTACAGTCCCATTTTTTTGGTGTAAGAACCAAGAGAATCAAATTTAGGGGGAAAAAATAAAGTAGACGGGAATGAAAATGATAGTGAAGTTTGAGGGTGATGGCGGTAAAGAAGGTGAAGAAAAAAAAGAGAAGCAAAAAGCAAAAGATAAAAAGATAAGCGAAAGGAGTAAAATAAGGGTGCTCTTCGCAAATGACAACAATTATGAGAGCTATGACAAGTTTTCTTCTCAGACACTGAAGTAAAATTATTATTGTATATGAATATGTTGTTTTGCATTGCTATGGATCAAAAAGCAGTCTGCGACGAGGAGGAATTCGATCATGGGCACTGTCCCGCTTAATCAGCTTGAAAAGACCAGTTCCAATCGACATAGGAATACCCATGATGATGCACTCGGATACTCCCTCAATCGCATCCTTTTTAGAATACAGCGCCGCCTCAAACAAGTGATCGGTCGTCTTTTCAAACGACGCCAGCATCATCACACTGTCCTTCATCTTGGCAATACCAAAACGCGTAATACCCAGTACCTCTCCCTTTGATGTCATAATATCTCCCAACAACATAACGTGACGCGGATCAATGGTCAGTCCATGAGAGTCCATGACACTCTTAATCTCGTCCAAGATAGTACGTCTTGCAGCTTCAATACCCAATACTTTCCATACCTCCATAACGTGATTGGAGCGTGTTTGAGTTCCAACTACTCCTTCTGTATTCATTAACTCACGTAGACCATAGCCCTCCACAAGCAGTTCCTTCTTACCACCACTTCCCTGGATTTCGTTAATGACTGCACGGTTAACTTGAGGAAGGCCTTTGATAATAATCTCAGGCAGGGCTCTCTTAAGTTTCTTAATTGAGTAATAAAGTCCTGCAGGATCTTTGGACTGTACATAAATACGTAGACGGTCGGGTTTATGAGACTGCACGTTATTAGTTCCGATCTTGAGTTTTGGTTCCAATCCAATGGCCTTTGCAACTTCATCCAGGTCAGTTTCAAGCTGTAAACGACGTATTGCCTCCATATCCAGACGAACTCCAATGTAACATTCATCAGGCTTGTAGACCTCTTCAATGAACTCTGCAATGTCCCCAAGCATGGTTTTTTCGATTCTTCCCTTGACGATACGTGCAGCTTTGACATCTGTGTTATTAACTAGACGTGTTGTAATAATTGGTGTGGCAATAGCCTTCGCGGCGTTGATGATTTCCCTGATACGTGGCACTCCCAGTGTGATGTTCATAGATGCGACACCAGCAAAATGGAACGTCTTCAGCGTCATCTGTGTGCCAGGCTCTCCAATGGACTGCGCTCCGACAGCACCCACGGCTGACGCAGGTTCGATCTTGGCCTTCATGAATTTGTCCCAGCAAACATACATGAAGCGTTCCATTTGGCGTTCCGTAACAGTGAGTTTATTGTTGACAATCCTCTTGACCTCTTCCGGCTCCTCTTCGTCAATGTCCATATCCTCATACTCCTCGCCGGGGTTATGTTCTCCTGACATCATACCGTAAGCTTCGCGAATAATCTTGAGCTTTCCCGCAATATGTGTCTTAACAAATGTTACTACAGCCAAAATAAACTCCTTGGAGCAGTTCTTAGCCCAGCGTGATGACGCTACCTCCTTCTCAGCATACTCATTGATCTGCCAGGGTAGCAGCTTCTTGTCGTCCTCTGTTGGGGGTAACATGTGAAGAGTACTGACAAAGTTACGGTCAAATAAAACAGGTATACCGTTGCCTTCAAGTACTGCAGGGTCAAGGCCGTCGCTTCCATAAGTGAATTGAATAATGGCCCCCACAGAGTTTCGCACCGAAAGATCGTAATGTGTAGTCAGATCTTCCAAAGCCTTCATAAGACGACGCTGCATGTAGCCGGTTTCGGCGGTTTTTACAGCTGTGTCAACTAGACCTTCACGACCAGAGACAGCGTGGAAAAAGAACTCAGTAGGTGTCAACCCGCTGTAGAAACTGTTGCGAACGAAACCCTTGGCCGGAGGAACCTTGGAATTTTTCAAGAAATGAGGTAAGGATCTATCTTGGAAACCATTTGGAATACGTTTACCACTGATAATTTGTTGACCGACACAAGCAACCATCTGAGACACGTTGATCTTAGAACCTATCCACCACAATAAGACGCACGAAAAAAAAAAAAAAAAAAAAAAAAAAATTAGTGTGGCTGACAATCAGAAAATAGATTCGAAATGACATTGGAGAAGCCAACTTGCCTTTAGAGCCACATGTCGCCATGATCAACGGTGAGTTGTACTTGTTGAGCTCTGTTAGACATATATCTCCAACTTTGTCACGGACCTGCGACAGCTCTCCAGAAATCAGGGCCTCGAGAGTCTGTTCAATATCGCATCCAGGTTGATTTTCCAACTGACCATTGAGTGAACGATGAATCAAGTCATCGCAGTGAGCATAGGCGTTCTTGACAAGCTCATCCTTCTTGGATGCCAAAATTTCACCAGGCTGGACATCATTAATACCAATCGAGAATCCAACGGTCCCCAACCAGCGAGCGCAGAGCTTAGCAAGTCGGTTCATGCATTTTGCCGCCTCAATGGAGCCATAGTCGCGCATGACAATGTAGAATAGCGAGCTTTTGTTGCCATCTCCAACAATTGACTTGTCCAAAACGCCGCACATGATTTCACTATTATGTATCACAAGGTAGCCGTCATTCCTACACATGTCCATGACAGGACGCTTGACCTTGTCATATGAGCGAGTCTTCGCCTCCAAATTGACTAATACTTTTGACTCCTTATTAGGTTTGAGTAAGACGCTGATTATTTGTTTACCCGTCCATCGTTGTGCTGGTTTCAAGATTGCAGGTGGTGGAATATCAATTTTCAGTTCTGCATCCCCCAAGTATGAGCAAATCTGAACAAACTGTGAGCGATCGAAAAATAGATCTTTTTGAGTAATGAGATATGATGCAGTGATGAAATCCTGGATTGCCGCAATAAGAGGGGTCCCGTTTCTAGGAGTAACCAAGTTATTTTTGACGCCCATCAACTCGATAGCTTCAGTCCTAGCTTCCTCCGTCTGTGGAACGTGCAAGTTCATCTCATCTCCGTCAAAATCAGCGTTATAGGGGTTGCAGACACATTCATTGAATCGGAATGTACGCCATGGCCGAATTTTTGCATAATGAGCCATGATAGAAAGCTTGTGAAGTGAAGGCTGACGATTGAATAGGACGACATCACCGTCATTAAGATGGCGCTCAACTACATCGCCGACCTGAATCTCCCCTGCAATCTGAGCACGGTTTCCAAACTTGAGTGACTTTTTCATATTGTTGGATCCCAGAGTGACATAGTTTGCTCCTGGATGGATCTCCGTACCATTTGCAATGGCCTGGCGAAGACGTTCAATATTATGGCTGGTAACGCGTTCTGGGTATGTCAGGTTTTTGGCGACCAGTTCAGGGACAGCGACTTGGTCAATGCGAAGGTTAGGGTCGGGTGAAATTACTGTGCGTCCAGAGAAGTCAACACGCTTTCCAGATAAATTTCCACGGAAACGACCCTGTTTTCCCTTCAATCTCTGACAGAATCCACGAACTGGCTTTCCGGGCTGTAAGTTAGATACTCCCGGTAGTTCGCTGTTGATGTACATAGCGACTGAGAGTTGAAGAAAGTCCCATAGATCCTATTAAAGATAGAGATGAAAAAGAACAATTAATTTTGTCCCCATCAACAAAGGTTAACGAGACTTCAAAACCATAGTATATAGAAGCTGCTCATTACCATCAAATTAAGAATAGCAATACCCTGATTAAGACCAGCTTGCATGTGAGCGTTGGTAAAGATCACTTCTGTCAATTTAACAGTGATATCATCTTCGTTACTGGCACCATCCTGCTGAACTGATGGGCGAATACAAACTGGGGGCACGGAAATGTTCTGCCAAAGATACATTTCAGGTCTTCCAAGATCTGGATTCATACCTAGAAGCTCACAGTCCTGATAGTAATAACCGCAATATCAATTAACTGGAACTATCAATTATAACCCTACTCAACTACTATTAATTGGCCGTTTAGAAAACTCATTTCCCTTTTTCCCTGCCTTACCTCGTCAGTGATGGCCTTGAACAGGTTCAATACTCTCAAGGGGTTCATATCCTCCTGCGCCTTTGAAATATGAGCCTTCATTTCCGGTGCAGCCTCCAATGCATGACTAAACGTGCTCTTGAATTTCTCGTATTCATCCGCAACTTTCTTTGACCGGAATTTCTCATGTACAATTCTAAGCGCGCCAGCCTTCTTGACCGTCCCTATATTGGCAAAATACATGGATTTAAAGTAAGTTCAAGTGGCCTTTAGCATTCTACCGGCTATCGAAGGAAAAAAGGTAAAGAAATAATAATAATAATAATAATAATAATAATAATAATAATAATAATAAAAGAAAAAGAAAGCGGGATCCTTAAAGACAGCAATACAACTCACCATTGATTCCCTCACAATATGGGCAGTGGATTACCTTCTTGCATTTGTCATTGATAGCCTTGCAGACATTTTTCCTAGTCAAATTTTCCAGATTCGGTGCACGGAGCTTCCTCAAATATGTACGACGATCCTTTTCTGACAACAAGACTCGACTACAAGTCTATGAACCATCCACAGTTAATAAATGAAATAATATCTACCGTTAGCCCATTGCTCGTAAGTAAATACTAATAATACTAATAGTAATAGAAATGTTGCAGTAACTGTCCTAACCTTGCAAATATTTTGTAAAATAACTATGGCTGCTCGGAAGTATCCAATATGAAAGACTGGTAGACACAACCTGATGTGGGCAAAATGACCGATACAATCCTGTTGCTTCAGACCACAGGTCTCACAGGAAGCGATTTTATCAGAGGTACCCTAGAACAACATTTAGATCAGTAGATCATTTTATTAAAAATGAAAATTAATCACCTAAACAGTGTGGCTTAATTGCTAGGCCTCCTTCAATGGTCCATAAATTGGTTATCCTCTATGATAAAGACTAAAATTGTCCCTCCTTTAAATATTTGTCGCTCCAAAATCGAGCTACCCGGCGTTCATGTACGATGGCTATATGGACTATATGAACCTGTTTTCTTCTTACCAGTCTCAAATCGAGCATTCCATATTTAACTGGCTGACGGTCCTGAACCGTATACAGATCACGCTGAGTGACCTCGAACTCTGATACATTGACAATCTCCTGTGGCGAAAGAACACCAAATTGGATTTGCTTGCTATTCATATAGGCCCAATTTTGAAGTGCACATGAAAGAGAAACATCCAATAATTAGTTTCATGTATTTATTCGATAGCAATGGCTGCTGGGTTGTAGAGGCGGAAGAAAAGGAAACAAAAAAAATAAATAAATTAAAGTCGCAATTAAAAGAACAATTGTAGGAGGAATAGAAATGAATTACATCTTCTTGGGCGCCTGCTCAAGCACCTGTTCCTTCATTCTAAGTAAATTTGAATGTTGGTCCGAAAAGGATGTCCAGGTCAAAATTCAGAAGCAAAGATGTTGTGAACACGCATAAAGCAACTTATCTGCAAAAAAAAAAAAAAAAAAAAATAGACTGCGACGCATTTCTGGATTTGGATATAAAGCTACAAAGCCACTCACGTGCTATGTACTTTATTTACATTTCTCAATAGAGTCGGTGGGGTCGCCACTGAAATAATACTTTTGAGATTGGTCTGTCATGGGTATCATCTACAACTTCTTCTAAAGGCGTATTATACATATCAATGGGTTGTGCTGCTTCCAGAAAGGGCGAATAGTACCTATACACAGCACCATTTGGCAGCACCCTATGGTTGAGACTTGGTGCCAATGCTATGAGAGGCTGTTCGGATCCAACGAGATCTACATGACATGTATCATTTGTATAGATACATGGATCGGTCTGAGTGATCTGAGGATAAGCTGGTGCTTGCGATGAAGGCACAATGGCTGTATTTTGAAGGACATCCATTGTTGTATGCCCTGGTAAAGGACTGCTTTATGAAGAAACAACATGAGTTCGAATAAAATTAACAAACAGACTTTATCTAAACTAACCAAATGCTCTTTGCATTTAATTACCTTGGCGACATTCCATTGTTAGATAGGTTCGCAAACGACTTCTCAGGCAATAAGTCCTGGGATATGGTTAAACGACTTTGCGCCAAATCATCATTGATCGAGCTTAATAAGGCTGTCGATTCCTTTCTAACATGCATAGAATGAATAGACTCCCTGGAATCTTTGAGCGCCATGGACGTCCTTTGGTTCGATGAACGATTACTAAAGCTGGAATTTTCCTTATTCAGACAGCGCTGAAACAAGCTATGTTTTGAGTGCACGCTACCATCACTAACTGATGTATAGCTACTCTCGATCATTTGATCAACAGGGTCAGGGTCGGGATGAAGGCCACGATCTTCGTACTCACAATAGCTCGAAGGGCCCGCGAAGTATACTGATGTGACAGCATCATCTTGTCGTTTGTCACTTCTAGCATTTTCTTCCGAATAAGGCCCTTGGTTGAGAAAGAACTTTTCTGAAAATTCTTTATTTAAGCCTTCAAGGCAAAGGAGAGAGTAAAAGTTCGCAAGCAAATTAATATGGGTTGCTATGTACAAGCAAATCAATAGTTGGGTTGATTGAATTACCGATATGGACTCTTGTCTTTAAAGAGGCTTTGCCCTTTTTAAAAATCCCCAACCGGGTGGGCTTCTCTTGCATCTATTCGGCCAACAAAGCCAAAATATCTTAACGTTTGTATCAAACCCCGAATATTTTAATGAAACACATAGAAAAACCATACCGTAATACGCTCTTTGGAGACCTTTGGAGAGACAAATTGCTAGTAGCATCAAATAGAAAACATTGAAAAGGTCATTTACACTTGCTGATGTTAGTTCTGACCGGACACTCTAATTGCACAAAGATAGGTATGCTCAAATAGCATATGCACTATCTGAGCACAATAGAAGGAAAAAGGGCGTGTTGTGTGCACGCTTACATTCATGATAAGGGAGCTTTGAGTAAAGATCTTGCGGGGTTTATTACTATGTGAACGTGCATCCATACGTCTAGTAGCAAGCATGGTTTGTAGTCGTTGGCGCCGTTGAAGAGGCATGCGGCAATGTCGATGGCCACCATCACTTTCTGAACCATCTGTATACTCCACCTTGGAAGCAGCTATACATTCTTGCGGTGAGTGCGCCCTCTTCTGCCGTCTAGGATAGCCCATGTCCCGAAGCGATGCAAGCGGCTCCTCTTGCCTCTTTCGTCTTTTGCGGTTCCTTGCTCTAACTATAGCGATCGATTTCGGCTTTGCTTGCCTTAGTAAAATTATAATAGGTATACTGTTCTGACCAAAACAGGTTCTTACTGAATATAAAGCTCAATAACCTGGTGCGGATCTCTTTAAATTTTTACCTTTATCCTTACTCTTATCAACTGATCCTATATTGAGCTCTTGCTCGGCGTGGCGTTTCGGCTTCGTTCTGCATTCCTTGCAACGCTTGCTCATATTTAAATTTTCACACGCTTGGTCAACAGTGGAGAGTCGTTTACACCGTTTATCAACTTTGGAATCGATCACTCCCGTGATCCCTCTTGCGTTGCCCGTGCGCGGCACTTCACCTAGTAAATTTTGATCCTCTTCATTCTGAGTGTTGCTGCTCGTGAGTTGCGAAGAGACATCATCTCGCTGTTGCTTTCGTTTGCTAGAGCTCGAGATCTCTTGTTGCTGGGACAGCTGGATAAATGCCTCATCAGTATTACCATGCCTCAATGTTTCCTCTATAGGCAGTGTATTGAGGATAGGCTCCGGGCCTTGTTGTGGTTCTGTAGGGATGTCGAGGCTATCAAGGTACTCCCTAATGAAGTCTCTCTTATCCAGCAGACTATGGCGCTTGGTGTGAGTGACAAGATTGGTCTCGTTGAGTATTGACAAGTAAATGCTGGGGTATTTCAGTGACTGAGTGGTCAGTACTTTCTTGGACATGGCTCAATAAATACAAGACGCAGCAAAGTTTAGTTGAGTGAACAGGCACGTAGTAAAAGGTGAATGAATGAACGCAACTTCATACGAGAATGAGAAGGAATAGTGTAGTTTTAATTACAGAAATGAAGGGAAAAAAAAAAAAAAAAAGTAATGCTATTGTTCCTGATGGTAATGGTGCGAAAATGCAGGTGAACACAAAAAAAAAAGCATGTAGAAACACGACTGTCATGCCCGTTAATCGTAGTGTTGTGTCGTGCCTGATAATAGCACACAGTGCTGTGTGCAAAGGCCACTTTTTCCACATAAATAAAATTAAGTTAAGTTTAAGCTTTTTGAGTAAACATCCGAGTACCAAATCTCTGCTATTTTCTTGCTCAGCGCTTCACCAATCCTCCTTTTGTTTATAGCCGAGCTCGTCCTAACTAGAATTCTGTCCCGCTGGGTATCTGAATCCTGTTCATCTAATGCTGAAAACATTGCTCTTGGTGTAGGGTACGCTCTGGCAATCTCCATCGCCTTTTCGCTACTAATACCCCGAATAGTCATCAGCATCTTAACAAACGTGTCTCTAACGACTATTGTTTCGGACTTGCCATTCAAAGCACCAAATGATTTATAACTCGTAAGGTATGTCCGATCCGGATTGGTAGCCTTGAGATGGCTTTGAAGATCCAAGTATGATGCGCGATCAATGGCTTCATCTGGGATAGCATAAAGTGCCTTCGACTATATTAAGATTTTTTCAGCACAATGTTAAGACAAGATTTTCAGGCTGAAGTTTCAACTAAGCATCTTAAATCCAGATAATACATTTATATATACCTCATAGAGCTTCCGCAAAGCATTCGTAACGCTAACAAAATATTCAATAGTTTGGTCCGTATGATTCGTGCGGCGGAGAAAGAAACCATCATGGATCTGAGTGGATGTCATTGCGGTACGGATGGCGTCAGTACCAATGTCATATGTTTCGCCCATTTTATGGGTTTCGATCAGGTATATAACATGACCCAGTCCAGATCTTCTCAACCGGAACTATAAAAAAAAAAAAAAAAAAAACCGATATAGTCATGAATAAGATCATAAATACAAAAGTTTCAAATAGCAACTACATGATGGTACGCTCTTACCTTTTGTTCGTTGAATCGACCATCCTTAATACTATGCACTAGGTCATCCATTCGCTTTCGCTCCAGGATGTAATCTAATACAATCTCGCTTGGGCTAGAAGCAGAAGGGGTTTTCAATCGCGCAATCCAGATAATGTCGCCAATATCCAATGCTCGCTTGATGACATTGACTCCACGGTCTTTCAGTCTCTGCCCAATGTAGTCACGGTCCGTTTGTGTGCGGACTTCACGAATATCTAGAACAAGACATATCTCAAATGAACCAGGGTAGAAAATTACAGGCTTGAAAGCCGCAAGCTGCTTGATATTTTTAGGCGAAGTGTCGTTAGGAATGCTTCGGAGCGAAAATGAGTGGCTTCGCAGATGTGGAAATGCATCGCGTCCTGAAACTGAAGCTCCATCCTTACGCTGCAACTTTGAGCTGCTGGAGCGTTGAACTGAAGACGTCCTTGACTCGTCAAACACATTGCTAGTGGCGTTAGAAGACATTTGCCTACTCAGACCAGCTTTTGTAGTTGGAGCAGAAGGCTCGGTGGCGGGATGTGTTGGGAGCTTGAACTGGGAAGTCGTCCTGGATAGAACGCTCTTAGGCGCTGGTGCGTCCTGAAGGATTATATGGTCGCTCGTAAGCAGGCCTGGGTCCATTGATGTGCGTCTCTCTGGAGGTGGTAGAGGGGTTGTAGTACTCCGTGTGGTGCTAGGCAAGTTTTCTTCGTCAGAATCGCTTAGGATGTCGATAACCTGGGGTGATGGACCATTGCTTCGTGTGGATGACGTGAATAGGGACGAGGCCGTCGGTCGAGCCGTGTTAAGCCCTGATGGCAGAGAAGACTCTACTGAGCTTACAGCTTGAAATGTGTCGTCCCTTGTCTTTGAGGAGTCGGATATTGAAGAGTTCCAACTGCTCAGGACAGATTTCCATGTGTCACAATTATCTTCACCGCTATGGTCATTATAACTGCTACCTTGGGACGACTGGACTCGGAGGACTTCTGTTGAAGGTGACGAGGTTGCGACAGCAGGGGCCCTGCGCAAGGAACTAGCTGATGACGATCTTTCGCTTATAAAGTCAATAAGGTCATCTGGTCCATCGTCTCCTTCTTGTATAAGCTGTGGCGTTCTAGATATGTGACGGAGAGGAGGTGCTGTATAACCCCAAGTTTCTGAATCCACATCAGCCTCAGTTAGTGTAGTGTTGGTTTCAGGATTGCCGCCATCCTGCGCAATTGTCCTCATCATTCTAGCAATCTCCCTACCCTCATCTGTGAGGTAATAGTTTGACGAAGACTGATAGACAAGGTTCTTAGATAATAGTGTCCTCATTGAACTCCATGCTGTGAAGAATTTCCCGTACTCGGGATTCGTCAGTGAAGCATCGCAATAAACCTGACCTCTTGTCACAAGTTCATGCTTAGTTAAAGCCCCATCACCATCTGGGGTTTTGGCATCCCAAGCATCCAGTAGAGTAAGTAAGATAGCATATGCTCCAGACCTGTATGTTGGTACATATGGCTTTTGATTCCGTGCGCGTAGCCTCTTTGATTTTGATTCTTCAGTTCCTTCATCACCTTCTGCTCCATTGCTGTCAACATTTTTTTTCGGTACTCTAGGTCTTTTAAGAACTTAAGATTTCGAGGCCTTCAATCAAAATACTATCTTAAAAGCACTGCTTCGTAAGTATAATATAGGATACCTAGCTTACCAGCGGAAGGCATTGGCAGGTCATTCTCCCTACAGTGCTCGATCAACCTCTTCTCTAACTTGGCTACAGTTTTTTCACCGATACCAGACAGACACAAAGCTTCAATAGGGTGATTGAATTTGGTTGGATATTTTGCCATCGATTCGTATGCCTGCAAGGAAAAAAAAAAAAAAAAAAAAAAAAAAAAAAAACATCAATAAATCCCAAATGTCAACTGTGTCTGAAATGAATCACATATATACAGCCTCAACTGTTTGTGTAGCCCACCTTACGATAAATATAATAGGATTGACTACCAAGCTCTCGAGCATGCTCCATCCACTCCCCAATCCATTCTAAAAATAGTGGATTCCCGCACTCCATGATAAAATCAAACAGATCCAGCAGGCTAGTGATGAATGACAAGAAAGAAATAAAGAGACATGCAATGTTCAAATCGCCACGGAAAAAGATACAACTGATGTATCTTTCAGAAGCAAAAAGAATGTTTCCCAGCCGAGGATCGAACTCGGGATTGCTGCGTGTCTTTAGTATATTCTGAAAATATAAGCACAGTGCCTTGCCGACTTGGCCACTGGGAACCCATCGGTAATTCGAATAACGGAAAAATTTTAAAGCCTTATTAATCAGATATTTTAAACCAAGCCACAGAAAGATCTGTAGTTTTCGACGTGAAAAAAAAAGCCAAGAGAGAGTACTCCATCAAGAATAAAGGTACCCATGACCCTGAGGGTCCTTGTTATCAAAAAAAAAAAAAAAAAAAAAAAAAAAATACTCCATCAAGAATAAAGACGACGAGAAGCAGCCAAACGTTCAAGAAGAAGGGCACAGCTGCGCAACCAAGATACGAGGACGAAGTGAGCTCAGCGGAGAGGCCCTCGACAGACGGCTACGTAGGATGGCACAAGAGGAATTGGACTCTGTTTCGACAGCGAACAATAAAGGACCTCAAGCCAACGTTAGCCGGGGCCTGGCAGACCACACTGGGGTCGTGGTACCACAAGGTGTCATGGAAAGCATTCTAAGGCAAAGAGAACGGTCAGTAGGAAGGGAGAAAATCTCTTGATGCAGCGGCTCTCGCCGTTTGTGCAGTAATAACTGTTTATTGACTATAGTTTCTCGAGTATTTTGTTCATAGAGTGTAGAAAATAAATCCCATGACCCTGAGGGTCCTTGTTATCAAAAAAAAAAAAAAAAAAAAAATAGGAAGGGAGAAAATCTCTTTTCTCTGATGGATCGTTAGAGAATGCAGGAAAGGACTCAGCGCGGATAGTTTTTGGTGTTGTTGCACAGGAGAATGTGGACGAATACACAACAGTAATATCTGGAAAGGTTGATGGCTATTCCTCATCCACCAAGACAGAACTGGCAGGTCTACTCACAGCAATACTTATTAGTCCAAGAAATGTACCAACAACAGTCTATGTAGACAATATGGCAGTAGCTACGCAGTTCAAAACCCTGGTGAGTGGAAGTGAAGGATGCACGGAACGACAACAGCTTCGCTCAACCTATACTATATGGTGAGCAGCAGTTTATAACGCATTCGTTCGACAGGACCGAAAAGTCAACGTAGTCTGGATTAAGGGACATGCAGGCAGCAAAGGCAATGAAAAGGCTGATCAGGCAGCCAATTTAGTGGACTGTGGAAATTGAAGGAACAGGAATACAATGACTTGAGATGTCACGTTTTCTTCAATAGAGACGTAATAGAGGACGACCTTCGCCAACTCCTGAAACAATCTGCTGTCAGGACGAATCCGGCCTGGAGTGTGCAGAACAGGACCAGCCGTTACATCACAGATTGGAAGGAGATTGATTGGAAAGCGACTCTGCACATTATCCACGACGGTAACACTCCAAGAGGGCTATTCACCAGTCCAACTGACTGCCAACGACGAGCTCACAGGATCAAGAAGCTACATGGTATGCTCCCAACGCTTGCTTACATGAAGCAGTGGAGACCAGATCTCTATTACACAGACATATGCAGAATGTGTGAATCGGAAAAAGAAGACACAGAGCACTTTTAGAAGTCCCCTATCACAGATGATAAGTAGTTGGAAGGGTGGACAAGAGCGATTGAGAATATCAATCGCGACGGACAAAGGGTCCTAGCGAAGGAGAGGAGACTTTGGGAGGACAAGTTGCGTCGGGCACAGGCGTCAGGACAAAAACAGACTGGCAAGGGACCTACGTTCATGCCAGCAAGCGAAGAGGTGATATGGGCGTCATTGGAAGGCATGTACAAAGGAGCTGCTGCAATTCGACAGGTGGTAAATTGTATTACAACGACGAAGAGGATGAAGATGGCGACGGTGAGGGAGCCATCAGGACAGTCCAAGGCCTTTACCATGGATTGATGCCGAAAGACATGGCCAAGATTTGGAAAGATACTTTCAAGACAACCGCATCCATTGTAAAATATGTGGTTTGCAGATTTATTAAAGCTATCGAGGAAATCGGAAGGGCTGAGATCTGGAACAGACGCTGTAAAGCCACTGTCGACTGGGAAAGAACTAAAGCCATCACCTCTGTGAGCAAATGCGCCAGGGGACGCGCCTGTTTGGGCAGCACAGACATAGCAGAGGTGATCTCTTAGGGCCTACCCTGCGACAACGACGAACAGCTGACGTGAAAGCGATCAGGACGGAAGCAGACCAAAGAGTGGTTGAGAGCTATCGGCAACAATTAGAGCTGACAGTAATGGAACGGCCGGGAGGGTGTCGTTTCTTGATGATTGAGAGCTGCGGCTAGAAGATAACTTTCGCGTACAACAGGCCAAGTAGGGAGCAGGCCTCGTCGCAGGTTCCGTAGGAATCGAGAGTTACCACTCATGCTGACGTGGTTTGTGAATAGGATGTTTTACAGTAACAGTTCAACGATGCGGTAAAGACCGATTATTGGAAAATGCTTTATTTGCGCCCCTAGTAATAGGGCAACTCATTTATAGAGTCTATTTCTAATAAATCCTCACGACCTCGTGGGTCCATTTATCAAAAAAAAAAAAAAAAAAAAAAAAAAACTACCCTAATTCGCCTGGCTGGCCACACGGCTTAGGTATATATTCCACCTCCCAGCCGAACCAGCGGTACATCTGGCAGCACTTGACGGAGTCCAAAGTAGAAACTTCAGATCAATCCCACAAGATTTGATCGAATAAAAAAAAAAAAAATTAAAGTCGTCCTTAGCTAGAGTCGGCACGCCAGCCTCCGCGGCTTTTCATGGGCGCAACAGGCCACATCGGAAAGATCGACTCCGAGTACCGATCGCGGTGTACATTGGTGGAGAAATCATGGATGCGAATTGGCTTTTCACAGCCATATCGTGCGAACTTTGAGAGTTTCGCTTGTTTCATAGTTGAGGGCGATAGAATTGCATTTGCTCAACTAGGATCGAAAGCTAGAACAGACGTTGCTGTAAAATCACCGTTAGCAGGGAAAGAGATAATGGTACAGCCTTTGTGGGCAAACGCGCCGGGGGACACAACTGTGTTGGGAGGCACAGACGTAGCAAAGGTGAATTCTTTGGCTCTCGCCTGGACAGCGACGAGCAGCAGACATGAAGGCAGTCAGGACTGATGCAGGTTGGTGACTGGCGGCAAGCTATCGACAGTAGGTGGAATTGGCAGTAAATTTTTGATGATCGAGGACTGTGGCTAAAGGATGACCTTCGCGCACAGACCCTTAGGGGACTACTCAATGCTGACGTGGTTTACGAACAGAATGTTGCATTGTGGCAGTACGACAATGCGGTTATAGCCGACTATTGGATACCGCTTTATTCGCAGCCCCAGTAATGGGACAACCCATTTGTAGAGTTAACATCTTATCAAAAAAGACCGCATTCATATTCCACATGGGACACATGATTAAGATTTAATAATAGTAATGACAGGAAAGATGACCTGATATTGTGAGAGAAAATGATAAAATACAAACTCTATTATCGACAAATAATATCGTATTCACGACGAACCATGCCACTTAGGGTCATCTTCCCATTTAGCCCTCGATACACTTTTTGGAGGCTCAAAGTATCAAAGTCTTGGTCGGGCTCAGGAAGTTCGTTCCAACGCAATGGCCTGGCTAGTATGTGGTCCCGCCGTGGCGAACTGTTAACATATTCAGGATGAAAGAGCCAGAGGTGCCCATTGTTGTCTGAGCTGAGACACTTCTCACAGGGTTGGGTGATATGATATCCGATCACATTGCCACTACAATTACATATGACGAGCGTATGGTATAAGGTCAAAGTAAAGAATAAGTAGCTAGAAGACGTAATATTTGTACAGAATGAATGGGTGAATGCTAAGATTCTGAACGGTCCCTCACCAGACAAGACATGCGGTATCCTTGATTCTGCATAGGCAATTGGTTGGCTTGTAATCTGGCCCTATTAACTCCACTCTACGTCGGCCATTCAATAAAACCTCTTGTTTACATGCAAGTTGGCATTCTTTTTTTCTTTTTTGATAATAATAAAACTTACGATTGAGGAGTGTAATCTGTGGATAAGAGTGCAACGCTCTGGTCCGCCAATAGTTGAGCCTGAAAATGTTAAGAATATTAAAGCCATGGTGATAGTTAGCAACTGTTACCATTTTTTCCTTATTATTAAAAAAAAAAAAAAAAAAAAAAAAGATACCTTCATACCGCGCTCACAGATCAAAGTAGTGCAGAAGTAGCAAGCCATTCGAACAACCTCCTTCAGCCCTATGTTATTGCGCGCCCGACTTCCTACCAAACTATCGCGCCATGAGTAAGAGGCCCATCCGGTTGAGCTTGATGAAGGAGTCCAACCACCTGCTTCTGCTCGTTCTACTGTCTCAGAGTATATGGTGTTACCCAACCTTTGGGGAAGTCTCGGTGCAACTTGGTCTCTTCCCGTAGTTGGCTGACGGTGATCGCTATGTTCACTAGGGCTCATCGGACGGAACAAGCTCGAAGGGGGCGAAGCAGGTGTTGAAGAGGTTTGCTGTGGGTGGCTAAGGGCGTGTGGATTAGTGTAATGTGAAGGAATAGGGATGTGGCTGCCGTGACGATGTACTGAGGTATTGGCCTGGGGGGCTTGAAGGCTATGAACTCTGCTCTGCGAGTGAAGCGGGCTAGATTGTGGATTTGAGGTACCAGCTGCTGGGACAGTATGTGGAACGACTTCATCACCAACTGTGGTCTCTTGCCATCGACGATGGCTCTCCAGTTGCCGTTGTCGATAGTGCTGGCGCTGGCGTTGCACAAATGGATTAGTCCGATGCGCCAGAGACCCGTAAATGGACCAGCCCCCTTGGCCACCCCCTTCTTCTGACGCTCTCCCTTCGTTCTCCAAATTGTCCATAGAGTCGGTTAGGCTTGCCCTTGCCGAGCTGAGTGGTGTTGATGAGTTTAATTGGGAAGGATCCTGGCCTTGTTGCTGCTCCAAAGCGACATCTCTACCAGTGACAAATGGTCTGTAGGAGCCACTAGTGTTAATATTAGAGTTTCTGAGAGAGTGCCCAAGTGAAGTTATATGCGAGTGTGCGCTGTCACTGGGCTGGTAGGAAGGCGCGCCTGAGGACCTGCCTGGTGGTGGTGAGGAAAGTACTATGGCGGACTCGGTCGAATGGGGGAAATATGAAGACGAAATTGTTGGTCGAGGATCAAACTCTAAGTGATAAGGTCCTTCTATCGGTGGCCGTACGGGCGTCCTCGACTCTGTAATTGGCTCATTACTCGCACCTGGGCTAGTAGGATCGAGACTTTGGCGATCTATGCTCTCGATACCTATCTGCTGGTCATATGGTACGTTTATTTGGCGGCTTTGCCTCTCAAACTGCCTCTGGTTATGGATCATGATGTGTCGTAAATCGTATATATTGTCAACGATGCTTTCTGAATGCCTTGCATTCTCGCCGTCGTCCTCGTTAATCTGGCCACCTTGAATTGCGTGCGAGCTTTGGGCCAAGGTTTGGGTATGATTAAAGAGCCGAGTATCCAAAGTACTGTTTGGGTTCCTAGATGTATCGCGAAACCGGGGCTGTGGATGTGACACATGAATGTTGGATGCGGCTCTTACGAGGAGGTAGTCATCATTATTGATGTATGTTTCGACGACAGGGTCTGAGGATGTATCTCTTTGAGTTGAGCGCACAAACTCTGAGGATTGAGCCAGGAAGTTAATCCCTGTTAGGCTCCTGTGATTAATACTGCCATCGGTATGGTCAACACTACTTCGTCCACTGGTGCCAGTAGAGGTACTCGCAGGTGAGGATAACTCTAAAGAGTGAAGACCGACAACCATGTCATTATCATTATAGTGATGTTGCTGGTGATAGCTATGACTGCGATGGTGATGACGGCTTGAGGAGCGATGGTGTTCATGAGCATTGCTCTCTATCCCTGGAGGATCGATGACAGCATATGATCCGGTCACAGGTGAGTATGAGGGATGACTTCTGGGCATGGTGAAATCGATAGTTCGATTGGCTCAATACTCTAACGGTAAAGTTAAAAAAAAAAAAAAAAAAAAAAAAAAAAAGGAAGGAAAAGGCGAAAAGAAGAGGGTAAAAAAGAATGCCTCGAGCTAGCCTATACAGAGAAGAGTTTTAATAAGGCACTCACAGTCATATTGGGCCTGGGAGTACGAAAAGAGAGGTGAATGGTGATGAATAGGGTTCACTCCAAAGTCGACCTTGACAATTTGAAGATAAAGAGATGAAAGAAAAGGACAGAAGATGGATCTGTTTGTGTGAGGGAAGAATGACAATGACAGCGGCAAGCATGGCCCACCTGAAACCACACCAACAAAAAAAATTGCGAATGCTGTCTCTGCTATGAACAAGGATGACCGAGACATTGGTGTCTTGTCTTGAATGATCGCTTGTCTTTAACACATTAATAATAAGTTTAGTTGCTTGTAGTTATATGGTTGCTGGAATGTGGGATGGAAAAAGGATAGAGCATTACGTGTATAGTTTCCCGAAAAAACTTCTTGATCTGCAAAACATCAAAGTAAGCTCCCCCATTATTTACTTTAAGGATAGAAAAGCTAGCTCGAATGCTATGAGGGCAAAAGTGGTATTGGTTGATTTCATTTGAAACTGGTACAAGAGAGGGCGATGACCCCTACTGTTGACGTTGGTATTTATTTCCAATCCTCAGTGCTGGCACAGGTGAGCTGTGCAGACGAGAGGCTGCTGGTATGACAGGCTTGCACTTGTGAGATCTCTTTTTAAAGAGATCTGAATGAAACAAACGCGATCGAAGCAGGGCCTGATCGCTGAACAGTATTTCGAGTGTGGATAGGCAGCCTTGAGGAAGCTACTACATGAAACGCAGGGGAAGTTACACACTGCTAAAGAGACTCATGGACAGATCAAGAGATTTTATCTATTCGAGCTGCCTAGCTTGAGATTCGTTTTGACGCCTTGTTCTTGCAGGAACACCTTTTTGATCTTTTTGTTCAAGCTTCTGAGAGGCCGTGTTAAGACGACCTGCTCGGTATGTGCCTTCGGGTTAAAAAGAAAAAAAAAAAAGTGAGAGGTGGTGCGTAATACGCAAAGTGTATTTCACTAAATGCCTATTGGACAGACCAAAACATGTGGACGGATACGCGTGGCTCAAAAGCACGCACGGTGTCGATCTGTGCGCACTCCATTCAAACCCTTTTTCTCCCATTCATTAACACCACACATGATATTTAGTATTGAATTTTATTTTTAATAAATGGAAAGATACCAGCCAAGGCCTACTTGACTACACCAGTTTTGGATCTGATATGACATCTTTCAACGTGCTTGAGCAGGATTTGTCCAACCTGTTTAGTTTCTTTTCTGGTCGCCGACAATGACATGTAAGCCGGTACATGTAGAACGGTGGCATTATCCACTATGGATTATTTGTTTCCTCTGAATGAAGATGAATGGCACGGATTGTCCAAGAGACAATAACGATGTGTTATCCTGTTCTCTCTTGATGGAGCACGAACATTCGCTTTTGCTTCAATCAGAGCGCGTTATTGCGACTGTACTGCAACTGCCCCCTTCTGTAAACAACAAAAATAAAAGAAATAAAAAAGCATGAATCTTTCGACTGTACCTTTTTGCCTTCTTCCCCTCGCCCTTACCGTCCTTCTTCCCCTTCCTTTCCTCTCTCTTCTCGCTTTTTCTCACTCTCATTTGTTTCTCCACATTCATACATCCATATTCTTATTCATATTCATATTCATATCGACTACCCATCCTTACCTACTGACTCCTCTTGCTCTCCTTCTTTTTCTCTTTTCTCTCTTTCTCTCTCTTTCTCTTTCTCCACTTTACATTTTTCAAACTCTGCCCTTGTTTTTCTTTTCATTGTCTGGCCTTCCTTCAATTGAATGGAGACTCAATCGAAACAATCCTCCATTCTCCTCTCCACTACTCTTTTTACTACTTGTTTCTCTCTATTCACCACTGTTATCACAGTCATTACAATTGGCTCTCTCTCTCTTTTCTCTTTTACACTTTGCTCTCTTCTTTTCTTTCTTTCTTTCTTCTTAAAAAAGGAAGCACCATCATCCTTGCCCTTTTTTTCTATTTATTTTTTTTAGCCTCATTTGTCTGACAAAGAAAGCACAGACAATACTAAAAAAGCATATTTATTCACGCGCACACTGACATATTCGCTTCATTATACATTCCTCTCCTCATCAGGGCATGTCAATGCCTTGCCAGTAACCTTCACAGGACCTATAAACAATATATATAACATGAATTTGAATACCCCAGAAGACGCATCAGTAACAGCAGCAGCATTGTCCTCTCACACTGCAAATGAACAGCAACAGCAGGAATCACCACAGCAAGCACATCCACAGCCACAGAGGCCGTTGCCTCAGCAACAAGGCTCTTCCCGAGACCTCGCCTCACAATCCTTCCCCCAACAGACGAATCAACCCCGTCTCCAAAGTCAGCCCATCCAAACCTCATCCTCTCCTCCTCCACTTGATGTCGTCCCTCCAGTTCAGACCTGTGCCCAATGTGAGCTACAGATGCAAGGGTCTTTTGTCCGTGCATTAGGCGCGACATACCATTTGAACTGCTTCAAATGTCTGGTAAGCATTTTACTACAATGTCTCCCCTTCGTACTGTACATTACCCTCGGTTGCTATTTTTTTTTTTTTTTTTTTTTTTTTCGTGTTTCGTGTAGCAGCACCCTTACTGTGATGACCAAGAAACACTATGTCAGGGACCAAAAAACAAAAAAAAAGAGCCATTCATCAAACGCTAAAACCCTATGTCTAATGTTACTGTTTTGTGATAATGTAATGATGCGCGCCTTACCTCTTTTAGGATTGTGACCAGATTGTTGCCTCAAAGTTCTTTCCAATCACTGAACCGACTGGGAGACAGTATCCGCTTTGTGAACGAGACTACTTTCGTCGTCTAGGCTTAGTCTGTCATTCCTGTGGCGAGGCATTGCGCGGGAGCTATATCACCGCACTTGACAATAAGTATCATATTGAGCATTTTACATGTTCCATCTGCCCAACTGTCTTTGGACCACGCGACTCTTACTACGAACATGATGGCAAGGTTTATTGCCATTATCATTATTCCATTTACTATGCTGTCAAGTGTGCGGGATGTAGGACGGCCATTTTGAAACAGTTTGTTGAGATTAACCGTAATAGTCAAGATGAACATTGGCATCCAGAATGTTACATGATTCACAAGGTATGCCCAACCTTGGCTGGTTGGATCCACTCACTATTTTATCAATCTATTGTTTAATTGTTTTAATTGTTTTAATTGTTTTAATTGTTTAATTGTTATTTGATTTGATATGTGCAACCTTCACTGCCCCATTCAACACTTAATGGTCAGAGCTCACAACTTCATTGGGCGCTCATTTGTTTCCTTTGAAGACAGACGGCGCAGAGTTATCTCATTAAGCAAAGTGGATACTTGATTACATGGAATAGTTAATCAACCTGTTTTTTGAACAATGACACTGTTTGCTTCCTCTATTTTGTTATCGCCATGAGCCTAGTATTGTTTTTATTTTTTGCACAACCCTAGTTCCCTTATATTTTTATTCTACTACTTTTGGGTTCTATGGAATTCGTTTTAGAGCCCAATGAATGACATAGCTGGCATCATCTTGTGGTACCGAAAACAGGAAAAAAAAAAAAAGATCTGGGTCTTTGTTCATTAGAATAACGCAACCTTACAGAAACCTAAACATTCAAAATATCAGTAATAACAATAATAATGACAATAACAAAAAACCATTGTGTTCTTTTGTTTGTGCACAAATTATAGTTTTGGAATGTCAAATTGTCATTTGCGCCACAAGGCGAAGATGATCAAATACAGACGCCACAAGTACAAGGGCAAATCGAAACTGCGGATAGTGCAGGGGGACGGCCGAGCTTAGAGCAAAAGACACCAGAGGAGCTCAAGCGTGCTCAGCAGCAAATGGAAGAGAAGGTGCTTCAGATCTGGACAGTACTATCAGGATTTGAAGAATCTTCTGCAGGGTGCATTTCAGATATGTTAGTCCACGTCTCAGATGCCGCATATTATGATGGTGTCCAGATGGCTGAGAAGTTTATTCTCCATGTCGAAATCCTTTTTAACGCGATCGATGACTTGGAGGCGCAGATGAAAGAGGTCGGTGATCAAAGTGGTAAGCTATATAATGTGTTACTAATCTGTATTAATAAGCGCAGATCGTCCGTCCATCCATCTCTTCACTTCTCTCTTCTAATTTGGATAATACGGTTACAAACTAAAGATGGCAGGTTTGCTACTTCATAAATCTGTGATGGCGATACTAATTCTATTTATATATTTTGCGTCCTCCAACATCAACCAAACTCAAATAGATCTCGAACACGGTCGGCAGGCCAAGATGCTTTGCAAAAAAATCGTCAATTTCTTTTCCTTACTCTCTTATACTCAGGAAAGCGGCGTACGAAGGTTGGGTATGACCCAAGAGTTGCTCTCACTCGTCACTGGAATCGCTCATTATCTTAAAATCTTGATTAGGATTGCATTAACTCGTGCCTTTAAACTGGAGCGACAATACAATTCGACAACAGTTATTGCTCGGTTTGTTAGTAAATTGACAGAGCTCGGTAGTAGAGATAAACATCTTCAAAACATGCATGGTAAGGGCGCCATGGATGCGGAGGTGACGTCAGATTTGTGTTTATCATGCAGGATCACCATCGAGGACGAGTGTTTTACGTTTGATCACCATAATCGCTGGCATCCCAATTGTTTGATTTGTTCCGGGTGCACTAAATCCCTTGCGCCTGTTTATCAAGAGGCTTCTTTTGATACCCGAGGCGGCGCAGTTCTCTGCCAGCAATGCAAGACCCCGGATGCACAAATCGGGTTTTCACATGTGACAAAGCTGCAGCAATACACCTTTCTTTTGCGAGTCGCCCTCATCAGGCTGGAAAACCTGTTGCATCTAAAAGGTATATGTGTTTTGACGCCTTTAATCATTATCTTTGCTTTCGAACACTTTTGTTTTGCACATGCGCTTTCCCTTCTCTTGCAAACGTCTAATACCCTACCTGCTTTTCCTCATTGATATCCTAGATGACGATGGAATGCAGGGCGCAATAGAGTATCGAGGACGCGAACTTCCAGCATTATCGCCCACAGGTGCTTTATCGCAAGGTCTCGCGAGGAAAGATTCACGATCAAAGACGCAGTCACCAGAAGGGAGTCGGACAAATGAGGCGATTGCTTTCGGAGATATTAGACGCGTAAAATCAACTCACCTTGACAGGGATCTTTCCAATTCTGCTCGCTTCCCTCGCAGACAGACTTTGATTGAGCATCAACGGAAAAAACCAGAGGACCAAGGAGGCCAGCATGGGAAAAATACCATCGACCACGATGGCAACGCACATCTGTTGAGCGAAGCTCTTTTGGAATTCGAGATCATTGATGAGACAGAGATCCTTAATGATGCCGAGGAGCGGGAACAGATGGATGGCCAGAAACCTAAGGCTCCAATGACGCTTTCCAGCCTCACAGAAAAGCTTAGAATTAATACATCTCTGAAGCGACCACCGAATGGATCCAGGGTGCCTGGATTAGGTAATAGGCAAGAATCTCAGATATTGGCTGGTGGTCCAAGGAGTGCGGATGGATTGCGTCAACGAAAGAGGCAATACTTGAGCGAGCTTTCCGCGCTTGAGCTGTTTATTGTCCAACACATGGCTGTATTGACCCTGGCGCCGATTGTTGCAGACTACTTTACACTTGAGGAGCTCTTGGATCTCATAGGCCAGCGCAAACCTACATTATGGGGCCGCTTTGTTAAGAACCTCAAGACAGAAAAGAAGAAAACAAAAGGTAAGAGATACGCATGAGAACAAAATCAAATATGGGATTTCTGCAAGCATTAGTGCAAAGAGAAGCTGAAGGATAGTAAGTAAACTTTTTTTTTTTTTTTTTTTTTTTTTATACTGGTGTATTAGCCGAGGGAACGTTTGGCGTCCCTTTGGAGGTGTTGGTAGAGCGTAACGGTGTCGATTCGTCACTTGGTGCAGGTCCTGGTCGCATTCGTATCCCTAGTTTCATTGATGATAGCATTACGGCTATGCGCAATATGGGTAAGCAGATATGTGACTTTCGTATTTCATGATCATACTTGAGATGGGCTTTGAGTAAATTGCTCAAGAGAACACTAATTGTAAAGATCTCTCTATACGGTTTCTATGGTACTATGAAATAGACATGTCAGTGGAGGGTGTGTTTAGAAAGAATGGAAACATCCGTAGACTCAAGGAGTTGAGTGAGGCCATTGATAAGGATCCAGGATCAGTGAACTTTGCTGACGATAACCCAGTTCAAGTCGCAGCGCTCCTAAAAAAGTTTTTGCGTGATCTGCCAGATCCTTTGTTGACATTTAAGCTCCATCGTCTGTTTGTAGTATCTCAAAGTATGTATTCTCTTTACCTCCTCTTATTCTTCAAAGATATTTCAATAGCAAACGGTTGTGCGCTCTATTTCGCTATCTCATTTTTTTTTTTTTTTTTTTTTTTTAAAAAATGACTCGGTAGAAGTGGAAGATCCAGCAGTCCGGAGGTTGATATTACATCTAGCTTGCTGCCTGCTACCAAAGGTTAACCGTGATAGCATGGAGGCGATCTGCCTCTTCTTATGCTGGGTGGCAGGATTCTCACATGTGGATGAAGAGACGGGCAGCAAAATGGATCTCCATAATCTTGCTACTGTGATCACACCAAACATCCTCTATTCTAAATCCAAGGACCCTATCAAAGATGAAAGCTTTTTAGCAATTGAGGCTGTAATGGGTCTTTTGGAAAACCAAGATGATTTCTGTTTGGTGAGTGAAGAAAAAATGAGATAGGCTAGATGAGTATTGCAAAGAAATCAATCGATTGGTTTCCTCAACCCAAATTTCTATTTTTTTTTTCCCTAGGTCCCCGAGGATCTGTCGTTAATTTTGAATGATCAAGATTTATTGGAATCGTCAATGGATTTGTCTTCAAAGGATATTTTGAAACGCTGTGAGAACTTGGTCCGAGCCCAGGGCAAGAAGACGAACATTACAGCAGGGACGGGGATGGGGCTAGGAGCAGCGGCTGCAGGGGATTCTCATCTGGATTCTGTCAACGCTAATAATAGTGCACTTTGCGGCAACCATGGTCAAGATGAAGGCCATCACCCAGGCTTGGACATTCGTCACCAGTCTTTGCCTGTACACAATAATGCAAATTCGCGTCAGCAGTCGGCTCCATTGTTGATCCAACAGCCACAACATCATCAACGCCCCCATTATAACAATGGTATACACGGCCTATCGACATCTAATCCATCTCCATCCTCAACGTCAATGGGGCCAATGAGGATACCAGAGCGGCCGCAGGCCGTATCTGTTGGAGGAGGAAAAGGAGCGACGCCCATGTCGTTATAAATTTTATTTTTGTTTAGTGCATCCGCTGAAATATGTTAGACAGAGTGTCTGTTGTATTTTCTTATATTCTTTTTCTCATGTATCTCTTGATATCATTTTCGCGATTTTTATTCTGTAAATACATGTATATCCTTTCAACTTTTTTTTTTTTTTTTTTTTTTTTTTAATGCAAATTTGCTTCTTGAGAATTAAAATGTATGGCAGGTGAAGTTGATATCTAACCAATGGCAAAGACGTAAGGTGAAATCGAACCGAATTCAATAAACGAAATCTTCCTTGATCTCCTTAGAAGACTATTTTCCTCTTTCACTTGTGGCTCTTATAATTTGCAACCTCTCATAGATAATGAAATGACTAATTTATTTCGCCACTTGGCGGCAGCCTTTTATTTATATCTCTGTAATGGTCAGATACTTTTGAAAGATTTCCTGGAGGTTATAGATGTCTGAACATTTTCGGTAAGGGTCTTTTTACTCAGGAATGGGTATAATTTGTTGTGAATGTTAATACAATATGTAAATCGCTCCAGAGAATAAAAAAAAAAAAAAAAAAAAAAAAAAAAAGAACAAGTCTCCAAATATGGCTATTGTTGGCGAGTCAACGAAAGTTTCTCACCTTTATGGCTCCACACATCTCAGACAATCTTCTAACGATCTTGGATATCCTTCTCTTGCTTCGTTTCAGCAATTCTCGATGATTCCAAGATACAGAACTTGTCGCCTGTTTTGAATACCACTACTTCGTCGAAATAGGAAGGGTATTCCGCCATCTGGACTCTTGTATCTTTGCCAAAGTTTTTTCTCCAAGGTACTCCAGGCATAGGGACATTCCCTACTGATTTCACCATCCCAACTTGTTTAAATGAGCTGGAGATATCGGGCGTCAGAAAATGTAATGCAGCCCGCTTCTCAAGAGGCTTTGCCCTTGATTGGTAGTAACCTTTGCTAGGCACCGAAAAGGCTATTTTATTAGAATAGAAAAGTGGAAGGCAACTTCAGCAGCAATGGGGCACAATACCATGAGTCAATTAGAACCAACAGGACGTGAATTGATGTGGTCTTATTAGAATTTCATCATGTGATGCTTTTGTGTTCCCATTCAAACTTCCCACGGTAGCTCCACAAAGATATAATAAAATTATGGTATATTTGTATATATAATTTGTATTTATTACGAAAAGATAAATAAAAGAAAAAAAGAGAAACAAGGTTGTTGATGAATATGATTGAGAAACTATACAAACAACAGTAAGAATGGATGGAAGTCGTGAGTTTTTTTTCTTTCTTTCTTTCTTTCTTAATGATATACAATGCAATGTAATGCCTAGGAGTTGTGCTTTTTTTTTTTTTTTTTTTTTTTTTTTGGACGCGTCGTCTTTTTTTGCTCCTTCATCCATTTAGGAGCAGGCCTTCCCATCTATTAAAGTGAAGGTCTATTTTACCAGCCTCGCTTGGCGTACAGTTGATCCTCAGGGATTTCCGAGATGTTGATACCGACCATTGCTTCACCGAGATCTTCCGAGACCTCAGCAAGGACCTTAGGGTCTTTGTAGTGGGTGACAGCCTGAACAATGGCACGGGCACGCTTAGCCGGATCGTCTGACTTGAAGATTCCAGATCCAACAAAGACACCATCGCATCCGAGTTGCATCATCAAAGCAGCATCAGCGGGAGTCGCTATACCACCAGCAGCAAAGTTGACAACAGGTAAGCGACCCAACTTTGCAGTTTCCTTGAGCAAATGATAAGGAGCCTGGATTTCCTTAGCATAGGTGAACAACTCCGAGTCATCCATCAACTGAGCCTTACGGATATCGGCCTTGACAGTGCGGCAGTGGCGGACAGCCTCGACAACGTTGCCGGTACCGGCCTCTCCTTTGGTTCGAATCATAGCAGCGCCTTCGTTGATACGGCGGAGAGCCTCACCCAGGTTCTTGGCGCCGCAGACGAAAGGTACTTTGTGCTCATGCTTGTTGATGTGGTTGGCCTCATCAGCGGGCGTCAAGACTTCGGACTCATCAATGTAGTCAACGCCAAGGGACTCAATGATCTATATGAATTTTTATCATTGGATTGAAGAGGACAAATTGAATCAGTATGCAGGCATGCAGGAGTACAACAAAAGGGAGAGGGTTTTCTTGATCATCTACCTGAGCCTCGACAAAGTGACCGATACGGACTTTTGCCATGACAGGGATGGAAACGGCGTTGATGATCTCACGGATCATCTTGGGATCGGACATACGAGCCACACCACCTATTCATATGGTATAAAAAGGAGGGAAGAAATGAGTCAATATATTTTTTTTTTTAAATGTAAGATCGGATCTAAACATCCATCTTGAATCATAAAGAGTAGATCAATAATGATGTGATTTAGGACAAGAATGCGATTGTTATTGTGGACAAGGTACAGCGTACCGTTCTTGCGAATGTCAGCAGGGACACGCTCCAAAGCCATGACAGCGCATGCACCAGCAGCCTCAGCAATAAGTGCCTGCTCAACATTGATAACGTCCATGATTACACCTCCCTAGAAGTTAAAAGTAAATTGTGTAATGGGTCAAAAGGCAGGTCAAAAGCTAATGCTCCTGTCAAACCTTTTGTCAGGTCTGTCTGTCTGTCTACTTGTCTCTTTGTCTATTTGTTAAATTTCTTGAGTTCTGTCCATATCTACGTCCAATTCTACATCCACATCCACATCCATATCCATATCCATATCCATATCCATATCCATGTCTTTTTTTTTTTTTTTTTTTTTGGAGCTGAAACTAATGTAACTGTATTAATCTGAACGTTTGTATAGTATGTAGATTTGGATGAATGATTTAGTACCTTGAGCATCTGAGCAAGGCCGGCCTTGACATTGAATGAGGCGACTGCAGGAACCTCTGATGTGGCAGAGGCAGCCAAGTTTTCCTGAGCAGGAACCAAGTTGGTAGGGGCGGCGAAAGTCATCTTGTATAAAACAGGGGAGAATCTGCAGAAAATGAAAAAGAAAAAAAAAGAAAAAAAGTTATAGCAAGGAGCAGATAAAAGGGCGAAAGGAAGGAAAATAAAAGAGGTTGTGTACCTGAATAAGTTTAGACAAGAAAGTAAGAAAGAAAGAAAGAAAGAAGAAAAGAAAGAAAGAAAAAATTCATCTCTTATGAGAAGGGAGTACACAAGCATTTATATACTTGAATGGGTCCCTATCCTCAAAACAACTGTCCATTCAACACTTGTATGTGTTCCAGTAGCAGCAACAGACAATCGATGTAATGTAGTATAGGCCTAGACATGTCTATTTGCCATTGTGCATTGTGCTTGTTGCTGTTGCCCATTACTGTTGTTTTTAATTTTAATTTTAATTTTAATTTTATTTCACTGAGTCAATTGGAGAAGCAAGTCCGATTTCTTCCTAATTTTTTTTTTTTTTTTTTTTTTTTTTTTTTTTTAAAAAATAGACTCGGTGGAATGAATTCACCTTAACTTTTTTTATTTTTTTCCCACCTTCAAAGACATGCACATACACAGCGAGTATCAAGGAGATCCCTGGATGATCTCTTTGTCATCGCTGCGCCGTCATTACTACCTTTTCCTCTAAAGATTGGATTTATTTATTTATTAGCCTCCTAAACCCCTTTAGCAAAGAAAGGCGCATTGTCATCCTTCTTGACAATTCATGACTTGTGCTATTTTTCTTTATTTCTTTTGCTCGATGACAGAGTATGACTAATTTTCCTCTATTTCTCTCTCTCTTTGAACTTCGCTTGCGCATCTCGATTGAGCAATTTGATCATTAACCTCTAGATTTTTTTTTTTTTTTTTTTTTTTCTTCAGCGCAGCAGGAGTGACCAACTTTCTCGTTGATCGTTGCATATTTAGCAAACTCTCTGTATTGTCCGTTTCCTTCTACCATTTTTCCACTTTCAAGAGACACGAAGCCCTAATGCTCCATGGGTTGGTCAACAAGTCAATACAGAGTGAAACCAAGTAGGCATATTGATGGGAAATGTGTGTTCCATTCTACCCCCTTTCCCTAGGACGCGTAAACGTCAATCTCCAATCTGTGTTTAACAGAAGAAAATTTCGGAGCCATACTTAAAAAAGCATATTCCGACCAAGTTGAAGGAGATCAATCTGTTTAAACATGGTATAAACGCGTCCTTCCCTAGGCTACTTTAGATGATCTTCAAGAACATTCAATCCACATAAACTATCAGTGTTGGTTAAACTGTGGCTTTTCCAGAAAAAATCACGCCAGGAAGTATACATGGTCGCATGTCTTGTCCGACACCTTATTGTCCTGACTCTGTCGACCAATTGAAGGACGGAAACAAAAGGGAGGAAGTACACGTCTTTTCTGCGAACCCATTTCACCCTCCTTCCCTCCCTCCTTTCCACAAGAAGCAAAAAAGAAGAAGAAGAAGAAAAAGAAAGAAAAAAAAAAAGATATAAAGTATAAATATATATATTTTTGAACATATAAAGCATGGCCTCTCCCTCTGCCGACAAACCCACCTGGGGTAAGATATCCTCCCTCTTTTGACATTCAACCAACTCGACACTGCCATCTCATCTATTTCTTGGAATAATTTATTTCCCCATCTTTAAAGAAGGAGCAAAGCATCCATCCGATGAAGCGTTTTGTTAATGGTCTGACTAAAGTGATGTGATGAGCTATGGACTAGCAATATTCTTTTTTAATTTTTAAAGGGACGCACAACAGCATTATGCTTAATTTTGCTGTGCTCTGTTCCATATTGTATTCATCCATCTGTTCTTATTCATCCTATTATATTCTGCCAATAGCCTCATGCTTTTGTGTAAGGATGTGGAATGTAATAAAGTACATGGACAACGCGAGTAAAAAGATTTTGTTTCCTAGAGCATCGGAGAATGCATGTTGTACCTAGATAGGATAGCAAAGCTTCTTACTAAATGCAGTTGATTTACTGCCATCTCAATCACACACACACAAAAAAAGGAACCAAGCATCTGCAGCCCTGCATCTGTGCATCCAATGGCTGGCTGGTTCCTGGAGTCGCTTTGCTTATTTATTTTTTATTTTTTTTTTTTGGTTTGCTTTTTTGATCTTTCTTTTAAACTAATTTAATATCCAACCCAATTTCTATACTCGTCTCCATTCGGGTTCTTCATCTCTTCCTAGGCAAAGTACTCCTTGCTGGTGGTGTCGGTAAGTATCTGTATCGGATTATCGCTTAAAAGTCTTGAATGCATCTGATATACTCCTATAGCAATCTGACAAGCTGGCAAAACATGATTCTCCTTTTAGATTGGGACATGATTGGTCGTAAGCCTAAAGCCGGCGAAACGCGCGAGATCTTGTAGGCACAATGATGTGTCTTTGCTCTAGCAGTTGGTCAATACCCATTTACATCTATTCTCATTATCAAATTGTCTTTTTTTTATTTTTTTTTTATTTTTTTAACTTGTTGTTGAAAACAAAAGACCTCATCTTGAAACTTTCCATATTATTCGTGAATTGACAGATTTGAAGTAAGGGTTTTACAAACTTGTACATTTTTTTTTGTGATTATTTGATTATATTCTATGGTCACACATGTTATTCAGGTCATCAAGTCATTCACAAACCAAGATTCGCTGGCCTTATTTTTACTTTGAAAATATTTTTTGTAGGATTGTCAAAATTGCTACTTGCCCAAGTGCTGCTCACAGTGTCTTCCTAACAGGTACAGGGGCCTCGTCTTACTTTATACACGTTGTTTCTATACTTTACATTTCTTACCCCTGTTTCTTCGTCTTTCATATCTGTGTTTTTAGATGACGGTGATGTCTGGGTCCTTGGACGGTAATGATCTTTTTCTGGATTGCAGCCGCTTTTGTTGAATTAACTATAACAATGCAGCATCAATTTGTAATTAACGTCATTTTGGATTATACTATCGATGCGAAAAAAAACAAAAAAGTAATGAAAAAGGTCAACTCGGTGTTGGTGACACAGACCCTCATCCTTTGCCGCTCAAGGTTCCTACCATCTATGCCACACAGGGAAAAAAGACTGTGAATCTCAAATTTGTGGATGCAGCTGTAGGTCGAAACCACACCATTTTAGTTGCAAGTAATGGATCTGTCTATGGTGCAGGCGACAATAAAATGGGTCAACTTGGGAATCCCAACCACAAAGACCACTCATCATTCGTACACGTTGCCAGTCTCAAAGAGAAGGCCTCCAAAGTTTCCTGCGGTACCGAGTTTACAATGATTTTGTCGGAGAAAGGTCAACTCTGGGCATTCGGATCTCCTGAATACGGTCAGGTAAAGTTTTTTTTTGAGCTAATTGTACTCATATAAAATAGGAAAAAAAAATCCTCCATATGTATTACTGGGAGTCATTATATTCTAATGACCTCTTTATTCTTACTATTCTACATCAATGATCAACAATGGGTATCAGCTCGGAAACAAAACCAACGGCCAGTACTTGCAACAGTCTAATCGCCTTGTCCATATCCCTCAAACCACTCCAGGTAAATATATTTGTGCCAATATATCTTATGGTTGCATCATGCATCATTTAAACTTTCTCGGCTCGTTGAGTTATGCCACCTTGTCTCACGATCAATATTTCTTGCTTATTGGAACACAATAACGCCAGTGCTGGTTGCTGCTCTTAAGGACAAGATTGTTACGCAAATAGCCTGCGGCAACAACCACAGTCTTGCACTGACAGACGGCATGGTTTACAGTTGGGGCTTTGGAGGCTATGGTCGTCTTGGGCACTCAAAGCAGGAAGACCTGTGGAGCCCTGTGGCTATCGAGCATTTTGCAGGCTCCAACAAGATCTCTAGGGCCACTAGGGTTGCTGCTGGAAGCTCCTTCAGCATGGCTTTAGATGGTAGGTTTTTTTTTATTTTCTCTCCGAAATCCTTATTATTATTATTATTATTATTATTGTTATTATTATTGTTATTATTATTGTTTGTCTTTTGATCGGAATCCTAATTCCACGATATTGCATTCATGGACATACATATGCACATAAAATGCGCGATTGCTTTAATATGAAAAGGTCAAAATCAATTTTGGCTTTGGGGCAAGTGGAAGACTACAGGCGACGGCGGTGGAGGAACACCATGGATGTATCCTCGCACATTGTATGACCTTAATGGGTGGTCGTTCAAGGCTATTGCTGGAGGCAATGTCACCTTATTCTTACTTCCATCTTCAGAGCCCTGCACAATTGCCTGGGGACAGAATGCTCTTCATAGTGAACTGGGTTATGGTGAGGGTGAGGCTCGCTCCTCGACCAAGCCTGATAAAGTTCGTCCACTGGAGGGTCTGACCATGCTAGATGTATCTTGTGGTCTGGGCCATACACTTTTGTTGTGCAAACCCGGTCAAGAAAAACTGCAGGATATGCCCAAGTGGCCTGTGTTAGATGTTGAGGAGCACTGCATTGAGTGCTTGAGTGCGGAGGATGAGGAAAGTATGTTATTGTGCGATAAGTGTGACTCGGGAACACATCTCAAGTGCACTGTGCCAAGACTTCAGGCCGTGCCCGATACCGACTGGTTCTGCCAGAGCTGCACGAGGGCCAGAGAGATGAACAGGACCAAATCTCTGGTGGATGATGACACATCCAAGTCTTCAGCCGCTAAACGCAAGGCGCCAGCAACAAAAGGCGCATCCAAGAAGAGCAAAGCCAACCATGACTCGGATGAGGAGGACGAGGGCGATGAATAGTAATTTTACTCCAAAACTCCGGATAGACGCTGTCGTAATGAGACGGATGTTAAGAAAGATTTAAAAAACGCAGCTTTTAAAGGCATTAAAACAAGAAACTTTTATTCAGAACTAGAAAAAGACAAACATGTAGTTCCTCATGATAAAAAAAAATATATATATCTATCTATGTAATAAATATGAAAAAAGAATTGCATCCATTACTCAAACTTGGTATTGACTATGAAGAATAGTTTCTGAATATTTTGATCCGCAGGTGAAATGTTGAACATTTTTGTTCGTAAGAAAAACATCAACTTTTTTCTTTTTTCTTTTTTTATACAAATGCATTGATCTCTAGAGACAAAACAACAAAAATAAATAATAATTATAAAAGAATCTATCATTTTATATATCATTTGAAATCATTTTCCAGTCAGTCCGTGCTTTAACTTATTAATTTTTTTTTTTTTTTAATTATCAACCATTCTAAACACCAAGGCACACCCATCATCTGAACCAGTGACACAAGTCAAGCCATCATTTGTCATTGCAAAGCATAGGACTGTATCCTGATGACCTAGCCAGAGCTTGACATTTTGACCTGTTCTTGCATCCCAAACTTGAACGGAGCGATCTGCGGAACACGAGGTGATCAAGGGTTGGTTCTTATGCCATTGTAGTTTGATGACAGGTCCCTTATGTTCACACGTGGTGCGAAGCTGCATAGTCTGAACATCCCAAATGTTCAGTCGTCCGTCCAAAGATCCTGTAGCTGCCAAATTCATGTGATCCGAAAATCCAACTGTTTCTATTGCGTCCGTGTGATTTTCGAATGATCCTAGGATCTTTTTTTTTTTTTTTTTTTTTTATATATTATATTAATAAGGAAAAAAATAAAAAAATAAAAAAATTCGATAAAGGTTAAAACATTGCAATCCGATTTGATTCTGCCATACTACAGGCGAAAAAAAAAAAAAAAAAAAAAAAAAAAAAGAATTGTTTATAACTTACGGTTCCGCTGTGAAGGTTGATAAGTTTCGCAGTTCCATCTGCAGATCCAGTCATGGCAAGGGAGCTGTCTTTGCTGATGGCCAAGCAGGTGATGACATCACTATGAAAACGTGCGTCCTCTGAGGTGATACGATGGATCGCTGTGGCAGTCTTGGGATCCCAGACAATCAACGAAGCATCCTCTGAGACTGTGACGATCCTCTTGCCATCGGGGGTAAACATGCCGCTGGTGACAGGGCCTGAGTGACCATTGAAAACGTTCATAAATGAACCCGAAGGTACAGCCCACATCCAGACCGATGAATCAGTTGCTCCTGCCAGGATGATATTGCCCTTGGGATGCCAGTTAATCCACTATGAAGTGATAGAATAAAAGAGGGCGGAGGGAGGGAGGGAAGGGGTTAATATTGATCGGAAAAGGTTATGTTTTCATAATAATAAAGCGCGTTTATCATTCGAGCAGATACATACCACAACCTCATCAGGTCCTTCAAGTTCGCAAACAAACTCGCCTGTCTCACTTTTCCAGACACGGACTTTACCATCCATGGATCCACTGGCGACATAAGTACCATCGACACTGAAGCCAACCTGTGTGACCGAGTCGGTGTGACCTCCAAACTCGTACAGTTGTTCTCCATCATATAATCTCCACAGATAACTCTTGTCATCTCCACCACCACTGACAGCAATGTTTTGATGGATAGGATGTAATGCGACATCATATACTGGCTCTGTTGATTTCATAAATATAAAATAGAAGAGAAGGGTAGCTGGTCAGATAAAGTGTGATGTACATGTACAAATAATATGCCCATAGTCATTGACAAGGCATAGATACTCTTAGGACTCTTACTATTACCATGCATTGGAAAAACAAAGAGTGCTTACCTTTGTGGGTAAAGAATCCTTGAACAGAGTCATCATGTAGTTCGACCATTTCATCGTCCACAAGGTTACCCTCTTCATCATATTGTTGGGCACTCTCTGCATTTTCATCCTCGTCCTCATCCATCATATTTCCTATAATAAAATGGTATAAAAAAAAGGGAAAAAAGGCAATGCATATTCAGTACAACAATTGATGTTAGTTCAGCACTTTGTTACTCTTAATATTAATGTTTTATTATATTACCTTCACCATCCTCCAGAATTTGGACTTCGTCAACCTCATCGGGGTCCAAGAATTCCTCATGATCACTGTCATGTTGTGTTGGTTCCTGCTAAAAGAGTGTACAATGTACAATGTGCAATGAACACCGAGAAGAAAAATAAATAAGTAAATAAATAAATAAATAAATAAAATAAAATAAAATAAAATGAAAAGAGATAAGATTCTGTTTGTTTGTCGTTTGCTTGAATATGTTTTTTCTTGCAAGTAATGTCATTAATAGTATTGTCTATCACTGATACGATGAAGTGGGGAGAGGGTAACGTACTGCGCTAGACATGGGTATGTGTATGTGTTTATGCGGTATATGGGTTAATGAAATAAGAGGGAAGAGAAAGTGGTGAGGAGTGTGTTTCTATTGCTTTTTTTTTTTTTTTTTTTTATTTGTTTGCACAAGATTTTCACCGTCACTGGTATTATTAATGCGATGAACCGCAGCTAAATCAATCACATTTCGTGCTCCACAATTTCGACAAAAGCAAAGAAACAGATCGAAAGACAAAGACTTTTTTTTTTTCCTTCTTTTTCTTCTTCTACTTTTATTATTGCCAATGCACCATATGTACCAGTGATAGCGTAAGGCTGAAAGAAGGCCGTAAATAAGGATGCTGACCAATATCAACATATTATCACATGTAGTAAAAGGATAAGGATCTTCCTTGTTCTAGCTTCCACTTGATTGGAACCTTAGTCCCATTCGTCATACCCACCATAGTCATCGTCTTCCTCCACTTGAGTATAGCCAAACTGGGCAGTCCATGATTGTGCCGGAGCATCTTCAACATCAACATCGTCTTCATCTTCAGCAATTTCCTCTCCTGCCCCAGTCTCGGATGTTGCCTCTGCTTCGCGTTCTGCTCTTGATCTTGACTTTGGTGGTTGAATAATCTCGTCCTCATCTTCATCCATCACCTCAGAGTTCCCTCGTTGAATCGATGATGGGCCTCCAAGAGTACGCTGTGTTGATTGTTCGCGCGACGCTGTCCTGCTGCTTGTAGGTGTCACCGAAAACTTGTTGACAGATCCACCTTTGCTCTTGATCATTCGACTGACTGACGACAAGCGTCCAGGACGAGCAGATCCTTCGCGACTAGGCGGGACAGATGATTGACGTGATCGAGAGGTTGGTGTCTTGACAAAGCCTGGTTCTTCAAAGACTGACTTGACTGGCACAGGCGATCCAAAGTCGATTTGCACGGGTTTGGTATCGAACAGATCATCCATAGTTTCTAATGCTGAATAGTTGATCTTTTTTGATTTCACACGAGGTAGTTTTGGCTGAAGGATGTTCTTACCAGCTTCTGCTGCCGATGACGGTGGGCCTAAATTATTACGCTTAGTTTTCTTACGCTAGATACCATTCCATAGTTTTTTTTTTTTTTTTTTTTTTTTTTTTTAAAAAAAAAAAAGAAAAAAAAAGAAGAGTAGGGATTAGATTGCGAAATGAATCTAGACAATTAATAAAAAGATGATTTCAAGCCCACTTTTTCACTTACTCCCTTTTTGTTGTGGTAGATGCCCATCTTCTTCTCTATTTCAATACGTGAGCGTTTGGCCTCCTGTTCTTGAAGATATTCTTTATTAAACTCCATCCAAACCTGTGTTTTGATCTTGACTTCCTCCTCGTTCAAAATAATGCTCTCAATCTCTTCATCATCCACATCATCCAGTTCCTCAAACGGGATTAATTTACGTGCCTCGTCCTCAGCTTGAAACGTTTTTCCAAAAAAAAAATAAAAATAAAAATAAAAAAAATAAATAAATAATAAATAGCCATCGTTAGTAAATATGCTTTAGATATAGAGAAATATATCGACATGGAAAAGGAGGATAACAATATGTTACGGTACCATCTAAACGTGCCTCCTCCTCACGGATTAGCGGATTCTTCATTGCAGCACTTAGTTCTTCCTCAACTTCTTCTTCAAGTACTTCATCCTCCTCTTCATCTTCGGCTTGTTCGTCTATCTCTTCTTCTCCCTCCTCTGCTTCTCCTTCTTCATCCCCATTCTGGTCCTCAGTTTCGATTCCCTCTCCTTCCTCATCTCTGCTTCGCATTCTTTTCTTATTAACGCGATTGCTATCGGTTACTACATTATGGTCCGGATTATTATGACCGACTGTTGTTTCTGTTTCAATATGTCCAGGCTCTGTCTTATCATCGTCTTCTCTGACCTGTTGCAGGTCGACTTTTCGAGCCCTCTCGCCTCGTCGCACTATCTCCTGGTTCACCTCATCCTGTTCCTCCTCATCATCTCCAAATTCCCAATGAAGTCGCTTCCTTGATTTTGTGAATGAAGGAGGGTCGGCTGCATCTTCCAGCCATAGTTCCCTGAAATCTGAAACTGTAAGTTGACCTGAAGGTGTTGCTGCAAACTCATCCAACCTAGTAAGATAAAAAAAAAAAAAAAAAAAAAAAAAAAAGATTACTATCAGTAGAACAATAATAATAATAATAAATAAATAAATTAAAATAGAAATAATAACAACAATAGCCTTCAACTCTTACCGTTTTCTCAATGTGCTTTCTCCAATTTTGACGACTTGAATGATCTCCTTCTCTGATCGTCTGTAGTGGTGCATGCGAGCAGCGATCAAAAGACAGGCGCCACAGATACCAGCTGGGCGACGACCTGATCGAATCCAATCCCGATCCATACGTGAGACTAGGCGAAGTGCATCGTTTGCGATCCGTTGAGTATCTTCACCAAAGTCCAGCATTGTTGCAAAGCGTGAAATATAGAGTGAGGGGTCGACTAGTGGTAAGACAATATGCAGCTGCTTTGTGAGATGAAGAAATGTAACACCCAGCTTGAAAACATTTAACTGTCGGGCAAGTAAAAAAAAAAAAAAAAAAAAAAAGAATTGGGCATACAAATATGATTAATTTGATAATATCATGTAGACTCCAAATTATAAGCGGTTCAAATTAAATCTTTACCTGGAGTAGTTCTGAAAAGTCAATAAGCATATGGGTTGTTCGTTCTATCCTGCAGACAATGTAAAGACAACAAGCAACAACATGCTCACTCCTGCGTCCTTGAATAAAGTTATTAGTGATGGCGAGGTTGAAATAACGTTGTGCGGATTCTGCATGGTGTTCGTTCAGTTTGAGTGCAACTGCCATGGCTGTGATACGTCTTCTAGCTGCATCCAATGTCTTTTCTCTTGACTCCTGACTGGTTTGTCTTCTTCCTGGCCCGAGTGTTCTTGCTCCAGCTATACAAATGTATTATATACAGTTTTTTTATATTTGTTTTTGTTGTTATCATTTGCAAGTTCACAACGGAGAGAAATGGAGACATATCGAGAATCAAGAATAAAGTTGACAATAGTATTTTTCTTTTTTTTTTTTTCTATTTCTTTCCTTACCTTTGCCTTCTCCGACAAATGTTCCTACAACGGATGCTGCTCCACCACTGCCTTCATTAAATGAGATCTCTGCAATAATAGTGTTTTCTTCCAAGACCTAATGCATACGTATTATTATTATTTTTTTTCATTTTTTTTTTAGTTAGTTCAGTCTTGATCCGTTAATTGTAGCTTTTTAAATATAGAGAAAAAGAAAAAAAAAAAAAAAAAAAAAAAAAAAGAGGTCTGGATAAGGACTTACAGCACCACAGTTTGTGCACGTGGCATTTCCCTGACCAGCATCATATTCGATGTTATTTCCACCACAATGGGGACAAGCCATGGTTGATATGATAATATGGATATTATGAAGTGATAAATGTTTCTAATAAACCTTCGATCAACAGAGGTCTTTCTTTTAAGAACTTGGGTTTGTTCAAAGAGTGAGGATAAAGTAATATGCGAAATAAAGAAATAGATATGCAACAGAGTGAAAGTGTGGTAAAGGTGTGTATGTGTCTATATAAATGAAAGGGTGCGTTAGATTACAAGTACAATGAATGATGAAATTAGGTGAAGTAAGTTGGTTCAAAGTAAGAAGAATGATCTTTTTCTCTTTCTCTCTCTCTCTCTCTCTCTTTTTTTCTCTCTCTCTTTCTCCTCTTGTTCTAGTTCTGCCTCAACCGAGTTTTTGAAGTCGATCGTTGTCCCCTGAAAGAATGAGAAAAATGTTTTGTTTGGTTCGAAACTCTGGTGGCGCAGATAAAATGGAAGAGAGTCGAGTCGCTTTTGCTACAAAATAACCAATTGCTATTGCTTGCTATGCTTGCTTTAGTTTTCTTCTTCAATTTTTTTTTTATCTTTTTGTCTTTATTGTTATTTTACTTTTTGACAACCGGATCTATATTCCGGATACTTATACAAACAAAGAAGCAGCATAATAATATTGCTTAGTCTTTTTTTTTTTTTTTTTTTTTTTTTTTTTTTCGTATGTGAACAACAATGCAAACAGAATCGCTTGTTAATAGAAAAGAAGAGAAAAGAACGAAAAAAGTAGAATGAAGAAGGGTATGATGGGTATGCATAAAAAAATACAACAACAAGAACAAAAGATACAGGGAAATGATACAAGGGCAATAATAAAAACAACGATAACAAATGAACAAATTCATGATCAAAATACAAATAAAATAAAATAAAAAAGCAATTAAGATGCTCGCCATTGACGATGATCCGTTAGCGGTGTAACCATGACACGGATCATACCATCATCCTCTCGACGGCCTTGAACGTTGCCACTCAACTTGATCACACTCGTCTTCTTCTTCATGACACGCTTGGACCGAGGATTAACTCGTCCACTGTTAATGGGTATACCTCCACTCTCTGTCAAATCAAACGTAATTGCGTTCTTGGAGACCGGAATCCTAGGATACTGACCCAGTGAAGACATCGGTCGTTGGTGCTCCATTCGGTTGTTTGACACCTGAAGTCCACCATATTTATTGGCGTTGCTGTTGTGGTTCCAGCTATGTTGGATGCTGTTGGGTGGACTGTGTTGAGGACTTTCGTAACTATAATTCTCTATTCCCCGTGCGCGTGGCTCGTCCATATTAGAATTCGATGCCACCAATGCTGACAGCGCACTTTTAGTGCTCACAGGTGCATAGTTGTCGTAGATATTGCTGCCATAGTGATCTGCATTGCTCCGGTTGCCCGATACATACTGTTGTTGATGCTGTTGGAGCCGGAGCGATTTGGCGTTCTGGAATTGAAAGCTTTTCTTTTTCTTCAAAGTTCGTTCTTCCTGTCCTTTCTGCTGCTCACGTTCAGCTGTTCTCAAAAGTGATTCAAAATCCATCGTTTTGAGGTCTGATGGTGTGGAGGGAGAAAAGTCTACAGTCGCATCAAACTCTCTTGGTTGAGAACCCGAGGGTATAGGGTAACCATTAAGGGTTTGGGCATAGTACGCAGAATTCGCTGTCATGGTAGAGGCTGTGCTGAAATTCTTCAGATGATGAGGGATGAGAGTGTCTGCTGAAGTGTGCTGGCGATGATGACTATATTGAGCAGAGGATTGCTGCCGGTGGTGCCGGGGCACGTCCGGTGATTGTGGTGCAGAGGATGACACATCTGACTGTGGTGTGCGTAAGGATGAAAGCCCGCCTGTACGAGTGCTTGGGAGACCTTTTGTGTTCAAGGCAGGTACAGATAAACGAGGCTGCTGTGATGAGGGCCTCGGCTTCCACGAGACGACCTCTTCCATTGAAAGGACATGGCTAGATTGACGAGGAGGTGAAGATGCTGTGGAACTGGTAGCAGAGGCCCCAACTGCTCCAGGAGAGGTACTAAGGAAATTACGGCCTGCTTTTCGAGTCAGAACAGGCGATCCATTCCTAGATGCCCTTGGACTTTCTCTGCCGTTGCTGAAACTGCTGCCGACACGACCACTGCCATTGCTTCGATTCATATCCCTCGTACGGGCAGAGAGAGACAGAAGCTCAGGAACAGTGTCTGAATCTGCATCTCCCATCGACATCTTCCTTCGAGACAAACTGTCTGTGGAGCTAGACTCACGAACCTCTCCTTTGTCCTTGGATTCGTGGGCTTTAGAAGCTGGCGGTGTCCTGGGACGAACAAAGATCTCCTCCATAGACATATCAGCATCGCCGGTGTAGCCGCTCATCGCATCCTCCGAGTCAAAGCCCTTGAATTCATGATCAGTATCCATATTGTTCACTGAAGATGTCGTTAGACGAGGCTGTCGCTTAAAGTTGAACAACCCAGGGACCGCCGAGTTGTTTACGACGGCTTGTGCATGATGAATATCCGCTAGTTCAAGTGTGAAGCTTGTGAAAGTATGGGTCACATGTGCAGATGCAGCATCATCATCTAAAAAGTGTGGAGGACGCAATGTCTTGGAGGGGTCCATGAAGATCGACCGGACAGTGCTGCTTCTTCGGCGTCGACGCATGGCCATCTCAAGTGTTTCACGACGTGATCCAGGACTTGTGACGGTGGCTGAAGAGGGCTTGGGAAGTGTAGTGGCTAGTAGGCCTGGATGAGTAGAGGTGTCCAAAGAGCGTGATCGGGTTGAGTTGACGCTTTCAGATCGTTTAAGACGGGTAGCTTGGTCTCCAGAGTAGACACCACTATCCCTTTGGTGGGTCAACTCAGGGGGGGACAGTGTATCTATTTGATTCTCTGCGTTCTTTTGGCCTGGCGTCGTCTCGTTTTGGTTCTTGTTTGAAGCTTGGTTGCTCCGACCGATATGAAGAGATCTCATGATGTTTCTACGCCAGTCTGAAGGCTCCCCAGAATTCGATTTGGCCATTTTATTCGGCTCCTCTTGTTGTCGCCTCTGTTCAATCGAATCCTGATCTTTGGGTCGTTTCTTAGTGTTTCTTTGCGGAATTATAAATCCACCTGAAGGGCTAGTCTGGATATTTGCGTTGCTATTACCACTACTGCTGACATTCTCTTTTATTCCGCTCTTGACCTTGTGAGGGAGCAAAAATCGCTTCAAGGGTCGCCTGTTTGAGCCGTCTTGTACCCTGGCACCACCATCAGCAGCAGCAGCAGCGGCGGCGGCCCTGGCTCTCAATTTCTTCTGCTTCTTGAGAGGGAGCTCTGCGAACTGAGTGTAATCATCATAGTCGCTAGGCATAATGATATCAATGGATTCGTCATCAGAGCTTGGTTCCTCTTCATTATGAAACTGAGGAGCTGAACAAAGCTGAGGCGAGATCATGACGGTGTCAAAATCGGGATGTGTATCCTTGGGACAAGGGGTTTTTTCCTCTACCAAAGAGTTGGGTCGGCTGTTAGCATTCCATGGTTGCAGCTTTGAAGAGGTACTAGATTCAGGACGAACGCGAGGAAAAGTCCAAAAGGGTCTGGCGAGTTTAATCATTTGGCCACTTTGCTGAGAGTCTGGTGTAGTTGGAGTAGAGGGGGACTGAGGTTGTTCAGTTGGGGTATCAGGAGGAGAGTTGGGAGGAAAGTTGGAAGTGGAGGAAGCAGGGGCTGCTGCTTGGGCTTGTGCCTTTTCTCGGAGGTTGGAAGAAGATTTTATAGAAGCAAGAGTGGTGTTGACTCGGTTTTTGAATTTAACTCGCAATGAAGAGGATGATGGTCGGTTGTGAAGAAGACTAGGACGACGGGGTGCTTCAGAGTCCTTCATGTCAATGTCATACAGTTGCTCCTTGTTTTCCCCAGGGGTTGTTGGTGTTGATTCGATGTGAGACATCGAAACGGACGTAATATCAGAATGACCTAGGTGAGCGCTCGAGCCCTGCTCAGGCGAGCTCAGTGGAACCCCATGGCTGAGCTTCGTGGGAGGAAGGACAAACGACGAGGAATTTGAGGCGGAAGTCGCGTTGTTTGTGCTGATGCTATTATTACTTGTCACAGACGATGCTCCTGTTGTCCCAGCGTCAGTGGCATTGGCTCTGTGTGGGATACGGACATTATTCAAAATGTAAATATTTACAAATAAAAGGGTGAAGGTGACACAAGCATCGAAACGGGAAGCAGAATGGAAACAAAACGAGGTCAGTATGATACTCGGGTAACAGGGGTAATAATAAAAACAAAATAAAAAATAGCCTAGCCTTTATGATATCAAAAGAATTATTTGAAAACAGCCCATTATCTCATATCAAAGCATGGAAGGACACAACTCGTTTGTTTAGAATGTTCCCAATGGATGACTAAACACGCAGAGGACAAAATCATAAAGTCCAAAATAACAAAAAAGTCGCAAAAAAAAAATTTTTTTTTTTCTTTTTTTCTCGAGAGCATTTAGCGGCTTCGGGTCATATGGTGCATGGGAAAGGGTACCGTCAGGGACAAGAGAAGGGAAAAATGTATAAATATATATCTGCATAATTGGCCCATCATTACATACCTCTTTTGAGACAAATGCTTGTCCTTGAACTTGCCAAATGCCCTTAGGAACTTGGATCTTGTGGTGAATGCGTCTGCCGCATGTGCTGACTCTTTAGCCTGGCTATCGTTCTTATTGGTTGCAACAGGTGCAGATGTGGAGGAGGAAGGGGCTTCAGGAAATGACGGGGACGAGGGTCTTGAAGTGGTCGATGCTACAGCCTGAGTCTTTGTATTGCTGCCCTTCGTTTGCTGGCCAATGGTCCATGAGGTTGTTGAGTTATTATAGAGATTTGAAGGCATACGTCGTAGCGTTTTGAAGGTGAGGGGTGGTTTGCGAGGCTCTGATATTTGTTCACGAGGAATGGGTGATGATGAGGATGAGGTAAGGGTGGATGTAGTGTTTACTGGCTCTGGTTGATTATCTGTGGGGCTAGCTGCAGGAGTTGTCCCCATAGCAGCAATTCCTCTCTGAGATGCTCCACTAGTGCCAGCCTTGCCTTTTCCTTTGTTGTGAACACGCGTCTCGTTTTTAACTGGGATGTTCCAATGCCCAAAGATCGTACTCGAGGTTGATGTCAAGATATTCTTTGATCGCCGTTGATGATGTGGACGTGTTGATCTAAGAAGTTTAGAAGGCGCTGCTAGACGAGAGGCTCGTGTCTTATTGTTCTGTAGCCAGCTCAAAGGATAGGTGGGCTCAAGGAGATTTGAAGATCCAGGGAACGTATAGAGCGAATCTGAGTCTGCGGATAAAAAGTTTGAAGGCTGAGGAAACATCCGGCAAGTGTTCTTTCAAAAAGAAAAAAAAAAAAAAAAAAAAAAAAAAAAGCAGGATGTTTGTGATAAAGTAAAAGGGTCACTTAAACCAGGTCTCCAGTAAAGGGCTGATGCTGAGGCGAAACAAATAGCGCACGCGTAGACAAGATTCCACAGGAGCTGGAGTATAAAGGAAAAGAAAAAAATGATAATGATAGGGCGATCGCTGAACAAGTGATAAAGAAGAGAGCCGTAAAGTGATCCTAGGATGAGAATGCTAGTTTACAAAATGTAGTAAAAGTTCAAGTCTTTGAGCAGGTGGGATAAATGAATGATCATATCTTCTTTTTTCAGAGTTTTTGTCTTGTATGGATTCACGCGTCCTTTTTAGAAAATATAAAAGAAAACAATAATAAAATGATTTGATGTCAAGAGAATGAAGAAGAGAAATGATCAACAAGATCTAATCGATTGATCCCATGAAAGAAAAAGAAAAAAAAAAAAAAAAAAAAGAGCTGGTTGCTCCAAGACAATTGTTTGTTGCAGGTTTTTTTTTTTTTTTTTTTTTTGCTTTATTTTTTTTTTTTCCCTTTCGACATACAGCTGCTCACTGTGGAAATATTTCTTCCCGAAGGCTTATGGTTGCATGGAATAGAGAAAGAGAAAAAAAAGGGCATGTAAATAAGGTCTATACGAAACGGATGGGATGGGAAAGGGGAAGTTGGGAAAAAAAAAAAAAAAAGGAAGGTTAAGTTGGATTAATGTGGGTTAAGGCACAAAACAGACAAAAAATAAAGGTCCGCTTGACAAGGAAGGTTGATTGACCATTGGAGTGGGCCCAATTAAGGATCAAGGTTAACAGTAATGCATGTATTCATACCGCTGTATACTGGCTCTAGCCTCCTGTCTTTTTTTTTTTTTTCCTGTTGTTGAATAATTGCAGGCACTCCGTCTGTTAGATTGGGCTATTACAGACTGCACTCCAGTTCGTTACCATTCCAAAGGGCTAACTGGGAGAACGAAGGGAAAGATGACAAGGAGTAAAAGGAGAGCCGACTTTTTTTTTTTTTTTTTTTTTTTCCAACCATTACATGCAGTCTCCCCATACTGCATTCAAAGTACATTGGTGGATACATGCGAATTGACATGGCGATTCTCGAACCGTGCGGATGTTGTTTGTCCTTAAAAGCCCAAAATGTCTGTTGTGGCGGGTTACTTCATTGTTATTCTCTGTTGATAGTCAAATGGAACGACAAGTTGATTCGGATGATTGATAATACGTACTCCACAGAGGCTTCTGGCCTATTGAATTTAAAGGCAATGTGTTGCTCACACCTTTGGAGGAGTCGCGTTATCTACACTTCCTTGATGCAAACGTATTATCCTACATTCCATTGGTTTTTGTTTTGATTTCAATCTGATGACCGAGTTCTAAAAATGCTGGATCCCACAACTGCCTGGACGCTTCTTTCTGCTCTGTTCTCCATGATGCTCACAAAGACAATGTATCCCTGGATCCTGTGTCGATGCCTCACCTGATCACGACTAGCTGAGGGTCTCTTTCTCTTTAAGGACAGGGCACGCATATTTAGTTTACTTGTCTCCTATTCCCTACCATGTACAATCAATGAATGACCGGGACACCGTGCGTAGCACAATTCCACGCAACTTGGAAATGTTTTTTTCTGTTCCTGAGGTTAGCATCAAATTTCGGAATAGATGTCCATTTGAGGTTCACCATTGATTTCTGATGCGCCTTCCCCTGTCCTGTCTTGTCCTGCATTGCAACATCATGGTATATATCGTAAAAAAAGCAAGAGCGACCGTTCCATAGACTAAGAATAAGGCAATAGTGGAAGGCAATAATGACTGATTCCGCATTGTGTTCTTTATAGTTGAATTGTTTGTAATACACTTGACCATTTGGCCAAAGAAAGTATAAAGTACGGAAAAATATTGTACTTTAAGAAGGCCTGAGAACAAAGACGATGACGCCACAAAAGGTAAATGCATTAAAACTATGAATGGTTATGTATGGCGCCGCTGGTTTTTGATGAATGGGGTTCCCGAACGATCAGGCAATTTGTGATGCAGGATGATATGAGAAAGCATTGCAGAGAAAAGAAGGGATGGCATAAAGTAGAGGAAAGACAGGAGAGAAAGAAAAATGTGGGAATGGTCCATGCTTTTATATCATTTGCTCTATGCACTTTCCTCCCCAGTGTCGGTTCGTCATTGCCCATTATTTATTTATTTTTCTCGCCTTCAATTGATACGACGAAGAGAGCGCTGAGCCTGTAAAAATAGCGATAATGGAGGTGAGATGTTCTATTCAACGCAGACTATCACGATGGATGGGCTCGTCTGATGAATTAGGCCAGAGAGCCTTTTCAATGAACAAGTTTTAAGAGAGAAGTCATCCGGAACATGCCGTCGATAAGTGCAACGAGAGACGGTCCGCATACCGGTTCCAGTTATAGTCCATATTATGAATGAAGGCATTGGATTAGAAGCTGAGGTCACCACCCCGTATTATACTAGCCAGTGACCGGAAGGGGCACGAACATTTCGAGCCAAATATGGGTGACAAAGTAAACTATCCATATTTATATCGTTATCGCTCCTTCAAGTTGAAAATAAAAAATTTACAAAGCACAAAGGCATGCATGGGCAGCAGATGCAGGGACCAACGGCTGGTGTGAACTGAGTGGTGCAAGCAGTAACATTCAAGCTGAAAAAGGTCTCAATGCCGTACGGATATATCTGCATCATGGACATAAAAAACACAATGTCAGCTTGACACCAAATGTTCAATAAAGTTAAATTCTCTTCTAGAACTACAAATATATTCGATAGAAAGCATGAAGTTACTTTTAATCAACTGGATAAGATGATACATTCCTCCACTATTGTAAATGTATGACTATGCAGGTGGAATGGAATGTTTTTTAATGGCATGGTATTTGTATACAAACATAAACACGTAGCCTCCTAACCCTCCACTTTTCTCTTCTCGACAATAAAACCGAGAGATGAAACGAAAACCAAAAAGCAAGAAAGGACTGAGAAAAAGATGAGATGGGCGTCGTTCTTTTTTTTTTTTTTTTTTTTTTTTTTTTTGCGAGCCAGAGCGTGGCTTACATGTACTCCTTGGGTTTGTGCTCCCAAAGTTCCAATGCATGGATACAACGGACTCGTACAGCCAAAACTTATTTTTCATAATCTTGTTTCTTTCCTTTTCTTCTCTTACTCTTTGATCGATCTTCCTTCTTCCACTTCCTCTTTCTCTCCTCTTCCAACTTTATTCATCTATTTGCTCGGCAGAATCATGGCTGCACAAAGTATCCCTGTCCCCCCACCCAACTCTAATGGCAGAGCTCCTCGCTGGACCCAACCCGTGTCTTTCTACGGTCAAAGTGTCTTCAGCAAGTACTATGCTCATTCCCTTTGTGCTTTCTTACTCTTGATCCCATTCTTAGTCATGCCTGTCCAAGCCCAGGCTGGCCAAGGACCTATCAATCAGAACGAATGCGTTGCAAGTTATGATGCTAACATGGATTACTTTCCTGATAAGATTCAAGGCAAGTTTCTCATATCAGTCGATATCTGTATAAAAACGTTTTTTGTCCTATTTTTAACGCCACCATATTCTCCTTGTGTTACTCAGTTGATTTGGCTTCTCTGTTCGAAGTGTCGTACTTCAAGAACTACAAGGTCCTCAAGAACTCCAGTTCCAACCAGACTTTTGTCCTTACTCAGTGCGGCACCCCTGCTCCCAGCGCTTCTCAATTTGGTAACAATACGGTTTTCTTAAACGTTCCCGTCAAGAACGCGGCTTCACTCGCCACTACTGCTGTTGCTTACATTGAGATGCTCGGCAGGCGCTCGGTCTTGAAGGCCGTCGACACAGAGGGCCTGGTTAGCTCGCCATGCGTCCAAGGTGGTCTGGACCGTGGCGAGATTGTTGGTCTCGAGAACAAGAATCTGACTAAGCGCGCAGAGCAATTCAAGGCTGTGGACCTCGTCTTTAGCTCGTTCGGCCCTGCTGAGACTGGTCTCGAGAGCAAGACAGTGATCACCTCTGAGGTAGCAGACCCCGGTCCATTGAACGTAAGTAATAAGCAAATGTTTATGCTCTAGAAGCCGTTGGAGTCATGGCAGAATCAAAGTGTAGAGAGCCACGCTCACAATCAACTTGGACTGTCTCAAAGAGGAATTAGAGAGCATTCTGCTTTGATCTACACACACGCGGTCTAGACAAAGGAAGGTCATGAGACCAGGCGGGTTTTCGGGCACCTAAAGCATCCATAGGAGACCAATATTCTCAACGATCGCGTAGATTTCTATATGTATCGAGTGCATACAACAAACCTCCAAGTAAACCAGACTTTGGGGCGCTTCAAATAATATTAGTTGCATTCTAATGATCCATTTCCTTTTGCAATCTCATAGCGCGCTGAGTGGCTTGAGTTCTACTCAACCTTCTTTAACCTCGAGTCCCAAGCCAACAACTTGACTGCAACTATCAACAACAACTACGACTGCTTCAAACAGGCCGTCAAAGTCAAAGCCAACAAACCTATCATTGCCTGGACTCAGTATGAGGCTCCTGCTGAGTACAACAAAAATGTTGCGTCGTGGACGTTTTCTCCTGCTGCTTATAAGAGAATTATTTCGGAGGATGCTGGCGCCATCTTTTTTAATGGTACCATCACTAACAAATTTACCGACGCAGCTGCCTTTGCTGAGGCTCTCAAGGACGTAGATGTATTGATTGACGAGACTTTTATTGGGGATGATATTGATGCATTCTACAAGAACTATGGGCTTAGTCCCAGCTCCCCTCACAAGTTCATCCAGAACAAGGCTATCTTCCGTGAAGATGGTATTGTTAATCCTAACAACGGTCGAGACTGGTTCTCGGGGGCTGTTGCCATGAATGATGCTGTCCTTCAGGATGTTGTCCGTGCTGCCCATCCTGACGCTCTGCCAGTTAACGTCCCCTATAACTGGCTCCGTAACATTGCCAAGGGCGAGAGCAAGCAGTTGCTGACAAGTGGCGACTGTACTGCTACTGACTCCAACTCCCCCGTTCCCGACCGAGCTATTGTTTGCACCGCCATGAAGGTTACTAACGATGACGGCAAAGGGGGTAATGCTGGCTCCAAGACTGCTACGGGGGCCTTTACCGCTTTCCTCAGTCTCTTAGCTGTTGTTCTGTCTCTCTAAGAGGTAGATGAGAAGTTTTCTGTTGGACTGCTATAGATTTTGCCTCTTTGTCGAATAAAAGCGGATTTTTGATATGAAATGATATTCACCTGTGTAACATCAACATGTCTCTTACCTCCATAAATGACAAACATAAATGTAGTTTTATATTTTATAATCCCCTGTATGAAGGGGTAGTGCTATCTCTTTCATTCATTCTCATTCTCTTTCTGCTCCACCCTAATAGACTGACCATTATACTCTTCTAGTCATCTTATCCATGACCTCGCCTCTTGCAAGAAGTACTAGCTCCATCTCGAGCACTGACATGGAGGCGTACGTGTGACATGAATGGTGGTCCATGCTCAGCCCTGATTCGAAGTTCATCAACCCCTTCTCCTTTCAAGTTTCCTTGTCTTACCCCCTACCCTCTTCTCATTTATTTTATTATTATTAATACTATTTTTTATTTTTATTTTTTTCTTTGAGATACTTTTGTATTGCATTGACAGCTGACCATGACTATGGGCATTTTTTTTATTCCTCTATCTTTTTAATTGCTGCACGCTTAAATGATCCAAATTAGACTATTTGCAAAGATACACAAAGATCAGGCTTCACAGCTAGAGTTGCTCAAACATACAAAGCGTGCTATGGATAGGACAATAGCCTCCAAGGACAGTTCAGATATTGGTGGACCATCAACAGCTAGCCTGGTAAGGAAAGTCATAGCCTATGGTTTGTCTCTTAATTTATCGTATATGACTGTTACAGGATGTTTTGAGCCAGGCGAAGCCCTGGCCTCTTTGCATCCCTGGTGGCAAAACAGAGCAATAGCAGACGAATGATATCGATGATCATTATTTTTTCCTTTTTCCTTTTTTTTTTTTTTTTTTTTTTTGTTATTATTCCAGTCGTTCGAGATCTTGGGTGAGCTACTTGAGGAGATTGTCCTGGACGTTGTTTCAGAGGCTCACCGCGATGTCAAGAATATGCGATCTATTTGTTCTGTTTGTAAAACGAAGTACGTGGCAATGACTTTCCCTTTGGTTTGAGAGCTTCAGACGAGTTATTTATTAAATTATAAAAAAAAAAAAAAAAAAAAAAAACTCATCAATCATGGTTCTTTGGCGTCTCAAATTTCATTCAAATATAACAAATAGGTGTCGAAGCTACGGTAACAAAATACTCTGAAGCAAATATCAAACTCGTTTATTAATCTTGATATGGGGAGTATACAGTAGTTAATCAGTTTGCTTTCACCCTATAACATCCGCGATACCTTTACAACTGTTGATCTCAATAGTGATCCGAGCCGGCCTGGATATTTTTGGACAGAACCCTCAAGCGAATAATTCACAGACATACGATTGTGTTCATTGTCAACGCTCATTCCCTGCACAACGATATGCTCCGCATCTAGAAAAATGTCTGGGATTGTCTGGTCGATCCTCCAGTCGTGCTGCTAGTCGAAGGTAAAAAAATGTTATGCTCAACCGTGAACTTATAGTTCAATGTATTGAGTTGTGCTTTTTTTTTTTTTTTTTTTTTTTTTTTTTAAAAAAAAAGGATTCTTTGTATTACGACTGACTAGATATTACATTTGTATAGGATGGGGGCGGGCGAGAGAGCTGGATCGGGATCACCTTTCACTCCAGTGAGTTACTCTGATGAACGTGATGCTAGTGACTCTGACAAAGACCTCATTGAAAAAAAACGTAAGGATCGACTATATACTTTCTGTTCTTTACCATCATTTTCCACCCCTAATACATTCTCTTAATGGTTTAATTTTTTATTGCTTAAATATATGAATAATCAGGGAAAAAGAATGCTTCAAGTACTAATGGCTCGCAAACTAATGGAGGCAGTGGAAGTTCGTTAAATGGAAGCGATTATGGTGCCTCCAATCTTATAAAGGTGAGTCCATATTATGAGGTTGTAGAGTGTTGGGTTGTTAGTTTGGTTAAGAGTCCTTAGCTACTTTGGCAATTTATTTTGACCTCAAGGCGCTTCATAATCCTATATGTAGTCTTCATCCTCGAATGCTTCAAAAGCCAAGAAGCAAAAAAGCGATTCGTCAGATTACCCGTTAAAAACGCAAAAGGTAACATCTTTCATTTTTCCCCCTCTTTTTCATTTTTCCTTTTTTTTTATGTCAAACAGTGAGTATGATCTGGTACAAATTTGAGCGGTGCACGTCGATAAGCGCTAAAACTACATCAACCTATTTTGAATGGTGATTAAAAAGTCATCATTGCTAGCAAAAGGTAGGTTGATTTGGAGAAACGCCATGCGTAGTCGTCGCTTTTTTTTTTTTTTTTTTTTTTTTAGTACCAAGCGTATCCTAATTTTTTCTTTTTCCTTTTTTTTTTTTTTTTTTTTTTTTTTTCTTTTTATGAAATATTTATGATAGCTTCCAAAGGGAGTAGCTCTTCAAAACTGAAAGGGCTTGGTCTTCACACACCATCCTCAGTCTCAGTTACCCCTGTTGGTGAGATTTCGCTTGGATACCTGGATGACGATCTACTTCTTGCCAATGGCAAGAGTCTTCAGAACGGTGCAGGCAGCAATAGTAACGTCAATAACATCCTGAGTAATGGAGGGAATAACAGTATCAACAGTAATGGCAGCGCATCTCAAAAGTTGTCTAGTTCCAATTCAAAGCGAGGATCAGGAGGCATCAGCTCATCCAAGCGCCCTCCAGGATCTGGGTCTGGTTCAGGTTCAAGCAAAAATGGGCAAGTTGCTTTATCATCATCGTCATCCTTTTTTGAGCGCTTGAAGGCTATTGGTAGTCGTGATGGCGCGAGCGACAGCAGTGGTAGTGATGATGATAGTCATGACGGAGACTATCGTAAAGAAAGCGGAGCGAGAGAGAAAAAGGAAAAAGAGAAATCCGGGAACCGTGGCAAAGGCAGTAGTTATGCTGGTAGCGCTGGTACATCATCTCAACCCCTTCCTCCGGTTGTTATTAGACTCAAGAAAGCGTCTGCATTTACAGGTCATGGTTCGGATTCTGTCGACACAGATTTTATTGGTGAGTAGCTGGACTGTATTACAGCGTCGGAATGCGCACGAGTTGATGGTTGACTAAAAGGAAAAAACTAACGCTTCGGTCTCTCTCTCCTTAATAGACATTGATGGAGATGGAGACGAAGATAGCATGGATATTATGCCAGCACCCAAGAAAAAAAAGCCCTAGATCTCATTGCGATGGAGCTGCCGAACCGAAATATTAGGTCAACGACCCATTTCCAACTCTCCAAAAAAAAAAAAAAAAAAAAAAAAAAAAATTTTTTTTTTTTTTTTTTTTTTTTTTTTTTTTCCTACACCCACCCTTTGCCCAATGGTATGCATAGACTTTACTGATACCACATGCTGTACACTGCAAAAAAAAAAAAAAAAAAAAAAAAAAAAAGATACTGACCATGTCTGTTTTTACAGTTATCATCTGTGTTAATCAACCTGACATTAATAAACGACATGGAAGAAGTTTTTATTTGTTGCTTTATCATGATTGGTCTCCACTGATGTTAGATTTAATACGTTTAGAAGCCCTGGCTTTATTGCGAGAGGCAGACTTATGCTTACGCTTGAACTCTTGAGTCATAGCATGTCGCGTCTTTTCCCAATGGGCATTTATTTCCTCCCTATTTAGTCATGTGGGATTGATTGATCAATTGTCAGTACAAAGGATAAATCCCTTACCCATTCATGTTCAGAGAGCAGAGATGACAAAAAAAAAAAAAAAATGAGCGTGGACTTACAATGAACTAGTTCTCATAAAGACTTTGTTCGTCTTGAAGTTGGATCTTTTTAGCAGTTCCGGATCCTTAAAATGAAAAAAAAATAGGGATCCTGCATGTGAGAGGGGTGTTCTGCCGCTGCTGTTGAGGGCATCAGCACCTGAGGCAAAGATTGTTCTTGAGCCATCTGTGTAGGCTGTCAATATCTCGTCCTGATCTCGGGATCTATCCTCTTCTAAGGAGCCATCCATGCGATCGTCTTCGACATTTTCAACTTGGGCATGGCTCTCCTCATCCTCCTCATGGTCATTGCCAAACAAAGTAAAAGTCCCTGATGTCGGGGTGAAGAGTGACCTGAGATCAGTGGCAACCTGGAATTGAGTTTTGATCTCACTATCCTTCTTATTATTAGTAGGTGGTGGAGAGGCAGAGGTTTCTGATCTGTTATCAACCTCATTGTCATGGTTCAAAGTGTCATTATCAAACGCAAATGAGAACCCGACAGCTTTCTTGGGCTGCTTAGCATCCTGCACCTCCACAGTGCCGCTATTCATGCTATTACCACTTTCAATTTCCTTCTGTTTCTGTCCATGATGTGAGTCATTAGTATCCAGTATATAATTTTGAGGCTCTCCTTGCTCCTCTTCTGACTCAGAATCAAATACGCTCCTTGAGAAGTCATGCACAGAGTCTGTTGATGTCTTTGGTGGCGAGGGTAATGTTGAAAGAGGTGGTGAAGGATCGGCATCCGGGTCGTATCGAACTGTTAAGCCTGTAGTATACCCAAGACCACCTTTAGCCTGTCTTGCAAAGTCTTCCTCTTTCTTTTTGTTCCGTACAGCAGCGTCGCCGAACATGGCGCGGAGTACATTCATAGCTTGTATCTTTTCTGCAGACACATTTGATTCATGCTGGCGATCCTCGTCCAAAATAATGCCTTCAATATCCGCGCCAATTCCGCCAGTATTGAGGCGATCCTGATGAGCGATAAAATCGACATCATCTTCGCCACGAATGTGATCATCTAAGAAGTCCTTAGTGAGCTGGAAACGCGAGTCAGACGTTCCAATTCTAGTTTGCATTTCGAATAAGGCTCTGCCACTGGGGCCTTCAAATTGTTCCTTGATATTGAGGGCTATTAATTTGAGAATAAAAAAAAAAAACTTAGCTCAATATAGCACTCAATGTTCTGTTGAAGTTAGTACCCCACTCGATATAGATTGAACAATCAAAGAGAGCACGAACATATTGTTGGATTTATTACATGGTTCTCTAAGGTTGTTTGATCCAGAATCGTCGTCCTCGTCATCAGAAGCAAACATTTCCTTGGTAGTACTCTTCAACGCCTTCTTTTTGTCAGTGAGAATTTGACCCCTATCCTCATCCTCAGAACCCGAGTCCGAGTTAAATATACTTTTGAGGGGTTTGCCCATGTTGGACATCTTTTTTGCATGGTCTGCTTCCATCTTTTCGTAATCTTCGCTTTCATAGCTATCGTCACCAGAGTCCGAAAACACGACATGGCCCACTTTCTTTTCTCTAGAGTCGATGTTGGATAGTGTGGATGTAATTAATTGCTGCCGTCTCTCTCGTACTGCCTCTAATTCAGCCTCTCGAGCCTCTAAAGCCTTCAGACGAGCGTTATTTGATTCTTCAGCTAATTTAGTGGCGATCGCTGGACTGCCCTTACTAAGTCGATCGTGTTCATTGTCGTCGTCAGAGTCAAAGAGACCTCCGATGCCGGTTGAAGATGAGGATTGGAGTTGAGCAATCGTTTTAATCGTGTCTTCATCTAAAACTCCATCCTCTTCCTCTTCTCCGCTTTCCATTTCTTCATCTTGATCCTCATCGTGCTCGTCTTTACTATTGTCCTCCAAAATGTCCGATGGTGATTGATTGGTCCTTGTTTCTTCTTCATCTTCATCCTCTCCAAATAGATCTTCTGGCTTTGAGTCTCGCTGCGCTCTAGATAGTTTTGACGTTAAAGGACTGTCTAATACAACATCACCGAAGAGGTCATCTATATTGGTCTCCTGTAATAGGGATGAATCAATACTCTCCATATATGGTCCTCCGTCTTCATTGTCATCAAGGTCAGAGTCATCTAATGATAATGCTTTCGGGCTCATGTTCAGCCCTGCAAGCACAGAAGCCATCATTGCACGGTCATTTGCTATGTTGACATTGTCAAGTGACTGTTGTAATCCCGAGGTTTTGTCTGTTGAGAGAGTCTTTATATCTCTGCCTTGCACGGCCGATTTCTTCTTTTCTGCCATATCCATATTACTATTGGTAGTGATGGGAGTAGGCTTCGGTTTTGCAAGGAAAGAGGCAAGTGCAACCTCAGTGGGAAGATGCTTGCCCTTGGGTTTTGGTTCGTTTTCATCAATTCGGTAGATCAATTGGTCGAATGGCAAGGGCTTCTCAGCGATATTAAAGAGTTTCTCCACATTATTTTTGTAGTGTGACGGATCATATGTCATCTTTTTTTTTTTTTTTTTTTTTTTAAAAAAAAAAAAAAAAAAGAGCATTAAAAAAAAAAAAAGTAAGTCTTAAAGGTTGTACAATGCGCAGGCAGTTATAGAAGGAGTATTATGAGGAACATACACGATCTAATTTCATAGTGATTACTGGTCGGCCGTAGCGCCCTCTTTTCCAACCTCGCTTCCCATCCATGTTCTTTTCTGTAATCAAGGACATATCTTCAGCGTGTTTTGCTGGATTCCTTTTCCATTTTTTGAGTAGTGCTTCTTGTTCTTTCTTTTCGATCTTCGCTTGAAGCTCCAAATCTTCTTTCCGTCTATGAGCGTGTACAAGATAAAATAAAATATAGAAATAAAAAGGTGCGGTCAATTGGACTGCAAGGCTGGGCTATCATATATCTCAACCGATAAATGAGGGACTGTTATTGACTTGTAGTCGAACAATTACTTTGTTTGCCAGTCTTTGTTTGCTTCCTCAATCTTCAGGACGTTTCCCTTCCATTTGGCACCATTAAATAACGCGAGGCATTTTTGTAGCTCTTTCCGTGTTGTGTCCAAAGTGATATATCCAAATCCACGGCAAGATCCGTCCAGGTCCTTTGCCAGATAAAGGTCCCTGGGCTGTCCAAACGATTTAAATCGGCCCTCAAGCTCTGTCAAGGTAACATCTTTTGCTAGCCCGCGGACGAATGCTCTATATGAGATATGCTCTTAAAAATAGGCGAATTGATTTCGGTCTTGTCAGATCGATCAGTTATGTTGTTAATGTATAGTCAATTGTAATGAATTCCCTCACTCTTAAACAACATACCATTAGGATCTATGGGAACTTTTGAGGGTTTTGGTTTTTTGACTTTAGCAGATGTACTTGGGGCATCTTCTTCTGTAAATAGATCAGGTGGAATTGAAGCTGATGTTGTTGAGCCCCTGTTAATACTTTTATTCTTTTGCTTCAAATGTCCCTGTTGATATTGCTTTGAGCCAGCAAGAGCATTGGTCTTCGAGTTGGAGTTTCCATGGATCGCTCCTGCTCCTATTCCTGTATGTATATCTGATTTAATTCTTGCTTCTGTCCTTACTCCTGCTGGTTTTGAACTTGGCTTGCCCGGCACGTTATTATTATTATTACTATCAGTAGAGTCTTCTTTAGAGCCTCCAGAAGATGGCCGAGGCCTACTATTGAAATTTTTGGAGTTGGCTACCATTAAGGCAACGGAATGAACGTAATGACAGTAAGAAAAAGGCTGATGCTTCTCGACCCTTGTGCTCCAATCTGTCTTACTGATTAACTGAACCACAAAAAAAAATGCTGGAAACAAACAAATCACACAGTCACAATAATTAATTAGATTCATGTGACATAACCGGCCAAGATTGTGCTGCACTCGCATTCCACGTAAGGTATATTTAAATAAATTTTAGGACGTGGTTGGGCCAGATTCATTTTCAGTTCGTGTCACTTTCCCAGCGCGTCCACACAGACCTCATCTCTTTTTTTTTTTTTTTTTTTTTTTAAACTACATCTTCTTTCCTTTTCCTTTTTCCCTTCCTCTGACAATAACCATTGCATTGCTCTTATTCCTAGCCATATTTCCCTCTTACAGTATTCTCCATTTGTCTTCATCACACTACTCCAACTACCACCACCGTCACTAATACTATTACTGCAACCATGAACTTTGAGGAGATTGAGGACCAGGATGGAATTCGCTTCTCATTCAATGCATGGCCTGCATCACGCATCGAGGCAACACGAACTGTTGTTCCTATCGCTGCTCTATATACACCCCTGAAGGAGCGTGATGATTTACCACTCATCTACTATGAGCCTGTTACTTGCAAACAGCATACCTGTGGTGCCATTCTTAATCCTTACTGGTAAGTCTTTTTTTTTTTTTTTTTTTTTTTCTTCCCTCACTTTACTCTCTCTCCTTCTCTCTATGGATATATATACAAATCCATACTTATTGCATTCAATGGCTCCTATGATGCTTAATCTGCCCTATCTTTTAGTCAGATCGATCCTCGTGGCAAGCTTTGGATTTGTCCTTTCTGTCTCCACCGTAACCAGTTCCCTCCTCATTATCGCGATATCTCCAATACCAATCTCCCAGCAGAGTTGCTTGCCAAACATACAACTATTGAATATACTCTTGCCAGGAGTGCACAAGTCCCACCAATATTCCTATATGTTGTCGATACCTGCATGGATGAGGACGATCTCAAAGCACTCAAGGATTCGCTTGTCGTCTCACTCAGCTTGTTGCCTCCACATGCTCTTGTCGGCCTTATCACTTTTGGTACCATGGTAAGCTTAATTGATGCATTTAGTTCAAAGAAAGGTTATATGGAAGTGTGTTTCCTACTGATCTAACAATAAACCGATATGTGTTAAAAAAAAAAAAAAAAAAAAAAGACCCAAGTTCATGAGCTTGGGTATGGTGAGTGTCCGAAATCATATGTCTTCCGTGGGAACAAGGACTACACTTCGAAACAAATCCAAGATATGCTTGGGCTCTCAGCTCAGGTAGCACGCCCTCAACAGCCAGTTCGGCCCGGCCAGCCTGCGCCTTTTGCTCCCAGCGGTAATTCGCGCTTTTTGCTCCCGGTTCAGCAATGTGAGTATACATTATCTTCAATCCTAGAGCAGCTTCAACGCGACCCCTGGCCTGTAGCCACAGATAAACGTCCTCAGCGTTGTTCTGGAGTGGCTATGAGTGTCGCTGTTGGTCTCTTGGAGGCCACCTACCAGAATACTGGTGGTCGTATCATGCTCTTTGTTGGAGGAGCAGCAACAGAAGGCCCAGGAATGGTGGTCGGAACAGATCTCAAAGAGCCCCTTCGATCTCATCATGATATCGAGAAGGAGAATGCGAAGCACTACAAGAAGGCATCCAAGGTAAGAGTCGATTTCGAATAAAATTGTATTCATCTGCAAGTATTCTAGCCCAAGTATTTATTTCTCACGAATGGCCTGTTAACTTGCGGCATGTATCATTCGATCTATTTTTTGATAGTTTTATGAGGGATTGGCAAAGAGGATTTCTACCAATGGCCACGTCGTTGATATTTTTGCAGGATGCTTGGATCAAGTCGGGTTGTTGGAAATGAAATCAATGGTCAACTCAACAGGAGGCTTTATGATTCTGTCAGATTCTTTTACAACAGCCATTTTCAAACAGAGTTTCCAAAAGTTGTTTGAAAAGGATGCTGAAGGCAACCTGAAGATGGGCTTTAATGCAACGCTCGCTGTCCAGGTAAAGTCCAATGGCCAATACTCAATCGATATTTGACATGGATAGAGTTTTGTTTGCACTATTTTTTCCTTGTTCTATTGTAGGCTCATTAACAAGAGATCATGAACATATTCTCTTTTTTTATTTTATCTAGACTACAAAGGAGCTCAAGATTTGTGGACTGATTGGTCATGCAGTATCATCCAACAAGAAAACTGCGTCTGTAGGTGAGACTGAGATTGGTATAGGCAATACCTCAGCATGGAAGATGTGCAGCGTTACTCCAAAGACGACAAATGGTATATACTTTGAGGTTGTGAACCAACAGGGTCAGTCTCTCCAACCAGGATCGCGTGGTCTTATTCAGTTTGTGACGCACTATCAGCATTCTAGTGGATTCTTCAAGCTTCGCGTGACTACTGTCGCCCGTAGCTGGGCAGAGGGAAATAACCCCGTCATTGCTCAGTCATTTGATCAAGAGACAGCAGCAGTCCTCATGGCTCGTATTGCTGTCTTCAAGGCCGAAATTGATGATGGACCAGATGTCTTGCGTTGGTTGGATAGGATGTTGATTCGGCTGTGTCAAAAGTTTGCCGAGTACCGCAAAGACGAACCCCAGACATTCCGCCTCACAGAGAACTTTTCAATTTATCCTCAGTTCATGTTCCACCTGCGACGTTCACAGTTCTTGCAAGTCTTCAACAACTCGCCTGATGAGACAGCCTATTGCCGTCACGTTTTAAATCGTGAAGATGTCAACAACTCGCTGATTATGATCCAACCTACACTCATGTCTTATGGCTTTGAGGGCGAGCCTCAGCCAGTGCTGCTAGACAGTATCTCGGTGAAGCCTGATACGATATTATTACTAGACACCTTCTTTTACATTCTCATCTTCCATGGAGAGACGATTGCTGCATGGAGGAAGGCTGGCTATCACGAGCAGCCGGGGTATGAAAACTTTAAGGAACTGCTAGAGACACCAGTGGTCAGTGCACAGGAGCTTTTAGTGGAGCGTTTTCCTATCCCACGCTACATTGTATGTGATCAGAATGGATCTCAAGCTCGTTTCTTGCTATCCAAGTTGAATCCATCAACAACACATGTCTCTGGAGGACAGTACGGCAATGTGCCAGTGGGACAAGCCATCTTTACGGATGATGTGTCACTGCAAGTGTTCATGGAGCATCTGAAGAAGTAGGTCCCTGTAGTCTATGTTTAATTTTTTTTTGTTTTTGTTTGGAATATTAATGCTGACACTGCCCCTTTATTCTTGTATGCTAACTTTACATTTATATTTGTGTGCATATTTTTGTCTTATAGACTGGCTGTTGCTGGTACATCATAAGTGTACATTGGTTTCGTTGACCATGGATAGAGAGTGTTCTTGACACAATAAGAAAATCGCTTTAAAACGTACTACATGTCTTCACGTATTGTGAAATCAATGTTGTAAATGTGTAAATGGTCATTACGAACCATCTTTGCTGATAGCTCATTAACAAGGAACTGGGGTCTGCAAGAAGGACTCGACAAAATCAAATAGAGATTATTGAGGCAGTGAACAGTTTGCTTGAGACACTGTCTTGCCTCACCTTGCCTCACCGCTTTCCAACTCTTTTAAAGCACAGACACACGCATCGCATCTTTGTACTCCTGTTAATGTAATCCTCTTCATCCACTGCACAACATTCTTCTTTTTTGAAATGACAATGCATTTTGCGAAGCAGCAGTTACATTACACTTTCAATGCTGCAAGATTGCTGCTACTAGCAGTGTCTTGTATGTCCTGGCTGATTGCAATATGCTCAACACCTACGTTGGCAGCCCCTCTCCCAGCCTCCTTAATGAGAAATGCGACTTTGAGCAAGAGACAATCAATCGACAACGACATTGACGTTCATAGAACCCATTTATATCTGGCAAATAAAGTCTTTGATGATATGGAGGATCTTCTCAATTCAACTGAATTAGATCCATGTCAGATGTGTCAGAGGGGCATGCGAATGGCAAAGGAATTTTCTCTACAGGCACCTGAGTACCTCTCTGGTGTCCTGAGAGAACTCTGTGCCAAATATTCATTCAGGCGATTGGATGCCTGTGCAGGTCTGATGGAGCGCCTTAGTGAACAGTTGGTGGGGATTTTCTCAGAGATGAACCTAGAGGGATCAGATGGATATTATGCCTGTGCCTATTCTTTCCCAGGATCATGTCCAGTGCCTTTGCACCAACCTGCAGACATAGCCTTCCCAAAAGCTAAACCTGTCAATGCTGTGCAACCAGCGCCCAGTGGACAGACCATCCAAGTCCTCCATTTTTCAGACTGGCATCTGGATCCCTTGTATAAAGTAGGGTCAGAAGCAAAATGCAGTCACAACATTTGTTGTCGTGACTATGGTTCCTGGAACGATCCAGGGCCGATCAAGAAACGAGCATCGAAATGGGGGGACGGTAAATGTGATACGCCCATTGCACTAGGACTGAACACTCTGGAGACGATTCCCAAGTTTGTGCCCAATGCGAGCTTTGGATTGTTTACTGGCGATATTGTGAGCCATGATGCTTGGATGATCAGTGAAAAGTATGTGGCGGACGAGGAAATCAGGAGCTATGAGCTTTTCAAGAAGTATCTCCAAGATCTAAAGTTGTATGTTGCTATGGGCAACCACGACTCGTACCCTAGTGATCAGGCTCCTGGACGACAAAGGCCGGACTCTTATATTACTCATAAATGGTAGCAAATTTTTTTTTTTTTTTTTTTTTTTTTTTTTTTTTTTTTTTCAGCAGTTATATTGTGTATATTCTCGTGATAACCGTATTGATTAATATATATATAATTGAGAATAGGTTATATGATCATGTGGCAGGGATCTGGGAAAAGAATAATTGGATCACATCTATTGAAGCTGAATACGCCCGCTCACACAACGCCATGTTTATGACAAGGCCTATGGATGGCCTCAAATTGATCACCTTAAATACAGATTTATATTATGTCCGCAACTTCTTCACTATGCTGGACACCAACTTGGATGATCCCAGCGGGATGCTTCATGATCTGGTTCTAGAACTTCAAGACAGCGAGGATCGTGGTGAACGAGGTAAATGGAGTATTTGGGCTTAAAAAAATATCTCGCATTATCTGTGGTTTATTCTTATGTGCTTTTTTTCCTTTTTTTTCTTGTCTTGACATCCAACATGGCTTACAGATGATGTCTATAAACTTAACATTGTCTAGTCTGGATCATGGGACACATGGCACCTATCACCAGGTCATTACCTCGCTCTTCTTTGCTCTTTCAAAAGATTGTTGCTCGATATTCTCCGCATGTGATTGCAGGAATCTTTACAGGTCATTATCATCAGGACAAGTTTATTGTCGTTCATGACCCAGATGCGCTTGAACAGACCGAAGAGTCTGCTCTCAATGTCATCTATCAGGGCCCAAGTGTCACTCCACTTGATAGATCCAATCCTGTAAGATGTTCATCTCAATTAAGCTTTTTTTTGTTTTGTTTTGTTTTCGTAAAAAAAAACGATAGTCTTTCAATCGTGCCATTAACCTAAAAACACGATCAACTTTTGTTTTTTTTTTTTTTTTTTTTTTTTTTTTGTAGGCTATTCGCTGGTATGATGTCGATGCAAAGACATTTTCAATCCTAAATACGCATACAGCTGTAGCAGATATCATTGGGCAAGGAGCTTATTGGGAGGCTAATGACATGGAGCCAGAATGGAAGCACGAATATTCAGCCAGAGAAACGTATGCTGATCCAGCGGACCCACTTGATCCAGAAGATCCGTTGTCACCAGCGTTTTGGCACAGAACTGTAGAGAGAATGAAGGAAGACCGCGAGTTGTTTAAGACTTATTTGCAATATGAGTCCAAGTTATCAGAAGAGGCAAAGCCGTGTCATAAAGGGTCAGCTTGTGAGTATGAAGCGTTGTGCCAGATGCAAGCTTCGACAGTGGTTCAACACCAACAATGCACAGAGGACGCAGAGACACTCAAAGGCACAAAGAACAAAAAGAAGCCTAATAAGAAGAAGCCTTTTAGTGTCACCCGAGCTGGAAAGGAAGTCATTGTGGGGGACTACGATGAGGAACGTGGCTACATTGAAGGACTAGGAGTGGAGAGAAGGGGTATGTAGATCGTTGAAAAGAAATAGACTACACAATAGAGCATAATCAGTCTCGATCCAGAGAAGTTTATGGGCTTCAAAGACATGTAGAGGCGCGTAGAGGCGCGTAGGAACTAGCAAAGTATTGTCACCAACAGCAAGAAGTGTCGAGCTCATAATTGATGAATGACTTTTTGTCTGATTCAGAAAAGTTGATTAATTTGTTCCGCGTCTCCATCACTCCCCTCTGTTTATTTTCATAGCAATCTGTACCAATCCCTTTACGAGCCTATACCGCCTCCACTTCTTGTTAAAACTTTTTTTTATGAGGCCAGTGATTTGGGTGTGTGTGTAGTCTGATAAGTACACGCCAATTTCAATATTGTGCCTATTAGCTGTTAAACACGTCCTGTTTTGTGCTGTGTAACTTTGCGACACCAGAGGGTGATATTGGCGATATCAACACAGTATCGGCTCAGAGTGCTATTGGTGGTACCGACACCACAAGGTATTGGCAAAGGTCATAAACAATATTATTTTAAAGTACTCAATTTGAATAAAAAAAACAAAAAAATATGGAATAGTATGCATTAATGTGTTCATGGCTTCCTACCGAGGACTCTATCCCTCGGAACAACTGCTGCTCGCTCCTTTTGATTGGGCCATTTCAATTATAGAGTACAACCACACCACGGTCAGCACAAGTCTTCGAAGGGAACACAGCATAAACAGGGTGGTGCTTATTAACTATCCCTTGGACCGTAGGACGGGCATATTTGTCCAATTAACTTTCATCAACCCAGTTTTTATATGATTAGGTTTCACATGAAGTTTAAATTCTACCCTCAAGGAGGTTTTCCTCGCAAATATCCATGCATATTCTATTTTCCTCTTACCTCGCGTTATAACGGCCTTAGAAACTGGGGGAATTGTTGCGTATATACCAAGACTTGGGAGTGCACCTCAGGGGCACTTCCATTTTTGTTCATAAGGTCACATTCTGTGACGGTCATGGCGGGTCTCTAATAAAAGGCTCCCGCCTGGCAACAATAACAAAAACAACTTTGATGTCCTTGACTAGCGTCCCCCATAGAAAACATCTCCGCTTTCCCTTTTCCTAATGAGCCTGAACCTGTCTATACTGGTATATCAATGGTAGACTAAAGTTTTTTTTTTTTTTTTTCGCGATGGGCTAGTTGCCTGTCATTGAGAGACTGATCTGGATGCGCAGCTGAAATTGGGCTCACCAGCTACAGGGCGTAAAAAGTGAGCCAGGATTAAACGACCCTGAGCGAATCTTATTTTCTGTCAAGGATATTCACTCATCTCAAAGAACAATGTCCAAGGCACAGACAGTCGATTAACAAACCTTTTTTACTCCTTTTCAGTACATGCACGTGTACCAAGAAACAAGGGACGCTTCCATTAATCAAAATAAGCAGTGGAAAATAAATTTTATTAACGTATATATTTAAATAGATACAATATACATTTCTATCGTATGTACATTGTATCACGATAAGAGCAGGAGCACTATTTGTCGAGAAGATGCATTTGAACGGAATTGCTTCCGGAGGACGGGTCCATTCAAAGGGTGACCACAGAGCAAGGAAGGGTGATTTCAGGGCAAGGGAAAACAAGCCAAAAAAAACGGATTGTTTTTTTTGAGGATAGCTCAGGGTGAACAATTAAATTTATAACATATATTTATATTTATGGCATGCAAGGGTCGGTTCTTTTTGTTCTGATGGGAATATGTGTCACTGTGTCAATGTGAAAACAAATCTCGTTCGCTACAAAAAACGTTACATTTCTTTTTGCTTTGTTTATGAATACAGATGCAATCTGTGGGAGAGTAATGGATCTTGAATGCGCCATAGAGAGCCTTTCTTCTCCTTTCGCCAACTGAATCTAGTCTCCATTCGTCCTATCTTTTATATACTTGACATTTGCCCAGTTCAACTAATTGTGATCTCGTGTGGACTTTTAAATTAAATCGGGCTATATCATGATCTCTGCACTAAAGATATTGGAAAAAAAAAAGAAAGAAAAAGGCATCAGGTCTTTCTCACCATTTAAAAGTCAAAATGAATGCTAGCTGTACCTTCACATAGAATGCCACTGTAGGAGAAAATGTATACTGTGTACCTTCAAAGATAGTTTCCCAAGAATGCAAAGTAGCGTTTGAACACAAACGCTAACCAGGGAATTTCCAACCTGGAAAAAAAAAGTGAGCGCTCCTTTTACAATCGAACCTGGTGCGTCTAATTGGACCGACAGCGCGTGCTTTTTTTTTTTTTTTTTTTTTTTTGCAAATTATGAATAAGCATGCACAAGAAAGTAATTGAAGAGAGCAGTAAGGCCCTTTGTCAAATGTGGGCTCAGTTGGCTCAAATGAATTATCCCTGCCAGGTCTTGGCCCCTCCTTTTTCATACATTTCTAAATAGTAATGAAGAAAAGGAGAGAATAAGTGTGGGCTAGAATGTGTAGTGTTAACATTTGCCACTTTTTTTTTTTTTTTTTTTTTTTTATTATTCAAGACATTTACCCCCAAGGGTCTCAAAGGAAAAAATAAAAATAAAAAAATAAAAAAAAATAAAAAAGCAAATGTGATAATATATACCATTGATTGGATTCCATTCGCACAGCAACGACAACGACAACGGCAACAGCAATAACAATAACAGGCAGAGGTGGTGCATATCTTTTTCATATTATTTCCCATTTCAGTTATCTTTTTTTAAAGGATGCTGCGTACACAAACCCACAAACAGAATAAAATTAAAGTTAATGAGAAAACCTCTTGAGCACCAGAGTCAACCGGAATGTGATGAGAACCCATCCGTTTTGAAAAACCATTTGCATTTACTCACTAAAACACTCTAGAGAAACTAATTGGTAGGGTATAAAAAGACGGCCATGTCCGCTTTTTATCATGTTCCTTAGATATCGCATTCTTGATCTCCCTTTTACTGTCTTCAAGGTTCATTACTTCCTTTCTCCCCCCTTCCCTGACCTTCGTTGCTCATCCCGTCAATAAACTCTTCTTCCTTTTAATCCCCTCCCCATCTTCAATCATTTCTTCTCAACTCCTGTTACCTCTTTCTCTATCAGTCATAGTTTCTAATAATGAAAATTAGTTTTCTTCTCAGCCTCGCTGCTGCTACATCCATTGTCTCTGCTGGCAAGTTTAATCCTAGCCAAATCCGTCCTAATGTTGACGAGATCCCTGGTGCCTTCATCATCGAGTTTGAAGATGGTGTTGATCAGGTGAAGGCCAACACCTTCTTGACCAGCCATAAGGATCTAGACTTCAAATTCCGTGGCCAGTACAATCTTTTCAATGGAGCCTCGATCCAGGTCAAGTCTGGCCATACCGGCGAGGACATTGCCAAGATTCCAGGTGTCAAGCGTGTCTGGCCAGTTGAGCGTTACCAACTTCCTAAGCCCGATCTCTCGAATGAAGATAAGGCCCAGCCCCATTTGACCTCTGCACACAAGATGACAGGCGTGGATTATGTCCAAAAGGCCTTCAAGTACACTGGAAAAGGCATCAAGGTCGGTGTCATCGACTCTGGAGTTGACTACAAACACCCTGCTCTCGGTGGTTGCTTCGGCAAGGGCTGCCGTGTCCGTTATGGCTGGGATTTTGTCGGTGAAGATTATGACAAGGAATATATCCCTACCCCAGACGCTGGTACGTATTTTTTCGCATAGGAGAAGACTTGGAAATTTTTCATACCATTCAGCTTCTAATGTCGATCCGCAAGCCATTGAAATCAATCTCTTGGTGTCTGGCCTGGTCTGACCTAGTCTGTTTTAACAATTATACTTTTCTTTACTTCAAAAAATTTAGATCCCAGAGATACCTGCAATGGCCACGGTACTCATGTTGCTGGTATCATTGGCGCTGACGCTCGCAAGGTCGGTGCTCCTCAGCCCTTCGTCGGTGTCGCTCCTGAAGTCACCTTTGGTGCCTACAGAATCTTCTCATGCGCCGGTTCTGGCAGTTCTGATATCATCATGCTGGTAAGTTACTTTTTACCACATTCAATTAATTCAATTAAGGTAGAGATTTAACTCTTTTTTCTAATAATTTTGATTATTTCCATTTTCTTACTTGAAAGGCCATGGAACTCGCTTTCAACCAAGGTATGAACATTATCAACATGTCTCTCGGCTCTGGCTCCGCCTTCAGGTCCACTCCCATCGCTGTCCTTGCTGATAGGTTGACCGCTTCTGGCTTGACTGTGGTCGCTTCTGCCGGTAACAATGGCGACGATGTAAGTGCACACAATGCTCTGGATTGTAAACATCTGCTAATTCCACCTCTGAACTATAAAGGTTTCGTTTCTCACCTTTTTGTTTCCCACGCCTTTGTATACTTTTGATTGTTTCCTTAGGGTGTCTGGATGGTTGGAAACTCTGGCTTAGGTGCTCTCTCAACCTCAGTTGCCTCGTACGACAATATTGCTGGTTCCTACTACTATTTCTCATACGCCGGAGTTGAGCATCCCTATGCTGTCTCCCAAGCCTGGAATAAGATCATCAACCTCCCTGCCAGCGCTACTCTTGTTCCTGTTTTTGAGAAAGACGGTGCCCTCTCCGATGGATGCTTACCCACCTCATACGCTGGCCAGAACATCTCCGGCAAGGTTGTACTTGTCCATGGTGATACCACGCGTTGCAAGTCTGGTGGCCGTGGCGCTGCTGCCAAGGCTGCTGGTGCAGCCGGTATGTTAGTCCAGAGCGTTCCTTTGGGTCTTAGTAACCTTGGGGGCAACCCTGATTTCCCCATGGCTTCTATTGAGTTTGGTGCTGCTGAAGATATACTTGCTGCCTACAAGAAGGACTCTGCTAGTACTCTCAAATGGTTTTCTGGCAAGAAGTCGTTCAGAGTTGAGGGTGGCGGTCATCCTTCAGATTTTTCATCTTGGGGATTTGATGGTGATCTCCACATAAAGCCAGATATTGCTGGACCTGGTGGAAACATCCTCTCAACCTACCCCCTTGACTTGGGAAGCTATGCTATTGAATCCGGTACCTCAATGTCAGCCCCATATGTCGCCGGTGCTCATGCTCTTCTCTACAGCGCCCACAAGAAGGTTCTTCGGGGCCAAGATGCTCGAAAAATCTTGATGAACACTGCTGTTCCTGGTAGTTTCTTCAACCACAGTGTTCTGGCACCAGTGGCCAAGCAAGGAAGTGGTCTTGTCAATGTCAAGAACGCTGTTTCTGTTCAGACCATTTTCTCCCCAGATAGGATTGAGCTCTTGGATTCTGTCCATTTTACCGGCAAGAGTGTTGATGTTCGTATCAAGAATGTTGGCAAGCGCACTATCGTCTACCACCTCAGCCATGAAGTTGCAGAGTCTGCTGTTTCTTACCGTGGTGGCAATTCCTTCCCATTACCCGATCCCATCCTGGAGAACCACAAGGCTACTGTCAAATTCTCGCAGGCCAAGGTTTCCGTCCGTGCTGGCCAGACTGCCAAGATCAAGGTCCAGTTCAAGGAGCCTTCGACTGGCAAGGCAAATGAATTCCCCTTCTACTCTGGTTATATCGTTGCTACTCCTCAAGGCAAGGACGCTATCCCCGTTCGTATCCCATATGCTGGTGTGAAGGGTGATGTTGCTAAGGTCCCTATGCTTGACACCGACTTTGGTCTCCCTGCTTTCTTTGTCGCCGACAAGGAGTCTGGTAAGATCAGCGATATTGAGAAGGGTCACAAGTTGGACTTCTCTGTTGAACAGCCAATCATTGCCACTCGTCTCGGAAGCCACACCCCGGAGCTCTCCCTTCGCTTGTTCAACAGCAAGAACAAGTTCGTCGGCTATTTAAACACTCAGTTTGGACCCGTTGCCTCTCCTTTTGGTCGTGACAAGAATATTGATTCCGATACGAACAAGCCCACCATCCGTACCTTCAGCTGGTTGGATGGTAAGGTCTTTGCAAGCCTCAATGCCACCTCTGCCATTTCTGTCCCCTCTGGCAGCTACAAGGTCGTCGTTGCTGCTCAGCGCAAGCTTAGCAAGGGCAATTACCCTAAAGACTTTGAGGTGTACGAGGTTGCTGATATCAAGGTTTAAAAAAAAAAAAAAAAAAAAAAAAAAAGCAAGACCATATAAAAAAGGGTCCATGATCCCTCCTTCCCTTCTTATTTGGATGAATTATTACCTTCTTACTTCAATTCCTGCACAGTTCACGACCCTCCACATCATTCGCGCGAGAAAAAAAACAACAATTAGAGTATGTAATAATAGATTTCAATAAATATATTCATTAAAATGAAAAGTTATTAATAATGCCACCAATGTATGACCAGCATTTGTTCACACGTATTTACCATTAACGATTACTCCCAGAGCAATCAGGATAGTAAGCTTGCATACATCTTCATTCTATATAAATAAATAAAAAAAAGATATTCTAACCATTATTGAACTTATTATTTATTGATGAAGCAACAGTAATTAAAGATTCTGATATGTAAGATATGTAAGATGTGTCTGAACGCTTCTAAACATGGCAGTATTATTATTTTAAGCCTTGGCCTTAAACATGAGTTGGTCATCGCGTATGACAATGGACGAATTTAGTCCGTACGATGCCTGCATCTTCTTGAGCCACTGGTCCTTTATCTTTTCATCTACAACAGAGGCAACAACATTGTCTTTAGAAGAGGTTACTGTCTTTCCAGATTCAGAGTTGGACCCTGTCAGCCCAACAGCGCGAGCCATCGAAGTTATTGGTAAAGAATAATAGGCTTTACTCATCATCGCCACAGTATTGGCTCTAGCACAATTCAAAGAATTCACTATTGAGTACTGAATGATTAGTCGTTGCTCCCAAGTTGCAGATCCTTGTTGCTGTTGTTGCTGTTGTTGTTGAGGCAATCCAGTCACCTCAACAGTCAATAGTCGTTCTCTTTGGACCCAATTGCCTTCCCGAAGGCTTTTCCAATACGTGAATGCAAACAAGAGTTCTGAACAGAGATTTGATATTTTCGATATTGGTGCCGTTGATACCAAGGCCAATGAAAAAGACGACGATAATTGCTGTTTCCGATATTGGTCATATACGTTCAGTAATTGTACTATCAATCGATCAGTCTCAGTCTTTGGATGAACCATTGTCTGTGCAGTAGGCGTTGGACCAGTCCTTTTCCCCACTACTGAGGGTGCAGGCCTTGCCAGATAGAACAAAATATAAAGTCCCAAAAACCGTTGGCGTTTGATAGGAATAGTCAAAGATAAAGGCGTCGTCGAGTCAATCTTATAGACAACTGGGTGTAAATCTTGAACAAGATAATGTAATGCCTTGGTCAACTCGGGTATATTTCCGGCGTATAAACTGTAGCGAACGGACTCTTCATAAACTATTAAGCACAAACAAACAAACAGACAAACAAGAATACTGAACTGAGCTCCACTATACCTTTCTACTCTTTTTTTTTTTTTTTTTTTTTTTTTTGAATACCAAATAATATATCTATACCTTCTGCTGCAAAGGCATCTCGAGTCTCGGTGGAAAACAGGCCTTCCCGAAGCTTCCGGAAACTCTCTACGATCTTGTCAATGGCCTCTGCCTGCTGTGTCCTTGGTGGAATCGGTTCCAATTTATTGTCTCCGTAGCGATCTTCATATCGCAAGATCTTTTTATATGATTGAATTGAAATATCAGGAAAAGAAAAAACAATCCACACATTAAGAAAGGTTGTAGTTGTACATCCTCAATCATTTTTTTTTTTTCTTATTCTAAACTTTTTTACCATTGCTTTAATCTCTGAGAAGACTCGCTCTTGTACACTACGGGTTTTAAGGCTATGACTTGATCTATCAAGGACGATGTTATAGCATAGAATATTAGGTACCATAAAAGAAAAAAAAAAGAGAAAAAAGAAGGGTGTATATGATCAACTAGAAATGACAGAGCTCAGTAAATGAATATGAGATTTTTAAATGAATAATTAAGAAGGTGGGGAATAATGCTTGAGCTGAATAAATTTGCCATCTATGTTATCTCAGTCTCTCTTTGAATAAATCTTCCAGCGCTCCATCATAAGTATGCTTTTACTGTCTCTTTTTCTTGGACACATCCATTGTATAACAACGCCATCGGCACTGGCACCGGCACCACTTCTTTTCTATTTGCTCCATGGCTATAGATTTCTTTTCTTTTTTTCCCCTCTTTTCTTTCCTTTACCCTGAGTCATCACGGCTCACGAGCGTCAATGCCTCTATGCCTGAAACAGGCACCTGCTGTCCAAGTGCTCTTCGCTTTGCCATAATATCTGCCTCAGCATCCTGACCACGGGATGTGGCATTACTTGCTTCCTTAGATGTGGCATTGGCTTTAGGCTTGACCTTATAAGTCGACTGCTCCCACCACTGGGTCCCTTCGGAGGCACCTGTTTTATTCGCATCGTTCGATTCCTTTTGTTCTGTAGAAGTTTGAGAGCTCTCCTTTTTAGGCTCTGCCTTCTTGGCCTTGCCATAGGTTGATTGTTCCCACCATGGCACAGCCGAACCTTCCTCCTTGTCTTGATCCTCCTCCATATCCGAGGCCAACAGTGGTTGGTCCTTTGATCTTCGCTTGTGTTGATCCCTGTCCCTACCTTTACCACGCTGGCCACGCTGCGAGTGCTTGTCATGGTTTGGGGAGGATGTGGACGGTGATGTGCCGCTTTGTCCGCGCGTTTTCATTACAGTATGTTTTCCAGAGTTATTGCTAATACTTGATGGTGATGAAGTTGGATGGGAACGATCATGATTAGGACGATCCAGCTCCAAAGCCGAGTTCTTTTCCCATCGATCGCCTTGGCCATGTTGAGTACTCAACCCATGTGTTTCGTTCTTTCCCCATCGATCATTCCTTCCTTGATGATGATAGTTGGCAGGGGACTGATGAGACCGTTCAGGATACGGCAAATCCGGTTCCCGTACTGCATTCTTTTCCCATCGATCACCTAAGCTTTCAGGTCCTTCAGCACTACGATGCCGCCTTGCATGTGCATCATTTGCCTCAAGCCGCTCATGATACATAGTTCCTGATGGTGTTCTGTCTTGGTTATTCGACTCTGTAGTGCGGCCTTCCCGCCGCATAAAGTGAACTACATCATCTCTGGGTGATGAAGCGTTGACGGTCGCTGGAGGCAGTTTTGGGTATGGTTTGTCTTCGTGTGGTGTCTTTTCCCATCGACCCTCTGAATCACTTTCTCGGGGTCGACGAGATTGGTGATCTTTTCCTTGTGACACTTGGTCCATATGTGCCCTTGATGTATGACTATGACGAGTGGGACTATAGGATCGTGTTGTCAGTCCAGAATGAGATGAGTGGTTGTTACTGCTGCTGTTGCCTCTATAAGGTGAAGATGGATGCTGCCTCGAGTTTTCCCATCGACGTTCTGATCCTGCTCCTGAGATTGGAGAATGTGATCGGTGGGGTGGCGAACGACTACGATCATTGCGAGATTGATTGTTGGCATCCAGCGCCGCGGGTGGCTTTGGTGGTAATGGAATAACCTGTCTGGGTGTCCGTTGTTGTCCTGATCCAAGGTCTTTTTCCCTACCCCAGTCCTGGTGTCGGTCCCTGTCCCTGTCCCTGTCCCTGTCCCTGTCCCTGTCCCTGTCCCTGTCCCTGTCCCTGTCCCTGTCCCTGTCCCTGTCCCTGTCCCTGTCCCTGTCCCTGTCCCTGTCCCTGTCCCTGTCCCTGTCCCTGTCCCTATCTCTGTCTCTGTCTCTGTCTCTTCCTTCGTTATGCCTATTGGTCCATCGAGAGCCTCCATCATCCCGTGATGATTCATGGGTGGAAGAGAATGAGCGGGAAGAGGACTCTCGACGTCCATCCGACCTCCAGCTGCCTTCCCGTTCTTTTTCTTGAAATCTAGCCAAATTTCGAGCGGGAGAAGAGTATTCATGACGGCTGTTTGGAGCATCACGATAGGGTATCGATGATGGGTCTCTGTTTCGAGCACGACTGCTCATTGTCTGAAGTGAGGAATCATTTTGAGTTTTCCTATCCAGAGATCGATTGGAGCCGTCTTCAAATCCTGCTGTATACCGTGTCTTTGAGGAGGAAGAAGTGGAAGATGATGTGTTCCGTTCATATTTTTGAAAATTGTTGTTATTATCATTGATATCATTACTATGATGATCCTTTCTATCGACTGTGGATGACGGGGTCGATGAGCCTCCAAGCCCTGTAATCCCTGTTGTCAAGGAAGCTGGCAGGTCTTCATCATCTGAGAAAACAGGGGCGCCAAAATCGATCTCGTCATCCGTATCATCTGCCCAATCAATGACAGGAGCCGTGTTGGGAACCGAAGATGACGCAACCATCAGCGGTTAGCACTACAGCCGGCGAGAAGGTAAAGAACAAGATAATTATGGGACGGGGAAAAGCGCAGAGGATGAGGAGAGTTGGAACTATTCGTTTTGAATTATTAAAATACAATAGCAGGTAAGAATGTGTAGTTTTCTAACGTCACTTTTTTTTTTTTTTTTTTTTTTTTTTTTAGTCTTTGTATAGTTTTCGTTCTCGTGTCAAGTCGAAGTCAAAAAGGACGAGAGATTAGGACGAGGACGCCAGATAAGCGTCAATGGAGGAGAGGAAGAGACTGGTATATTATTGTGGTGGTCGTGAGAGAAACAAGATAGAGGACACTTAAAAAAAAATACTCTGGGGAGGCGAGGTGTGTGACAATGTGGCTTGGGTGTGACATGAGTACATGTCACGGGGACAGTTGCAGTCATAGTGAGTGTTCATTTGGATAACTGGATACAGATTTTTGGAATCTAAAGGATATCGTCATTTGATAGAGATTCCGCTAGATATGAATTGGGAACCTGGATACCCCAACTCAGATAGATCAACGTTGAGGTACGGTGCAGTTGTTTATTCAGTATTATATATATATATATATGTGTCAATATAAATATAACATAGCATATTGTATGTATACATGTATACATGAAATATATATAAATATAAATTGTCAGGAATAAGAGACTAGACTCCTGCAAAAATAAAAATAAATTATTTAAATCATTGCCCTAGACTATTTTAAAACGCAGTCCGAAACTAATTCAATTGCATTTTTATTCCAGGGGGAAAAGAGAATTGAGAGCAATGGGAGATCTGCTGGACTGAGATGAACATGTAAAGGAAGTAAAGGATTCTGTCATACAATGCAAAATGTCAAAAGAACAACCTTTTTATACATATTTGGATGACATTGATGGATGATATAAATATATGATATAATGAAAATGTGGTGTTATAAACACATTATTGTTTATTGTATATTGTATATAGTATATATATGTATATAAGCATAGCACTCTTACTCTGTTTCTCAACAAGCTGAGCTGAATATGAAGTGATTACCATATCGTTTATGTTTGCAGAAGAGTGACGATAGAATAATGTTTAGATCATTTTGCAGTGAAATGAATATACTACGGATTCAATCCACCAGAATGCATATGCCATCCTTCCTTGGTTGAAATGAAAAGAGAAAGAAACGAATAAGGATAGGGACAGGAATAAGAAGAAGAAAACAAGGTGGAAGGAAAAGAGTCATTAACGTCCACTGGAAAAGGTAAAAAGGTAAAAAGGTAAAAAGTAAGTAAAAAGTAAAAAAGTAAGTAAAAAAGTAAAAAAAGCTATTCGTTCGTCACACATCATCGAATCCTTCTCCTTCTTTTCCTTTTCCTCTCCTTCTCCTCTTTCAAACCTTTTCTTTCCTTCCTTGCCTGACCTTGTGTGGTCCAAACAATTCTTCCTCTCTTTCTCTCTCTCTCTCTCTTTTTTTTTTTTTTTTTTTTTTTTTTTTTTTTTTCATTCCTCATTTTTCATCATCGACTTTTTTTTTATTATTTTCCTCTCATCTAATAGACTAGACCTGTCATTACTGCGTTCTTTTAATATTCAAAAATTTTGTCTCGATCCTCTAGACTCCTCTCTTTTCTCTTCTCTTCTCTTTATTTTTTTCCTTTTTCTTGGTCTTCACTCAAAGATCACTCGCTGATTAGAAAAGAAGCTCGATCGTTATCCTCATCATCTAAAGTCATGTCCCAACGGACACAATTCTCCAACGGCAGCACCGCGCCATCACAGGAGAATGTAGCTACACAACATAATCACACCATTCATCGAAGTCCCAGTGCAGGCCTATTGAACCGCAGTAATACTGCAAGTAGGCCCGGATCTCCCTCCGCCTCAGTCTCCTTGACCATGACCCACTCTCATACCACTACCACCACAACCACCAGTAGCATCAATGGAGGATATGATTCGTCGTCCAATTCTATCGGGACAGGATCCAAGAACGAACCATACTTCCCAGGGATTTCATCCTCCTCAACTATGGATCATTCACTCTCCCTTGGCAATAACGCATACTCAAAGCGATCCAAGCTCAACAATACCATCTATTCACTCTCATCCTCATCATCGACCAAACGATGGAAATGGTGGAGCTACACAGCAGCAGTACTCTTGATCTTTGCCCTTGTTGAAGGGTTGATAGCATTGATCGGTTCCAGCGTCCTTTACTCCCTACCGGACCAGATCCAAATTGGTAAGGTTCAAATGCCATAAAAATAGATATAGGACAAAAGAGAATTCTCTGTCAAAGAACCCAATATGATTTGAACCTGCTCAGCCCTGATAACAGCAACATTCAGCAACGGCATAGCACATCAATAACTGCAATTTAGGCAGTGTTTTTTTTTTCATTTGCTCCTTTATTCTTATCATCAAAGGAAAAAAAAAAAAAAAAAAAAAAAAAAAAGAGCAAACAGAACATGGCTGTGTGATAGTGATCAACAGTAGAGGAAAGGAGAAAGAGACGAAGCAGATATCAAGGGGTCGAAAAACTACTTGCTTGTTTTGTGTTGACGTAGTGAGCTATTTCCAAATCAGGAACCATAACATTTTATCCAACGAGTATTATTTTTGTGGTACACTGATGCATACACCTGAACGGGGCAATTGGACATGGACATGGGATATATGGATATGTTCTATGCATCTGTGCATATCAAGTGGATCGGGAGGGTAGCTGGAAAGAACAATGACGGAGAAGAAAAGACAACAATGTCCTATAGAAACTACAGCAATTAAAAGACGCCCCGACTCCTGCAACTAATACATAGTTTCAATATCCGAATATTTATAGATTCACGCGATTTCAGAAAGGTTGAATATCAGGGGTTGGCTTTAGATCCTACTGCAAGATACAAGAAACAGATCCAAGTCTATCATGTTACTAAAGAGTTTGGTCAAGCTACCATGGGCGGGCTTGGTATGGTAGTCACAGCATTAGCCTCAGCACAACAGCGGGCACGCTCTCAAAAGGTCAACGTTGTTATGCCACATTACTCCATGCTAGACTCCATCCCCGGTCTCGACATCAAACTTGCTGTCACCCTCCCTCTCGATGTCAAGGATAAACATGGACGCATTCAAAATCTTGTTTTCAGTGTTCACAAAATGAAGTTCCCAGTCCCCTTCAAGCCCAGCGACCTTGTTAACGACAAGAGACTCATCACACCCGTCACCATCTGGCTGATTGGTCCCGGCAGTGTCTATCCATTTGACCGTGCCTTCCAAAGCAAAAACGTGCAAGAGATTTATTATAGTCCCAAAGGTCTTCCTAGCGAATGGAAGGATCTATATTTTTCCAAGGCCGTTGCTACCTTTATCCAGCACCAAAACAAGAACAACGATATCTCTCTTTTTGCAGCTGCCGCAACCCGTGTTATTGATGTTGTTCATGTTCACGGTGCCACCAACGCACTGGCTTTACATTATCTGCAACAGCTCATCGACAGAGGCGCTATGGGAGAGGAGCCTCCAGCCTTAATTTACACCTTGCATGATTATCTGGATGAGCTGCAATATTCGAATGAGATTGTTAATGTACAGAAATTCATGTTTAAAGAAGTTCACTCTGACGATGAAGAAGAAGACATGTATTTACAGATGGAGGGCATTTCACCTTACTGTCATGGCCATCGCATGTTCACTTCTGCTTTGGGCATTGATCTCGCAGATGCAGTCACATTCGTGTCAAAGACAATGGCCAAGGATATCGTTGAAGGAAGGCTGGATTTCTATCTGAAGGAACTTGTCCTCGGAAGTGTATTGAACCAAGCAGAGAAGAACCTCTTTGTTGGCATTACGAACGGCGTGGATTTCAGCAGGCTCAACCCATGGACCATGCCTGTGTTGCAAGACAAGAAGCTGACGTTCCCTTCAAATGAGGTGATGGGTGCGGACGAGACCGCTATTGGAGTCAAACCCGAAGAAGCAAACACCGTTATCTCAACATCACCAAATCCAACAATCCGTTCAGCCAAGGAGGCTGCTAAACATTATTTGTATTCAAAAGGTCTTTTGACAGAGCAAGATCTTAAAAAACCACTCGTGCTCTTCATTGGCCGTTTCCAGTACAACAAGGGTCTCGAATTCTTTACTACTGCTGCGCAGACGATCAAAGAACATGGAGGAAAGTTTGTGATTATGGGACAACCTAATAATTTCCCAGTCAAGCTTGTCAACAATCTGGAGCGTCTCTTTAAAGGAACAGTTGTGGTGATTTCAGATGCCAAAACCCAAGATGACTGGGGTATCTTCTGGCGTGTTGCCGCAGATTTCCTTTTGGTCCCTTCCTTGACTGAGAGCTTTGGCCTAGTCGCAGCAGAAGGTCTCTTATTTGGATCGACCGTCATCTCGTCCGGTGTAGGTGGTCTCTCTGAGTTTTTGGTGGATCGTCCCAACCCCAATGATATTCGGCAACAGCAGGAACTTGAGGAAGCCAAGCGTGAGCAGCAATACATTCCACTTGATCAGCAAGTTCAAGAGATACCTAGGGAAGAGAGGTTCAACAGCTATCTCTTTGATGCCTTTGCGACGGATGCACATGCTCAGCTGACAGCAGCCATTAGCGATGCACTTAAAGATTGGAGGCGGCTTCAGCAATCGCCAGCAGAGCATGAGAAATTCTTGACAAGGCTGATGAGGAGTGCACTATCGATGGGCTGGGAACGCGCAGGTGGCCCTGTGGATCAGTACCGTGCTCTATATGAAATTGCATTGAATAACATCGGTCTAACCCAGATAGCATAAAATCCAATTGGGGTTTCATTATTACTGTTGTTGTTGTTGTTGTTGTTGTTGTTGTTGTTATTCCTTTGTTTACAGCATATCAACTGAACAATCTTATATATATTTTCCTTTGTTATAATTTTTTGTTCTTTATATCATGACCATTTTTTGCACTAGACTTTTTTTTTACGGTAGAATATCAATAAATCCAAACACAGTTAACAATGACGCTACAATCCTTTATTTCCTTTCCCTCCGAACTCTTTGTTTCGGAGAGTGAGAGTTAACAGAGGGGAAATCAATCTTTTTTAGATCCTAGTTTCCGCTTTATTTGCACTCTACCATCATTTAAACAACTTTTAACATCCATGTTGGGCCGATCTCTTCTTAAGCAGGCTACTCCTGCCATTCGTTCTGTTGCCGCAAAGCGTACAATCTCATCATCGCGCATCGCCCTCTCTGATAAACTGTTTGTGGTAATTGATTAACACATACCGGATCAGTCGGACATGATGTCCGAGACGATCAACAATTCATCCCTTGGTGGATAACAAAGCCAAAAACCAAACACATATCCATCAACATTTCATTTCCTTCATTTTCCTCTTTCTCTGGGGACAACTTGTATAAACCTGAGTCTCAAGTTCACAAGATGCGTCGTCCACAAAGCAACATCCATTTTTTTTTTTTCCTATTTTCTATCTTATTACTCGAAAGCTTCTTTTTCTGATAGGCATTTCGCGCAATTGCTTTTCATAACTTTTTTTGTTTTGCGATACTCACATTATGCTTTTCATCTGTCTTTTTTTTAAAAAAAATCTTTTTTAGCACCGCGATACCCCCGATAATAATGTCAACGTTAGATTTGAGTTCACGCCTGAAAACCTTGAGCGGGCAAAAGAGATCATGGCCAAGTATCCTCCTCAATACAAGAAGGCTGCGATCATGCCCCTTTTGGATTTGGGTCAGCGTCAGCTGGGCTGGACTAGTTTACCTGTCATGAACGCTGTTGCAAAGATGGTCGAGGTCCCTCCTATGCGCGTCTATGAAGTGGCTACTTTTTACACCATGTACAATCGGTATGTTCTTATTTCTTTTCCTTTTTTTTTTTTTTTTTTTTTTTTTTTTTTTAGAAAAATCTTTTATCATTGGCAGCTTTTTAATACAGGATAATCGGGACAACTTCATCATGGAATCTGGATGTAAAAAAAATAATAGCTAAAAGAAAAAGATATTAAAGGAAAGGAGGATGGGATGGCGGGTAAATATGTTACTGAAACCCTTTCCCGCGTCAAAGGACATCATCAATGTGTCTTACTTTGAAAAGGATTATCATTCAGCATTTTGAAAACTTCTTGGATCGATTCTTTGGTCAATGTTGCATATACCCCTAATGGATATCTTTTATACCAGAGCCTTCTGATGCGACAGTCATTAAAACGATATGTATTTTGGGACTAATTGTTGGTATATTTTTGTCATTTATTTGGCTTCGCTTTTTTTTTTTTTTTTTTTTTTTTTTTTTGTTAGTGAACCCGTCGGCAAATACTTTCTTCAGCTGTGCACAACTACACCCTGCCAGCTCTGCGGATCAACAGAGATTTTGAAGACGATCGAATCACATTTGGGCATTAAGGTTGGAGAGACGACCAAGGATGGTAAATTCACTCTAGTGGAAGTCGAGTGCGCTGGAGCATGTGTGAATGCACCTGTGTTGGCTGTCAATGATGACTATTATGAGGATTTGACTCCAGAGACCACTATCAAGGTTCTTGACTCTTTCAAAACTGGCAAGCCCCTCAATGCTGGACCTCAATCCGGTCGTCACACGTGCGAACCTAAGGGAGGTCTGACCAGTCTCACTGGCGAGCCTACTGGACCTGGCTTCGGTGTTCGCCCTGATCTGTAAAAAGCATAAACAAAACAACATTTCCAGCACACCGTTTCATTCCCACCTCCCTATTCCCTTTTATCTTGTATTCTCCATTCGCTGGCGGCATCGTTCTTTCTATCACTCGCTTCTATCACCTCTTTCTTTTCTTTTTTCTTTTTTTAACCAATTAACCAATACAGGCGATCCAATCACACACATTACGAAAGTGGAAATACATTTTATTTTTATGATAGATGGTTGTTAAATTAATAAATTGAAAAAAAAAAATCAATTGAGTCTAGGTCACGTGTAATGACTTGTTTCTCTGTTTACAAATTTAAGGTTGCTTTTTTTTTTTTTTTTTGGTCTTCAAGGGGACATTACATTCATCCTTCATTACTCATTGTTCATCCTTTCTTTTCCTTTTGTCATTCTCCTTCGCGGCTGTATCTTATTTCCCACCCTAACACTGTACTGTAAGTTTTTTTTTTTTTTTTTTTTTTTTTTTTATTATGCCATGATACCAAACGCTCCTCATTTGTTTCAGACAATTTTGCTGCTATTTTCATTTTATATTGCTGACTCGTTTTATTGTTACCATCAAAGCCTTTTTTACCCAGCCTAGCTTAGCCCGGTCCAGTTCAATCAGAAAACAAAAAATAATTAGATAATTTTAGTCATGATTTCAGCATTGCAGTGGGTCCGCAGGGGTGCTGCACAATCCAGACCAGATAAATATGATTTGGACGAAAAAGAACTTAAACGTATCAATGAGTTTGCAGCCCAGCATTTGGCAGCGGCCAAGGAAGATTTGGAAGCAGCTCAAGAAGCTGAAAAAAGGTAATTGAGTGGATTTTTTTTTTTTTTTTTTTTTTTTTTGTAACTATCTTAATTCACAATTAAAATAAAGTAAATATGAAGAAACCATGACCATACTTCTAACTGTTTTATTTTATTTTGTTTTTTATTTATTCCTATAGCGAGAATGGAATGGATGTGACAACCATCAAGGAGGCTCATCCTGAACTAGCAGAGTACAATTTGGATGACTATGATGAAGTGAAGCCTGAGGGACAAGGTAATAAATATGGATATTATGTATATATATTTGACTGTTAAGAATGGATCTAAAAATGGCTATATAATTTCATTCATCTTTTTTATATGTATTTTACAGAGGCAACGATTTTCAGTAACTTGAACGGACTAACGTATTATGCTTCAAATCGCGAGGATCCATATATCACGTTGAGGGATGAGGAAGATGAAGATGAGGAAGATATTTTGATTCAATCAACCGATAACTTGTTGTTAGCCGCCAAGACTGAGGACGATATTTCACATTTGGAAATCTATCTGTATGATGAATCCCAGGAAACAGGAGAAGGAGGTCACATGTATGTCCATCATGATATCATGCTCCCTGCTTTCCCTCTCTGCCTTGAATGGTTGGATTTCCGTGTTGGTCGTAAGAGTGCGGTCCAGGGGCCTGGAAACTATGTGGCCGTGGGAACTTTTGATCCCGAGATTGAGATTTGGGATCTGGACACAATTGATACTATGTATCCGGATGCCATCTTGGGCGCGCAGAACAGTGGCGATAAGAAGAAGAAGAAGAATGCCAAAAAGTCCAAGGTATTTTTTTTTTTTTTTTTTTTTTTTTTTTTTTTTTTTTTCTTTTCAAGATTCTTCGTTTGCTTATGTTCAACACACCAAATGTCTTTTATTTATTTATTTATTATTATTATTTTTTTTTTTTAAAAAAAAAAAAAAAAAAAAAAAAAAAAAAGAAACCAAACAAGGAATATCATACGGATGCAGTGATGGCTCTCGCTTGGAACAAACAGCATCGCAATATTTTGGCGTCAGCCTCTGCAGATACAACTGTTAAATTGTGGGATCTAACAACACAACAGTGTGCGCATTCGTTTACACATCACACGGATAAAGTTCAAGCTTTGGCTTGGAATCCTCTCGAGTCCACAGCGTTGATCACGGGTTCCTATGACAAAACCGTCGCAGTCTTTGATTCCAGAGCCCCTGACGCACGTGCCACATGGAGATTGAAAGCGGATGTAGAGTGCTTGCGTTGGGATCCTCATGATTCTCATTGCTACTATGTCTCAACAGATGATGGGATGGTCCAGTACTTTGATGCGCGCAACAGCGGTGCTCAACCGATCTTTAGACTTCATGCACATGATAAAGCGGTGTCAGCCATGGATGTGAACTCGACCGTTCAAGGATGTATCGTCACGGGATCAACCGAGGGTGTAGTCAAGGTTTGGGATGTGAAAGAGAACCGACCCTCGATGGTGACGAGTCGTAATGTCAAGAGTGATCTGGGCCAGGTCTTTTCGATCACGTTCTGTCCGGATGCACCATTCAATTTGGCAATGGCTGGATCGGCGGGCAAGGTCCAAATCTGGGATATTGCAACCAATGCTGGTGTTCGGAGAGCGTTCGAGGGTCGATCGATCATTGTTGCGAATGCAAACACAGAGGAGAAGATCGTGGCCATGGCTAGTGATGATGAACCAGAGTCGGAAGAAGAAATGGACGGTGCTGATATTGATATGAATGAAGTTGCAGAGAGTGATTATGAAGAGGAGAGTGGAGATGATGTTTAAAAAAAAAAAAAAAAAAAAAAAAAAAAGTAGCATAGAGAGCCATACATCTGCCAATAATCCTGACAGGGGACAAAAAGAAATTCATATTCATATTCATAATAGCATACAATATCATCATTCAAAGTTATTTTTTGTTTTCGCTTTATTACTTGCTTTCACAAAACAATAGAAAGGGTGGTGTAGATGTACAAGTTGACTCAGTTTGAGATAGAGGAAACAAAGTAAAGAGAAACAAGAGATAATTAAAGACTGATGGGACAGACAGAAAGGAGTAGAGAGATGGAGATTGAGAGAAAGGATTGTATTTTTTTTTTTTTTTTTTTTCTTTGGTATCTACATTCAAAAGACTTTTTTTTTTTTTTTTTTTTTTACTTGCCATATCGCTCGCTGACATATTTCTTCAATGCATCACCTCCAGCAACCATGCAGATGGTTTGCCACATACCCAAGCCGAATCGAGGGACAGAGCCACGGTAGAAACCCTTGAGACCGTTGGTCTGCCAAATCCAGCGTGCACAGTTGGCAATGTTCATCTTCTCTGGACGCCCTGCAGTCTTGAGCTGTGATTGCATCTCCACACGAATGACCTCAATGGGCTGGTTCCAGATGGAGAGACCACCTCCGATAGCTGATGCTGCAATCTTTTCCCAGGCATTCAAGGGTTTCGAATGATCTGTACCACGGATCTTGTGAATCGATTCCTCTGCAAGACGAGAAAGACCTAGACGCGAACCCCAGTTGGTACACTGTCTCAAAGCCACCGCATTAACTCCCTTGTTGATACCTCGAATTCCTTCACGCTTAAAGATGTCAGCAGCGACTGCGAAGGTTGATTGCTGAGCACCTGTGCCTACAGCCTTGTGACGTGTAATCTCGACAGTCTTCATAAAAGTACAGAAACCCATGGTGGTGTAAGCCTGTGCAAGACCGCCTCCCATACCTCCTAGTAGACCAGCTGCAAAGGGTGAAATGCCCGAGGTCAGAGCTAAATATTCGATCTCACTGGCTGCAAAGATGAGGACTGCACCTTTGGTGCTGGCTTCAATCCAGGCCCAAGGGATCAATCTAAAAAGAAAAAAAAAAAAAATCAATTTTCATGATGAGATTAGTCACACAAATAATAATTACACGCAGCAGTCCACACACGACACGATAGGATTGTGTATTTCATATGATAATTGTAAATGTCCTCATTGGTCTCAATTGCTAAACAAACAAAAAGGAAAGTTGTGGAGAAAGGGTTTACACACACATTCACTGAACAATGTAGAAAAGAAAAGGATATGTGGATGAATGGTACAAGTTGTACAAGATTGAGCAAGACAGTTTCAACGGAGGACAACGGAACTGTTGTCAACCTGCAGTCTCTTTGCTTTTTTCCTTCTTTTCCGTGCTTTTCAAAAAGATGATTGTAAAGATATAAAGAAAAAAGAGAGATTAAAGGGCAACAGCCATACACACTCACACACGCATACATTAGTGATAACGATAGTAACCACTGCAGTTCGCGTTACAAGAGTGAAAGAAAAGAGACGCTAAAAATGTTGTTCCTGAATAACTCTTTTTTTTTTTTTTTTTTTTTTTTTGCACATGGTGAATGGTGATGAAGCAAAACAAATGCCATTGCCTTTTTTTTTTTGTCATCCTTATACGTGCATTCCTAAAAATTGTTAAATAAATATATATATATATAAAAAAAAAAAAAAAAAAAAAAAAGTTACCCTTGATAAAAACCCATGATGCCACCGCGTTGATAGATCTTCTTGAAAGCAGTGGCCATGTTATCCTGACGATTGGCAGCCAAATGGGTTTTGATGACCTCGAAAGGCTGACCCAGGGTAGTAACCTCGAACATGTTCATGACAGCACCCACACCGAGGTTAGCAAAGTTAACCTTTTTCTTGGCAACAGGGCCGCCCTGAACGGTTGTAGGAGCGACGGTGACACCCATGATGACTGTTATCTTTTTATGAACAAGAAGGGGCGAAGAGTGAAAGAGAAGGAGATGAAGAAGAGTGAAAGAGAAAGAAGAAAGAGAGAAGGAGGAAAAGGATCAAAAAAAATAAAAAATTAAAAAAAGTGTCCGTGTGATAAGACTTACATGTACATGTACATGTGTTTTTTTGACTCTTCTCGGAATGTACTAAGGCAAGAATCCTGTTAGTGGCCAATTGCTCATTATCTATAGCAAATAATAGTAATAAAAAAAAAAAGACATTACAAGATGCTGGGGAACAACGTCTGGAACTTGTACTCTTATTTTGCTTTGCCCACCAAAGCAAACCAACAAAAAAGACTCCGTTATATGATTCGTACTTGCCTGTCTAGCGGCTTTTTTTTTTTTTTTTTTTTTTTTTTTTTTTCATTCTACCCACCAGAATTTTATCTTTTTGGGGCATCATAAAGTCAAGTTAGAAAGAGATACAATTTACATGCACCAAATATATACCCTTCTTTTAGCTTTTAGACACTAAAACATACATGTTTATACTATTCTTTGCGTATTTTCTTTCTTTCTAGTCCTACTTCTTTCATCTGGCGACTGAAAGAAGAAAAAAAATGAGCTGATGATTTGTTTTTTTCTCACTTGCATCGGATGATTAAAAGGTGAAAGAGACCTTTGGTCATGTAAAAACCATTAACTCCCAGCTAAGGAAATCCTCATATTAACATGACAATCCTCACTCACTTCAACCGTCTTCTGTAGGTTGTAGGTACTTGTGTAGGAGAGTAAGATCATTGGGTTGGTATCAGTGTGTAAAATCAACTCTCAAGTGTGTCCACAAATACAGAAGAGACACAGACCCATCAGAAGCATATTTGTGTACGCGTGTTTTTTTTTTTTTTTTTTTTTTCCTTTATTGTTTTCTTACGCGTGTTTTCTTTTTTACAGCTTTGCTTCCTTTCCCCATCATTCACCATCTCATTTCTTAAATATTCAATCAATTGTGCCGCAGCAGGTACGATTACTTGAATCTTCTATTAGTCACATATATCACGTGGTATGAAATGCATTATGCTCTTTTTGTCTGTCCTTTTTTGTCCGTGTCCGCATTACCAGACCCGCGTGGAAATAATCTATCATCGCATCGAATACTTCACACACACATACACACTTCAAAATTATAACAACGAGCGCATGACTTGACTTGCCACACGCATCCCTAAATTCATTACTTGCATTGGCATCAATTATTACATTCTCTTCCCTCTCCTCCTTTCCTTCCCCTTCCTCTCTCTCTCTCTCTCTCTTTTCCTCTCTTCCTCTCACCCTCGCTCTCTTTCTCTTTCTCCCTTTCCATTATTCATTGTCACATTTCATTACTCTCTCCTCCTCTTTCTTATTCTTTGGATTCTACTACATTAAAAAAAAAGGACCTTCAGAGAGAGACGGACAGGTAAAGGATACTACCATCATATTCTGTTGGTAAAGACATGTATAATCAAGCCATTATTTCCAAACATGCTTCGTAAATAAAGATATACATAGGTGTTTACTGGACAAACTAATGCTTCTCTGTTATCACTGTTTGGTTTTTATTTACAAGCTCAAGCCAAATCAAATCTATCTTTATCCTGGTATTATCGGCATTATTAAACAAAGAGAGAAACAGGATAGCCACAGCGAACAATAAAAACATACGCACGTACACGTATACACAGTTACGCGTTGATAGCTCAGGATGCGACCTAGACAGGCTGACAACGAGAACAACGAAGATGCAAAAAGTACCAACAGCACCCTGGTTAATGCTGGCATGAATTCTGCAAACGAACAGGATGATGATGCGGAGCCCACGCAGGACTCGCACACCAATGGCTTTAGACATCAAGGCGGGCCCGCAGATGCGGACAGTGAAGAGGATGAATGGCACACGTACCGACATGGCTTTGATCTTGACTTTGACGAGCACGGTCTCCCACCGGAGCACGTCTACTACATGTTTTACACTGATAAGCGTCATGAGGTCACTACTGGACACAATGCAGAGATCACGCTTCGTGAGTGGGAGCCCCTGCAGGATTGGCGCATGCGGGAAAAGCTAAAGACTATCTCTGTCGCTCTAGTCCTTTGTCTCAACATCGGCATCGACCCTCCAGATGTTGTTAAAACAAACCCATGTGCCAAACTGGAGGCTTGGATCGATCCTTTTGTACTTCCTGTACCGAAATCATTAGAAAATATCGGCAAAGCATTACAGGCACAGTATGAAGTCTGGCAGCCTCGTGCTCGATACAAAGCGGCATTAGATCCATCGATGGAAGACACCAAAAAGCTTTGTTGCGTGCTGCGACGCAATGCAAAGGAAGAACGCATTCTGTTTCATTATAATGGGCATGGAGTACCCAAACCCACGTCCAGCGGCGAGATTTGGGTCTTCAATAAGAATTATACCCAATATATACCCGTCTCTCTGATGGATCTTCAGAGTTGGCTCGGATCACCTTGTATCTACGTGTACGATTGCTCTGCTGCTGGAAACATCCTCCTGTCCTTCAACCGTTTCGCAGAAAAACGCGATCTCGAAGCTGCTAAGCAGGCAGCCTCACAACCTCCAGGAACCATTCCTTCACCGCCTCTCAGGGACTGCATTCAACTGGCTGCCTGCGGACCTGATGACACGTTGCCCATGAACCCTGATCTACCTGCAGATATCTTTACAGCATGTTTAACAACGCCTATTGAAATTGCATTGCGTTGGTTTGTGTTGCAACATCCTCTCTTGCACAATGTGACCGTCGAAATGGTCACGCGGATCCCTGGAAAACTCAATGATCGCCGTACACCATTGGGCGAGCTCAATTGGATTTTCACATCCATCACGGACACCATTGCCTGGAATGTCCTCTCCCGAGACTTGTTCAAGACTTTGTTCAGACAGGATCTCATGGTTGCAGCACTGTTCCGAAACTTCTTGCTGGCTGATCGTATTATGCGATCACAAAAGTGCACGCCCATGTCTTCACCAGCACTTCCACCCACTCATCAACACCCTATGTGGGATTCATGGGACCTAGCTTTGGATATGTGTCTCGCACAGTTGCCAGGATTGCTTCAAGGAGAAGGAGCTGGATCACCCTTGGATTATCAGCCCAGTATGTTCTTCACTGAGCAATTGATGGCATTTGAAGTCTGGCTGAGCCATGGTAGCCCATCCCATGAAGCGCCCGAGCAATTGGCGATTGTCCTCCAAGTATTGCTCAGTCAAGTTCACCGTCTCCGCGCACTTCTCTTGTTGAGTCAGTTCTTAGATCTTGGACCATGGGCTGTGAACCATGCTTTGGCCGTGGGCATTTCACCCTATGTGCTCAAACTTCTTCAAAGTCCTGCAGCAGATCTAAAACCAGTGTTGGTCTTTATCTGGGCGAGATTGTTGGCAGTGGACCGGTCTTTCCAGAATGATCTGCTCAAGGACAATGGCTTTGTATATTTTGTCGGTATTTTGGGCGTCAATGCAGGCATGCCGCCGCTTCGAAACGTATCTGAACACCGAGCCATGTGTGCCTTCATTTTAGCAACTTTCTGCAGAGACTTCTCTCAAGGACAACAAGCATGTTTGAAGCAGCAAGTGATCCAATACTGCCTCACGCATGTTGCCGATAGCGACCATCTTCTGCGTCAATGGGCGTGTCTTTGCATCGGTCAGCTTTGGAAAAACTACAATGAAGCAAAGTCGGTTGGTTTACAATTGGGCGCGCACGATCGATTGACACAAATCTTGACCGATCCGGTACCAGAAGTTCGAGCAGCTGCGATGTGGTCATTGGGCACATTCATTAGTAATTTAGATCAGAACGAGCAAGTGATTCAGCTTCAAAATAACCTTGCCATGCGCTCTCTCGTAGCTACTACGGACGCTTCCCCAATTGTTCGCAAAGAGTTAGTCATCTTTCTATCCTCTCTAGTCCTAGACCATTCAGACAGCTTTGTTCAGGTGGCATCGGAACTTTTGGCTGCAGAGCAGCAGCAGGTTCCTACAGGTAAACTTGACTCAAAATCCAAGTTTGCGGAGGAACGCGCGGACAAGATGGGTCCTCAGGCTGTTTATTCTGTGATTTGGAAAGCGTTGCTCTGTCTCTCAGTTGATTCTAATCGAGGAGTAGCCGTGGCAGCATGCAAACTCGTGGACTATATTAACTATCAACTACTCTCCGGACCTGTTGCACAGACATTGACACCCATGCTACAGCAGCACGCACTTCGCAGCCAAGCACTATCATCATCTTCTACAAACCCGCTTCAATCATCATCGCCCCAGGCAACCCCTGACCGTACCAGTTCCAGCGCTACTCTCAGTCATCGAACAGCTGCCAAGATGGCTAATACACTGAAGCGATCAGCCTCATTGGCAGTGACGCTGAAAAACTACATCCCAGGCTATTCTAGTCAATCTAGTGCAGTAGAAGCACCCAGGGTAGGATTAGGTGGCTTGTCGGGTACCAGTGGGTCCAAATCATCACAAGATGGGGCTCATTTGTCTTCTGCAGACTCGAGACAAACAAATGGTGGCGCTAATGGGACGAATCGGTCGACTCGGAGCACCGCATCGCGTCCTCGATCTGTGCATGGTGACGTGGGATATGTGCAGGCACAAGCGTCACCATCCTATACTCCGGTCAACCAAGGGACTGGCGCTGCAGTCGCTAATGGAGCACTGGATCCAGATCATCCAGAGGCAAAACCACAATTGGAGTCTGTGTTCTACGACTGGTGTTGCGAATACTTTTTGGAGCCTCAGATGAAGGTAAATATTTCCAATACGTGATCTATCCTTTTTTTTTTATTATACAGCTTACTCAATTTTTTTTTTTTCTGTAAAAAACGACGGCTTTGACTGTAGGGAGTTGAGGGCGATGAACCCGGAAGTATTAATTACAACGAGCGACTCTGGCGTCGTGTAAGAAATGAGAAGATTATATATGAGTGCCACCCACTACGTGAGCAAGCAGGTAAAGAAATTATATATGTTTCAATTAGTCTGATAAAAAAAAAAAAAAAAAAAAAAAAAATGATGGACTCTGTGAAAGCCAGGAATTAAGAACTGATAAGTATGGTTAAAATCTATACAATAGGTTTGAGTAAATGGGACACTAACATCCAGTCTATGAACAATGAGTCGGCAGCAATGCATCTAGTCATGCACTCTTATGAGCCGCATGTAGTGATTGCAGACGATAAGAGGAATATCAGGTAATGAGTTAGCTTTAATAGAGCAATAAGGAGAACGTTGTACAATGACGTGTCTGATTCACTCCTTATTCCTCTTTACTTCTTACCTTTATTGCCTTATTTATAGCGTGTGGAATTGGAGAGAAGGCCAGCTACTAAATCGATTCTCCAATTCGAACCCGAGAGGTACATCCATTACAAGTGTCAAATATATTAATGAGGACGACATTGCCATGCTTTTGGTCGCATCAGGTAATTTTTTTTCTTCTTCCTGATAACGTCCATCTGTATATCTGGAGAGTACCGTTCATCCTTGTAGCTTTTTGGATAATTAAAGCAATACAACAACTTTTGATAAAAATTTCTTTCCTTGTGATCTTACTTCGTATAGGCGAAGGTGTTGTCAGGCTGTACCGCAAGTATGACGAACCAAATCAGACTGATATTGTGACATCATGGCGTGTCCTCACCGATATGCTGCCAAGTAGCAAGAGTACTGGGACAATCACGGATTGGCAGCAAGGGCGCGGCGCATTACTGGTTGGAGGAGATGCAAGAGTAATCCGAGTGTGGGATGCTGCTCGAGAGCTGTGTATTAGTGTAGGTTTGAATGACAGAGAAGCTTTCTTCCTTTTTTTGTTTTTTTTTTGTTTTTTTTTCTTTTGAAGAGTATTTCAGTCTATTTTATTTTATTAACCGAATGAGCGTTACTGGGACCAATCAATCACTACTATAGGATATCCCCACAAGATCTGGAGCTCCGGTGACAAGCATTACAAGTGACCAGGTATCGGGAAATATCTTTGTAGTCGGTTTTGGAGATGGTGCAGTAAGAGTGTATGATCGGCGACAGCCTCAACATGAAGCATTGGTGATGACGTGGAAGAAGCATAAATCATGGATCCAGAATGTGCGTATGCAGCGCGGCGGTTTTCGGGAGCTGGTCTCTGGCAGTGTCGATGGAACAGTCAAGGTTTGGGATGTCCGTCATCAAGAGTCTTTACAAACCATTGTGGCGCGAGACCCTATTTCTGCGCTCGATCTTCACCACCATGCTCCTGTCCTAGCCTGGTAAAGCTCCTCTTTTTTTTTGTTTACTTTTACATGATTATTCTCTCTTACTGAAGCCTCCTTTCATCCTTTTTTTTTTTTGTTTTTTTCCTTACAGTGGATCGCCGACACAATACATCAAAGTGTGGAATGTCAATGGCGAGGGACTTTCGACAGTTCGGTCTTATTCAGGTCTATTTGGTCAGAGGCAAGCCAAAGTGACCAGCCTAGGGTTCCATCCTCACGAATATTTGTTCGGTGTGGGTGGAGACGATGGCTGGATCTCAATCTTAGGTTGGTCAGGTAGTCATGGGACGATACAACATTCAGCATCGTTACAACAACAGGCACCACAGCTGGTCGCGCATTAGCATTGTCATGTCAATATGATATAATAAACTGTGTTTGATAGTGTAAAATACGCGTCCAAAGAATGGCGCATTTTGATTCGCAGACACAGAAATTTACGTGGGCCGTTTTTTTTGGGAGGAAAAAAAGAGAAGAGGATGTAACATGGACATGCATCCATCTCTCTCTTCTTCTTTCCTCTGTAACTGTTTGCTTTGCTTGATTGGTCTCTTATCAGCATCAGTGTCCTTACGACGTTCACCTGTGAGTTGAAAAGAGGAACGAAAAGAAAACGCGTTCTAGGGTACCATCATATCCTCTAAAAAAAGACCATTTCTTCCTCATCTAACGAACATCGTTGATGACCTCAATTTATTTAGAGACTTGTAACAAGGAGATAAAGATCAATCACATCATGTCAGCAGAGACTACCAGCACGATAGCAAAGGTGCTCAAACCTACCATTCTGATTCTAATAGCCATTGTCGCCATTTCTAGTCGACTCTTCTCCATCATCCGATTCGAATCTGTTATTCATGAGTTTGATCCTTGGTTCAACTACCGCACTACCCAACGTAAAGCTACTAAACATAGCAGATTATCGCACACTACGCCAATAGGTTGATTGACAAGGATACTGACTCGAAAATGTGGTGATATTCTGATAACTTTTTCATAATAGATCTCGTCAAAAATGGCTTTTACGAATTCTGGAATTGGTTTGATGAAAAGTCATGGTACCCTCTTGGACGCGTTGTCGGAGGAACTGTCTACCCGGGTATCATGGTCACCAGTGCTCTGATCCACAATATCCTCCACTTCTTCAATTTCCCGGTCGACATCCGTAATATCTGTGTCTTCTTGGCCCCCATGTTCTCGGGTCTGACCGCGTTCTCGGCCTACTTGTTGACAAAGGAATTAAAAGATTCTTCCGCAGGTCTTCTCGCAGCCGCCTTTTTAGGCGTTGCCCCTGGATACATCTCTCGTTCTGTTGCTGGGTCATACGATAACGAGGGTATTGCTATCTTCTTGCTCGTCTTCACATTCTATCTCTGGATCAAGGCTGTCAAGACCGGTAGCGCTTTCTTTGGCCTTTTGACCGCTCTCTTTTACTTTTACATGGTCTCCGCTTGGGGTAAGTCCGTTCTTTTTTGATATTCCTTGTTTCTGCAAATGACATCAAATATTGGGTCAACTTGACTAAACTTTTTTTTTTTTTTTTTTTTTTTTTTTTTTTTCCTCTCTCTTGCAGGTGGATACGTATTCATCACCAACCTAGTACCTCTCCATGCATTCACTCTTGTCTTGATGGGTCGCTTCTCCAACCGCCTCTATGTTTCTTATTCAACATTTTACGCTGTTGGCACACTTTTGTCGATGCAAATTCCTTTTGTTGGATTCCAGCCCACACGCACCAGTGAACACATGGCAGCCTTGGGTGTCTTTGGATTGTTACAACTCCGCGGCTTTGCAGAGCTTATCCGTGGTTTGGTCACCCCTAAACAATTCAGGACCCTCTTAAAGACTGGAATCGCCATTGTTACAGTCGTTTCTTTGACTATCTTGACGTTGCTTAGCATGAGTGGCGTTGTGGCCCCCTTCACAGGTCGTTTCTATTCACTTTGGGATACCGGCTACGCAAAAGTTCACATCCCCATCATTGCTTCCGTCTCTGAACATCAACCCACTGCATGGACTTCGTTTTTCTTTGATCTTCAAATGCTCATCTTCTTGTTCCCGGCTGGTGTCTATCTTTGCTTTAAGGAACTCAAGGACGAACATGTTTTTATCATTCTTTACTCTGTTTTTGCATCTTACTTTGCAGGAGTCATGGTCCGTCTGATGTTGACACTCACTCCTGTGGTCTGTGTCTCAGCCGCCATTGCCTATTCAACCTTGTTGGATACCTATCTTGAAAAATCGGAGCATGTGTTAGCAACCACACTTCAGGGCGGTGCTTCCACTTCGGCTGCTTCCGCTAGTGCTATCGAGAGCACCTCTGCTTCCAAAAAGCACGGCACAAAGTCAACAAACAAGGATACATCTGAGACTAAACCCCATTCCGCCGCTGCCTCTTCTCGTAATAACAACGCCAGTGAAAAGCCGAAGCGATTCCCAATCTTCAGTTGGGATTCAAGGATGATGGTTATTTTGCAGCTCACCTGGTTCCTGTTCATGTTTGCATGGCACTGCACCTATGTTACCTCTGGATCCTACTCTTCACCCTCGATTGTCCTGGCGACTCGTGGCCACGATGGTTCACAAGTTATTATTGATGACTTCCGTGAGGCTTACTATTGGCTTCGGAAGAACACAGGTGAAAATACAAAGGTGATGTCATGGTGGGATTACGGCTACCAGATGGCGGGTATGGCCAACATCACCACGTTAGTCGACAACAATACATGGAATAACACCCATATTGCTACGGTCGGCAAAGCGATGGCTACCTCTGAAGACGTCGCCTATAAGGTCCTTCGCCAACACGACGTTGACTATGTGTTGGTGATATTTGGAGGCGTCCTTGGATACTCTGGAGACGATATCAATAAGTTTTTGTGGATGATTCGTATTGGAGAGGGAGTGTACCCAAACGAGGTCAAGGAGCAGAGTTTCTTCACGCCAAGGGGTGAATACAAGGTTGATCATGAAGCCACCCCGGCGATGAAGAATTCATTGATGTATAAAATGTCCTACTATCGCTTCTCGGAACTTCACGGAGGAAATGCTGTCGACCATGTCCGTAGCGCACGTATGCCTGCCGAGGGTCCTACACTCAGTGTATTGGAAGAGGCCTACACAACCGAGCACTGGCTCGTCCGAATCTACAAAGTCAAGGACCTTGACAACATTGGTCGTGATTTGAAAGATGCAACTGCATTCGATAATGGCAAAGCCCGAAAGTCGTCTTTGAAGAGAAAGTAAAAAAAATGAACAAAGACATGGTACAATTATAAAATAAATGAAAAAATAAATAAATAAAAAAGCTTACACCGCGGTATGTAAAAATGTAAGGATAGTAAAGGAGAGAACTTTAATAGACACAGGCATGTAAATTATCGATGGAGATGAATGATGATAACTGTACAAGTGACAAGTGATAGGCTCGCTTGCAACTAACGATGCCATCTTAACAATGCTTGGACTAGAAGCGGTCTGAGTTTTTCTCAGAATCATCAAGGCTGCATTGCACTGGAATTGGGATTCGAATCTCCTGCAGATAATAGGATGGACGTCGCCATTTCTTTGTTATGTGGCGTGCATTGTGTCGATTGCTAATGCCTGCAAGGGTCTTTGTTCTTATATCCTTTGTTACATGATAATATATACAATCATTGATAATGAAAAGTGGTTGAAATTAAAGCAGTATTAAATGAGATGACTTACTTGTGTAATGGTCAAAGGGCCAAGTGTTTGCAATAGCCGTTCCAATTGGAGGTTGTCTCTTGGTAACCTAAACACTCCAACACTTTTATAAATTGTAGACTGCATCTATTACAGCATTTAAAAAAATGAGCCTTAAAAGCACAACATGTCGAGTGGACTAATTTCAATTGGCTCTTACTAAACCTTAATCCAAGTAAGCATTTCTGTCACCTGCTTTCACAGGCGTCGACTCTTGAATAAATGTCTGCATGTGGGTACATCCACACTGCCATTCTCACACAGCCCCTCCATTTCTTCACCCCTTACTCTCCCTTGGAATCCAAATCTCAAAAAAAAAAAAAAAAAAAAGAAGCTGTTACCACTCTGATGGTGCTCAATTGACCGAATCTGCCCTGATTTTTTTTTTTTTTTTTTTTTTTTTAGTATATATCTATAGACGGAAATGATCAAAGCAAATTAAAAATGGGCTTTTGTACTTTCTTTCGTTTTGAAACACACTTCAATTTAATGTATACGCCCTCTGCTCTTCTTCCTCTTCTTCTTCCTCTTCCTCTTCCTATTTCTCTCTTTCTTCTCTCTTTTCCCTTTCTCTTGGCTACGCTTCTCCTTCCCTTTACCCTTGGACAAATAACTAACGCTTTCCTGTTTTGCGCCCACCAAAGCCCTCTCTGCCTTTCCCGCGGATCGTTATACCCACAAAAAAAAAACACAGCCCACATTACGCTCTTAAACCTCGTTGGTGGTTAACATCATAGCACCACACATCGGATCACCACAAAAGGTAGTGCTTTTTGTTCTTTTTTGTATTTCAGCAATGCTTTCCTATGCCGGGCGCACTGTAAACTGATGTGCCATGGCATGCCGAGACCCTTTTCGAATGTTGCTCCTATATTCTGATTCATAAAAGCCAGCAACACTAAAACAGAGGGAGGATATGTAAAATAAATAAATAAACAAGATCTGAAAAGAGAAAGGATTGTTCTCGCTCCTTTTTTTTTTTTTTTTATTCAGCCTAAGTTTGCATTTCGACCTGGTTTTTGGTTCAACTCGACGTGACTTGAGCGAGTTCTAAGCAAAAAGTTCAACGAATAGGCATACCCAGCTTTATTATGTTATTCTGACCTTGCCACTTGTTTAATCTGAGCACACAATATGATCCAAATGGTCTAGATGGGTGGTGTCATTCGTCCCTTTCCTGTTAAAGATGACATCCTCCAATAAATGGAAATCGGCAGTGCAGATGGACAGGGGTAATTAACGGACGTTTGGACGTCCAGACCTTTTTTTTTTTTTTTTTTTTTTTTTTTTCAATAAAAGAAAACCGCTGGCGCTTTGCATTGTGAAAAAAAAAAAAAAAAAACTTCTTCGCCTCTTGTCTCGTTCAGCTCCTTTCTTTTGTTCACTTACGTTTATCTATTCCACTTTCTTTAACATCCACTCTCCATTGCTCTTCTGTAAGTGTTCCAATCCTACTTCTGAACCACTTTTTTTTTTTAGACCTTCTGTGTATTTGTTTGGCGTCGGTGCTTTTGTCAATTGTGGTCAAGGCTTTTTTTTTTTTTTTTTTTTTTTTTTTTTTTACATTTGTAGATAAGGCTGTGGAGCCTGAACGAATTCTGGCTAATCAATCCGTGCTTTTCTTTTTTCTATTTTTTAATAGTTGATCAGTCGTTACTATAAAGACCCCCTTCACTTCTCTTGAATATTGACAGACAGACTGAGGAAACATTCGCACACTCTCTTGTTCACAGACCAACAAACCGTTCATTGCCACATAATGGCATCGGATATGACATCTCCCCCCTCATCACAGTCGCAGCATCCGCACCTTAATACTTCTACAATAGTTGAAATACCATCTTCAAGCCTCTCTCATGTTTCTCCTACACTTCTGTCCAATCTATCCAATCTATCCGACATTACTGCCAATATCAATACCAAGGTTACAACTATCAGTAGCATACAAAAATCAACGTCGCCCTCTTGTTCTTCTCCACGCATACGCTATTGCTGTTGCTTCCCTGTCTCCTCCGGTATTTGGGTCATTTCACTTCTACTCATTGTAAGTTATCCTTTAACCTATTCCGATCCTGTCGACCTAGCCGGATATGCCTTACATTCCCACTCTAATCAACAATAAAACCGCCCTTTTTTTTTTTTTTTTTTTTTCTCGTTCTTTCAAGATCCCGTCTGTAGCCTTGATTCTTTGCTTTAATGTGGTCAATGTACGGAACCTTGTCCGATTCAATTCTCCAGCCCACGTCAAGAACTTTTACACGATCGTATATTCATTCTACACAGTGGTGGGTGTGGTCATAGCAATATGTCTACGTCGGATGAGGATCCAGAAACAACTCAAGGCCTTAATCATACTTTATTGGCTCCTCTTCTTGACCACGATCATCGAAGGCATTTACTTTGGTATCATGATGTCAAAACAAAAGGCCAAACTTGTTAGCTATTGTGAAAATAGGTTCGATAATAGCAATAACAACAATAATAACAACGACAGCAACAGTATTTCTAACCCTTCTGGAGGAGAAGCCAGCCTTGGTCCAAACCCAAAGCCCTCTTCTCCTTTGATCTGTCAAGGGGCAGGCACTATCATTAGTATCTTTTATATCCTTGGTCCAGGTGGATGGATCCTTCTCCATAGTGCCTGGATCTTAATCGTCGTGCTTTATTCTAAAGCTTTAAGGAGACAGCATCCCGTGGTGGATGAAGAAGAAGCTTCAACCTTTAGAATGCTGCCCAATCATCGGGAGAACGCTGCTACCGAGAAATATTATCAGTATTCATCTAAAAAGTCTGGTTCTTTTCCTTGGAGGCACCTCCGCCCGGACATCAACGAGAAATTGGCCACTCAACGACGTCAGGATAAAGAGGAGGAGAACTCGGACGATGATGAGGCAGAGGCCCAAGAAACAGCTGCTACTCGGTCGCGAGAACGAGGAAAAGAAAGAGCAGAAGAGGGCTTGGGTGATCAGGACCCTTCCTCGTTCTCCAGGCCTGCGATGCCTAGGCAACAAAAGAGCTGGTGGATGGAGCAAATCGAAGCGAATCGCGCAAAACGCTAAGCTTTCAACTACTACTATTATAATGTACCATATGATATTGTATAATAACAAATTAATGGATAAGCAATTGTTATGATTTTATATTTTTTATTATTTATATGATCAAAAGAAATAAAATTGTCATTGTCATTATCTTATTTTTTTTTATGGCGTTATGATCGCTGTCCACGACCTAGATCTATTTCCCAAATGAGACGTTGGCTTTCGTATATAGAAACTGGTTCATCTGCAAGTCCCCAAACCCCCTTGGGACCAAAGACAATCCTTGACATGCTGGCTGCGCAAGGCGTCAAAAGGCTCTTAGATTGGTCTTCCTTTGCTTCTGCCATATTTGAAACGTTGCTAATGTCTTGTTCATTCATCTTGACCGACCCGCAGCAATGGCCTTGTCTACAGAATTCTGCAAAGCTAAACATAGGCCGAACAGTTTGATGTTGCAGAGACACAGGAGTTGCGCCAGATGGCGTTAAAATTATTTTAGGGCCAGCGGTCGAGGGTGCTGGCTGCTCTGGCTTCTCTTGCTGTTGGCTCCCTGCTGGTGATAATAGGTTCTCCTTATCATTTATTGATGTTTCTGAATTGCCATCGCTTGGTTCTTCCGGCTTCCGCTCATGTGGAATCGGATCATACGGGTGAACATTGATATCTTCCTCCCCACTTTCTTCCCCTCCCTCCCCCTCGTTTCCAGGAGATGATTCCTCGTCGCTTCCCTCCAGATCTTCCCCAGTCAGCCCCTTGGACCCATCAGTCGTTGTCATAGAATCGTCTTCTCCTATATCCTGGCCCTCACCTTCCTCATCTTCCCCCACATCCTCTTCTATATTGTGCTCGCTCACGCTCTGACGTTTCTTTAATCCCCTCTTCTCGTCATTGGCTCCTTCTTTCTCTGAAGGCGATACGAACGTAAAATCCTTGGCTAGTCCTTCGATCAGAGTCGCTAACTCTTCCACATCCAGCCTTCGGCTGACATCCCTAGTGTAGCAGTCAGCAATTGCTTTCCAGGACATAGAGCGTTTTCGAAAGTCCTCCTTCATACTAACGAAATCTTCAAACTCCTGCGGAGTAATCCCCAACTCCTGGTTATACAAATCTTGAACTGCCTCAATACACTCATGCGCCAGATCACGGTCAGGCTGGACACAACTTTCATATTGACAGTCCCAAGCGAAAAACCTTTTCCCAAAAGCCATCATCCGATCCGTATAAATCTTACTTGACCTAGTGAACCGTGGTAGAATTGAGATCACCACAGTTCCTGGGGCCATCCAGCCCGCATAGCCAAGACCATCACCTTGAGGAGCCACGAGAATACTTTGGTTTCTGAACAGCTGTGCAGCCTGACCCAAACTGATTTCTGAGGGTCGATCCAAGTGGATCGTCTTGGCATCAAAGCCCCTGGCCAGCAGAGACAGCTCAAGAAGATTAGCATTAGGGATACTAGTATTACCATAACGACCGAGAAGTCCAACCTGAATTTTGGCTCGTGGCGCGGTCTCGCCAGCGATGAGAGTGAGATTGTCAGACGAAACGACTGCAATATTCTCTCCTGAGGGTGGATGGACAATGTCGGGATCAGGCTTTTGAAAACGAACCATGGAGGGTGACAAGGCATCCAGTGCCTTGGTTCTCAATGACTCTGTTAGATCACTTCCTCCGACTAGATTCTCACAGAACGGCCGTGTGCATCTGGACTGCAGTCCGATCACGGCATTGGTGAAGCACGTTGGAAAGGATTTTGAAGGTGAGCTAATTTGATAGTGCGCAAGAGGTTTGCCCTTGGGTGGATCCAAGACAATTTCACGTCCCTGAGGTGCCAGTAAAAAAACGTCTGGATCCTGTTCAGAGTTGTATAGCGTTCGATATTGCCTTTTCCGATCTTTGCCATTGTTCTCCTCTCCCGATACACGCATAAACCATGAAGACTGCGATCCACCATAATTACTCATCACACTAATAAGGAGAAGATATAAATAATAACAACAGCAATAGCAATAACAACAACAACAATAATAGCAATAATAATAAAGATATTAATGGATTGGTACGAGTAGTATAAAAATTGATTTCTGCAGATCTTGATACTTTTTTCGTGATGCATTGATTAACACTAACGTTGCACAAAAAAAAACAGGACATGGACATGAAGTTGACACAGCACAGACTTCATTTTCATGTTTGTTTCATTACCTGTGGAGAGGTAAGAGGTTATTCATGGTCCAGCTGAGGCCATTGGTTGGATCGCGCCCATATAAAAAGATTGTCTCGTCCACTAGTCGGTAGGACGCAGCAGGGAAATGGTCCAGTACCATCGGACGATAATAAGCATCTGATCCCGGATCAGCAGCCACCACATTAATCCTAGGAAAATCACCTGCATCTTTTGCGGGGTTGATCCATGCACCTAGAAAAAAGAGGTTGATTGATCAATATCATAATCACAAGGAATACAAGTATAAAAGTAAGTGAAATGCTTTTTTTTTTATTATTTTATTCTTTTATAATCGAATCGTTCTTTCGTCGCTTAAATAAAGGCAGATAAAAAAAGGCCATAAAGGACAAACCTCGTTCTGAATCGACACACAAGTTCTGGACGGTGCAAATAGTTTCTCGGTTGTATCCTGATCCACGTACAGATGGAAGTATTGAGGCTGTAGACTGGCAGTTAAACCGAGAAGTCAATGTTGTGTTAGACCATCGTATGGCCGTTGTTGTTTTAATTTTAGTAGTAGAAGGATTCTTGTTTTTGTTGCCGAGGTCGTTGAAGAGTTGCTCCAATGCGACCCATTCTGCATTGTCTCGTGCAAAGGATGAAGCGAAGCCAAGAGAGAGATGCGAATATGAATAAAGCATGAGCCAGGAGAGACAGAAGGTGAGGAGGATGCAGGAGAGGAAGATGCGTGGTGAAAGACATGATCTGGGGATAAACAGGGGTATCCTCAATACTGTTGTTGAAGAAGTAGGGGTTGAGTAGAAAGGTAGCGAACTTGCGCCACCATTCCGAGTCAGCATTGCTTCGTAGTCAATTAATCGCCTCAAGACAAAGCAAAAAAAAAAAAAAAAAAAAAAATGAAGAGAAGAAAGGAAAGGGAAAAAAAAGACGTTGGACAGTAAGAATGAACTGAGAGTAAGTCAAGGTAATGAATGACAAAGCGAATGATAAAGAGGAGAGTATGGGAGAGAGAGAAGGAGAAGAGAATGAGTGAGTGGATGTGGATGCTATAAAAGTGATGATAAAGGATGCAAGAATGAAAAAAAAAAAAAAAAAAAAAAAAAAAAGAAAGAGAGAAGAGCGAATCATTAGACTCAACAGCAATTTAGTAATGTCAAAGGACATAAAGTCTATTCTCATTATCATTATTACTGTCATTGTCATTGTCATTGTCATTCATTGTCATTGTCAGTGATCATTGGTCATTAGTCACTGCCATCAGCTATTGATATTTATTATCATTGTTCATTGCCATTGTTTTAGTTTTCTATATGCTTTAATGACTTCATTAAATAAAGACATGGGACACGATGGGACATGGATGAGACCATTGAAGTTATATACTTAAGGGTCTCTGATACGCAACTAGTCTAATGCAGATCGGGCAATTAGATAACGACACCATTGGACATATTACATATAATTGCACCGTTGACCCATCGCGCGTCTTTCTTTTTTCTTTTCTTCATTCCACATTCGTCAACTTTTTTTTCACAAATGGCCTCCATTCAGTCTATTCCAACAAAACCCTTTGAAGGACAACGTCCCGGAACAAGTGGCCTTCGCAAGCGTGTCAAGGTCTTCCAACAGGAGCACTACACTCAAAACTTCATTCAGGCTACTCTCGAAGCCATTCCCACAGGTGCAAAGGGCGCAACTCTTGTCGTCGGAGGCGATGGGCGCTATTTCTCCCAAGATGCTGTTCAAATGATCATCCGTATCGCTGCTGGTAACGAGGCAAGTATATCCCCAAGTTACTCCAAAATGATGTCAATACCATGTCAATGTTTTATTTTTTATTTTTTCCTGGGAAAAGGAGAGTATTTCTTCAGCTCCGCATTCCTCTGCTTCTTGTCAATCGCGATCCTTTTATCCAGCAACATGACCACGATCGTCTTGGTCTTCAGAAGCGCAAATTTTCAAAGTACTAATAACCAGCTGGTGGTTTGATCTATGCAACCCTCCAAATATTAGGTTTCTAAACTCATCATCGGTCGAAACACCATCCTCTCTACTCCTGCTGCTTCAAATCTCATTCGCCTTCGCAAGGCTACCGGTAAGTTTAAAAAAAAAAAAAAAAAAAAAAAGGCGGGATAGTAATACGTTACCTTCATTGAGCCTGAGAAAGACGGAGAAAAGAAACGGGAGAGGTCAACGGATCGACAATGAGATCATGAAGAGCAAGGATGAGTAAAAAAAAAAAAAAAAAAACTACGTCCTTGTTTTTTCCACAATGCAATTACTGATATCAAACGTTTATTTTACATGTATTTTTATAGGTGGTATCCTCTTGACTGCATCCCACAATCCTGGAGGCAAGTGCTCTTACCCATTGCTCTATTATTATTGCACATTACCCAAAAAAAAAAAAAAAAAACAGCGCTCACAGCCTGATATGAATTCTTTGGACCCAGCAAAGAACAATAGAATATCAGCAAAGCACCATTGGTTGTTTCCACAACCTTTTTTTTTTTACTTTATTTTTGCGTTATCTCGACTTAGTTTTTTGGGGGATGGTCAGTGCTACACAAGGAAAACACAGAAAAGACTAAAATGGATCTGAATGACGAGATAAAAATAATTTCTTATCGAGTCTTGTCTCCACAAGTCCTAAAAAAAAAGCCCGCCTCAAACTTTGTAGCATGGACTGTCATTATTCTACTTTGTTTCGTTTTTATTTCTCCCCAAAGGTTCGTCCTTCCTTCACTAATCTTTTTTTTATTTTTTTTCTATTGTCTTGCATTTGTGTTTAGGACCTGACAATGACTTTGGTATCAAGTACAACATGAGCAATGGTGGACCTGCTCCCGAGAGCGTCACTGAAAAGATTTATGAAATCACTCAAAAGATTACTTCTTACAAGGAGATCGCTCTTGATCCTGTATGTAAACATTACACGTCTTTTCTTTGACTTCACTCCCCTCAGCACAACAGCTTCAACAGGTGTTTAGAGTGATTGGGTCTCATTGAAATCGCATTGACCTCATTTTTGTCCCACATTCTTGTGTATTTTCTCACGCGTTTTTTTTTTTTTTTTTTTTTTTTTTTTTTAATTTCCCTCTTCTCAAACAAAATGCTTTAGGTGGACCTGTCGAACGTTGGTACTCAACGCATTGGCAACCTGGAGGTCGAGATTGTCGACTCTGTTGCTGACTACTTGGCCCTACTCAAGGAGATCTTTGATTTCGACCTCATCAAGAGCTTCTTGAAGAGCAACCCTGACTTCACAGTCCTCTTCGATGGTATGCATGGTGTTACAGGTCCTTATGGTCGACAGATCTTTATCAACGAGCTCGGCCTTCCAGAGTCTTCGGTCATGAACTGCGTCCCCAAACCTGATTTCAATGGTGGACATCCTGATCCTAATTTGACCTATGCTCACGAATTGGTGGACCGCGTTGAGAAGGAGAATATTAGCTTTGGTGCTGCCTCTGATGGTGATGGTGATCGTAACATGATTATTGGCAAGGGCGCCTTTGTTACACCATCAGATTCAGTGGCCATCATTGCTGCTCAGGCCGATGCCATCCCTTACTTTAAACGCACTGGTATCAAGGGTCTGGCTAGGAGCATGCCTACTAGCACTGCATTGGACTTGGTTGCCAAAAAGAAGGGCTATGAGTACTTTGAAGTCCCCACAGGATGGAAGTTCTTTGGTAACCTTATGGATGCTGGCCGTCTTTCCATCTGTGGCGAGGAGTCCTTTGGAACCGGATCTGATCACATCCGTGAGAAGGATGGTGTCTGGGCCGTTGTTGGTGAGTCAAAATTCTTACTGTTGTGATTGTCTTGTATGTTGCCTTCCCAAAACCGTTAACAAGTTTTTTTTTTTTATTTTTTTTTAAAAACTTTCTGGGTGATAAAAAACAGCATGGCTTAACATTATTGCTGCTGCAAACCAGACCAAGCGCGCTAGCATCAACGATATCCTCCTGGCTCATTACAAGGAATACGGACGCAACTTCTTTTCTAGGTAATGCATACTAGCGGACTTGCTTTTAATATATGTGTGTGTAAATACAATGGATTAACTTTTTTTTTTTTTTTTTTTTTTTTTTTTATTCTTTTATTTTTTTTATTTTTTATTTTATTTTTACGCTTGAACAAAAAGATATGACTATGAAGAAGTTGATGCTGATGGCGCCAACAAGATGGTTGAGCGTCTTCGGTCTTTGGTGTCAACAGACCGTGCCAATTTGATCGGCAAGGATCTTGGTAATGGTTTTGTTGTCAAGGATGGAGATGACTTTGAGTACACTGATCCTATTGATAGAAGTGTCTCTAAGAAACAGGTAAAGCAGCTAAGCAGCGATTCAGGATAGCTATTTAGTTCGGTATAGGTTGAAGATGGTCGTTATCAATGTTTCTGGCAAGGCATTAACATTGTATTTAATTTTCAATAGGGAGTTCGTATTATCTTTGAGGATGGTTCGCGTTTGATCATTCGATTGTCTGGCACGGGATCACATGGTGCGACTGTGCGTCTGTATGTGGAGAAGTATGAGTCCGACGCGAGCAAGTACCAGGACAAGACACAGGATGCATTGCGACCACTGATTCAGGTAGCGTTGGAGCTTAGCAAGTTGACTGAATTCACTGGTCGCAAGGAGCCCACTGTGATCACATAAATCCCGTGACTGTAGAAGTTTGAAGTACATGAGTGCATGTACATGTAGAAAAATGCAAAGATCTACTGTTGCAGACATACCTTAAGAAAAAGACACACAAGGTGATGTAGGTCTGGCATTTGTAAATAAATAAATAAATAAATATATAAATAATGATATATATACATGTATGAAGTATTAAAAAGGCGCGTGAATGAGACTTGGGGGTAACGAACCGTTTCTTCGACTTTTACATTTCTATGGATGCTCTACTGGTATATATTTGAGTAGTTGACAAAGATGGTGACCGATTAGGTAAGGAAAGTGTCTTGCTCTCGTTAAAAAGGGTTTGAACTAGATCATGTCCATCTTGAGCATGTTGAACGCGAGCACACGACCTTTTTATTTTACGCCTCCTCTCTCTTTTTAGCAACACTCAAGAGGAGGCGCTGTTCTGTTTCCACAAATCATTTTGAACCAATGGATTTGGTGACAAAGAGATTCTTTTTTTTTTTTTTTTGTCCTTTGGGCTCGGCAATAGATCCTTCTAGTACCATCATAAACACACACGTCTCAAACAACAGCGTCATTGTCATCCCATTTATACACTCACTATACACTAAAAAAGGCTGAGTTGAAGATGAAGAGATAAGGTGGGCTGGGGGCTGGAATCTTGTCCATCTACAGTACATGAAAACCCGTGTTAGTGGTGAGGTAAAGCAATATCAGCAAACTAAAAAATAAAAAAGTAAAAAAAAATCATCATTAATGTTCTTTCCCATGCTCATTTCGATGCAAAGACTAAAAATGTATAATAGAGGGCCACCTTCGACATGAATAATAATGAATAAATAGACAGGCTTGAAAGGAACACAACAGATGTTTCCGACTTTATCGTTTAAGCCAAGTTGACCAGGCCTATAACAATGCAGAGCTTGGGGAAGACAGAAAGATTGATAGAAAGATTGACCAGCGAAGAGCTGAACATGTATAATCCACAGAGAGTGTAAAGAGTCTCTAGCATTTACTGCTGTGTTCATCCCAAAAGTTGTCAAGTTGCTTTATCTGCCTGGTCTGGAGCCTCTGACTTGTTCCCAGCCAAAGCCAATGGTTTTCTTTGTCTTTGGCATTCTTTTTTTTTCTTTATCCTCGTTGCCTTTGTTTCTTTGTTCATTCAGTTCAGTATTCATAGAATGTTCATGCGGTTGCGGTTGCTGAAAGAAACAAAGAATCTATCGGTGATTTCAGTTTAATGCATGTGTTTGCTAATTTGAATGTTTACAATCACATTTAGGGCCTTTTTTAGGAACCAAAAAAAAATCTTGTTCATAGAAACAGGAACAGTTTTCCATCTTTCATTGAATGGATTGATGGTGAAGGTAATTGCTCTCATTTTGCTGATTTCCTATTTGCTTGGTCTGTTTCCGTCCGGACCATTCTCGTTTTGGCAGCTTTTGTTCTTATCAAGAGTAAAGGGCTCACAACCTTCCTGCTTTTTGCAGTCAAGGTACATGTATATTTTATAATCATCACCATTCATCTCTTTTTTTCTTTTTTCTTTTTTCTTTTCCTTTTCTTTTCTTTTTTCTTTTCACTTCAGGTCATCCGTTCCCAACTCCTCAACCCCTCTTAATCCTCCATATTTTCTTTTCTTCTCTCTTTGTTCAACAACATCTTTGCCGGCTCGATTCGATCCAATTGACTGACCGTTCGATCAAGAAATTGTTAAAGAAAGAGTTACTACTGATACAAGAGAAGCAACAGTAGCCACCATGTATAATTATTTCAGGAGACCATCAGAATACTATCGCAGGGCTCGATGGTCCTACCCAGGTATAAAAAAAAAAAAAGAAAGAAAGAAAAAAAAGAGAAATGGACAAATTGGTCTGATCATTCTTTATCTTATTTTATTTATTTTATTTTTGCGTTATATTCCTCGCGTGGTTGAGGAGGATAAGAAGAATGCTTACATTGTTTAATACAGATACAACTGGAAAAAAAAAAAATTGGACAACAGGAAATGTTTTTTCTATATTTTATTTTATTTTATTTTATTTTTCAACATCGTTGCAGAATCCAAGAGATTACCACAATCGTGGGAGGAAACATCAGCAAAAAAAAAAAAAAAAAAAAAAAAAAGAGGCGAGGCGATGGAAGGGGTGAGGGGGAACCGTGATTACTGCATTTATGGGATTTTTTAAATTCCGAGGAAGAAAAAAAAAAATTAGTGTGTGAAAACTTCACAGGGACCATTCTGGATGAGGAAAAAAAAAAAAAAAAAAAAAAAAAAGATTGGAATCCAGTCAACTGAAAGGAGAGGCACAATAGAAAGAAGACTTGGTTGGAATAGAACGATGTCTGGATCTTGTTCCCTGCAATTGTTGGTTACTGGTCTCGTTGTTACATTTGTGTGCCCGCGTTAGGATACTGAAAGACTGACATTCTCATTTTTCTTTTTCCTGATGTCAATGGCAATTAGATACTCTCCGTGTTCGCGGTTCGGTCATCCCCACTGTCTTGACAGACGTGCTGATCATCACTTCGTTCACGGCCACCATCCAGTACGTTGACAGTCTGCGTATCCTGCCCTTCCGTCTGGTCTTCCCTAGTGTTATTGGTAAGATTATCTCCCATCTTTTGTTTACGTCCAATGGCAGAAAGACAGCCTTGGGAAGGAGAATTGACAAACAGATTATCAAGAGAAACTAACTAATCGCTTGTTATACCGCTCTTTCATTCTCTCTTTTTTTTTTTTTTTTTTTTTTTATCTCATAATAATACTGATCACTACTACAATAACATCAATCGATCATTATCACAACATTTATGATCATTCTATATGACATCTAGCCCCTGCTCTGGGTGTGGTCGTCGGTTTGATTTTGGCCTTCCGTACCAACACTGCATATGATCGTTTCTGGGAAGGTCGTAAGCTCTGGTCTGCTCTCGATGTCCAGATCCGTAATTTCTCGCGCATGATCTGGGTCGGTATGAAGGAGACCCGCCACACTCCTGGCGCCACCCCTGGTGGTGCCAGCACTGTTTCTCTCACGGCCGCTGCAAATTCAAATACCCCCCCTGCTGCTTCTGCCTCTTCGAATGGTAGTACTTCCATTGGTGCTCACCTGTTTGGTCGTTCTCCCAAGCCCTTGCCTCGTGATCCCAAGGCCCCTCATAACGGCGTTCCAGATCCCCATGGCGATGATCATGAGAAGGTATTGGTGATCCGTTTGTTGTTGGCTTATGCTGTTGCGGTCAAGCATCATCTTCGTCAGGAATTCGGTGTCCGTTACTACGATCTTGAGTACCTCTTGCCTGAGGGCTTTGTTCCCTGTGCTGCAACAGACCATGTGGAAATTAAGGTGGTTCACGACAAGGCTCTGGGTGATCGTCACCGCCACTACAACGAAGATCCCTGGACAATCCACTCTGGAAATGACAATGGACAGATGTCGCTCCCCCTCGAGATTGCCTATGCTCTTTCGCTCTGGGTCATCAGCGAGTCGCGCGCAGGCAGGATTGAGAGCTCATTGATTGGAAACTTGTTGGGATCTATTAACAGCATGACGGATATCTTTACCAACATGGAGCGTATTGTCTTTACGCCTATTCCTTTGGCCTACAGTATTCACTTGCGTCAAGTTGTGTACCTTTACTGCTTGGCTTTGCCTTTCACCTTCATCGAACTCTTGGGTTGGCACACCGTTGCCCTGATGGCTCTTGTCTCGTTTACCTTGTTCGGTATGGAGGGTATTGGTACGGAGATTGAGAATCCTTTCGGTAAGGATGCTAATGATTTACACATGGACGACTTTTGTAGAGAGCTCAAGCACGAGCTCGAGTACATTGTCAACCTCCGCAACACTGTTCCTGGTGCTCATGTTTAACAAAGAAAACATAAGCAGGACCAAAGTGTTTTCTTAGAATGTTTTAAATAAAAAAGTAAATATGAAAAAATAAATATTAAAATACATTTAGCCAGATCTATAAAAAATTGCTTTATTCCTTTATTTTATTTGACTATTTCTCATGGGAACGAGCATTTTGAGGAAGCGTTCCTGGTTCTGAACGGTACTGAGTTGGCCCAGTTGGATTCTGAGCATACGCACCCAATTCTACCTGTTCATCGTCGCTCGCATGATCCTATTTCACGCATTGAAAAAAAAAAAAAAAAAAAAAAAAAAAGGATATTAGTGTTAGGAGGCGGGAATAGAAGGTTACAATGGGTCTGATAGTATCCAGTGTATATCTTTTTTTCTCTTATACCTCGTCGCGGTATCGACTAGCAGGTAAACGCTCATCATCAAAAGAGGCGGCGACACGAGATTGCATCAATGCAGAGGAGTGAGGACCATTTTCACCCGCAGTTAAGCCTGTTTCATCATCGTCCTCATCCTGACCGTTCAAGGTCATGAATGCACGACCGTCACCTCCACGCTTCTGTCCTCCGAAGGAGTTGTGTTTACGGTAGAGAAACACACCCAAGGCGACAATACCAGCCATACTCAAAAAGCCTACAATGCCCATCCCAACAGCGAATCCTGGAGAAGAAATGCCTCCGTCAGTAGTGTCTTTGCTGTTGTTGGGTCCGTTGGGCACATTGGCTCCATCTTGATTTGTGGGTGGTGTCTGGATGATGTTGGTCGTCTGAGGTTCGCCTTGAGGCAAGGCAGTCTTGGAGAGTTCGTGTTCATCATAAATACCAGGTTTCACATCCGAGAACATGCCCACGTACTTCATACTTGCAAAAGCACCTGCAAACTCATGAACCTCGGATTGGAGAGAAAATTCATAGTCTTGGCATTGATCATCCAGATAGAAATTCAGAGCCATTTCGGGCTCCCCCGTGGTCATGGCATCGTATTCCCTTGGGAGCTGGAATTGAGCAGGGGTGGCACACTCATCCAACTTGAGTTTTGCTAAAAGATATCTACCCTTGGCTTCATAGGTCAAATCCATTTCTGGATCGGAATCCTCAATATATTTGACATCACGTTTTGTGAAAGGTGTGATTGGCGCAGCAGAGAGGAGTGCTGGAAGAGTCAAAAGTAGGACCATTGTTGTAGACAGGGCCATCCTTGTAGTCCATGGTTTCCTACTTTGGTGTTGTTGTGAACTTGTATTGGTCATAGTGCTGTAATATGTGTTGTTGTTGTTGTTGTTGTCTTCTGTTGATCGAGAGGACAAGGGGTGGAGGAAGAATGAGAGGAAGAAAGATGGAGAAAAGGGTTGGATCAGGTCAAGGGGATGAACAAATGGATGGGTGAATGAGTGGATGGAAGGAAGGAAGAATGATAAAAAGGATGAATAAAAGAATAAAAGAATAAAAGAATAAAAGGAAAGAAGGAAGGATATGTGGGAAGATGGATGATTAATATTTTTAGCACAAGTTGGATGGTTGTCTGCAACACAGAACAGAGATACACACGAACATATTTTTATCAACGGTCGAACACTGCCTCCCTCTCTCTCTCCTCTGCTTTGCTGTATTGTCTATGCTCCTGTGTCAAGTCCCATATTTGGAGGGTCCGTATTTATTTGCATTGAAAATATCTTGTCTATTCGACTATTCTCTGTCTACTCTGACTGTATTTATCCCCCATGTCACAGGTGTAATAGATCTTGTTCCTTGATTCCATAGTCGGAAACAAACCCTTTCGAGGAAACCACTCCGAACACTTTAAAATCGGAGGAGGATTGATCATCACCTGCATGGAAAGGATTTCTTAGTTTACATATCTCTGATCCATTTGTTCTTTCAACCTGTCTCACTGAGCCCCCCGTTCTTCTCTCTTTTGATTCTGATCCAAGGAGACCATTTCGCTAAGGTGGATCTACGCTTCTCTTTCATTCTTTTGACGCTCCTCATTCTCAACTATGTTTTTTTGACTACAATACAAACTAGAGTCTGTTCTGGACTAAGCTGGATTTTGTCTTGACAAGAACAGCAGTCAGGAAAGGAAAGAAAAGGAAAGGAAAGGAAAGGAAAGGAAAGGAAAGGAAAGGAAAGGAAAGGAAAGGAAAGGAAAGGAAAGGAAAAAAAAAAAAAAAAAAAAAAAAAAAAGAACATTGACAAACACAGTAACGAAGAGATAAGCGAATTACTTCTATTTCTGAGCCCTTTTTTTTTTTTTTTTTTTTTTTTTTTTTTGAATGCATGTTCTACAGTAAAAACTAGACCCGTTCATCATTCTGGTATCGACCATTTTGTTCTTTCGGCTCTTTCGAGTGCTTCCGCTGCTGTCTTCTGAGGCTGGACGTGCTTCCTTCACTACTACTACCCGTGTGATCCGCCTCACTTTCATCTTCATCATCGTCATCCCCAATGAGCTCAAACGCATTTTCATCTCTGTTCTTTGTCGCCAACAAAATATCATCATCACGATCACCGACATTATCTTCACCTCTGCCCCCAGGACTTGCTCTTTTAAATCGAGTAGGGGATGGTATGAATCTCTTGAATTTGCTATCATCAACTCCCTTCTGTACTGTGCTCCAAAAAATAATTCCTCCTACCAACAACGTGATCAAGCTGCCGACGATTGCTCCAAAGAATGTTGAAAGATATGATTTCTCTCCTCCACCATTGTTACTGTGATTATTGTTGTCATTTCCATCTGGGTGGGGCGTATTTCCTGTTGATGGTACTCCCCCACCGTGTGCTGCATCTCCTTGTCCATGGATGGGTTCCTTCTCCACCAAGACGCCAACAGCATCTTCAGTCCATCCTACCCACCGGAAAGACATGGCCGGACCTGGGTTCCCAATATAGTATCCATACAATCCATATGTAAAATCCTGACAGTTTCCATCCGTATAAAAATTGATCGTGGCATTCTTGGGTGCAAATGTCAGATAGGCATAATCCGCTGGGGCTCTATTGGCACCCTCAAGTCTGAAACAGGTATTGAACTGCGCATCGACTGTTCCGAGTTCTTCAGTTTCGGATCTCGAGTACATGATGTTGACTAGTTGCCCCATGGCAGGAGGAGAGCGATCTGCTAAGGATGAGTCCTGTGCTTCAACTTTGAAAATGTTGCAACTCAATGCCACTAGGGCCATTACTACAACCGTAGTGGATGATGGATGCATCTTTTTTTTTTTTTTTTTTTTTTTTTTTTCTTTCGTTCTTTCCTTTTTCCTGTATGGCCTTGATTCTAGATCGTGATGGGATGTTTTGTGTTTCCTGCTGTTTATTGTTGTCACATGAGTGAAGAAGACATGTGTAAGAGAGATGTGTAAGGAAGAGAAATGTGTTTAAAAAAAAAAGTTGGTTTGTGCTTAAATTTTATTTTCATAGTCTAGCTATTGCATCCAAATACCTCCTTGTCTCTCTCGCAATTTCGAGTTCCCGAGCGTGCTTGCGCTTCTCTTGGATGAGTTCAATGAGGGTGCGACCAAGGGTAGAGCGAAAGTCTGACTCGGAGGGACAAGTAGCCCAGATACCCAGGACGAGAGGATGTTGCTTTCCAGTAAGCTGAATGAATGAATTATTAGCGGTAGCGGCTACTTTCTTGGTCGAGTCGCTGAGTAATCTGGGTTGAGATGGAGAAAGTTGGGTTTGATTCTGCTGTTGGTTGTAGTGCCTACGTACTATATCCAAAGCAGCAACCACTGCCTTGATCTGCTCCGAGAGCTCTTCAAGAGCACGATTGTTCAAATAATCAGACGAGGTTGTCTTGGACATGATGAAAAAGGAACAAAGAATTATTTTTGTTGCTTTTTTTTATCCCGTTACCCCAGTGTGGCAGTGCTCCTTGATGTTGGATTATTTTAGTCACGTGGAGAGGGCTCACCACCAACTATTTGACGAGCAACAGTTCAGGAAACTGGTTCCTTCTTTTGCACAAGAACCATTGGAGTACTGACTGTTCTCGTTCTGTCTTTTGTATTGTGTTCTTTATTTGTCTTCAAGAACTATTTTATCTATCTGAAGCCGGAAGTGACAGGCTTCAAACAGACCAAACCTCTTACATATTTAATCAGCTCCTAAATTTTCCAGCAACATGTGGGCACAGCCAGAGGGTCAAGCTTGTCGCTCTTTTGGCTAGACCTTTTCAAATATAAATGGTCTTAACAAAATATTTATAATTGAAAAGGACTAACCAAAAAGAGCGACAAGCCTAATCCTCTGGGCACAGCACATTTGCATTTACAAATTTGATAGGTATGGCACGTGCCATTCCAGAGAAAAAAAAAGCATTTAATTGTTGCATCATAGGTCTCAAGTTTCTCTTGGTCAAAGAAGACACGCAATGAATGCGATGATATGATGATATCCAACGACATGTCTATTCAATCTGTTTCCTTATCTCTCTCTTCCTTTATCTCTCTTTCTCTCTCTCTCTTTTTGTTCTTCCTTGCTTCAATCACTCACCCTAGATACAACGCCTGTATATACTAAACTCCATTGTCTTGTGCATACTTTCGTACCAATAACTGCTATTAACTATTGATCAGTCTAATAATCAAAGAAAGCAGCCATTGAAGCGTGCTTTCATTTTTGGCATCCTCTTTCCCGATCCACACCCTTGTTATTTGAATCTGAATTATTGTCTCAAGTCTACATAAAAAGAAGACGATCACCATGGTTCCTCCAGTATTGCGTGTATGTTTATTTTATAGCTGCTTCATTCGTAATATATCTCAAAGCAACAAAGCAACTGTTTTATATCACTATTTTTGTCAAAGCTAATGGTAAAAAAAAACTTTTATTTCAAAAAAAAAAAAAAAAAAAAAAAAATTAGCCCATGACAATCGCAACAGCAGCAGGACTAGTTGCTGGTGGCGCTTTTGCCTCTTACACGACCGTATATGCTGATGAATACAATGTAACGAAATTCAATTGGGACAATGTCCAAAAATTGTTAAAAAAAAACTCTCGTTACTCGCCAGTTTTATTGATTTTTTTTTTCTTTCAATATGGATTCTTTTGCGTTAGCAGTATGATGATCGCGAGTATGGACCTCGTCATCACTACCATCGCAATTATAACGAGGATGATAATGAAAACGTGCGGTCGTATGACTCTGAACGCCTTCATCCTCATCATTATCATTATCAGCAGCAACGACAGCAGCAGCAACGGCAGAGATTCGCCCCTCAAGAGCAGCGCTTCATGCATCAGCAACAATCCTTGATCTCACACGAAGAGGAGCTCTTGCCTGGCCTGCTCTACGTAGCCCTTGCTGGCCTCACCGGATCTCTTGTTGCCCGTCAAAGTAAGTTTATTTTCAATGATGTATATGATGTGAACACGTCTTTTGTCAAACATAAACTAAAAGAAAACTTATGCGAAACAATTTTTATTTTAAATTTTATTTCAGGAAACATTTTGATTCGCATGTTCTCGCCATTAGCATTTGCCACTGCTGCGGGTGCATACTTTTTGCCCAGTACCACTCATTCCATCATCGACTCAATTGGTGGAGGACCTATGACGTCGACCTGCGCTCAACACCCTGATCTTACAAGCCAAAGGTCTACATCGGCCTCCTATCCTTCCTCGGAGACGTTTGCTACTCCCATATCCTCCAACGTCCATCCCCGCAAAGGTGAGCTAGCCTCGCGTGCGCGCGATGCTTGGCCTTTGACGGAGTCTCGTGTCGAGCACGCTGCCGATAAGGTCCAACAGAAAGCCCATGATGCCGCCAGTAAGGTTCAACAGCATCGGAGTGGTTATACATACGATACTGAAGATACCATCGATGATGTACAGAATGAAGCTCAAAAGGTCCAAAGCAACGCTCCGTTTTGGTTCTACACTACCAAGCACAGAGGAAGTAGTGCGGTCGAGGACACTTCTGAGACAGTCAAGAATAAAGCCAGAAAAGTCCAGCACTGGGGGGATCAAAAGTTGCATGGTGCAGAGGACAAGCTGCAAGATATGAAGAGTCAAGCCAGAGAGACCCAGAAGGAGGTCAAGGGCTGGTGGAACGATAAGAGCTCGGAGGCTGGTGAGAAAGCCCATGAGTTGGAGGCAAAGACCAAGGAGGCCTCCAAAGAGGCTAAACAATGGTGGACCGAAAAGTCCTCCGAGGCCAAAGTGAAGGCCAAAGAGCTCGAGGGTACAGCCAAAGGAGTTACTCAAGAAGCCAAAGAGGCTGCGAAAGAGGCCAAGCATTGGTGGGATAGAACCTCGACTGAAGTCGACGAGAAGGCCAAAGAGCTTGGAGAAAAAGCCAAAGAGACAACAAAGGAAGTTAAACACTGGTGGAACAAGACCTCGACCGAAGCAGGACAAAAGGCCCATGAGCTCAAGGACAAGACCAAGGAGATATCCAAGCAAGCAGGTGAAAAGTACGAAGAGGTCAGAGAAAAGACCATAGATGTCTCCAAGCAAGCTGGCGAGAAGTTTGAAGATATCAAGGAGAAGTCCAAAGATGTTAAAGCTTGGGTAGAGGACAAGGCTCATGATGCTGGAAAGGCAGCTGAAGACGTTTCCAACAAAGCTGCAGATGTAGCCAAGAAGACGAAGGACTGGGTTTCAGAAGAGAAAGAGATTGTGGATAAGAAGTTGGAGGCCTCAGTCAAGGATGCAGACCAGTGGTGGGAGAAACAGGCCGCCAAAGAAGCTGCTGCTGAAAAGGAACGTCTCTACAAGGAGGCAGAAATAGTTGCTGAAAAGGCTTCTCATATTTCTGACAAGCATAAGCCGTTTTGGTCAAGCCGCTCCAAGTCTGATAAGGACAACGTCGCAGTGCATGCCCACAAGAACGCTTCGACCTACATTTCTAGCGATAGCTATATGGATGGCCTCTTAGATAACAGGGACATTAATAGCCATGCCTCCACCGCTACTAGCCCAAAAGCCGATGAAGCTGACTTGGAGTCCAGAATCGAGCGCGACGCATACATGCTGGTCCATCCACGAGAGCCAGAGTACTGGACCAACGGGGAAGAGGTCGGTACTGCCAATGTTCGCGATGCCAATTATTACAACTACCCTGGCAGCTTTAATGGCAGTTCTCTAGGCCGTACCTCATGGTGGAGCCGCCAAGGAGCATCTGCTAATGAGCTATCTTCTCTCAAGGACAAGGCCGAGTCTTTGGTCTGGGAAACTAAGCAGGCTGCCGAAAGGGCCGCCATTGATCTTGCTGATAACCTAGCCCGTGAACAGGCTGCTCTCGAAAGGGCTGCTGCAGACGCTAGACGTCGTGCAGAGGAAGCAGCTCTCCGAGCCAAGGCACAGAGTGATATCCTCCTACGTGAGCGCCAGGCAACGCTCGAGCGAGCTGCCAAAGATATGGAGGCCCGTTTTGCGGCTGAAAAGGCTGCTGCTGAACGTGCAGCTGCAGATGTTAAGGCTAAAGCCGAGGCATGGGAGAATGAGCAACGAATGCTGGCTGAGAAGGCAGCCAAGGCAGTAGAGGACCGCGTTGCGCAGGAAAAGATGGCTGCGGAGAAGGCTGCAGGCTCACTCAAGGCTCGTGCGGAGGCTTGGGCACGTGAGCAGAAGGAAAGGGCAGAGTTAACAGCCAAGGAAGTTCACAACCGCGTCATCCATGAGACCACCCTGGCAGAGAAGAATGCTCGTGAAGCCAAAGCCGCCCTCGAGGCCAAAGTCAGGGCCGAGAAGCTCGAGGTTGAGCGCAATACACGCGAACTCGAGGAAAGGATTCGCCTGGGAATGAATAAAGAAAAGGCACAAGTAGAAATCCGGGCACGTGAGGAACAACAGGCAAAGGAGCAGAGACTCAAGGATGAAAAGACCACTGCAGCGGAAACAAAGAAGCGTGCAGAAACTCTGTTGGCAGAAAACAAGCGTGTGGCCGAGCACGATTCCAAGGCCTCTACTTCGTCCGGTTGGAGTTGGCCATGGTCGTCATCCAAGTCATCCACCTCAAGTTCCTCTAAGCACCACAACGATGAGCATGTACCGGAAACTAGCCAGACTACTAAAGCAGCCTCGAGTGAGGCCAATGCCGAACGTCGCTCGTGGTGGTCCCCTGGTTCGTCATCATCCTCCAGTGCCGCGGACAGAGCTAGCGAAGTTGGAATCAACGTTGAGGCTGCCGCTAAGAAGGCTGAAAGAGATGTCAAAGTCCGCGCCTCAGAGACAGGCAAAAAAATGAATGAGACTGCTAAAAAGGCGTATGACAATGTCATCGATGCTGCCACGCCTGGCCGCGAGCAAATGTCTTCTACTCACACCGCAGCACATGGTCATGAACATGGTGGCTACAGCGAGAACGTACGCACGAATGCCAATGAGCATGGTCTTGTGGATCATATCCGTGAAGACCTGCGTCAGACCAAAGAAGACATCCAATACGGCGTTGAACACCTGAAGGAGGCTGTCTTTGGTGGCAGTACAGAACGTACGGGCCAAAAGGCGGCTGAAGAAGGCAAGAAGTGGTGGAACACAAAGTCCGAACAAATGGATGCCAAGGCCAAGGATACAAAGGCTCAAGTGAACGAAGCAGTGTCAGAGAGCAAGGGCTGGTGGAATGCACGGGCCAAAGGCGCAGAGAAGAAGTTGGACCATATAGAGAGCGAGGTCCACCAGGGCCTGAACAAAGCGGGAGAGAAGCTGCGCGAGATGGATCGTGAAGCAGTCGACTCTGAAGCGGAATTCTGGCGCAGACGTGAACAGCAGGAACGCCGCGAGTCTGGCCGTGCTATGTAATAAAAATAAAATAAAATAAAAAAATAAAGACAAACGAAGAAGAATAATAAATTAATAAATTAAAAAAAAAAATGAAAAAGAGCAATTTGCAGAAAAAACTTGCCTCTCCTTGAAACGTTGGGCGTTACTTCATGCAGAATAACCACAACACTTGTCGACAATTCAAGGCTATTTCAACGGCATGAACTGTGGTGATATTTTTTTCTGGACGAGAGGCATTGTAAGTGTGGATAACCAACAAATGCAAGCGAGATGATACGCAACAACTCCTTTTGTTTCGCGCTCAAGAATGTTTGCAACAACACAAACAAGGCCACATTTGCTTACCTCCAATTAACCAAATTTCCATTTCTCATAACTACGCATTTTTATTTTTACTGTTTATTTTTAATTTTTAATTTTATCCTTTTTACTTCCTTTTGGATCCACAGCAATCAAAAAAGGTTATCAGTGACAAATAGATCGTGTATAAAAAGATCCACAAACATTCTACTTTTCTCTTTATTTTTTATCCTTCTATTATTCAATAGCACTTGACACCAATCGAAATACAAATATTTGTACCAAATGTCCGACGAGAAGCGAAGACGCGACTTTACCTTACGAGGTCCGAATAGTGAGGAATTTAAGCAGGGCACTTGTAGCTTTGAGGTCAAGCAATTCTTTTTTTTTTTTTTCTTTCTAGTTTAATATGAAAACATCAATGTCATGATCGCATACAGGAATTAACGGTTGTTTTATTTCAACTGATTTACAGGTTGATGGGCAGTTTATTAAAACCGAGAGTTTTGATGACTTTTACATAAATCTTGAGCAAGTCGCTCTTTCCTTGGGCCCGAGGCCGCCTTCATGCTCAAGATCCATTTCCACTATTAAAGGCAGGACCAAGAAGGTGTGTGCTAATAAAAGGAAAGAAAAAGCGCTTTCAAAATTCGTAATTTAACCACATTATGGCGGCTCTTTCGGAAACACTGTTTGTAGGTATCGCCCACTATGCAGAATGAACGAGGTGAAAGGTTCTTTGAGGCAAGGATAGCTACTGGGGACCATAATATTAATCGAATATATCTATACCCATGATCAAATCAGTTTTCTTTATGCCTTGGGTAGGTAAAATAATCCTAATCGAATTCTTTACCGACTCACCTTGTGTAAATAGCTCGGTCCAAAGAGAAGGCTCACGGTCCACAAATGGCAGAATCAGACCCTGGTAGACATTCGTGAGCACTTTTACAGTAAGGAGGGGATAGCCAAGCCCGGCAGAAAGGGTATTTCATTGACCATTGATCAGTTCAAGTGCATCCTTGACCATGAGTTCGAGATCAAGAGAGCGATCAAGTCGATGGAAAGGCGGAAACGACAGCGTCTTTGTCTGGGCAAAGCATGAAAGATTTGATGGACATTATGAATACTTTATTTCCTCATCCCCTCCCTTCTCTCCCTTCTTGTCCCTTTCATACTCATGTAGATGTGTTTATATTTATTATTAATATTACCATAAGCAATACGGAAAGAAAGACATGAATTTGTTGCATTATTTTGTGATCTTTATGTTATAGAGTTTTGGTGTGATGTTTCTTTATACTCCCTTCCTCTACTAGTGGGCCCGTTGTTTGTTGAGCTAGTTGATCTTGGTAGCCTTGAAGCGAAGGCGGACATACATGATATGCCATACGCCTTCATCCTGCGAAAAAGTTAGGTTATTTTGTACCTCCTGAGCAATGGCCTTCTTCTCTTCCTCATTGTTCTCAAATGGTTTCATGAACATAAATCCAAAAGTATCAATCCAACCCGCCACATCGGTCGACAAAGGGGTCAAGCGAGGGATCAACTCGATATAGTCAACACGGAACCCACTTTCTTCCAACATGCGTTTGTATGTGTTGACACCAGGGAAGAACCATGGATCATACTGTTCTGGATTATTAATCCCACGCTTCTTCAATGCAGCATGGAGGCCTCCACGGACTTCCGCTACGTTCATGTGGCCACCCATCTCGGCTACAAAGCGGCCCCCAGTTTTGAGAGACTTGTTAACGCCTTGGATAACTCGTACTGGATCTTTCTTCATCCAATGTAAAGCTAAAAAGTCATAGATCCCCGAACAAAAATGTGTTACTATAGCGTCTTTTTTTTATTTTATAAGTGTATATATTATATATACTGTACCTGCATTGGAAAAGACAGCATCAAAGTCTCCGTTTGCCAGCGCATTATCAACAAGGTCGTGTCCATCTACCACTCGCGCGTCCTGGCATCCAATAATGGCAGCGGCTCTGATCATGTCAGAGCTTGAATCGATTGCTACGACCGATTTACATTTCTTCTCAAGCTCGATAGTCAAGACACCATCTCCGGCACCCAAGTCAAGGATTCGTTCGTGAGCCTGAGGATCCAAGAGTTTGACGACAGGAGCACCGAGCACGGGCACAAATGATGCATTCTTGACATACTTTTGAGAAGACCATGTGTCGTCTTGCTCCTTGTTGTCGATAGTAGGGCTAGATATGGGAGAAATATCGTTAGTCATGATATAGATTGTTGTTTCTTTTGTGTTTGTGTCTGTGGATTGTAGTGCGTCGTGAAAAATGTGGATGTGATCTGTGTGTAAGCTTCCTCTCCTTTTTATATCTTCTGAGGCAACCACTTGGAACACATGAGTCAAGTCTGTCAAAAAAAAAAAAAAAAACTTAAAAAACTTAAAAAACGCGTAACAACATGACAGATACAGCAGCGCAGCCATGCATATTTAGAGCTGATATCCAAATGTTTGGACGCAAGCCTAGATTCATTAAATTGTTTATTTATTTTACAGGCATACTTTTCCTTCATTTTTTACCAGATGTCAGATAGTCAGATAGTCAGATAGTCAGATAGACATTTATGGGTCACTGCACCAATGAGCCTGCTCCATGTTTACTTTATTTATTTATTTTCGTCTGGCTGATTGAATTGGCTGATGTTATAGCGAAGCTCATGTATCATGAGAAGCCTGTCAGCAAATCGTAGTTTGGATATGGCAGACGACCATCATTAAGGGAAAGTGAGGAGGATTTAACGAGAAGTGATCCTGCTATGGTTATGGTAGAAGGACCAATGAATGATTCAAATCCTTTCCAAAACCTGCTACTTCAGGAGCAGCTAATCCATCTCAGATTGTTACAAGTGCTGTATAGGATGCCAAAAAAAAAGGATAAAAGAAAAAGGGGGACAGAGATCTTGTGGAAGCTGTTGTATCTCTATGTGCTGTGGTAAGAGGTGTGAGAAACGTTCTGTTACAACCCAATCAATTCATAATATGCTTGCGCCATCTATCCTTCTGATGCACTCGATATCCGTTCAAATAGCTCATTCATCTATCTATCAGTACGATCAACTGTGTCAACACTACAAGTGCAACTTTCAAGAAGAGATCCAAGGTGTTGCTGGGCATAGACAAGCAATTATAAACGATGCAGAAGGCTAATGGCTAATAGGCGATGTTGAGATAATGTGGTTGATCGATCAGAGCGTGGGAAGTTTTTTCGTGGTGACTCTTTTGTTACTGGATTAAAAAATAGAGACGCCGTCTGGCTTGATTTGTATGGCATGTTTTCATGAGGACAGCGCAGCAATTTGTTTAAATGGTTTAAAGTCGACAAGAAAAAGCGGTTTTTGGTGACAAAACAAATGACAGATAATGCAGAGAAGGTCATGGTTGTTCACGATCTTGGTCTTATTATTCAACTGAATGATTGCCTTTAGTGTTTAGCGGAGGGATTGAAATCTGTCCTGGATCTATAAATTTATAAATTTAACGCCCCTTTCTCAATTGCTTTTACTCTTGCTCCTCATTCCTTTTGACATTACATTGCGTTGCCAATCAATCATGACTCAATCTTCACCTGAATTGCCTACACCTGGCGCCCCTGGCCCTTTTGGCCATAAGCTACGCAAGAGCTTTCTCTTTCCTGAGAACTTTACTCAATTCAATCATGGTTCCTTTGGTATGTGTATTAGCATACGTTGCAATTGAACATAAGAAATGCCTTATTGATCGATAAAAATGTCACATGTTATTTTTATTTTAGGAACATTCCCAAAGGTTGTTCAGGATGCAATGATTGCTTATCATCAACATGCAGAGAAGGATCCAGGTACGACAAGCATAGCAAGCATATGTCAATTGATTATTATTATTATTTTTCCCACGATACTGCATTTTCCCATAGTAAAAACAAACATCATAAAAAAACTATAGATCGTTGGATGCGTCGAGAGCTGAAACCTGCGTTGACAAAGATCCGTGAAGAGCTTGCAGAGTTGATTCACTGTGACAAAGATGACTTGGCCTTGGTGACGAACACTACTGCTGGCGTTAACACCATCTTGCGCTCGCTTCAATTTCAACCCGGTGATAGGATCCTACAACTCTCGACTGGATATATCTCAGTTGAGAAGACTGTTCGTTATATTTCAGATTCTCATGATGATGTCAAGGTCATTGATGTGCCTATCACCTTCCCACTCACTGGTCAGGAAATTCTTCATAAAGTTGAGCAGGCCATCCTGGCTCATAAACAGTTAAACGATGGATCAAGGATCCGTTTAGCTATGGTGGATTGGATCTCGAGCGTACCCTCTATTTTGCATCCTGTTAAACCTTTAGTCGAATTGTTGCAGAGTCATGGTATTTTGGTCTTTGTCGACGGCGCTCACTCGATTGGGCAGGTTCATGTCGATCTGAATGATCTTCACCCAGATTTCTATATTACCAACTGTCACAAGGTAAAGAAAAAAATTGTACTTATTCCAAAGTTTGTTCTGTCAAGATTTAAATGATGTCTCATTCCATGTTTGCACCGCTCTTTTCATATCTCTCTTTTCTTCATATTGTCTGAAAATCAATTTGCCATAATAGTGGCTCTTCAGTGTCAGAGGGTCTGCTGTCTTATATGTCCCCAGGCGCCATCAACATTTGATCCACCCAACATCTATCACAGCTGATTACAAGACTGGTTTCGAGGCCGAATTCTCTTGGGCAGGTACTCAGGATTACTCATCACTCATGTCAATTAGCTCCGCCATTGCCTTTCGTAAGCAATTTGGCGAAGATGCCATCATTGGATACACGCATGCATTGGCCATCCAGGGAGGCAAGATCGTTGCTGATATCCTCGGCTCCAATAGTCTCACTCCTGATGACCATCAGGTCGCCAATATGGTTAACATCCGTTTGCCACTTAATAATGTCGATCATCCCAAGGCCACGGTCCAGTATTTTATGGACACTCTCATGGACCGTTATAACATCTACACTCCTACTTTCAAACATGGTGGTCAATGGTGGACCCGTGTCTCCGCTCAGATTTACCTAGAACTCGATGATTTTGTTCGTCTGGGTAATATTTGGAAAGAGGTCATTGACGAGCTGAATACAGAGTGATCGATCCATTAGTCTTATACTGTTATTTGTGTTAGTAAATCTTTAAAAAAAAAAAATAAAAAATATAAATAAAAAAAATTTTATTTAAAGTAAAATAAGTTTTGTTAATATATCCGCTCCATGATGGATTCGAGTGAAATGCGTTCATCTGCATTGACATTCATCATGTCGTGCAAAAGTCGTGTGATCGATCCAGAGGGATCTAATATCTGACTCTTCTCATAAGGTGTATTGGTATCCAATACACTATCCAATGATAGTCCTGCCTGAACATTGATAGTTTCTTGCGATACAAATGCTGATGACGCAGGAGGATATGGTACCCTAAAATTGCGAGCTGTCCATGGACTTTGATTATTCCATCCACCGATCAAGGCCCAGGCATCCGATTCTGTCTGGAAAAGGGGCCGGCCACCTGTGAGGATCTCATAATACACGCATCCTAGCGACCAGGTATCCATGACTGCCTCCGCAGGAAATGTTGTATCGCCTGCACGCCATGCTTCCAACAATTCAGGCGCGGTGTAAGCTGCCGGAAGTGGGTTTCCGCCGATACGGTCCATGCGCTGCTCTAGCTGCTGCTGTTCCAAATATGGGTATGCTTCAGACTTGAGATGATTAGGTGGTGGTTGGACAGGCATCGGTAATAACTCAGGATCATTGCCTCCTCCTCCTACCGCTCCAATAGGCTCTCCAATGAAACGAGCACATGTAAAGTCCCAGAGTTTCCAGGGTGCATCCTCCGCCTTTGGATCGATGCCATCCTCTATAAAGAAGCTTCCAGGTTGAATATTTAGGTGTACGACTCCATGGCGGTGGCACCAATCCACTGCAGCAGAAATGGATCGCAGAATTGCACGAGCGTGCTGTGCTGTCTTCACAGGGCCCAGATCAGAGAGCAGACTACTGCATCCGCCCATTGCGTTGATAAACGGATAAGTATTAGCTCGGTTCTGAAGTGCAGGGATACAATAGGACTCCAAAAGTTCCATGACAAATATCGGGCTCTTTAAATGCTTCAACAAAGCTGCCTCGCGCTTCCAATGAATCTCAGTCATGTACCACTTTAATGTTGCGGCTTCGAAAGTGTGTTGATTCTCTGCATCTGTCAAGAGCATTGAGCTACCTTCTGCTAACTCTCGTAGTGGGGTTAATGGTCGCGTAGAAGGGGATGGAGAGGGTGATCGTCCACGTTCGCGTTCAAATTCCAGTCGGCTTCTACGTACCACCACTGTTCCTGAGCGTGCCAGTGCTTGAGAGTCGCCGCCCTGGGCTTTGATCGACCGTGCGCTTCTGGGGAGTGATACAACATGATATGTTCCAAGAACTAAGCGCCCTGTCGGCCCGTGTGGACTAATCAGATGCGCATCCTGGATTTCATAACGAATAACCTGTAGTTGAATCTTTTCCTCGAAACGCTTGCCGCTTTTTCCATTTCTTCTGGCGAAATTGGACGTTGTGGAGCTAACAGAGACAGAATGGGCCAAGCCTTGAGGCGTATGCATATCATAGCGATGGTGCTTAAGAGCAGCCTCAACAGGGATAGTTTCATCTAGATGCGACTGCGAGCTGGCCATGGAACTGTGTTGATTGGCGTTAATGATACTATTCGTATTTTTTGACTGGGTCTCTCGATTGCCTGGCCGTATTCCGTACCCCAAGCGCTGTAGATCATTCTCCAATAGATGTGGCACCTCCGGTAGACTACGGTCATTGTGATACAATCCCAAGGGCACCATGGTCTCATCAGTCTTGATAGGAAAAAGGTTCTTTTGCTTGTACTTAGTCTTTTTGTTACGGTACACAAGAAAGCCTATGATGATAGCTACGAGCGCTAAAAACCCCAAAACGGATCCAAGAATGATAGGTAGCTTGGTGCTGTTATGTTCATCTGCATTGGGATCCAATCCCTGCGATGGTATTGTTACAGATGGTGAAGGGGGAATAGGCGCTCCCGAAACAGGCGGTAATGCCGGTCGTCCAATGATAGAAATGGTTGGACCTGATGGGCTGAGCTGCGATATTTCTGATTCCTTAACAATAAACATGTTGTTCTGTAACGTATTGGAGTCAATTGGAATAGATTTGTTGAATATCTTGCTGTCAGACATATAGTATGATACAAGCGTGTTGTCTGTGCTTCCAGATCCAACCTACAATAAAAGTTGTGATTGCAAATTAATAGGCGTAAGGATAACAGAGGATGAATAGGGAAATGAGCAGTACAAAGGGGATAGGATGAGAACAGATGTTTTATCCAAGAATTACCATAGGTCCAAGCAGAGCCACGCCATTGGAGCCAGCCAGGGGCACAAGGACCTGCCCAGATGATACAGTGAAGTGAGATTGGTCCATTTTGCTGTTAAGATTTACTTTGAGAAGCTGCGACTGTGCCTTGCTGTCAGAGTAGTAAAACCAAACAAAGGATGCTCCAGATCCTGAAGAGATAGTCATGCTGATAATCCTTTTTGAATCTGGAATACCCAGCCTGAAGGCAATAAATATATGAAAAAAAAAAAAAAAAAAAAACTTCTCAGTAACAGTTGAGACATACAGTGTATTAAGGATATTTTTTTTAATTAGTCCCGAAATAAATAGCATTTTATCATTTCGACATACTCTGACAACGAAGCAAGGCCGATCGTATTCGTTGATCTAACGTCCCACTTTCGTACGTTGTTGTCTCCATTGACAGTAGCGAGTATCATAGAGGAAGTTGCATCGTAGCCAAGGGCTAAAATGGGGTATCGAAACTCGGCGACATCGAGCTGCGATATCTTCCCTCCTGCCCAATCATGCCATGTACTAGAGCCATTAGTATTAATAGAGAGATATCCCATATGACTGTCAGCGACATAATAGATGGTCGTAGGGTTGATGACGATGCATTTTCCACCATTAAAATGTTCGTTGATATCAAATGCTTCGGCTGGTTTGAACGCAGGCAGCTGAGGTTCTGATCCAACTATTTTAACAAATGTCAATTTGCCTTTGTCGGCTCCTACAATCCAGGCTTCATCATTAGAGCCTGAGCATACTGTGGCAGAACTGAATAAAAGAGGTTGCTGAACAGGTCCAGGCGATATTGGGGGTGGTGCAGGGACAGCATTTACCACAAAGACGAAACATAAAGATATTTGAATAACCGCCAGTAATGATAATAATGGTGGTTGTGGTTGTGATTGTGCCTGTGGCCGTAGTTGTAAGTGCTGCCGTAGTGGTAGTGTCATGATTCTAAGCTATTAGTTTGGTATATTGACGAAGGATATGGATACAGTAGCCAAGAAGCTTTCGTCGGGGCTGTTCTTGTTTGTTGAAAGAGATGAAAAAGAAAGAGGAAAGAGAATACAATCTAAGGACAGACAAACAGACATATAATAATGATGAGCGATAGCAACAATAATAAATGGGCAAATAAAGAAGTGATGGCGGTAATAGAGGTAATGGAAGGATGAAGAGGAAGGAGGATGATCAAAAATAGAAGAAAAAGAGGCGATGAGAGTAGAGAGTAGACTGACAAACACAACAAATATGCACACAAAGATAGACAACACTCAGCCCACAAAAATTCCATGTGGCAATGCGATTAAAACAACACCAGTCACTTCTGGGCTACACCTAAAATCGTAAGCCAATCATTGTTTGGGTACCATTTGAATACCAAGTATTTGGGTATAAACATGCCAGGAAAAGGTTAAGCGTGCACAGAGTATATACATGGTTTGTTAAATGCAGAACAACTCAGTATATGGCAACTTACTAACAGGCGAAAGGGCTCCAGACTGTCGAGGGCGGCACATCATTCTGAGTCACCATAGCTCAACAACTTGTTGGTTGTGCCGAATAGTGAAGATATCTCTACCTCAATGCTAATATTGCTAGATTACCAGAGTTGACTGAAGGGGTATGGAGGCCTCTAAAGCTGTAGGTGGGGCCGCATAGGACTTAGGACTGATAGTGGTGGTTTTATTTTTAGTCATGTGGAGAGGGTTCGCCGCCAACTATTTAAGGAGCAACAGCCCAGGAAAATCTGGCTCCATTTGAGTACTGACTGTTCTCGTTCAGTCTTTGAGTAGTGTGTTGTTCTTTTATTGTGTTAGAGAGTTATTGCATCTATCTTTACCTGGAAGTGACCGGCTTCACAACCCACCAACAAATTTCCTTTCATACACCCCTAAAATTTCCAACAATAGTAATGGAGGTATGACGCAATGTCCATTTAGTTAGCGGCGGCAATCAATAAAAGCTTCTTTTCGCATAGTTCAATCATCGCTTCTTGCTCAGTCTATATCTGAGTGGTGAAGACTTTGGCTACGATATGATTAGCAAATAAGAGTGAACATTTGCCGCCGATCTACGTCCCACAGTGCCGCTTTTAACATGGAGAGCATTAGCGAATCACTTTATTTTTATTGAAACTCTCTTAGGCCAAGAAAACATGGACCTTATTAGGTGGAGTCATGAGTTAAAAAAAGACTTTTGGGTAAATAGGATGGGTGGACTTTGACAATAATCCATCCATCCATATACGCGATATCCCATCAACTAAATGATCAGTGCCCTATGGGCCGACCTTGCTCAATAATTTGCTGAATTAATTGACTTTGCTCTTCAATGATCCGTGCTTGTTCCTTGAGCTGCCTATCTACCTTTATGCTGCCACTTTCGGAGTGCTTATTGAGGTACTCTTCCTGCTGCTGAAGCGTTGCAGTATAGTAGATCATATCATGGGACCACTGATCAGACTTCGAGCTGCCTGCTTTTTTTTTTTTTTTTTTTTTTTTTAAGAAAAAAAAAAAAAAAAAAAAAAAAAGTATGTAAGTAAAAAAGGATCTACTTCATTATCTTTTGAAAGCGTTGAGTGAACATACCTGGGCCATTGTACGACAGGGCCTCTGCTTCTTCGACATATCGTAGCCTGATCCCCATCCATGTCAATGTCGATGTATTTTTAGCAGTCTGGAATGCATCATTCATCAGTGCTAAATAGACAAGAGTAGAGAAATTGTTAGTTTCAGCTCGAGAAGAATTAAATCAATTGATGCGATTGTGGCAACATTACCTATAAGTATATTAAATGAAATAATAACGGTGAAGATGACAAATAGTATCATCAGCCCATCGTAATCCGATGGACGATCTGCAAAATCGAGCGCTTCACCAGTTGAACCCCAGAGGCCAATCTAAAAAAGAATGGAAACCCTGTTAGAAAACGCCAGCAGGCATTAGTGCAATCAAAATACAAGCAAGCATTAAGAGTATACACGTACCATGAAGAAAAAAATGGTAGAAATAGCACGAAAAGGCGCTTTTGAGAACTTGCTATCAACTTCAGCACATCTATTAACTGGGGTGACTGGGCATCCACGGAGCAAGTGCAAAATTGCGAGTGCAAATGCAACAAAGCCTAAAAAAAAGAGTACAAAGAAGAGGCCGATTTTCCCCACGATCTTGAGAACCAATGTCGTAAAGTAGCAAATATTCTGCTTGACCCGTAATTCAAATATCTGTTGGGGTGAACACACAATGAAGAGTGTAGGCATTTGCAATATGATTAGCATCCTAGTACAGCTCAAGTCAAAAAAAAAAAAGCAAGGACTTGTGTCATTTTGACATTACGAAATGTAAATAGATAAAAATGACTGAGAAACTGAGGACGGAAATGTTGCCATCAGGATTATCCTCCACGATATTCATTATCTGCTTAATACTTCCTATTAACGGGGGTACAAACACTCCAACGTCGATGATCTTAAATGGAGAACTATAATAAACGAGAGGAAAATGGTCATTAATGGGTGGGAAAGTATGGAGACATAAGAGCTAAGCGAGGGTCGTGGCGCACCTAAAATACTGGCGATAATTGCGGCAAAGCTGTAGTGCCTCAAGGAAAAGAAACATTGTAGCCATAACAGTGATGGCAACAAATATGATTATAAGTGCGATCGCTGGGATTCTTCCATACACCTGAATGATCACGGATGTCAGTACTAGGAAGTAGAAAATGCACTCGACTATGAATCGCTTGCACCAGTATGAGTGACCAATCGAATTCCTACAATGAGTGTATGATAAATCAGATTCTCTTAAGCGCATGAATTAATGAATCAGCCAAAAAAAGGAAAATTAGACAAGATTTAGGCTTTTCAAAAGTATATTATACCACTTGTATTCGATCAGAGCTGCAATTGCGGGGTTATCTAACATTTCAGGAGTAAAAGCATGGCATTCGACAGCTGGTTTGGATTTCATCCTGAACCTATGGATTGTACTATACACGGCCTGGAGCCATGGATTTTGCGCTTTGCTACCGCTTTCAGATGTTTCTACTGGGCGACGCCATAACATATCGTACGAGGCAGCAAAGATATCGACCGTGAAGCCTTCATCCCTTGGAGCAGATCCAGACACGTTAAGTTGAGATGAGTCGCCTAGATGAAAAACAGGATTCTTGCATTTATGCAATGGTTGGTTCTCGGGCTTTAGAAACATCCATCGAAACCTCGGAGGATGCGCAACAACTGCCCTATCAATGATAATGGACGGGTCTTTGACAGGAATAAAAGACAGCTGTCTGATAGTTCCATAAACTAGGTCCGAGTGCAGTTCATGCAGTTGAACAAGTTCATGTAGCGAGCTCAAGACTGGTGAAGCAACACTCAAGTCTTTTGTTTCTTTGGCCATACGAATATAGTAATCAATCGTAATCTTCGCAAGCACAATGGCTCGGGAGGATGCCTTGGCCTTGTCGAGAAATAAAGAGACTGGATTCCCTTCTCGATTGAGGCCCCAACTTGGTACCAACTGAGATGGCGCCCATCGCACATGTCCAGAGTCAAGCAGCGCTTTCAGGAACCTGCCATGCATCTCATAGTTATCTTTAGTCGTGCGACCGCAAATCTCGACCAAAATTTTAGAAAGGTTTACATTGCAGTTTATAAGCTCATCGATGCATGCAACAGCATTCTTTAAAACATTCTTTCGTGCCTCACTGCTGCTGTTTCCATACTCGGAAATTAAGTTGTAGAACTTATTCAGTAAGAAATCTGGTGTAAGTTGGCCTTTGTATGAGCTATCTGTTTGGCCATTAGGAATTGGAAACATTGCTTTTGCAAGTCTACTTCAAAGGACAGAGGGACAATGCTGAATGGCTGGTGTGTATGCCTGGAGGTAATTGCCCAGAAAAATAAAAGAAGAAAAGAAAAAGGTGGGATGAAGGGATTGCTAATGGCCTTGTGATTAACGGTAGAAGCGATCATACATGGAAAAAAGGCGATGCCAAGAGATATTCAGACAAGAGGCGAAGGAGCTCGGCGAAGCACTTCAATGGGCTCATCTCAATATAATTTGAAGGCGTACATAAAACATAACAGAAAACACGGCCCGATTGGGTATCTTTAGAAGCACAAATTAACTAAATTTTAAATCTGCGTCGCCTATCTATTGAAGAATAGCCATGAGAGGACAATTTCTAGCTGATGACCTATGGTTAAAGGTCGTCGATGAAGTCCCCAATACTGCCACCAACGTCGTCAATGATGTCCCTAAAATCATCACCAACGTCGTCAATGAAATCTTCAACATCATCAACAACGCCTTCAATGAAGTCACCAATATCAGTAATGATTTCCTTGGCTTTGTCACCTAACTTTCGCAAGATTTCTCGAATCTAGCCAATCGCAGAAACGGAGAGAATCAGTCCTCCATCATGCTACCATCCTCAGCGATCACAGAGAGTGAACCTTGCATAGTTACAAAGACTTACATTGATAGGGCAATTTACGCTGTACGACTTGTTTTTGACAGTGTGCGAGATTGAGATGATGCCAATAATTGTTACATCTGCAATAGCTTCATAATTGATGATGATTTGACCCTCCGTCCCTCCAGCCAAGCCGCACTCCGAAAGAATGCTCCTTATGACAGATAAGCGCGAGTCTTGGTGGCGATCGTAACTAATAGAGACAGAGGCCTGAACCACAGTTTTTGCTTTACGATGGATATCGACGTATTGAACACTTCCACCACCAATAGGAGGACTGTAGTTAGGGTAAAAGGCCTAAGTGAGAGGAGTGATAATAGACGTACAAATTGAAAACCCAATTAATTACATTAGAAATGCTCTCTTTGACTGATACTGTACCCGGGCTCACTAAAGTCTTCGCCAACTGTCGAATGCAATCAAAGTACATCAATGCAACGTAAAAAGCGATTAATGTAAAAGTGTTGAATGGACATTAAGAAAGGAGGGGAAAAGCGCACCTTTATGACCGCAGAGTTAATTCTAAATCCTAAGAGATTAGGGTTGTCGATCTCAATGTTCGCCACCATGGTCATGGCTAGTGTTGTATTACCCTTGTTGAATGAGAAATTAGGCCCGCTTGCTGCGCCAAGGTATTTTAACGTGGGCACTTGTAAGGTTTTAGCTAGCACAATCCCCACAATGGTGAGGGCCAGCAGGACAAGGATGGATAAGCAGCAGGTGATTCGCCCGCAGGCAGATTGGACGCATGGAAAACATGGTAGGAGTCTCGATATTTTCCCTGTTGGCCCCATTCGCTTGACATCTAGATTACTATTGTCAGAGTGGTCGCTCGTCTTGTTTTCCCCGTTGCTCTTGTTTTTCTCAGTCCTTAGTGTCTCATCATCCTCAAATTCATTCTTCGTATCACACTTTAAATTGAGTTGTTGTGTTTTATGATGATAGGTATAGTTCCATCCACGTTCCTGCCGTTGCTCATGCTGCTGTTGATGTGGCTCTTGCCCACAACCTTCAGGCCTTTGAGTAGGTAGTGGGGGAAGCTTCTTGTTCAAGTGAAGTTGCGGCTGAGGATGGAATTCGTCATCTTCGCCCCTTGAATTGGCCTGTTTGTAAATATAGTTGCCATTACTGCTATCGTAACCATTGTAGTTCATTGCGAAGATACGATCGGGAAAGAAACGTGGTAAAGAAATAAAATAAATAAGTTACGCAAGGATGCTAGAAGAGGATGACGGGGCAAGAATAAAAAGAGGGGAGTAGAGGAAGAGAGAGGGAGAGGGAAGACAAAGGCGCTCCTCATCACTAGAAGGCTCACTTGAATTATTGAATTACAACTTCGCCAATGCCGACCATTGCACAGTAGTGTGGAAGCGTGGAGGGACCGAAGTCATTTAATGTTAACATTCACAATATACGCTGCGCATATGTAATACAAGGGGCTCCTGTAAGGAGGCGCATCGATCTTTAATGGTACACCACAACAAGCGGCACGTTTGTTTTGTCTAAGCTAGCCTTACCCTTGTTTACTATCATCCGCTGGTAGCAGCCGCCTAATGACTACACGTATTTTTCACTGTCATTACCACAAGGGAAACCTTTGTTATCTTGGTAGAGAGTATCATGTACCTTGTAAGGATAGCTACAAAACGTAAAAGTGTTAGGGCTCCGAACAGTGGCGGTACAGCTTAAGTGGCTTCCTTGCTGTTGTTTATATGGCTTTCACCTGCCTATTTTTCGTTGCGGTCTTTGTGTTTTATAATGTCTTCAGCGTACTGTCCCTCTTTTGCTGTCATGTTATTGTTCTATTGGAAGCAGTAAAGGCGAGCGCCAAGTCAAGCAGAAAAAATAGGAAAAGGCCTCTAACTATTACTAATTTCTATGATTTTGGCATGCAGTTACTAGACATTTGATACTAAAATCAATACAATCCTAACCAACGCGTGTATCGCTGGTGAGTTTTTCTTTATTATTTTTTTTCTGAGCTACAAAAGGGCCACCTGGCCACGTAATACTTGTTTCATCGGTGATGGTCATCAATACTTTCACATGACTTTGTTATCGTCGCCCTTTGCTTTCCTTGACCTTGCCCTATGCCTCTTTCCTTGAGCTTGTTTTATGGCCTCATGTCAACAGTCTATTTAGCTGAGCTGAAAACCCTTTATTTCTTCCTCCACTCTTCTCTCTTCTCAGCAATCATTCCGCTCATTACACTCACCCCTTTTTCATTCATTACGCTCTCTTCCTTACCACTCCACAGTTTAGCAGCTTACATGGCTGCGCATGGTATGTATACAGTCTCTATCTCAGCAGCGAAAGCTTAGTCTGGGTGTCAATGTTTACACCCCACCTATCGCCCCAACAAAGGGCGTTTAAATCTAAAGGCAAACTGCTATATTTGCATGCAAATTAGTGGCACCACAGAAGGAGAAGGTCTCAATGCCTCTTATCAGTAGAGAAAGGTAGAAAACACCTTTTATTTTATTTTAGCCACGGCTGTATTTACGCATATCTGAGTGGACTTTTAAGCTTTGGATTTTCTTCTACTTGAGGAGTTTCATCAATTGCCTCTGCTTTTCGAAGAAACGCTGATATAACTAGTAAAGATCGACAATCGCTGGGGCACAAATTTGATGGAATACTCTATTGCTTGGGAGCCTCCAATGCTGAGATTGGTGCAATCGAAGCCGGAAAGAAAAGCAAAATCTAATATGGTAGCTAGGTGTTATCTGATGCCTCGAAGATGTCGAATACTTTAAGGGATATATTTGGTTTTGCATGCACACAGGCTGGTTTTAACGAGTGATGTTGTTGTTATGGGCAAGGAATCGAAGTTTATGGCTCCCTGGTATCTGGGTGCCTGGTAGGGTCTGAGTCACTGAAGTATCTTGAAGGGAGATACCTTTGCTTCAATCGAGAGAGTGAACTGATTCCACCAGCCACGTTGAACGGTTTTTCATTATTGAAGATTGCACGTGTAATGATACAGTCCTCACGTTGGAGGCCTCGTATCGGGTCAACTGCAGAAGATACTGGGAGGCATATTGACGGCTCCGGCCCCTTACAGAGCCAAGAATGCCAGTCAGCTCCAACATTGACATCACCACCTCTTTCTCCAAAGATGAAGAAAGTTATAAAAAAATAACAATAAAGTAACTCCACTGAATTGCAAAATCAGAGCAAACTGGTGTTGCTAATGCACTTTTTCTCTTCCCTTTAGTGTCCTACTCCTCGATCATAAATACCGACGTGCCTAGTGAGCAGCACTCCGGCATCTCAAAGGATATCAAGACAGCTTCTTTACTTGCTAGCCCTGATGTAACCCCCACTCCCTATAAGGTAACAAAGAGTTTCCTTAACGACCTACTTCAAGCCCTTTACCCTCAGATCGGTTCTGATCGGCATCCTCCACCTGATTTTGAGTCCATGAAGAGATGTATTTGGTCAAAGCACCTCACCACACCTAAAGATACAATCAGCTACACGACGCTGTAGACTGTGAACCAGTAGAGTTCAGTTGAAGCTTAGTTATTCTCCTAAACTTGACGGTAGCCCATCGGGTTGTGGTGGGGATGGTGCTGTTTGTTAATGCAATTATAGTATAATTGCCACACTCCCATCAATTGATTTTTTTTTTTTCATTGAACTGTGTCGATTTATTACTCTACCTTGTTTAACGCTGATTCTTTCAACAGATAAACATGTAGTAACATGGACATTCAAAAGGCATTGAGGTACAGCCTTTACCACCAATGCAGTCGTTTCTTTTATTATTATTATTATTATTATTATTATTATTTAAGCAAAAAGATGGGAATCACCAAGCCCTTTCGTATTAACCTCCTCTAATCATTGCCTTCTAAAGGCCTACTAGGTGCTTGGGGATCGGGATCAAGTAACGAGGGTGCCAAATCACGGAAGGGATGCATGCTAAGCACGAAGCTGTCTCCACCATTGCAGAAGCCTCTGGATTAAGTCTATACACGAAAGCAACAATGATCTCTGGGAACACTTCAACAGAGCGTACTCTATCCAAAAGCTAGGCTTTTGTCCCTAAATCATAGGTCCACATAGACAATTACCCTAATATATAGTTCTGCACTCGTCGACCCAACTGCAATGAGAGAAATGGGCTCTGAAACATTTGTACTTAGCTTCACGATGCTAAAATCCCTGGTAACCAAGCATGGGCTCCTAAAAGACGCATGTACATGTGGATGATGATCTATCTTCCTTTTGTGACAATTTTGATACCCATTGGTGCATGTTTTGTCAAAGAATGTAGATTAATTTGTGTTCCTGTTCATCTGTGAGCATGAGCGTTTTTCCACGGTCATGGATAATGTGGACCTAAGTATCCAGACATTCTGAACTCTATATACCAGAAATATACTTCGGCGCTGGTCTCATGACCAGAAATATACTTCGGCGCTGATCTCATGACCAGAGACACTATTAAACCTTCACCCTAAAATTGCGTAGCAGATATGGATATAGAACAAAAGATATGCATGCAGAAAAGAGAATTAAAAAGTGGTGCCAAACCCTATTCACACCACTGAGCATAGACATGTTCGTATTTGAATAGTTTTGCTCCAAGACTGCTTCTCATTGCATTGTCAACCATCATTAACCGTAGCACAAGCTCTTCTAACCCGCTTTTAGTTTTCATTTTGTACATGTACATGTATTGTTACTGTATTATGTATTTTGTGGTGTTTTTTATTTTTTTTTATTTTTTATAATTATTTTGTTCTGGATATTTGGAATTGATCTGCAAAAACTTAATTCTACATTAACTCCCTTTTGCTCACACCATTAGTGATCAGACATTGCTCCCCACTCGAGTCTCTAGCGTATGGATTTATTCTCACATACAACGAAGCAATGTTGCATCTACTTTCGTAATAATATTTTTCCATATCGCCTTCCTCTGAAATGCTGACAAGACTTCTCACAGCTAACATTCGATATAAATAAGAGGCACACACTCGTCTTTGTTTCGCTCTCAGAATCTCCTCACCCTCTTCCAGGTATGCCACCTTGCAGATGTTCTTGAAGCATCATCCAACGACCGTCAGCTAATATTTTCACACTTTGATGTAATACCAGACAGCCATGTACAAGAGCTTCATCTATCTCTGCACGACCGGCCTACTTGCCTTGGCACAAGGACAAGACGTGGGCAGATGTACCGAGCATCTCCGCAAATTTGATCTCTGTGCCAACGATGGCGCCTGGACTGTCAACAAGCTCCACCATTTATCTTATATGTTGAATACGTTTAGTGATAATATTGGCTTCATAACCCATTGGCGCAATGAAGGTTGCGCGTCTGGACTGGGGACCAACAAGTGGAAGTGCTGCTACAAAACCTGGGACGGAAGCAACCTGGATATTAACTCGAAGAGAGAACTCCTGGACTCTGTTGGAGATATCAAGAGTGTCATTGGTAATGTTCGCGAAGGCACATATCTTCCAAGTTGGGTAGAGAGATGGAATGGAAAGACCCAGCTGTGGTGCAATTATAACAACATGCCTTTCTCTTACAAGTGGAAGTGCCAGGGCCGCTCGTAGGCCGTATCGATCAGTTGACGGATATAAAAGACCAGGAGGAAAACAAAGACCTTTATAAACAAATAGTGTCAGGAAATGCCCGACAAGAGCATCCGTCGATCCATTAATAAAAATAAAAATAAAAATAAGAAAGCATGCAGTCGTCCTTCTCATCTGATTAAAGTCAATATAATATATCTTTACTCCAGCAGTCGGAGGACTCCAAAGAAGGCGAATATAGCTTGTCTAAGGGGAAAGTAATGTAGACTAAATTGAATGTGCTTGTGTGGGTGGGTGTACGGAATGGATTAGGCATAATAACAGACAACTACTAAAGCTTTTCCAGTTAGGGGTCGATGAATCCGCCTTCAGCGCGTTCTTATTCAAATATTATGGAAGAGTAGCTGGTACCCCTAAGGGAGCGATCAAAGATGTGAGCTTATTCAGTTCGTGGCTGTGGTACCATCCAACTCATGTTCTGATTCTGACACGACTCTTTTTTTTTTTTTACATCTTACTGTTTTAGCCTCAGTCAAATAATTATTGGCTGAGGCACCACACTGCAAACGCTTTGAAGACAGAGGGATTAAAGATTATTATTTATTTTTTTCTATCGCAGCTAAAGACTTTTTTTATGCATTGCAAATCTTTGACACTTGCTTGAAGCTAAGGTGTATCTGGAAGAGTGTCCTAAAGAGCCAAGAGCACAGTTACAGATATTTTTACTCCAATTGGAGGTAACCTAAGCTGGGTTGTTCCGAGCAATTGCTTTTTGCTTTTGACGTTCGGATGCATCTCCCACTCGTTCTGTGTGGAATATTCCTTCTTCAAGTGCTCTCTGTCTTTTAGGAAAAGTCAGAGGGAAGTTTTTGCTGACAGTGTTTTCTGAGACGGTACACTGATATTTTTTGGCTTGTTCTGAGCATTGCGTTTTCCAACAGTTTTTCTGAGTCCAGATACAGATATGTCATGCGACAGGCAGAGAAATGAAAGTCTCTGTCCACTCCACGCATTGCAACTCTAGAAGCTCTATCCTCAAAAAAACTTTCATAGTCTCATTATGACGATCACGAAGGTAGGTTCTTATGTCCTTTAAGCACTTGTATGGTGTTTTACAGAGGGCAACAAGGCGAAGACTCACTCTGAGAGAGACTCTGGACTTCCAACGCCGTGGCTTCAGCGACTCTAGTGATCTTAGTGCCTTCAATGCCTTCTTTGTCATAATTGTCTTTGCTGCCTTCGGTAGCCTCTTTGCTTACAGGTCCCTTCGTTATCAAAAGAGATTCCGGACGACAGTCTCACTCGTTTTCCACGCTTGTCATTAATAAAGCCAATTATAGGGCCTAAGTTTCGTTTGGGCATTCTGGGAGGGAAGGGAAAAAAAGAAAACGGGGATTAGAGGATGGTAGAGCGTTAATTTCTTCTGTCTAATTTCGCATGTGTACATTGGATTTGTTAAAATGCCTTTATAAATGTTCTTGAAAGAACCTTTCCGCTTTACTTTTGTATGGTACAATAATGGTAGCGATTTTTATTGCCTTTTTATATACAAAAGATGATTGCAAGTTTTCTACTGTCTTTTCACTTTTTTTTATACATGTTTTGCTTTGTTTTTACCAAGCGAGTTCGCTGTCATCACCGCAATTGCTCTTGGATGATGTCTTGGCCTCGCTACCACAGCTGGAAGCAGATTTGGACTCTGGTGCAGTTGCAACACGGAAGAGCTGCTTGCCGTACTTCTTATACATCTCTGTAACACCACCTCCTGCCAAGAGACGCTCCTCCATCAATGACAAGCCAAAAGGATACTCCTGACCGCCACAATGGACCTTGCGCTCCTTGACATCAATTGCAACTTCAGCTCCCTCCTGTGCATGCTCATAGAAAGACTCGTCATCAATCGTGATTCCAAGAAGCGACATATTGGGCTGGTTTCGAGCATAAATAAAGGCGTACGACTTGGCGATGACAGCCTTGACACCCGCACCAAGAAGTGCACGGGGTGCTTCTTCACGAGACGAACCTGAACCAAAACCAGCACCACCAACCACGATATCATACCCTTGCTTGACCAATTCACGGAACTCAGGCTTGACAAACTGGAAGGCGTGAGTGCCCAGGTCTACATCCGAAGTGCCTGGCATGAACTGTGCAGGAATGATTGCATCCGTGTCGATATTGTCCTCGAAGCGTTGAACACGGCCCTTAATGGTAGCCGAGAATGATGGTGGGGGAGGAGGAAGGGAGGTATCAGATGTCTTTTCATCGTAGTAAACTGGAGCAGGTTCAGAGTAAACAACAGGCTTGCCCTTCTCAATCCACATCTCCAACATTTCCTCATAGCGAGCACGATCAATGGCATCCAAAAGATCACGAGGGTTGCGGATCTTCATATCAAATGATGAAGCAGCGACTGTGGCAGCAGAAGCAAGGTTACCGATGGCGCCTTTGCCCATACGGTTGCGGAAATTGCGGTTCTGAGAAGACAACCAGATCTCGCCCTCTCCAGCTTGATCTGCAGCGACAGCAATGCAGTACGAGCACCCAGGAGCACCAATCTCGAAACCGGCCTGTTCGTAAATCTTAAGCAGGCCCAAGCGACGAAGTTTGGCAACGATGGGTACAGAGCCGGGTGTAACCTTACGCTTACCGCCCAAAGCAGGAACAAGCCCCTTCTTGAGACCAGCCTCCAAGACCAATGCAGCCAAAATCAAATCTTCCTCAGCGGTGGTGCAAGCTCCAATGAAGCATCCGTCCAATTTAGTTCCAGCGCACGCATCGACAGAGACGCAGTTGTCAGGGTCAGGGTAGAGTGCAACCAATGAGTCAACCTTGGACAAGTCAATGATGTGAGTCTCTGCATAATGTGCATCCTCATCAGCCTTGAAATAGAGTGCGGCGTTCTTGTGTTGTGGGTTCTTACGTTTAGCAATATAAGCAGCAGTGATCTCATCTGCCTCGCAAACGCCAGCAATACCACCAAATTCAGTCGCCATATTGGCCAATGCAAATCGAGCATCACAAGACAAATGCTTCAGTCCAGGACCAGTGTACTCGACAGAGCGTTCGAAAGCAACAGTGTTTCGCTTGAGCTGTTGAAGCACATAGAGAATAGCATCCTTTCCACCAATGCCAAAAGGGGGTTGGTTGATGAAGCGAATCTCGACAGTCTCTGGAACTTTGAACCATGTCTCCCCAGTGACCAAGGGCATGACCACATCTGCAGCACCAAGTCCAACAGCGAAGGCACCAACCGCTCCGGCTGAACAAGAGTGAGAGTCTGCACCAATAATTAGTTGTCCAGGTTGAGCGCGCTCGCGGTAGAACTCAGTGTGGAGGATAGAATAGTTGGCGCCATAGAAATCAATTAATTTTGCCTCTTTTGCGAAATCGGTTGAGGCCTTGATCAGCTCCTGAGGCTTTGGGAGGTGATTGATACTAGGATCGACAGTGTGGTCAATCGCCAGCCAGAAGCGATCGTTACGGTAGACACTGGGACGACCCATTTGGTCGTAGGTCTTGTCCATGCCCTTCCAAGTCAATTCTGAGGCCAAAGTCCAGTCTACAGATACACATACCATATCGCCCGGCTTGACATTTCCAGGAGCAGAAAGTCCAATGGCGTTGTGAGCAATGATTTTTTCCGAGATGGTCATGCCCCGACGACCTTGAGGACGTGTCAATGTCAGAGGACGTACAATGGGTGCGCCTTCAGCAGCATTTAGACCAAAGAGTTCTTTTTCGAGAACCTCCAAAATCTTGTCACCTATTTCCTTTGTGGTCTTGTCGCCACCCAAATCGCGAGTGCGGTAAGCGTATCCAGCACGATCAGCATCATCCAAGACCTTGCGCACAGAGTCCTCAATGGCAACAGCCTCGGCTTCCAGATCCAAGGAATAGCGCAACAACATCGCGGCAGACAAAATGGTTCCGACGGGATTTGCAACACCCTTTCCAGCGATATCGGGAGCCGAACCATGGATGGGCTCATAGACACCCAAGCAAGGCTTGCCCTTCTCAGGAAGCCCATTCAAAGAAGCTGAAGGCAAGAGGCCAAGGGAGCCAGGGATGACGGAGGCCTCATCAGAAAGAATATCGCCAAACATATTTTCGGTCAAAATAACACCATTCAAGCTGCGAGGGTTCTTGACAAGGAACATGGCGGCAGAATCGACCAAATGGTGATCAACCTTGAGCTGCGGGAACTCTTTTTCAATAACTTCGGTGACAGTCTTGCGCCAGAGACGAGAGGAAGCCAAGACGTTAGCCTTATCGATCGAGTGAATGGGCCAAACAGGATCGTGCTGGAGAGCCAAAGCAGCAGCCAAGCGGGTGACACGCTCGACCTCAGCTCGCGAGTAGGGAAGAGTATCATAAGCCTGGCCATCTTCCTCTGTTGCTTCCTTGCGATCACCAAAGTAGATACCGCCGACAAGTTCACGGATCATCATAAAGTCGACGCCTTTGACGATGGACTCTTTGAGAGGAGAGTGAGAGATCAAAGCATCAGAGGCGAATGTGCAGGGGCGGAGATTGGCGTACAAATCAAGGCTCTTCCTGAGGGCAAGCAATCCTTGTTCGGGTCTGGGGTTTCCTGTTGCCCACTTGGGGCCTCCTACTGCTCCAAGAAGAATAGCATCGGCAGACTTGCATGATGCGAGGGCTTCTTCTGTAAGCGCGGTGCCTGTTTAGAAAAAGGAAAAAAGAGAGATTAGAAAGCACGTCACGTTTAGTTATCTTTAAATTGTTTCACACACTTTGGTTCAGACATTTTTTACAAAAAAAAAAAAAAAAAAAAAAGATGTGGGACGCGGAGGCCAGGACAAACATACCAGTGGCATCAATGGATGCACCTCCGATCAATTCTTCCTTAAAAGTAATGTCAACTTTATGTGATCTGATCTTGGCTACCAACTCGAGGACACGCTTGGCCTCGGCGATGACTTCAGGACCTACGCCATCGCCGGGCAAGAGGACAACTGTGGATTTTTTTGGAGAGACAGCCATGTGTGGGATATTCTTTCTGTAAATGGGAGTGTAGGTAGAAGTATGTAATATGAAGGAAAATTACTTGTTGTGTGAATGTGATGAGTGTCGTTAAACAAGGCGATCAGGGCAACAGTACGATGGAGATATTCGTCATAGGATGCAATAAAATAAAAAGAGGTGTAAATCAATTTAGATCAAGATGGGAATAAAGGAAAAAAAGGATAGGATAAGCAAAAGAGAAGAAGGAGGAGAAAAAGAGAGTGAGGAATGAAAGAGAGAGGAAAGAAAGAAGAGGTGGTTTAAATAAGAGTGGTAACGCAAGATGGCCGAGTTTTGATTGCCCAATGAGGCATCCTTTTGCCGAGTAAGCCAAACAAGCAATGCATGATATGAGTGATGTGACCCATCTGACTTGACCTGTCTGACTGATTTTACTCGCCACTTGTCCGGGTCCGATAAATCATTTGCACACAAAATAACAAAAAAACGGGGACAAATAGATTTGATCATACTCAAAACCTTATTTTTTCAGTCATCTTACATGTATATTTATTCCGAGGCATTCAAATCTTGTTAAATATATTTATATATACTTGTATCTACTCTTATATATATATATATATAATATATTTTCCTTCAGTCTTCCAATTATAACATGAGGGAGTGTTGAAGCGTAAGGCATTAGATAGTTATCTGGACAGAGGTTTTATATGTATATATTTCTAAGATGTAGACCAATTAAAGAAACTAAATCGCATAAAGAAAAAAAAGATCTATCCTGGTGGGAGCAATGATGCATCAACGCCAGACCCTTCGTCCTGGGGCTCCTCCATTTCATTGTCATGGCGATCGTAAATAGGGGAGCGAGGCATAGCCATCATACCGCTTCTAGCAGCTTCCAAAATACCAAAAGGCTTGACTAACTTTATGAAAGAATCCACACGATCTGGCTTTGCAGACAGCTCAATCACAATGCAATCCCCGCTCACATCCACAACCTTGCCTTGGAACAGCTTGGTCAACTCTGTTAGTGACTTCAGGTGAGCATGTGTCTGACGGAGTGCATTTGAAGGCGTCATCTCTTCTTCAGCCTCCTCCTGCACAAGTTGCCAATTGGGGGAACGTGAGTTCATCTGAGCACGGACGTGCTCAGGTCCCAAAATCGAGACCTTGATCAGAAGCAGCTCGCGTTGAATAACCTTGAATCCAGTATAATCCAACACTGCCCATACGGGCACCTTTTTTTTTACAATAATAAAATAAAAATAAAAATAAATAAATAAATAAAAACACGTAATAAACATGGTAAAAGTCAGCAACTCGGCCCGATCGCGTTAAGCAATATTTTTTTCTTTCAAAAATGAAAACAACAACAAAAAAAAAAAAAAAAAAAAAAAAAAAAACGCTTACAAGATCTTCAAGTTGTCTCCTGGCTTGCTCAATGGTGCCAGATTCACCTCTCAGAACAATTGTCATCCGACTAAGATCTGCAACCTCTGTCTTGGCTACCACCAACGAGTCAATATTAAACCCCCTGCCTGCCAGGATCCCTGAAACGCGACTCAAGACACCAGGTTCGTTCTGGACAAGACAATTAAAAATATGTCGCTGTTTCGTGACACGGTGTCCAATCGGTGGGGTATTGTACAAAATGTTGGATACTGCCTCTTCTGCTGAGGGTGGTGCTGGGTGTAAATAATCTGATGTCAATGCAGGATGGCGCTTGTGAGGGTGAGATCGCTTGTAAGAAATGGCGGAAGTCGACGATGAGGATTGACGGAGAAATGTCGTGGAGCTAACCATGGGACGTTGAAGCCTCGCTGCAGAGGGAGCAGTGGCCTATCCGTGAAACAAAGGCCGATATATTAAAACAATCAGCCTTCAAATAGTTAATGCCGAGCCATTAATACCATTGATCCAGACATGCTTGTGTGATAGAGAGAATTTTACCGATGGTGCCACTCTGAAAGCAGAATAAAGGATCCTGCTGGTCCACATGGTGTAGGAGTGGCGGATAAAGGTGTTGGGAGGGAGTAAATAGGATTTAGAAAGAAGAAAAAAAAAAAAAAAAAAAAAAAAGAATGAAGAGAAATGTTAAAGAGAACGATTCACTACAATTCCAGAATATGTTGATATAGTTTAACTTAAAGTATGCACCATTGAGCCTTATGCAAAAATGAGTAATCGAAAGTTACGTTAACTTGAGTATGACATCTTTGACACATAGTCTAGAACCAATCACAGCCTGGTTTGCACGTTTAAGATTACTCTGTGCTCCACTCACTGTAATCTAAATATTTTATTTTTTTTAATTTTAGTTGTTCCATTTGAGCTCACCCTGTGGACCCTTGCTGACTTTGCGCGACAGTACCTCCAAAACCTTCTCCCGAACACCAATCTTGCCTCCACTCTTCTTCACGCAGACATCCACAACTTCATCCACAGTCAACTGAAGAGGCCCGCTGCCCTGGGCTTCACCTGTTACAATCTTACGAATCTCGTTTTCAGAAGGAAGACCATACCGTCTATAAGGATACTCGCTCCAGGTTGTGGTGCTTGACAATGACAAAGGCTTAGGGGCCTGATTTCTAAAGTACACACCTAACATTTGCTCGCGATCTACATCCTCCACTGTAGCGGGGCTCCACTTGGGTTTCAGGGTCTTTTCGATAAGTAAAGCTTTGACACCTTCGGGGAAATCATGTCCATACAAGAACTGACGAGCCAACTGATGCTCCATTCTGAAACAGTCAGCAATACCTAAGTTGCCACCCTCACGGATCTGCTGAAGAGTAACCTTGAGAGAAGTGGGTGACATGATGCGAAGAGCATTCAACGTTTCTTCTGCAAAAGGCGTCTTCTCCTTCTCCAATGCAGCAATGATATCTTCGACAGTGTTGAAGCGGAAGCAGCGGTCAATAGCGTCTCGATATTCTGAAAGTGCATACTTATGATCGTGAAGAGGTTCGCTGACAAAGTCCTCGATAGCCATATTGATCACGTCGTGATTATCAGTCTCTAGCTCGCTCAAACGATCTTCTAGTGCAGTCAAACGCTCCGAAGGAACGTAATGAGTAGCAATTCCAGCATAACTATTTTTCAAATTCAATAATCATTTCAGATATATCAACGTCAATATTGTCATCCAGGTTTGTATATCCAGCGCCGCAGTAGTATTCGAAGTATGTCGCTCTATACTTACAGAGTGTCAATGCCTTTTAGACGAGTGCCAACAAGGCCGAGATAAGTACCAGTTTCACCATCCAAACGAGGTAAAAAGAAAGAACCTCCGACATCCGGGAACAAACCAATATTAGTCTCTGGCATAGCAAACAAGGTCTTTTCAGTTGCAATTCTGAATGGCGCATGTACAGAGAGACCAACGCCACCGCCCACTATAACATTTCAAATTAAAAGCATCTTTTAGCTCACCGTCTTCTTTCTATGAACAATTGAGGAAAAAAAATCTTGGAAACAGTAACGACGCAAAAGACTAAATCTCTTACTTGTAATGCCATTAAGAATAGCTACGAAAGGTGTCTTCAACGTAGCAATCATGTGGTTCAATCTATACTCCTCTGCAAAAAAATCCAGTGCTTCGTCATGCTTTCCAGCGTTGGCTAGCTCAACAACCTGTCGAACATCACCTCCTGCACAGAAAGCCTTCTCGCCGGCTCCTTTGATAACAATAACTTTGCACAAGTCCGAAGCATCCCATGCCTGCAAACATATATATTTAAAAGTCGCCACATGTAGGCATATCAAATGCGTTAGAAATATCCAAACTAGAGCCTTGCTTGTCTTACCACAGTTAGCTAGTCTCATCATTTAAAATGCAATCTTGGCTTTTGCCTTACCTGAAGTTGAGGAGTCATATTTCGCACCATACTCAAGTTGAGTGCATTAAGTGCCTTGGGACGGTTAAGAATAAAGGTCCGACTAGAAAGATGCTTGCGATGCAGAACGTCAGCCTATAGGAAGAAGAGAAATATAGTACATTCAACTGCCATGTTGCATCAAACTCCTAATTTTGTGTGCACCCATTTGATTAAGATATTCCTGTTATACCTCGATGGGATCTTCCTTTGCTGCAGTTGTTGACATCTATAGTAATTGAAACAAAAAATTCAATGTCGCGTGTCAAAGACACAAATCTTGACCATACTTTAATAACTAACCCATGTCAGCAAGATTTCTGTAATAGATCACTCACATTGACTCGTGTGCCGAGCCAGCCGTTAATCATGTGAACGCGACGCTGCGCTACAATGGAAGAGGATGTCCTTGAGGCAGCAGCTACACGGAATGTCTGACGCAGCATTGTCGATGAGAATGAGTTTGTTGGGTTGGAAAGCGACAAAAAAGCGGAAAGAAAATGCAACTACTGATTTAAAGGTACGTTTGATTGTGGGAAAAACTGTTTATTCAAGCAGAACTCGTGACAGGAAAAGACAATAGACATTGGAAGTAACAGAAAAAACTTAATTCCAACTCGAGAAAGTACTAGACCAATTTTTAAATATTTACAAGCACATTGTTATTTCTCTATTTATTTTATCTTTTTAAACAGCATATTGTACAGGTAGTTGTTCAAGCAGGCAGGTTCCGACAAGTGAGTTATTTTACTGGTTCTCGGGACGCAACTGACGGACAGCCTTACCAGCGCGCCACATCTCGTGGTTAGCGATCTCAGCAAGCTCTGCTTCAAGCTCAGCACGGTAGTTTGGTGCAGAGTTCTTGGTCAATGACCTTCTAGTCTCGGTTCCATTTGCCACTGATTCGTACAATTCCTCGAAGATAGGCTTGGAGGCATCATGGAACTTCTTCCACCAATCAAGAGCACCACGCTGGGCAGTTGTAGAGCAGTTAGCGTACATCCAGTCCATGCCGTTGGCGCCGATCAAGGGATAAAGAGATTGAGTAGCTTCTTCAACAGTCTCGTTAAATGCCTCCGAGGGTGAGTGACCGCGAGCACGGAGAACATCATACTGAGCAACAAAGAGACCTTGAATTGCACCCATCAACACTCCTCGCTCACCGTACAGATCAGAATAGACTTCCTGTTTGAACGTGGTCTCATAAAGGTAACCAGTACCAACACCAACACCAAGGGCTACAGCGCGCTCTTTGGCCTTTCCAGAGACGTCCTGATAAACCGCAACAGATCCGTTGATGCCACGGCCTTCAAGGAAGAGGTTACGAACAGTCGTTCCGGAACCTTTAGGAGCAACCAGGATAACATCAATGTCCTCGGGAGGGACAACACCGGTGTCTTCGGAGTAAATAACCGAGAATCCATGCGAAAAGTAGAGGGTTTTTCCCTTTGTGAGGTAAGGCTTGATTTCGTTCCAAAGCTTGGACTGCGCGGCATCTGAAAGCAAGTTCATGATGACAGTTCCACGATCGCATGCTTCTGTGATCTCAAACAAGTCCTTGCCAGGAACCCAACCTTCTGAAACAGCCTTGTCCCAAGAAGCGCCCTTTCGGCATCCGATAATGACATTCAACTTGTTGTCACGAAGGTTGAGCGCTTGGCCGCGACCCATTGGGCCATATCCTAGAACAGTGAGGGTGTCGTTCTTGAAGGTCTCTTGGAGCTTGCTAGGTGGGTAATCACTACGTTCATAGACAATCTCTTTCGTACCGCCAAAGTCCATGGTCTTGAGACCACGTGTCTGAGCGAAAGCAACCTGTAGAATGAATCAGTTATTGTAATTAGTTAATCAGCCAGGAGTAAGGATGGTGGATGTTTGGTTGTTGTCACAGAATAGATTTTGATGATCTATCGATTATACCTTGCAGGCAGTGGCTCGGGGGATCTGAGAAATAGCAGTGGAGCGGGCTACCATGGAAAAGGAGCGAGAAGCAGGAGCAGCGACGCGAGTCAACTGACGGAAAGCGGAACGAACAGCAAAGCTCATGGTGATATAGAAAATAGGGTCAGGAAGCTCAGGTACTTGTAGAGATTTTAATGAGAAAAGGAGTGGGTGAATGAGAACAAAGAAATGAAAAGAAAGGGGGGAAAGCAGGGTTTAAATATCTGCCGTTGGATCCAAAACGAGAGATGATCGTCTGGACTAAATTAAGAGCATTTTGATCCATACGATAGGATGAAGATTTGAACTGGATCTTTTAGCAGGAAGGATCCCATGTTGAGAGCACCATTCCACGGAAGGAAAAAAATGTGCATGAATGCGGGCAGTAAGATCAACGAATAGAGACCATTGTTAAGATAAATAGCACTTATTCTCACTTTTATTGAATAACACTTATATATATAGCATAAATAACCGTGCACTAAGATGGTTAACTTAAGTCTATTATCGGTCTTGAAGCAGAGGAGCGATGATTGGTTGATGGAAATGAGTAATGTGAGTGCAGATTGGTGTAACAGATTAGAGATTAGAGTCAACTTTGTCAACAGCACATGAAAATGTTTTTTTTGCACTTGTCCAATCCAATCAACACTTCTCCACTCTTTCTCGATAACGCTAATCGTTGATCCGTGCAATCATCAACATTTAAAACGCTTCTAAATGTCTTCTCTCTCCCTTTCTTCTCACTAAAAAAAAACACTGTCAACACAATTGCCTTTTTTTTTTTTTTTTTTTTTTTTTTACTTCTTTCTCTCCTCTCCTCTCCTCCCTACTTCTCCTCCTCCTCCCTACTTCTCCTCTCTTCTTGCTTATCAGGCGTTGCTTTACAGCACATTCTTCGACTTGATATCACTCCCCTGCTGTTATAATACCCTCTTTTTCCTTTTTCTCTTTTATGCCATATCTCATTACCCACAGCTTTTGATAAAATAACATAAAATGCATTCACAATCCTTCGCTCGCTTGGCGCGATCTACATATTCTACTGTTGGCAGACAATGCCTCAGCAGACCATTCTCCCTTACATCCGCAACGAGGATCGCTGCATCTCAGATCCGTTTCCGGTCCTCAGCTGCCACAGCTGAAGCCGCTGTCCAGCCAAAGTAAGTACTTTTGTGATTATTCATCAACCTGAAATAACTCATATCCTCGGTAAAGAGTAAACGCTTTTAATTGACCGTTTTTTATTTTATTTTTTATTTTATTCTTTTAATGATTGTTATTATTACAGCATCGCTGCTGTTGACCCATCCGCAGCTCCACCACTCCAACCTCTCGAGCGTACTCAACCAAAGACATCTTCAAAACCAGAACATGATCATTCATTTGTTGGTATGTCAGGAGGTCAGATTTTTCATGAGATGATGCTACGACACAATGTGAAGCACGTCTTCGGATACCCTGGAGGTGCTATTCTTCCTGTCTTCGATGCCATCTATAACTCCAAGCACTTTGACTTTATCCTGCCCAGAGCTGAGCAAGGTGCTGGTCATGCCGCTGAAGGATATGCTCGTGTCACGTAAGTTGCGAACAATCAATGCGATTTATGGTTTCGCTTATCTTTTTTGTTTTGTTTGTCAATGTCAAGCTATTCTCCGAAAAGCGAAAAACTTTATTTTTCAATCAGTCTTACACTCCTTTTTTTCTTTTTCTTTTTTTTCTCTCGTTGACAACTATTCTCGCACATGGTAGTGGAAAGCCTGGAGTTGTCCTTGTCACCTCAGGTCCTGGTGCCACGAATGTCATTACCGCAATGCAGGATGCACTTTCGGATGGAACACCCATGGTTGTTTTTTCAGGTCAGGTTCCTGTTAGCGCTATCGGATCAGACGCTTTCCAGGAGGCCGACGTGGTTGGAATCTCGCGTGCATGCACAAAATGGAACGTCATGGTCAAAGACATTGCTGACCTTCCTCGTCGCATCAATGAGGCCTTTGAGATCGCTACCTCGGGACGACCTGGACCCGTCTTGGTTGATTTGCCCAAGGATGTCACTGCCGCGATTGTGAATAAGCCTATTCCTGCTGCACCTAGCATTCCTGCTAAGCCTCCAACTAGCCAGGCTCCCTTTTTCTCTGATCTTGCCAAAGATGCATCTCAGGTCACCTCTCCTCAAATTCATCGCGCAGCTCAGTTGATTAACGCAGCCAAACGCCCGCTGATCTATGCCGGCCAGGGTATTCTTGCTCATCCCGACGGTCCTGAACGCCTCAGGGAGCTCTCGCACAACGGAAATATTCCTGTCACCACCACACTTCAAGGTTTGGGCGCATTTGATGAACTGGATCACCGGTCCCTCCATATGGTCGGCATGCACGGCTCCGCTTATGCCAATCTCGCTATGCAAAAAGCCGATGTGATTATCGCATTGGGAGCTCGTTTTGATGACCGTGTTACCGCTAATGTCCCTCGCTTTGCTCCTGAGGCAAGGAAGGCTGCAGCCGAGAAGCGTGGAGGTATTATCCATTTCGAGATTTCACCCAAAAACATCAACAAGGTCGTTCAGGCGACCGAAGCAATTGAAGGTGATGTCACAGAGAACCTGACAAAGCTTCTGCCCCTGATCGAGAGCTCAGAGCGCAAGGAGTGGTTCACAAAGATTAGTGACTGGAAGAGCCGCTTCCCTTTTTACCATGTACAGGATCCTAACGGTATCCTCTTGCCTCAGACCGTCATCCAAGAACTCGACAAGCAAACCGCTGATATGAAAGAGAAGGTCATCATCACAACTGGTGTGGGTCAGCATCAGATGTGGGCTGCTCAGTACTTCCGTTGGCGTCATCCCCGCAGTCTGGTCACCTCTGGAGGTTTGGGCACAATGGGCTTTGGTCTTCCAGCAGCCATTGGAGCGAAGGTTGGCAAACCCGATCATATTGTAGTTGATATTGATGGTGATGCCAGTTTCTGCATGACCGGAATGGAGTTGGCTACAGCAGCACAATACAACATTGGTGTCAAGGTTTTGATTCTCAACAATGATTTCCAGGGCATGGTTAAGCAGTGGCAGGATCTTTTCTACGAGGAGCGCTACTCTGCTACCCGCATGTTCAACCCTGACTTTGTTAAACTTGCAGAAGCCATGAACATCAAGGGTATCCGCGCCACATCAATGCAAGATCTCCCCGGCGCCATGGCTGAATTCCTAGCTCACCCAGGCCCAGTTGTGCTGGAAGCCAAGGTCTGCAAACGCGAACACGTCTTCCCAATGGCACCAGCTGCCAGCGCTCTACACGAATTTATTGTGCACCCTCATCAAGCCTCAAATAGTCGCGATTAAACACTTTGGCCCAAAAGAAAAAAAAAAAAAAAAAAAAAAAAAAAAAAAAAGAAAAGAAAAGAGAAAACTTGTAACATAGCCCGCAGCATAATAAATAAAAAATTACTCCACTAAAAATAAAAAAAAATCATCAATTTGCATGATGGACCACATCAGTCTCCCTTCACGACATTCTCTCATCACATTACAAGACATTACTGTTAACAATTGGAAACAGATTACACAATTGATTGTTAACCGAGATCAATTAGGTTTAGTTACATCAAACCTCGAATCTCTCTGCGAACACCAGTATTATGTACCAAGATCTATTGTCCGAGCCATAGTTGCAGATGCAATCCCTGTGGGTTATATTCGTCTTCAACAAGAGGAACAAGATCAAGCAAGTGAGCCGACCCGAATAGCAACAGATCACGGCAATCATCTCCGAATGTTTCGATTACTCAGCTTTATGATTCATCAATCATATCAAGGACTCGGTTTTGGCACCAATGCCTTACAATTGTTACAAAAGGAGTTATCGTCTCAATCTCGCGAGGCCCATGGAATCAGAATATTGACAACCTCGTTTGCAAGTGTTCATCCTGAAGACTCTCCCGAGCATTTCTTTTCAGCTTTAGGATTCCAGAAGAGTCAAATCCATGGGCAACCTCTACAAGAAATGATCTGGACGTCAAAGATATCAGAAGCATAGAGTGCACAAAAAGAACTCGGCTATTGATATGGTCTGGTCATGGATGTGTGGCTTTGAAGCAATTGATGATCAACCAATAAACCCTGTTTTTAAAGTTTAGTCAACTACATGTACTAAAATGTTTGGCATTTATCCTGCAATGACACCAAGCAATAATCTTTTGTTCTGTTTTCAACACTCACACCCATATTAACAATAACAGCAGCAATACCCTTGCCAAGACTGCATTTCAAATGTAGTGAATGGGACAATGTCCACATAGAAATCTCCACGGAGAAAGTTTGCTTCAATCAAAATGAGCTTTGCCATACCATTGTCAGTACTTTCCATTAATAAATTGACCTCAATGAGCACTTCCACTGAGACCGGCGCCCTTTTTCAAAAGGTTTGCTTAGCCCCAGAGGTAGGAGGGCTACCTTTAATACTACAACCCTGACGCTCTTGTCGGACTCAGCAAGGTCGTCAAGAATGAGCAGATGGCGACGACGAAGATACTGCTGAAGGCGATGAGGATGATGGTGTTGGTACTGCTGAGGATGATAATGGTGACCCTGGGGCAAAAGATGTGGAGAGGGAGGAGGGTGAGGGCAATGATGAGACAGGTTAGTTCTACCCTACTGGTGAAATGTTGTTGCAATAGTAATTGAGTTTGGTACGAGGGGTACCGTTGATTCGGATAGTTGGTATTTAAGCCTATCTGAACAGGCAATGGCCAGAAGCTATCATCCGTTGGAATATCGTTGAACGTCTCCAAGTTAGGATCCGTGCTAGGACGCGACGATTACCGCCTTTTCCGATTTTTAGTTGAATACGAATAGGGCTTCGGCCCCTGAGTCATGCTGTGAGGGTTCGCATGTTGGACAGAAAGGTTCGAGTTGTGTCCTCTAATGTTAATTACAAATATTGAAAAGATAAATCCATTGCAGACGACTTTTTAGCAACGGTGTACTGTAGGGTTGTAGAGTAGCCTTGTTGCCCTTCTACGGCGGATTTGTTCATATATGATAAGTTTAAGGGGTAACGTAATTTTGATAGCATGCCTGGGACGTCCAGACGTTAAAGAGAAAGCCCCTCAAGTACAGTCACATATCACCACCCAGAGGGCGAAGGGAGAATGAACACATGCTTCTTCGTTTGCTACACATCTCTTCGCCTTTGACACCATTCAGCCATGACTGAGCAATCCTCATTGCTACTAAAGAAGCAACTCAAAGGTAAAAAAAGAAAAAGCAAAACTAAGTTATTATATATATATATTGTTGTTTTCTGTGCCACCACCCATCGTAGGAAGGAAGAAAATGTGACAAGAACTGAATAAGAGTTTGAAAAGCTATTGACCTTAGCCATGGCTTCGGATTTGATGGCCAAAGTATATCTATGGTTCCACAGTGCTAGCATCTTCATTTATTATTGCTTATAATACTGTATATATTGAAAGGTGTTTTAATTACATTGTGCTTCCTTCTTTCTCTGGTCACTACCAAGAGGATAAGCTGGTCTTTTTTCTAAGAACGACTTCTTTGCTATTCGCCTTTTTTGATCAAAACGCAAAGCTTCTCACTGAATGATGTCTTTTTCATTCTCAGTTTTCTCCAGGGAAACTCTAAACCACCTCTCCTTTTACTGCCTCTAATCCATGATGGCATTTATGTCATAGAATTATCGTCATGAAAGTACTCCTCAATCGTTTATTTAAGGATAACCCTTTTCCCTTCTTCCTCCTCTTCGAATGTTTTGAACAGAACTAGTCAAGTGATCCAATATTGATACAGATGTTCGATTTTCTGCTGTAATCTGTTAGAACTTGCCAAACATCCCGTGGAAGGCTTCTCAGCTGGCCTTGTCGACGATAATAACATTTATGAGGTAGGACTTTGACCGACAGCACGTAAACGCCTTTATACGTCAGTTGGCTTGTGCTGAACATAGCTTTAACTCCATGACATGCGGTCCTGGTTGTGCATAGTGGGAAATCATGATCATGGGTCCACAAGACACTCTCTAGTAAGTTTTTTTTTTTTTTTTTTTTTTTTTTTTTTTTTTTTTTTCGCGAGTGTTCATGCACATTTTAGGAGCAAAATTTATTTTCAACTGTACAATAACCAGCTCCTGCCTTGATCACTAATCCCGGTCCATAACGTGGATCTGATGGATGATGGGATATCATTATCATTTTTTTCTCATATTGCTTTGAAATGGTTCTAGTGAGGGAGGTTTCTTCAGGGCCATCATGACGTTCCCGCAAGATTATCCATTGATGCCTCCGAAGCTCAAATTCACTACTGATATATACCACCCTAATGGTAAGGCTGGGAAGCCGTAAAGAACTGCCACATCAACGACATGGTTTTACATAAAAGAGTACCAATACATATGTATGTTTTTTCTTTATCTGTACAGTATATCCTGATGGAGAGGTCTGCATTTCCATCTTGGTAAGCTTTTATTGATTTTTATTTTCTGTCATTGCTGTCGCAATGCATCATATTTGCTCCCATTGTTTTCGATCGTTGTTAAAACCATACTTGATGTTTATTCTAATTGTAGCATCCCCCTGGTGAGGATAAGTATGGATATGAGCAGGCAAGCGAGCGCTGGTCGCCAGTCCATACTGTGGAGACAATCTTAGTTAGTGTTATCTCCATGCTATCAAGCCCCAATGACGAAAGCCCTGCAAACATCGAGGCTGCTGTAAGATTATAGACTTTGATACGACATATACCAGAGTCGGCGCGAACAGAGTTCATAATCTAATATAATGCAAACAATCTTTATATTTGAATCTTTAGAAAGAATGGCGTGACAACTATACTTCTTACAAAAAGAAAGTGCAACGTATCGCACGACGTTCAGCAGACATGTGACATGGGAAGCGGTACATCAGGTTTAGCTAGAAAGATTTATTGTTGTTATATCGCGTCTTATGCGATCGTGTGGTTAAAAATGCCCGTTATATTTGAATTTTTAGAAAAAAAAAATAAAAAATAAAAAATAAAAAATAAACCTGGTCCATCTGTTTCTCTGTGCATACATTGACGTCTGGCCTCAGGCGCACGAGAAATGTGATACGGACGGCAATTGCTTCAATCGCTATTAAGGAATCAGATGCCCTCAATGAAGTGCGAAATAAGTAGTTGACAAGGAGGAAAATCACCATCATTGGCAGACCCTCTTCATGGTATAAACCTCGCTTTGAATGACTCCGTCATAACTATTTCTTTCCTCACGATTTTCAAATGTCAATAAATTATGAATACTTCGTCCACTTTCAGCATGTTAAGGGACTCTGACCTGTGGAGAGTAATAGCAAGCTTTAACGCATTCTAACGGATTATAGCTAATTATAATCGTAAAATGGGTACACAGATGCTTTTTGAAAGTGTCTGCCGACGATATAGATGATTATTTTATTTTAAATTGCGAAATCCCCTAGATCCAGATCGGATGGCCCAAAGTCAAGCTCGATCCTCTGAGCATTCCTAGCTTCTCGTCCCGCCTTGACTATGAGGTCCTCTATCATTTCTTCATACTTGTCCTCCTCCTCTTCTTCATTTTCTCCTATGCTACTCAAGCAGCCTGGCGGATAGTCCCAACTAGCGACTTCCTGCTCCTGCTCTAAAGGAATAGTCTTGGCGATCAACTCTTCTTTGGATGCAGAGATGGGAATATGTCCGACCATTGGTATCCTTGTAGAGCTGAATAAAGACGAAACTGCATCAATAATGCTTGTACGTTTCCTAGATTTCTCGGTTCTCCATGTCGTTCTATTCCTTGTGGTATCAATTTCATCAGTTGCTATTGCTTCGATTTCAACCACTCCTTGCACATCAACATCTGTCTTGAGAACTGGGTCTTCTTGCGCCGGATGAGAACTCATCCTTATTATTGCACCCGTCGCTACAGCGACAGTGGCTCCATTATTGATATTGGACTGTGCGGTTTTTTCGTCCAGACCTTCGTTATGACGGTCTACTGAAATGGACTTTTCGCTTTCGGCCTCTCTTCTACGTAAGGTTTCCATTCGAAGAGCATTATTCATGATGACAAATCCACGGCGGACGTCGCTCACAGTCCCTATGCCCAAATAAAATCCTGAACTCCATCCGCTGAAACGCTCGCCTTGTGTAAACTCGGTGGCTGCGCCATTTTGACTGGAGGTTAATTGGAAATAGTGCGTCCCCTGTGTTCATTAAACAAAAATATTGGTTAATACAAATTTACTACAACTATTACAATTATTGGTATCAATATTTGAATAGCTTTAAAGAAATGGTTTACTTCTGCAGATCTTATGAAGGTTGCTGGTACGATCCATTGAAGGCATGCTTCTGGCTCGACTTTGAGGACTTTAGGGGCCTGGGATATCGCTATGATTTCAATTGTAGAAAAGTAAGATGAAAGTTCGACATTTTAATCCATGTATTGACCTAATTAATACATTGGCATTTTTTCGACAGGTATAAAGACTTACATATTGGTGCACCGCAAAATATTGTTGACGGTAGTCGTATCTTTAGATCTAACGCCTCGCCCTCTGAGTAAAGTAGAGAAGTTGGTTTTTAATAACCAGACATGTGGAGGACGGGCAAAATAACCATCAGTAGTTAAATCCTAGAAAAGATATTACCTTCGATAGTTCCTTTTGCTTGTACAATCATTGGATTCCATTCATGATAGTGCGATAGGTCTGTAAGAACTTCCCAGACCTCTTTTGGAGGTGCCGGAATGGTAATTGTTGTCTTGATTTCATTCATAGATAGGTGTATAAAGCGTGAAATATGCTGCGTTAAATTTATTTTGTAGCCAAGGTTTAATGATGAAGGGTATTAATCAGAAATAGAAGAAAAATAAATAGTAAAAAAAAAAGGGTATGTTTCGAGGAAGAAATTCATGATGGCCTCGGGAACAGGATATCCGTTGCGGGGCTTTTAATCCATGCCCGTTCCTTTGCCATATTTTCCCTTTTACCTCGCAGTTGAAGATGAATTCATATTAAAAGATTGAAAGCCTTATTTTCAGGAGGTGACATTCTGTCCGGAGCGTTTATTGGATCGAGAACGCTTCAGGGGGTGCATTAATTATTATCCCATGTTCAATTATAAAGCCCTTATTGCAGTCAACGTCGTAGGGCCATGCAGTAAGCTGTCTGATCATACGTAAGGAGGCCATATGAAAAAGTGAATTTAGGAAGCATAAATAGGTAAATGAGTAGGGCCACCTTCAAGTACCTTCCTGAGCCTTTACCACAAGTCATCCTTGAAAGTTATAAGGACATTTCAATCCTATTGTCTCTTCAGAAGAATAAGCATGAAACTCCGCTACTAATGAATGGCTAACCACTCTGCCCTATTGAACTTTTTTTTTATACGCTGTATCGCTGTGGGAAATAGATCAGGACCCGATAAATATTAGAGTCCAAAAACCTATGAATGGCAAAATCTGTTTTTGCTCACTTTATTACTTGCTCATTTTATTTGATTGTCTGTCGTGTTATCGAATATTTTCTCCAGGCATTGTAATTAAGTACACCAGTAAAGTGCAGAGGGGTATTTATGACGAGAAGTTATTCATGAGAAGCCTGAGCAGTGATTTCTGTGTTTCAAAATGGTGATGAGCTTTAAATGGTAGGATAGTAAGTCGCGCGCATGGTAACTATTTCGTCTCGACACCCAAAGAGAATGAGGGAATGGGGGTGAAAAAGAACACCTAATGAGCAAATGAGGCTCTTGCACTAGATAAATATCCACACATATCTTTCTGGGTAGCGGTACAATATCTTTGTAACTTTGTAACTTATAAGGATATCCGAAGTGAAAAGAACGGAGTGTGAAGGTGCGAAGGGGTAATTGTCATTTGTAATATGTGTACGATAACAGAAAAGGTTGAAGGAAAAAATAAAACGCTTTCCCTCGCCTTTGCTTGATGATTATCGATACTAACTTCAGACTGTGTAAGTGGCCATGCATATCCACTCCTGAACGTGCTACATTGTCTAAGACAAGCCAGCTCTAATCGTTCTTCCTTAATTATATTTTCAATCCAAGCGTAATTTTGCATTTGTTCCAAGAATACTGCATATCCCTTTATCCTGCTTTTCTCAAAGACGAAGCGATAGACGCGCTATAGAATTTATGAAGACGACTCTTCATCTTCATTAATATACTAAATTATTGAGCACAATGTAGAATAGTAATGGGTTGCCAATGTTCTAATTCTCTGTCTCCTGGAAAGTAATAAATTATTAAATAAATGGAAGACAGATACTATGAACGCCATATCAGCCAGCGCTAGCACGATGTACGCCATCTGTTGCAAAAAAAAATAAAAAATAAAAAATAAAAAAAAATAAAAATAAAAAAAAATAAAAATAAAAAAAAATAGTACTCTACCCCCTTGTGGCGCCAGCTAAAAGTCTTGGCACAAACATGGCGTCAATAAGGACCAATATCAGGATGAATTGTTACAGGACATTAATCTATCCTTCTACGAGGGAAGGCCCAAGAGAGTGGAGGCGGAAATAAGAAGAAAGATAAGAGAGTATTAAGGTATCTACATGTTGGTTTCTTATTACACTTCCTTGATCATCGATACCATTGATGGCATCTAGAAACCTACGACTTCAAAACAAAGCAAAAAAAAAAAAAAAAAAAAAAAAAGAAAAAAAAGGAAAAAAAAAAAAAAGCCTTATTTGACGACATTACTGCTTCGAGGGACTATCAGATCATCACCAACGCATTCGTTCACGCCTTTCCTTAATGCTCATTCTGTTCTGCCAATCTGTTGATGAGGATCTTCCAAAGCTCTTGTTCTGAACAGGAGCAAAGAGAGCATACTACTGCACCCTTAGGACAAATACTCAATGCTATATTCCCAGAGAAAAAGAAATGAGCGCATTCTCGTTCCTTACAGTAGGATATTTCTAATTCACAAGTTTGAAAGGTTGAGAGCTGAAGCAGTGATTGAATATCAGTGTAAACTGATGCTTAATCGAGACAGGAGTAACAAAGACATGTGTACTCAGGGACAGATACTACTGCGCATAAATTGTATGCTGAATTTATCGTTACGAGATGTCTGTGTTTCTTCACAAATGACAGAGTCATAATGACTCTCTTTCCTTCAACGTCTACATTCAGCCATTAGCTTTTCGTTATTACAGCCTAATCTTTCGTCTTGCTTCAGAAATACCAAACTATTACTGCTTTAGATTCTTTCAGTTAGAATGTTTTCATACTCTTTTTTTATTTATTTTTTCTTCGATTACAAGGCACTAAATACAAAATAATATTGGGAATATATTCCTATTGGCTATTGCATGTAGATCGAGGATCTGCACGCGATAAAGAGAGAAAAGGGAGTAGAAGGCAGCACTACGATGTTCAGACGCTGTTACCTGGTCCAGGTCGAATGATAAGTAAGAGGATACGCATCATTCCACGCAGGGACGGCGTATTCAGAGAAAAACTGAATTGCTTTGTTAATCAAGAAAGCAGAAAGAGATCATCGGAGTCTAGGCGCATCAATTTTTTTTTTGAGAGCAAGGGTTCAATGCATGTCTGCAGCCTCTCCTGGGATAGGAATTCTACGACAGGCGGATAGGCAGACAGAAAGACAAGCGAAAATTCATTAAATAATTCCTATTAATGTGAAGAAGTGTAAGGGAACATCAACGCACCGCTAAATATGTCCTATTCATTTGAATGTCTGGCCATAGGCTGAGCTGACGTGCTGGATTTGTTCGTATTCTGAATTTAGCCTTCACAGGTAAATTCTTGAGTCAGAATTTAAGGTTTCTCTTCCACACAATGCATTTATTCATCATGTGGATGGCTTGAGCGTCAATGGTCTTATGGCCCCTATTGACAAGGATCTTCCTTAACGCCCGCTACCGGGGGATGTACGATACATAGGTCGTTGCCCTATGGACGTTTTCTTCCACAGGTAATAGGCCGAAATAATAAATGATCTCTTCTTGGTCCGCGTTTGTTTTGACAGCGTCTACTGCATCGTATTCTTCTCTATCTCCCACCTTTTCATTACCCCCTTGCATTTAAAGTAATACATATGTTAAGGTCCAAGTAGTTTTTGCTGGTTCTCCAACCCCTCTCCTGACCAGTACCTAATCTCTTCCTACGAGTTGTAGGGCCATAAAGATCCAAAGGGGCTTGCATGAGCTACCTTAAAAAAAAAAAATAATAAAGAAAAGATTGATTGCGAATTACATCTCTATTATAAATGTTTTTTGCTTGCTTTTTTACTCCACAACTTATTTTTGTCGTTATTTCAGCTATAAGACCACAACCTCCTTGGCTCAACGATGAACAAAAAGGAAGTGATTGCTTAGAGAGAAAAAAAAAGGGAGAAAAGCCTATACTAAAACAAGAATCCAAATTATTCTTGGCAATCAATTCAGGCCCACCATCAAACAGCGAGTTGGACCTTTAAAAGTGGGCAAGGTAATAAAGGCAATAGGTAATGGTGGTAGTATAAATATACGCATGGTTGCACACAGTGTACAGCCATCGACCTTTGAGCATCATGGACGCGTGAATTTTAGATTGAAGGGTGGAGCGTGATATTTTCAGTTGAAAGATTGTTCATCAGCCATAAATTGCAACATGTACACTTCAAACTAAGCGCGGGCCATAGATTCCTCACCATTGCTCTTTTTCCTTTTTCATGAATAATAGAAAGTGATCCACGGAGGATGGTGGAGTGGTTTGTGTGTATGCAGAGCCACATCCCTGCAGCGAAATCAGAATCAGATTCTTTATATGGGTTGAGTAACACCAGAATGTATAAATAAATTGTACAGACTATATCCTGCAAATTAAAAATGTTTATTGAATTGAAAGTATTACTCGAACAATGAAGGAAGTATCCCACCCTTTCCTCATTTGTTGAACATTTGCACTTGCATGTTGGCCAAGCATTGAGCTTCCTCGACTAAATAAAAAAAAAAAAAAAAAAAAAAGTACAAAAAGGGACCAAAACATTCCTCGCTTTCCTTATTTCCTCTTCACCTTTTGTCTTTGCACTCTACAACCACCACGGTCTCGAGATAGATCCCCATTCTCCTCCTCCTTTTCCAACAGGACACATTCATTTGCATATCCACCCATCTGCTTCTCTGTTTATCTTTCACTCTTCCATTTAAACATATATTTATACCCATATTAGCATATTACTCCGTTGCTTACGAAGCTATTCAAATGACGGCATCAGAATCATCTCCAGCACCCACTCAGGTACAGACAAAGGATTTCTCACAACCACCACTTCAACCCTTTGGTCAATCAGCCATCTTTGCTCAAAGCGCGCTTTTCCAACACCAACGGAATCAACACCAGTCATCATCACCCACCATGTCTTCTAGCTCCCTCGAATCCTCACCTACACTAGCACCATCTACACAACACTTCCAGTCTTTAACACAGCAATACATGTACACTATCGACCAGCAGGAGCACCACCATCATCACCTCCAGATCCTGGGTAATCACCCGGCTTCGCCAAACGCAAGCATGGTCCTGGATCTACCTGCAGATTCTTTCATGTCTGCACGTGCCGATGGTGGTCTCTTCTTCTCTCATCGTGATACTACAATGGCAGACGCAGAAAATATGTTTCAATATGCAGATACCATATCCACCCCAGCTGCTGAAGACTGCCAGGCCTCCAAAGAGTACATGAACTCTGGACAACATCAGACTGTTCCCATCAAGACCGAGTTCTCGAACGGGCAATTTGCAGTAATGGCACCCACATACATGATGTCGATGGCTCGCTCCTTTTCAAACAGTCAACTGTCACAGGCCTGCAGCGCTGCTGTCCCTAACGTAGCCTCCTCTGCTGTCAAACTCGAGCTATGTGATACACATACGATGTATACTCACCAGAATCTCTATTCAGGCGATCGTCAGTACCGCTGCAGCAACAGCAACAGTAATTTGTACTCAACTCAGAACCATCACTATCCCCATCACAGCTATTCAACCAGTTCCCTCTCAGGTGATCCTTCTATGTCTCCAAGCTCAGCTTTCTCCAGCGGCACATTGAGTGTGTCCAACCCGAACAACTCGATCGCCTCTTACCCAATATCCCGGACATTTAGCGAACCCTTGTTCCACCAGGGTATGATCCCTACATCCTCTTCTTTGCCTAATCTGTCTAGACTAGAATCCGAGATGGATACCGTCATGATAACCGCTGCGCCGACTATTGTTTCTACATCAAACATGATCAAGCCAACACCCAAGCGCTCTCGCGGCCGTCGAGTCTCAAGCCATCCTGACAATTCAGGCTGCAAGGTCTTCACCTGCCGGTTTGAGGACTGCGGCAAGATCTTCAAGCGTTCGGAGCATTTGAAGCGCCATATCCGGTCCATCCATACTCTCGAAAAACCGTTCCCTTGTCCAATCCACAACTGTTCTAAGCGGTTCTCCAGATCAGACAACTTGAACCAGCATATCCGTATTCATCGTCATAGAAGCGGGGCTCGTATAGATGAGAAGAATAGCAAAGCCTTTTCTAGTTTTACACCCTTTCTTCATACTTATTCTACAGAGCTTATTACCCTTTAGATTTAGGCTGAGCATTCTGGTGTAATTGCTCACTTTTTTTTTTTTTTTTTTTTTTCTCGAGAATAAACATTAAACGATTGGCTAAAGAAAAGCGTCGAGCCCTTGTAGTTTGATTTTTTGATTTCTTTGGAAAAGAGGTTGTACATACACAGGCATTAGGAGTTAAAGTATGTATAATGTACTTTGTAGCATGCGTGGATACATTGCATGAGTCTATTTGTTCTGCAATGTTGGTCACAAAGATAACACACTGATCAATGCAGTTTATAGTGACTTTATTATCGACGAGTCTCGTCAAGTCTTCTTCTCAATTCTTGGATTGTGTTCCATCCGATATCTGATGTACCAGATGGCATCCCTGGTTCATGTGGCGTTGGTGGTGTCTGCACCTCGACCTCTTCTGCATTAAAAAAAAAAAAAAAAAAAAAAAAAAAAGTAAGCATCTCTATCAACTTTCATACAGCAACCTTTCCATCCCTTATTAGGGAGGATCATTCTATCACACAGCTCGGGTCACTTTTATAGCAGAACCATGGAAGCAGCTGAGAGAGCAAAGGCGTATTGCAAACTAAACAGTAATATCACTCTTCAAGTTCCCTATATTACCAATCCATGCTCGAACAATGGGTTCAACGTCCGTTTTTCTGATGACCTCCACAATCTCTTGGATCATAAGGATCATTCCCTCAATAAACTTTTTAGAATAAGGACCACGGACCATTTCAAGCACCCTTTTTACAAAATGCATCGAAAGCGATTGGTCCATTTTACGAGCATGCACTTGAATATAGTCTAGTACTGGCATAACATAATTCAACTGAGCAAGATAGATCATCCTGTCCAAAATGGATTTCCGATAGGTCATCTATCATAAGGAATAAAAAAAAAAAAAGCGTTGTTTTTAATTATTTGGAGGCTCAACAAGATGATCACACGAAAACGTGCCTTTAGTTTTTTTGAAGGACATGTTCCGAGTAAATTAGCATTACCATAATTTCAGGGTTCAGCTCTAGAGGCGCCTCAAAAAAGTCAACTAACGTGGCAAACACTGGGGCCTGCTGTAGAGGATGTTTAAAAGCCATCTGTGGAACAGAAAGATATAATAATGGATGCTTTAGATCGTTATATATATAAAAACAAGAGGTTAGTTAACATCACTTTGTTACACCCACCTCTTCAAGCAGTAACAAAGGAACAGGCACCTCATGGCTTCTAAAATAAGTTTCGATGTAGCTTGTCTCTTTAATTACAAATTGAATCCAATAGAGTAATGCCATGGAGGCGACCGGCGTCCTAGAGAGATGACACGAGATTAATTACAATAAAGGATGAATAAGAAACATCGATAATGTCAACCGGATACTATTCCATGTTTTGTCCATATTCTGTGAATGCGTGATTATCATTGTAAAGGCAGGAGAGAGAGGAAAAAAAAATTGAACGCATACTCAATGGCAACTAAAAGATTCCCTAAAATAGGGGTCAAGTCTGTCCCTGCAGTTCGTTTAGATAGCGTATCCTCTAAAGCACTTAAAGCCTCATATGTTGGCTGAACTTCCGATTTATCCACAATCACTTCTTCTTCCTCATGTACGCTGGCTGCATAGGCCATCAGCCAAAGGTACTTTTCCTTATGATCTTGTTTGACAATACCACCTTTAAAGCTTGGGACAAAAATTGAGGACAACATGATTTCTACAAATGAAAAAAAAAAAAAAAAAAAAAAAAAAAAAAAAGAGTTGTCAGTATATGTGTCATCAAGCCATTATATCATCTTAAAAAAAGTCTTACCAAAAAAATCAGGATCGCGTAGAAAGTACGCAGATGGTGGGTCATCACTCGTGTATGCTCTGTGTAACTGAAACAGTAGTAAAAAGGAAAGAATAAAGAAAAAAATCCAAGCATCATTTATATAATAGTTAATGCTGAGAATAAACAGAAATACAGAAAGGAAAAGAGAAAGGGGGTGGAATAAAGCAAAAAAAAAAAAAAGAAGAAGACATACCAGCATTACGTCCCCAGGAGAAGGAATGCGTGATTGAAGAATAGCTGAAATGGCGCTTGCTACGGCTGATGACGCGCCTGCGAGCAACATTCTCAATATCGACACTAACGGAGGCCTGAGATGTCGCGAGATGGTGCAGATAAAATATAGAGCAAGACAGGTACATTAGTCTTTTTTTTTTTTTTTTTTTTTTTTTTTCAGTAATTATATTGTCGATTTGTCGTTGCCATTGATACTACAGCTTACTTATTGAACTTTTCTAGTACGCCTGATTCGAGTTCTTTTGATATTCGCTTTAGAGGTAGTCCTCTATCTGTTTTCATCAGACGAAAGAGTAGGACCTGCGTATACAAGTACGTGTGTTCGCTTTGGCAACAGACTTTCTAAGAAACCATAAAAACAATTCAAATATGGGCCACTGTAAGGAGTTTATATACCTATATCACTATCGTAAACTGTAGTTTAAATACACATGGTTCTTACCACCAGATCCGGCAACCGATCTGAGAGTCCAACATCGTCTTCATCTCTAAGCTTGTCCAGAGAGTCTAGCAAAACTCCAGAGAACACATTCACAAACGTCGATGCTGTTGCTACGCGAGAGATTTCTCCTTGGTATCCTGCATCTGAAATACGCTATTGTATATACATCAATAGATACGGATAGTGAGGGTCATTAGATTCTTTACAATGCTTGGAATCGCTGATGAGCTTTGAGCAAGATACAGGCCAAAATGATATACCTGAATTGCGAAATTGAGTAGCGCGCATTTTTGATGTTTCTCTGAGAGTTCATAAATGACAGATCTCCAGAAAGTATGCTGAATCATGACCAACAACCAGTCTGGAGTTCCCTAGAAACAGACCATAAAAGGTAGAGAGATAATTGATGAGCATGGCCATTTGTGCCGCCGAAAAAAAAAAATAAAAAATAAAAAAATAAATAAAAAAGATACATACAGAACCTGACATGAAATCTTTGTCCACACTTTCAGGGTCAAAACGCTCCATGAGCTGCTCTTTAAGGACCTCTTGCATTATCTCTGCAGGGTCAAGATCAAATTCTCGCGCCCAGCCTGACATCAAGTTGCACATCTCTGGCATACCAACATAGCTGTTGGACAAGGCGTTGACAAGCATAAGTGGTTGACCACCTTCTTTAATAAAAGTCGGGATTAGATCATAGATCTTTGGCTCCAGAATAGAGTCAAGTCCTTGAAAGAATTGCATCATTGCCTCCATATTATTGCCAGTATTACTGCTATTACTGCTGCTTCCAGCGCTATTGGGTCTCTGAACAAGAAGTCAGAAGAAAAGGAGAAAGGTACATTGTTAGTCGGATCGGTGCAAAATCGTATTGCGAACATGAGAAATCAGTACACATGTTGTTGGTGTTGTATCCAAACATTACAGAAGTCATGTCAATGAGGGTCTGGATTGAACAGAATGTCAATCAAAGGTCGTGTAAGAATTAATTTCCAATGACGCTCACTTCTGGGGCGACGAGGCAACTCCAACCACCATCGAAAATTATTGCCACTATACTAATGTGGCTTAATTTTCACATGACGTGCAAAAAGTGCAATTTGGACAGTGCATGGTTGAGATCACCTTTGTTTCATTTCCATCATTTTCTTCAACATCAGAAAAATAGCCAAAACAATTTCATTGAATATTATTTTTTTTAATTCAAATTTGGGATGGAAAATCTACTCATGTCCGTTTCAGCCTGACACATGTTGCAGAGATTTATCGTGATAGCAGACACAGCCAACATCACTGTTACGGGTATTGATCCCATTTCAACTGTGCATTGAGAGGATATCCAAAATCATTATCGCCAGCGGATTTGAGTACGAACGCAGGATGACGGCAAACAGGACTTATTGTTAATCTCCACAAAGGATCTTGTTGATATAAGCATTCTCGTTAGAACAAACTATTTTCCAAGATTCTGAAAAATCAATCAGAATCAGAATCGGAATTAGAAATCAGAATCATAATCAGAATAGAATTAAAAGACGGGATCAGCGGTCGAGAGAATGAGTACAGAAATCAAAGTCGAGGAGGAACTCAATAATATTTACAGTTAGTTGAATACAAGACGAGGTTGACTATCTACTCCTATTGCAATGCGCTTTGTCGGCAATTGTGAGGATGACTGAGCACCTCACTTGCATAAGGTCTCTTTAGAAATTGGCCATAAATCAGTGTAATAGCCATAGCAAAAACCCTCAGAGTCAAGGCTTTGTAGTGTGCGGTAAAGCCGTAGTTCATTAATAAAGGGGAAACGGAGTATGAAAAATATTCACCCCTTTGAATGGCTATATACTCTACAACAAAAAGGTTTTCAGTAATAACTCAGGATATCGCAAAAGAGATTTCTGGCGGTCGATGTCACGCCATTCTCAATGTTCAATTGGCAAAAGTCATTGACGATATCTCTTTGTCCATACCACAATCGGAACTTGCTTAGGAAATTAGGATTGCTATCCGGACTCATTCTAGTAAACTGCTGGAGCATATAGTATTTACAATCGTAACAGGGTTTTACGATTCGAAATTAGTTTAGTCTAGTACTCTGGCTGAATAAAAATTAAATATATCCCCGAGCACCAGTATAATGGAGACAAACCTTCTGGAGATTCACTTTGGCGACGACAACGACACAATGGCTTTGGAAAAAGGATACATTCAGATAATAATGGGACCACCGAATAAAATTGCCACCCAAGGCAAACTTTCTGTCCTCAATCTTCTTTTGGTGACGAAATCGCACTGTTCCTAGCGATGGTCCACCTTTTGTGGAGCCACACGTGGTACTGTAGAAATGAAGTACATGTGTGTGGAAAATTTCATACATGTAAATGAATATGGTTGTCGGGAAATACAAAAAGTTTGAGCCATATCACAAACAGTTCCTCCATCATCGAAACTTCTGCTGGGCAAGATCTATACACTATATCCAATATACTACGAACGTATGGAGATTGAATCCATGTGATTACATTCGATGTTTGCAATTGGTACCAAATATCCGTGGAAGCCCTCGAATAGATTCTTGGCAAATGAGTTTTCAGAGGTGCTATGGACATGCAGATCGTTGGTCCTTGGTGAATTAGTGACAACATCATTTTGTGGCATCGGTCCAGGCAAGCCAAATTGTGTGGGTACCTTCATCTGTGGTGACCAGATATTGAAAGAAAATGCAGCAGATGAAATATGGTTGGATTTCTTTGCAAACAGTAAGTTATTGGTTGTCATAAGTTCTAAATCATTATTAGGATATGGCAGAATATAAGGGGATTTGGAGGGCGATGTTCGGTACGATCGACGACGCTGGGTGATTTTTACGGAAGGAGTGATTAAAAATGTTGGATTAGGAGGAGACAATCCAGGTAGAGAAGTACTTTATGGTCCTTCTTTTAATTTCCGTAAATGGAAACAAAACCTTCAAGCCAAATGTCCTCCTTACGACTCATTCAAGGGTCAATTTTATTACAAGATGAAATATGAAATGATGTCTGTTGAATTCGGTCATACTGTATAGTAGTTGGTTGTAACGAGGACCTTTTCCTCGGGCCAGCAGGTAAAGGTTGCTCTTCCGGCTCCAAGCGCGAAGCCTCACGACAATATGATCGCATTGATAAAAATCGTTAAACTTAGTCAGATCTAAACAAATCAAAATTAATAAAAAAAAAGGAGAGAGGAAGAGAGTGAAGGAATTAAATGTCGTGTGGTTGCAATCCATGCAGCCGTTATGCTCTTTTCTATTAAAATATGCCGATCAAAATAATCGAATGATCTTAAATATATCTCATCGAATAGATATAATTTCTGTCTTTGGATCTTGTAAAAGGAAAAAGGGAGGAAGAAGGAGCGGAGGGAGAAGAGAATAACTGAATATGAGCCATGGTATATACAATATCTACATGCATGTGTGTGGGAGAAAAATGAGTAGAGGGAAGGAAGAAAGAAGATTGAGGGATATGCAAGTCTTGTATTCAACAAAAAAAAAAAAAAAAAAAATTTTCAGGAACCACCTTGGCATTGATCGTCTTCGCAACCATTCCCGTCACCCGTTATCATGCATTACATCCTGTTGTTGTTCCTTCTGTCTTTGAAAGAAAAGAAAAGGGGAAAAAGAACAAAGCACAGCTCTTTTTTTTCTTTCTTTCTTTCTTTCTCTTTTCTTTTAGTGTGGTTGTAAACTTCTTTTTAATCTTTCTCTTCCTTCCTTCCTTCTCTTCTCTCTTCTCTCTTCTCTCTCCTCCGCCTCGCCCCCCCCCCTTTTTTTTCTTCTTTGTACATTGTAATAATTTTTTTCCTTTCTTTTCCTTTCTTTTTGAAAATAAACAGTCCATGTCCACCAATCCGACAAAGCGTCCTGAAACTAGCCAGGTCAAGAAAAATAGCGAGGATGACGATGATGACAGCGATGAGGATCAGGAGAGGCTATCACATCAAGGCACATCTACGTCTTTGAGTCGTCCTAGTAATGACTACATATCACCCCCTCTACAGCAACAACAGCAACCAAAAGGAACATCATTACTACAACAACATCAACTACTACAGCCTCAGCAACAGGAGCTACAAAGCGTGCATAGTAGCAATGTGTTATTGTCCGATGAACATCTTCAGACACAGAAGCTTTCACATACAGGCTTACAGGACAACAGTGACGACGCGTTCATTATTGAAATATCCTCATCTACTGGAATTTTCAGTCATAACAGCAGTAATGTTGGGGATAGTGACAATGATAATGGTAGTATCAGAGATCGAGAGACAAGATTAGATATAAGCAAAGCATATCTCTCTTCACCTCTTAACGATCGAAACCATCTTCACAGAGTGGGCGATCCAGGTAGTTTGGTCCGAAATGATAACAATGATGGTCGTTATAGCCTCAGCTGTACTCCCTATGTACATACCATAACGCAAGAGCAACGGCTTTTCAAGAATGGCGATCAGATGCAGACACAATCCTTGCCCGTATCGAGGTCAGCCAGATTAAGACCTGCGTCAGACCAAGTCCTGGGCTATGCTAGCCATTTGGAGACAACAAGAGCAGGTAGGCTTTCATATCACCTTCAACAGCCTTGTGCCTCTTTCATGCCTTCTTGTTCCCTTCCTTCGGTCCCCATCACCATTGTCATTGATCCTCATGCAACCTTAACCCTACTGCCTACACTTATTCAGCCGTCTTCTTCAATGTTCACACTCCTTGTGGAAATGGCATCTGGTTCTCACACAAATGCATCACCCCTGCCTTCAGAGTCCCATAGAGACATCTCCATAAATCCGTCTCCAGTCCCAGTCTTTCGCACGGAAGAGCAAGTCGTGGTACTGACAGATCTTGAATCTGGTAACAGTCCATCCTTCTCTAGAATTCAGTCTGTGCAACCCACACCATTCCGCCGTGGTCATCGTCGGTCAACCCAAACTATATCTATTTCAGCTTCTTCGCTCCCAAGCTTTATCCCGTCAGAACTACCTCCATGTGGAGATTCATTATCCTCATCCTCGCTTAATGTTATCAAGCCTTGGAGGGAAAGTAGACCATGGTCACATAATGAAGCTTTGAGTCAGAAAGATGGATTAAATACAAAATCCTTCAATGACACGCATACGCAAAGCGGGACTTCAGTCGTTGCCGTGCCTGGTGATGCATCTGCTCTGGAATTCGATGCTTCCTCCCCCTCGCAGCAGGAACAACAGAGGCAACAGAGGCATGAGCCACTATATCATCGTCAACATCACCAACAGCGGATACCTTCACAACAACCAAAGCAACCCCAGCACAATCAACAGCATATAATACGGTCATCACTCTCATCTGTGCAAGACCGTATCACTGCTCATTATTCGACCCCAAAGGACAGGATTCTACACTCACATCCACTCAGTTACCATGTTTACGTACCCTTCAATGAATCGTCACGCTCTTCTCCTCCCGCTCGGCCTCCCCACTCGACTATCCCACGGTTCTCTCGCTCACTGTCGCGTCATGTCTCGAGATCATTTCCTCCGTCTTCTTCCTCGTCGTTACCCCGGTCTTCAGTCCTGTCTTCTCCTAGTCTGATTCCTCGCCTCTCATCCTCCCGTTTCCCTACACGCCCGATTCGTCGTTATCCTCTTCATCCCAGATCAGATTCATTTGATCAGAACCAGGACGCCATAAAGCCGTCAGGTGTGCCTCAACCTGAACTCGAGCCTGGACCCGAGCCTGGATCCGAGCTTGAACCCCAACCTGAACTCCAACCTGAACCTCAACCTGAACCTCAACCTGAACTCAAGCCTGAACCCCAACCTGAACCCAAGCCTGAATCCCAACCTAAGTCTGGGCTTGAGCTCGAACTTGAGTCTACTCAACGATCGCAGCTGGCTTCGGGGTCAGGACAAAACATCTCTCTTCCGCCCGCTGTGGAATTGCTGGCTCTGGCGAAAATTAATACTCATCAGAGCTTATCAGTGGCGGAGCCAAGTTTAAAAGACCTATTTTCCTTGAAAAACCAACATTATCATTCACGTTCGACTTGGAATGACGAGTTCGCACCGCCCATTCGACCGCCTACAATAGTCAGTCCATTGCTTAGATGGCCTCAATATCAAAAGCAACAGCAAGAACAAAAGCAGGAGGGGGAGCAGAAGCAGGGGCAGGAACATCCTCTAACCATTCCTCTTCGTCGTCGTCAAATATTACTTGCTGAAGCTATTGGTCCATACGAGGATACTGAAAACAGCCAAATTAACCCGCCACCCCCTCGACTGAGTGAATTAATGTTTCCCGCGCCTATGCCTTATGCATTCAACAACGTTGTTTCAGAGTCTGATTCTCGGTCAAATAGGTTTAGTCGGACGGTCCCATTCCAGGAAACTAGAAGTGGGCGTAGTGGTCATCTTCGGATCCGTGAGCCGTCTACCTATAGTATTCCTTCTGGACCAGACAGTATCCTCGCTGCCGTCATGGCTGCCAGTACCCTGCCAATGTCTGTAAATGCACCATCTGCATACTCCAGTAGTATTGCATCACCATCCCATGAACCTATAGAGCCTCAGTTCTTAAGACACGACAATGGCATTAGGCCTGCGATACAAAGTGAATCCTCTTTAGGTATCGGAGCTAACATAGGCGAGAGCATAGTAAGCTCGAACACCACCATGAGTATGAACACGATTCATGTGGACACTGAATCCTCGACAACCACGAAGGAAGAAGCGACACCCAAGCGTAAAATGACAATCGGCCAAAGACTCAGAGCTCGGTTTTCCTTTGGGTTCAAGAAGAAAGAGAAGAAAGAGAAGAAAGAGAAGAAAGAAAGGAAAGAGTAACATTTTGTCTATCTCCGGCAGTGACAGCTCTTAGTACATTAGATTTCCATTTTTTTGCGTTGTTTTTATTATTATTATTATTATTATTATTATTATTATTATTTATTTCTTCAACTGTATTTTATTATAGATTCGTTAGATTTCGTCAAAGCATGTAAACACAATAATGTATTTCTTTTTTGTATATTTTCCTTTTTTTGTATATTTTTCTTTTTCTCTTTTTACAATTCTTCAGGAGAGATGTAGCTTGGGTGAATGACTAATAAAGGGTTATCACTATCAGCTGCTGAAATACCAGGCTCAGTTGAGGATCCATCATCGATAGCCAAAAAGACCTGGTCCTTCTTCATGAGTCGGCGAATAACCTTACGGACAATCTGCTCCTCTACAGCTATATCCTGCTGGTTCTCGATAATCTCCTGTTCTCGCTGAGTCAGGTACCACGTTACGAGGTCGTCACGACGGATGCCACCTGTATATCAAGGGAATAAAGAGTGAACATCATTGAGGATACCAGCAGAACAATACAGATACCTGAACTAATCAAGCATTGTTACCAGTTCTTATAATCCTTACCTTCTTGTTGACGGCGTACTTCGCTGACCAAGAACTCCTTTGCCCGTTCAAATTCATCATAATCCATGCGACGGAGGCGATCCTGCTGAGCTGGTTGCTCAACTTCCATGTTCTGCACCATCTCTTCAAATTCCTTTTCGTTAGTTTCTATGTCATCTCCAAAACCTTCTTCTTCCTCTAAATCAATTCTGTCCTTCTCAACGGTCAGGATAGACGAGTGCAAAAGACGGCTGGCCTCTTTTACAAAGTCCTCTGTAATCTATTAGTTTATGCCCGAAGAGGTATATTTTTAGAGACACTATTAATACAATTTTTTATTTTTACAAGACTTTTGACCAAACCCAAAAGTAGCAATAATAAAAGTCATTCATCGATCAAGGCCACTTACGATATCTGTACAATGAACACGGGCCAAGGCCTCTGAGAGACGAATCATGCTCTCAAGCTGACGGACAGTGATCCTGTAAGAGTTCTTGCCACTACCTTGAGAGTCCATTTGGCGTAAGTCGCGATATTTTTCCGATAACAATCGCATTGCCTCTGGTGATAGCTAAAAATGATAGTATTTTGCCGTTTAAACATGATATTATATTAAGATATACAAACCCTTTTATTATATAAAAAAAGATATACCTTGGGTTTAAACGTTCTGGCATACTGAATGTAACGCTGTACTTGCTCTGTGCTATATTGGGGTTGGAGGGCCTCATCGCGATACCTGTGGACATTAACAATGTGGCGAGCAATTTGGTAATCTGTAGTCTCATCGCACTCATCCAAGACAACAAAGAACAAGTCAAAGCGTGACATGATAGGGGGCGACATGGCAACATTTTGCTATTGGTAAAAGTCAGTTGAGATCATGTGTGAATTTTTTTTTTTAATTTGTTAATGCAGATTAAGCGATACAGATACACAGCTGCCATTGATACTACTTACCCGTAATGTGAGCTTCTTATTGTATCTACCGTTGACAGGGTTTGCTGCAGCAAGGATGGATGTCCTGGCATTCAAAGTGGCCTGGATACCAGCTTTAGCAATGGAGATGGTCTGCTGTTCCATGGCTTCATGAATTGCAACCTGATCCTTCAAATCCATCTTGTCAAACTCATCGATAGCACAAATGCCCTGCATAAACACCAAAAACATTAGTGAATGAATGGTCATGGTCGCTAGTTAAAGAAACCTTTTTTCCCTCTAGATTGATAATGTAAGTACAAAAACCTACGTTATCGGCCAACATAAGTGCGCCAGCTTCGATAGTGAATTCTCCAGTTTCTTCATCCTTGACAACCGTTGCTGTAAGACCTGCAGCGGATGATGCCTTTCCAGATGTATAGACTGTCCTTGGCAAGAATCCACAGACATACCTACAAAGGACAATGCCGGTTGAGGGTTAGCTTTAGTTGAGTCGAAAAAAGTCTCAGGGCTACAGGACACAATAAAGCTTACTTGAGGAACTGACTCTTGCTAGTGGAAGGATCACCAACAATGCAAACATTGATATCTCCACGAAGGTTGATCCCTTCGGGTGTAACCTTGTGAACACCTCCCATCATTTGTAGCAGCAATCCTTGTTTGACAGTGTGGTGACCAAAAACAGCGGGTGCGATGCTGAGTGCTAGCTTGTTGTAAATCTGACCTTCCATATTAACCATATCCCTCAACTCATCAATCTCTTCCTGTCTCAGCGAGTCCAAGAACTTTTGACGTTCTTCGTCATGATCTTGAGGTTCTCGATCCGAAATATCACCCTTTTCGAACAAAATAAGAACAATAATAGCAGTAATAAATAGGTAAGCGACAGTTGAGTTCTCATATTGTCCTACAAATATGTTCCCAACATGTAATAAATAAGACTTTTTTTTTTTTTTACCTTTGAGTCACTGGCTTGAACCATTCCTCCAAGAAAGGCCAGTTTGTAGGTCAGATCTCCGACGCCCAAAGCTTTCAACCCTGTGATTCCTTGGTTTGAAAAGCCATCCTTTCCGCGATTGCGATCATGTGTTTCACGCTCAGTCTGAGTACTTGTACCAGCACCGCGCAGCTGGCCCACATCAGGTACAACAATCAGCATTCCGGTGAAACGTGCTTTGTCTCCAGCCTTGGCCTTCTCAACGACTTCACCCCGTAGAATAACATCCATGCTACCACGAGAAAAGAGGGTTTAAGTCGTTTAGCTCATATTTTCCAAGAAAAGCATTTATATTCCAGATCTCAAATTGATTCTAAAACACCAAAACATCTGGTGCGTCAAAGATCTTACGTTCTTGGCATACTGCCGGTAGGAATTTCGTTTGGATTTTCCTGTATACGAACGCGCTGCCAATCAATAAATTTGGACTGCTCAATGTTCAGTTCCCAGTTGGTACGGTTTCCGCAAGTTGGACTCTGGCACATCAATGGCTATTTTGTTTGATGATCAACAAGTTATATCGATATATAAATAAGCTGAGAGGAGTTTCGATGAAATGAATGCATAGCGATAATAAGCGCGACAGTGACAGACATAGAAACGAAAGTCAAGTATTTATACCTCGGTATATTTGAATTGCTGTTCAATGTTATGCATCACATTGCCGCAATCTTTACACGTAAATGTACCATAAACTAATTCAGGCCTGACTTCACTAGTCCGCGTCACAGTTCCAGAGATACTCATTAACTTCCCGAGCCGATTCATCCTAAGATCACGAATGCCTTCCTGCGCAGGTACGTTGTGAAAGGCTACATTGAACTCTCGAGACATCGATCCTGAGGGACGAGCAGTGGCGTTTTCTCCTTGAGTGGTGTTCATATACGCATATGCAGGGTTATATTTCCAGATCAAGTTTTGGATTGCTCGCCTGAGGTAGGATTGGAAACTAATGGCAATGTGTAAAGAGCCAATGTCGTTTTTTAGTCTTTTTTTTTTATTTTATTTTTTTTTTTTATGTTTTTTTTTCTAAAAAAAAAAAAAATCCTTGTCAGAGCAAGCCGATATGGTATGGTAAGCCTTACCGATAATATTGATCCTCAATTGCTCCAGCTAAGACAGGGTTATAACTTAAAAGATCTTGATAGTCAACAAAGAGCGTATGACCTTCATAGTTACTCAGCATTTTGAGCTGGGCTAAATATGGAGTATTGCTGACTTGTGAAGATCTCGTCGGATCCTGATCCTGCAATATACTCGGGTCAAATCTACATGTCCAAGGAAGGATGGTGAGAGACAGACAGGTGGCAAATTTAGCCTCTATTATTGTATCGGCGAACATGAATGATTCGCTCCATCCTTGATATTAGGCTTCAGCACTCCACCTTTCAATAAAATCCTCAAAATCCATTCGGATCTTCTCAGCGGTCTCATCCTTGACCTTTGCGATCTGCCGGATAGGCTCAAATGGGACATATCGAGGAGTTGCGACTGTCTCTGGTACTGGTCTAGGAGTATCTGCTAATGAAGCAGCTTCCATTCTGCCCGCAATGTCATTTTCTGAGTTGAGGTCGATTGAATCCATGATGTAACTTTCTCAAGGATAAATAATTGAACAGCGAGGAATGAGCCAGTAATAGACCAGTTCAATACTATTCAAAAGAGTGGGAGGGATGAGTAAAACAAACAATGGTGATAAAACAGGCTATGACCCAGGTTGTGTGTACCTGGTTTTTTTTTTTTTTTTTTTTTTTTAATATTTACGCGCCCTTTGTTTGTTTTTCAAAAGCCACATTTTAATTAATGTAAACGCGCTCAAAGCGTGGTCGCGTTGAGTTCGATTTTATCAAGTTCCAACTGTATCTTTCTTTCATTTTGAAAGACGGGAGAAGCCTGGATAGAAGCGATATTATGACTTGCCCACTCTGTCCGCTGATCAACTGATGGGCTCGTGCTACTCTATTGAGACTGGTTTGAATAGTCAGCAACAGCAAAAAGAAAACAGTAAATGAGAGGTCTTGACTGCATATGGTCATTATGGACCACGATTGCGTTGTGCTCTATGAGTGCACCATGCAGATGTAATGTAAGGACTGGATTTGATCTAAATATCCGAAGTAGTCTCATGTTGCGAGAGAGTACATCATCACTTTGGAAAGAGTTTTATCTGTTTTAACTTCTTTTTTAGTTCGTTAACACATACCACCTTTTTAAATGTTACTAGCTGCTGCTAGCCTCGGTTTCCTCAGGATATTAATCTATTCATATGCGTCCTTCCTTTTAGGGCCTTACTCTTGACCTCCATGATTAGGTTTTTTCTAACAAGAGCTACGAAACACACACAACAGCAACAGGGTTATCAGCATCATTTGGAAATGGTGAATGTTTGTCTACAAAAAATTTAATTAATTCAATTGAATTGTGGCGTTGCACACATCTCATCTGTTCATTGCCTCTAGTTCATTATTCAGTTACTCGCTCATCCTTTCTTTCTCTCCCTCTCTTCTCTCGTTGTCTTTGTCCTACCCTTCCTTACTTCCCTACCCCATCCTCTCTCTCTCTCTCTTTCTCTCCCTCTCTCTTCCTCCTTCTCCCCATTCATGTACCAACGGCCAGCTGTCACTCAACGCATCTCGTATGTGCTCCGCAAAGACGAGAACAGGAATGCTCATCTCTTGGGTGTTAATGCACTTGCCCTTGATACAACCACCCCTACTACACCTATTCAACCATCCTCTCTTACCACAAACATTGTCACTGCTAAGGAACGACGTCGACATTCTTCAAGGCATTATGTCCCAGGAGGCATTCTATACACTGGAGGACGTGATGGCATGATTGCTGCCTGGGATTTGCATTTTGAGGTACATCAAGTACATTAATGTCTACACATCGGGGCATCTTAGTATTATTTTGGTGTTGCTGTGATTTCTCACGGGCATAAAGAAAAGCTCATGCTGTGAATGTATCTGAATTGTGTTCCTAGAGTAACTTGGATTTAAATACAACTTAAAATAGTCAATCCTAATATATGTATTTTATGTTTTACTGTATTTAGTCGCCTATTCCCCGTGATATACCTGGTGAAACTCCAGAACAGCCCAAGGTGAGTTTGACTCGAAAGTAGCAATGGGAATGTGGACGGCTTTCAGACATGACATCGTCAAAAATTCTGGTTTGATATTTGACTGATTATTTTTTTTCTTCTTTTATTTCATTGATATGATACGCTATGGTACGATTGTAGGGACTTCCGCCTTCGACCTTTCGTCAGTCGTTCAATCATCATACGGACTGGGTGAATGATATTGTTCTATGTCACAATGGAGAGACCTGTAAGCGAGCATTTTTTTTTTTTTTAAGAAAAAAGAGCAAACTCACACATCTCAGACAATGGTGAATACTGCATGGGTATCCTAATTTTATACTTATTTTTGCCCTCAACTTGTAGTGGTCTCGGCCTCATCTGATAGGACTGTTAAGCTAGTCCGGCCACACTCACATAATCCAACAGCAGCACACATCATTGGAACACACGGGGATTATGTGAAGACATTAGCTTATGCTTCAGGGCCGGGATGGGTTGCAAGTGGAGGATTAGACAAGACTGTTAATATCTGGGATATCAAAGAAAGTCGGAGTACGCAATTCATTTCTCTTGGTAAGGAAAAATAAAATACAACCAATGAAGTGATACATCAAAGCACATGCATACGACGTATTGTCGTAGAGCAAGTACAATGATGTGGTGTGGAATAGCAAAATACATCATGTCGACATAAAAAAAACTATAAGGCACTTCTTTTCTTCTCTCTTTTTATGTGATTTCTGCTGAACGCGTTTAGGAGCCATTCCTGAGACTTCGTCAAAGGCATCCATTTATGCGCTTGCTTGCAATCCCATTGGAACGGTGCTGGCAACTGGTTCGCCTGAGAAGGTATGCATTTCTAATTTCTTCCATTTCCTTATGCCTACGCCTCTTTATTCTTACACAATGCTTTGTATCGGTGACTGTATAGATCATTAGGGTCTGGGATCCAAGATCAGGACAGCGGATTACTAAGTTTGCTGGCCACACTGACAACATTCGTGCACTCCTAATTAGTGAGAGCGGAGATACGGTAATAGCAAATAAAATTTATTTCGAACCCTTTTATTTTATTTTATTTATTTTTTTTTCAACAAGATTGTTTAGAAGGCTGGGGAAGAACTATTACTATGTTCTATATCGTTTAAACCATTTATTTTTGATGGTTTAGATATTATCTGCATCCTCCGATACTACTATCAAGCTATGGTCTTTGACAGCTCAGAGATGCATTACCACATTCACCATGCACTCGGATTCTGTTTGGTCACTATACTCGGACCACCCTCAATTGGCTACTTTCTACGGCGGTGGAAAGGATGGCATAGTCACCAAGACGGAAATCAATCGCTACAATCCTCAGCATCACAGCGATTTTGAGGATGAAGATCCTGGACAGTGTGTTGTCATCTGCAAAGCCGAAACTGGTGTTGCTAGAGTAAGTTGTTCAGAGAAGTAAAAGGGCTCTTATGTAAAAAAAAAAAAAAAAAAAAAAAAATGTTACCCCGCCATAGCTTTAACCTTTTCGTGTAATGGACATAGTTGGTGGCGCATGATAATGCACGGATCTGGACTGCAACCTCATCAAGCAGTGTTTTCCAGTGGCCTGACATTCCTACGCGTGCTAACCGTGCGCCAGAAATGATTGCGTCTATTGTACCGGCCAATTTGCTTAAGATGAACCTCAATGAATCAACATTTACGGATCTAATTCCAGAGCACTACTATCCGACTTCAACCGTCTATTCTGCAGCATCATTAGGATCACTCTTTGTTAGTCATCGCGATAAGCAAAGCCAGCATAGCTCTGAGGATGATGAGGGCCTTATCGCACCCATATTTGAAGATCCAGAGAATGTGATTGAAGGAGAGCATGGATTAATCAAACACACGCTTTTGAACAACCGTCGTATGGTTGTAACTGAGGATAAATGTGGCGAAGTGGCGCTCTGGGATATCATCAAGGTTAAGAGAGAAAAAAAAAAGAAAAAACTTCATACGCCAAGTTTTGGCCACATGTGCCTATATAACTTACTCATCATCCAGCAGCCTTTTTTTTCCTCTTCGAACTACATCAGTGCATTCAATTGGATACATTTCCTGGACGTAAATTGGATGATGTTGTGAATGAGCTCAACACGATCGAGTCTGTGCCAACATGGTGCACAATTGACACACGCATAGGAGCATTGACAGTTCATTTGGATGAAGGCCGCTGCTTTGACGCAGAGGTATATGTCGATGAAATCGAAGAAATACCTGACCCCGAGCGACCAGAAGACCAGAGAAGTATGCTGCTATGCTGCGGCCTTCCCACAGCCAGGGTTGCTGCTATTCATATCGTGAACCTTATTTTTTACTAACTTGCTTTCGCTTTTTTTTATCTGTAGTTGTCATTGGTAAATGGGTACTGAAAAATCTGTTTGATAACTATGTGCCAGTGCATATTGAGGCATATGAAAAGGAGACTTATCGTATTCAGCATCCGAATGACTCAGCCACTCAGCTGTCCGTCTCTACAACAGCATTGAATGAGAAAGGCGTTGAAAGCGGTGGATATGACACAAAGAAGTCTGACCTGCCAGCGGTTGCAAGCGATGGAAGCCGGCCACCTGTCATCAACACTACGCCCGAAGCATTGAAGGAACCCCTCGCATCTTCGGAGCTTCCAACCATCTCCAGTGATAACTCCAAAGCTAATAATTCATCACCTCATCAGGATTCTTTAGCAACTGTAGCAGGCAGCTCACCAAGCTCTTCTAGGGAAGGCTCAGTGTCCGTAGCGCCAACTACGGGTACTACTGCAGCAGCAGCAGCTACAGCTTCCACCAATGTTGCGCCCACTAGCTCTGGAGGGAAATTGAGCGCGCTAGGATCGCATACAGCCTCATCATCTGTTCCTTCGACCCCATTATCAATATCCTCGACAACGAGTACGGCCGCGAGCTCCAGTAATGGGTTCATGGGCCGTCTGAAGCACTCTGTTAAGAAGCTTACGAGGACGCCTAGTTCAGAGCAAAAGTTTGAAAATGGGCGGTCGATGTCATCTAAGAAGAGTGTGGGAACCATTGCTATCCCGATGAGCGGCGGTGTCTCCAAAGCCCCCAACAGTCCTTCTATTCCAGAACACCCATCGCCATTCCCGGCGATCACAACATCTGCTACTGCTTCCACATCGGCCAGCGGAGCAGGAGTTGGGACAGGAACTTCGACCTCTACAGCATCGTCACCAAGGACTACTGTCATAGACGGAACACCAACACCCGGAGGATCGGCTGGATTAGGTGGAACTAAAGTTAACGAAGATGATCAAGCAACCTCTGACACTACATCGTCACATTCAATCGAGTCTATCCCCAGTCCTGTACAGCAGCTCCCGAATCCCGCTATCAGTATGCGCCCCCCACATCCACCGTTCACTCCGCTTACGCATCTAGATTGCCCAACGGTCCCTATCCCTGCACATATCCCAGTAATTATTTCTGAGCAGTCGCGGGAAGCCTCTTCGTCTGTAGATTTGTATCGTGGTACTGTAGGCTCTTTGGGATATGACTATGTACCACTAGTGCAAGTTATACCTACATGGTTATTGGAAGTGCTTTTGAAGAACATGATACCGGTCAAAGAGACGCCAAAGGTTTCATTTGTGCTACGACCACATCATGAACAGGATATTACTCTATCGCTGCCAGGCTCTGGACGGTTGGGCGAGCTCCCAGGAGGCAATCCAAGATTGACTGCACCGCGGATGCTGAGAGTACGCAAGGTTGTGGCACATGTAGTCGATAAGCTGGCATTGACGCCCCCTAAAAGAGCTTCGATATCAGTATCAATAAGCGACCCAGCAAGTAGAGCAGTAGTTGTTGATGCTGCATTCCAGCGTGGCCATACACAGACTAACCAGCCTCCACTTCCTCCGCGATCAATCGAAGCGGCGGAAACCAGTGCGAGAGGACCAGCTATCGTTGGTAGTGCCGACCAGCCTCCACCACCAGGGAATAAATCGCAAAGTGTGGGTCCATCGGTTTCAATCGTTACAAAGACTGGAGAGCAAGAAGAAGAAGAAGAAGAGTTTTGGAGGCAAGAGGCACTGCGCCCAGAGAATTGGCTTGAAATCCTATGTAACGACCAGGTCCTATCACCGACGATGACATTGGCGACTGTTCGCACACATTATTGGAAGACAGGGAGCGATGTAGTCCTGACTTACCGATATAAGCAACAGAACATGGCAATAGTATCAACTCTAACAACTACCCCATCGCTATTGCCGTCGTCAGCAACATAGAGCCGCATAATAGTTGTTATATACATGTATATTTATATATATTAAAAAAAAAATAAAAAAAAAAAAATATTACGATTATTGGACTATTTTTATTTGCATTATGGACATCAGGATAGTAAAAAAAAACATATCAAAGCGTTAATGCTTTTTAGGTGAATTGTCATGGTAGTCATAACTATTAATGATGATGTGATGGCTGGTGACGGTAAGGCAGGATCTCATCATCATTATCATCATCATCTTCGCCATTACCTGCCAACAAAGCCTCTGAGCTAGATCTATCATTCACTTGCGTACTCCCGGTACGATCCTGAGACCAAGGCCAGCCAGTTAAAAAATAATCTCCCAGTTGTCCTAGTCCTCTCCCTCTTCCTTTTCCTCCTCCCCTTCCTTCCTCTACGGCAGACGCATGATACCGCCGTCGGGCTGCACCTTTCCAGTACTTTGAATAGATGATAGTCTGGATAATTATGACGCAATCGACACAAAGTTGGATGATGCCACAGCCAATAAACTGATATTTGGCTCCTGTGGTAATATAGTAATATGTTTTAAATGAGTCTCCGACGACCCACATTAATAAAATCGCTGGCGAGAACCCAGCAGTTGATTTTGATTGATAGTTTTGAATTGCTTGAGGCATTGGTACGGTCGATTCGATCCCTAATGCCTAATTGTGGACATTAAGACGACAAAGGTTAATATGCGGACCAAATTATACAGTTATAAACAATGTAATAATAAAAGGAAAGGATAAAGATAATGCTTACTGCAAGGCCCAAGAGGCCAACATAAAATTCAGTCTTCCCGATGATCAAGAGGGACAGCCCGACGAACAAGGTGAAGAAGGCAAGAAAGATATAATATGGCCAGATAGTGGGCCAGTTCCAAAAATGAGTACCCCAGTAAATTGCATGTTTCTTGTACCATCCTTGACTATGATACCTTGAAGCTCTGGTAGTGATGTGGTCAGATCCTTGACGACTCATTGTCGTTGGGATAGTATAACTGTTGTTGCTGTTGTTATGAGAATTGCGAGAGGAAGGACGAGAGGGAGGGCGAGAATGTGTGATAGGTGTAGGCAACTGTACTGTCCAGGGGTAGTACCGTACACAGAGTTCCAGGAGGAAAAGTTGCACAACAGTCATCAATATGGACTGATACAACAGCGCTATGTCGAATCTTGTTATACCGGGTATTGAAAGAGGAAAGAAAGCATTGTCAGTTGGATTTGACTGTCAACTAATCTCATTGCATTTTATCATTCTGGACTCCTTGGACTTACGGGTCTCCGATCCTGTTATGAACCAAACAAGTGTTGAAGTTTTGTATTTGTTGGTCGCCAAGGATTTTAAAAAAATGGAATGGTATATGAACAATTCAGGTGTGCCAAGAATTAGTTAATAATCTCTGCATAAGCATATCTTCCGCTCAGCCAGCTATTTTTTGTCAAAACCATCCAACAAAAGAAAGAAAAGACACCAGCCATGCAACAAGAAAGGCGGTGGCTGTGATGGCTACGACGGCCATGCTGATCACCAAATAAAGTAAATATTTACACATTCTTCACGCACACACACTTACCAGAAAAAGATACGGATGATGCTAAGAGGATATTCAAAAGAGAAAAATAAAAACATCAGTCAAACAGACCTCTGACGTAAATATTCTTGATGATGGCTCTATAATACCTTGATATGATAAGTACACCACAAGTGACACTACTGAATCCTATGGATGTCTTCATATTGTACATGGTGTAGTATTGATGAAAGTATCCACTGACAGGACCAATCACCATGGCTATGCGGATGAAATCCCAGGGCGCTGGCTCTGTTGGGTCTGCACTGACTGACATGACAGGGCGAAGCAATTAAGCCAATCAAAGTAGAGCCGGATGTTAATCTTTTTTTTTTTTTTTTTTTTTTTTTTTTTAAATAAAGTAAATGTCAAGACAAATGTATGAATGGAAGAATGGAGAGAACGAAAAATTGCCAAAAAAAAAAAAAAAAAAAAAAAAAAAAAAAAGTATGAAAAAAGCCAAGAGAATGCTTTTTTTTTTTTTTTTTATTTAGTCGGCTCTTTATCCTATCCTCCTAGACAAACATGAACCGTGAAACAGTTATGGCGTCATGTCATATTCCAAACAACGCGTTTTTTTTTTTTTTCTTAGTGAGTCTTAAGGCTAGATCGGATTGCCTGGATGCCAATGTCGTTCCCAAGAGCTACTCCTCCTACTGTGGCCTCGGATGTCTGCGCCATCACTACATCTGCTTCAAACGACCGTCTTGCAAGCCCTTTGACTGCAATGCCCTCAACCGAAGTCACACCAATACTATCACTCAACCGCGATAACCAGTTGCTCTTGACACCAAATTCCTTCCTACGCACACCCAATTCTGCCTTCGTTGGGATACTGTCCAGGACCATGCCCACAAATGTCCTCAGCCCCAGATATGTATGCTCAGAGATCAACAAACACAGCAGGAGCATGCCCAGACTCAAACGGACTCCATGGCCATCCGAGCCATGGAAAAGATAGAGGATCGATGCATTGGTCAAGGATGAGAACCAAGTGATATGCTGAAGGTTGTCAACCCAGGGTCCAATTGAATCTGCTCGCGAGGGGATTGGGCGACGAGCATTATAGCTGATCTTGGCGGCATCAGATCTTAACTCGATCCAATTATTGACAAATGCACAAAGACCTGTCAACGGCCAGATCACACTGAACAGCGACACATATCCAAACTAAACATAAAAAGAATAAACAAATAAACAATATTAAAGTGGGAGTTCAAATGTGTCCCTCTCCAAAACAACTGCAAGCATGATTAGGACCTGGATTTTACCTGCAAAACCATCTCGGCATAATCTTCATTGACATCGTATGTAGGCAGGTCTGCTTGCTTCTGCACACGTTTCAAAAACTTTTTGGCTTCCTCAGAGTCCTGTTCATCGACCACTGAAAGAGCGCTGGAAGATCCTTTTTCTTTATTTAAACCCTGTTGGAGCTTAGCTGCCTTTGTCACAGCACGCCTAGTCAACCATGGTACAATCGTCTCCGTGACGAACGAGATGGCTTGTGTAGTGATCATAAAGGCCTTGAGACGATTCTGCAACATGGCTGAGTCTATGGTTGCCTTAGAAAACGAGATACCGTAGCTCTGGAAGGTGGAGATGACCTCAGGTCCGAATGGAATGTAAACATATGCCGTCAACAGGATCGACATGTAACTCGTAAGAGCATTGAAAATGAAGACCTTCTGCATCAAATGGTATTCATAACTGGCATGTGTCTCGTAGTTCTCGTAATCGGTCAAGCGTCGGGAGATAGTTTTGCACAGCGCTGCTACGTTGGGAATAGCAAGTGAGTATAGAGCCATAGGCAGATAAATCTTTATGGTAAAAGAAGGAATAATCAGTATTTTCATTGTAAGTAGTAAATATTGATATGAAAAAAAAAAAAAAAAAAAAAAAAAAAAAAGTCGACTGCCCTGGAATGCAATCATGCTTCTTTGCTTCTTTGAGAGAATATCACTTTCTCTTGTAGCACTTACTAATATACTCTTCATATACCCATCGTAGTAGATTGTCAGAAAAACTTCTATGCTGAATACAGTGGTAATCACAGCAGCCAAAGCTAATGCACCCCCAATGACGATAGGGACTCCAGCCAGCTTTCGTGACCATCGCTTCCAGGGCGAGAAGAATGGTAGTATCTCCCCTGTCACTGGGTCACGTTTCTCAGTGTCACCCTTGAAAGCAGGCCGCCTCGTCTCAGTTTTGGATACATGGCGGACCCCCCACAAGAGCGAGAGTTCCTTCTGCCGACGTTTCCAACACTCTGTAAACAGGACAGACCACAAGATCACAAAAATTCCGTAAAAGATGGAGAAAGGCGATCCCAAGTAATAGACGACCACTCCAAGAATTGTGGGTGCTGTCAGCCATTGGAAATAAAACTGTAGGAACTCAAAGTAGAAGGCCACCTTCTCACCAAACTGACCTCTGACTTTTGAGAGGTCGTCCTCCTTCACAATCCATTTTGTTGACCAGGATTTGAGCCAGGCCTGATCATAATAGAAAATAAATTGATGTCAATTGTTAAAAAGTAAAAAATAGTGACGTACAAAAAACAATATCCCAAACTTAATAATTGTTGTACCTTGTTGAATGCTTTGTCATGAAGAGGCAGGATACTTTCAACGTACTCATCTTGACCAGGATAAATTCCTGCGCCTCCTTCTCCAGGCAATCCAGAGATGAGATCCGTAATAAGGCGGATACGGTCTGAATCACTGATACTATCCAAAGAATTATCGCGCGACTTTGCTGGTTTGAGTAGCTGCTCTGTTTCTTCTGTGTCAGCAACTTTGACACCTGCTAGCCAATCTTGGATACTTTTTTATAAAAAATAAAAAATAAAAAATAAAGAAATAGAAAAAGATTAGTGATGCTGTTTACGAATCACCTATGCAAACAAATTGTAATGTAATGGGTTTATCCAGCCATATGAACACGAACAAATACCTGCTGCGTGTTGCTTCACGTTTCAAGACGGTCCAAGGGCAGATAATGAAGATGAAGAGAGTATTATTGTTCCCCGGGCGAGTCTCGTGCTGGAGTCCGACACGGTCTAACTTTTGGAGCACTCTTTGGTATGCTTTGATAGTCTTTTGCTCATAGTCTGCCTTGGAGACGCCTTTTCCGGGTATGCTGTATCTAAACACAATAACAAGATCTGCATAGTAATCAAGATTCTTGGGCCGGGCGCTATTGTCGTAGGCAGCTTCAGAGTCTTGGCCCGGGAGATATGCCTGGACAGCGGTGGAGTAGATCTTGTGAAAGCGGAAGTGCGACGGCTCGGTCGCCTGCAGGCCAGACGTTGGTGCTGCAGTAGTGGTCATATGAAGGGAGTTTTCGTTTAATATAGAGATAGGTTGGTGTTACGTCCTTTAGGCTTTTCAACAAAATGATTTGATCAGAATGAAATTTGGAATGAAAGAAAGGAAACGAAATTATGAAGCAAATCTTTTTTTTTTTTTTTTTTTTCAGTTTCATGGTCCTTTGGGGCTGGATTGATTATGAGCAATTGCCCAATGCGCCTGCAGCTGCAAGAATTTTATACAATTCTTATGACCACCATCCACCATCATCATGCCGTAAGCGCTATTTGGCTATTTGGACCGCCTTTTATTTATAAGACTACAGTTCACGAGCAAGACCTATCTCAATGACTGTATAGAGCTCAAGAGCTTCGGGAGGCTGAGGCATGGTTTTCAGAATCTCAGCTGCAGAGATGGCACGTCCATAAAATGCCGCATTCGCTTCCTTGCGCTCAAGAAGGATGGTACCATCCAAGGAAACACCTGCAAAGAGACCCTTGGATTTTGTGTATGAAAAGACAGATGACGCAGCTGCAACAACCTGTGAACTAGTCGCAAGGCCGAGCTCACCCCCAACACCTACAGGTCCTGCGCTAACAGATAGACCACCACCAAGAGAGACGCCTCCACCTTGGACGAACATGGCTTCAACAGCCTCATCTGTCATCAACACTAGAACGACATCTGTGACATCTGCGCCCACCTGCGCTCCGAATCCGACACCTCCGGTTGCAATGAAACTGGGAGCAGACCATTGACCATCATCCTTCCTGATCACTGCTACTCCACTGCCTCCACGTGCACTCACAATAAATCCCTATGGTCCAAAAGATAAACAAAATCATAATAAAGTAAGTACTATGAGCTATAGGATCTTTGGAAGGATGAATTGAGCAAACCCAAAGGGACTCACAGCTTTGACGACAGTGTAGATGGCTAGTCCTTTGGCCTTGCGTAAAATCCCAGGGGGAATGATGTTATCAAATCCGGTCTCATTCTCCTCTTTGTCGACAAAGCTACGGAGCAAATTGGCAGCCTTTTTGAGATCCTCAGTGACATTTTCGTCGGGTAGAGGTGAGGAAATGTTGGCATTCTTGGCAGTATCGGTCATTTGACGAGTTGTCACGGCGGCGGTCTCTTGGAAGCGCTTACCAGCCTCAGTAGCCATCTTGCCCATGTCTAATTTTATTTATAATGGACAGAACAATGCAAGACTATTAACAATGATCTTCCTCAAGGTATTAGACATGCATGAAATCATGGGCTACTTTCGCCAAGCATATTCGATATGAAATGCGTGTATAACCATCCATGTGTAGAATGTCGATTGCTGTTGTTGTTCAACCCTTTCACTTTTTCTTCGTAGCGGCAAAATTCAAAATTGAAAAAATAGATTCAAAGGGAAATACAATCAACACGAATAATTCCATTCTCTAAAACAGGATCATCCGTAAGACTGATTGACTGAACTGAACAGGAAACATAGCTTTCTTTTCATTCATCTGTTACAGAAAGACTCATATGGAAAGTAGAAATTCACAAGAACTGGATTCTTTATTGACTCCAAAGCATGAATATGATATCATATGGATAACATACCCTGGGCTACACTCTTGAATCTGTCCATGAATGACATTTTATTTTTTATTTTTCGGGAATTTGATTGTGGGTAGTTGTGGTGGAAGAACAATGGAGAGAGATGAATCTTTGTTTGGGTTACAAAGAATTAACTTATCATACGACAAGCACGCGGTTCGAAAAAAAAAAAAAAAAAAAAAAAAAAACCTTTCCCAGCCATCGCTCAGATCCCTAGCAGCACGTTGTTCTAGGAGAAAGTATTCCTCTTTTTTGGAATAAAGTTGCAAACTGGGAGAATACCTTAAAAGGCGCAGTATGTGGACGCGAGAGATGTTGCAATGGTAAGGGTTCTGGAAGTTCTTTGACTATTTTACTACTATTTACATACAAGTACTGTGCTTCCTCATTATCCAGACAATTGGGTGTAGCCTCAATTGCTGTGGATGAACAAATCCATGTCCGTGATCGCTCGCACCGCATGCCTATTCAGAAAGGTGCTGATATTTAATGATGAAACAAGGCGCAGCTTCGCGGAACACACAAGGAAGCGATGGCCGCTATGGTGGCAAATCCCGTGACAGCTGCACCAATACACTGTCCAAGTGTAATGCGTTGCTATGTTTCTTTGTGGATACTTAATAGCCCACTATAATCATTGCTTGGCTGCTAACCCCAGTACGAGGCCAAATTCGGAAGATGATCCTTGAGTTTGCTCTCATGTATTGTTAGTCGTGTCTCCTTTACTTTTCTTGGGGAGATATCTTCAAGGAGCTTCGTCTGGACAAACACAGGGTAGAGCTGGTCATCAATCCGCAGAACAAACACTACACCTAGTCCCGAATGAGGCGACTCTGGGTAGTAAAAAAGCGGTGCCACAGAGCCACTCCTCCTTGCTTGTAGTGCGCCTCTAAAAAATCGCCCATGGTCAGAGTCTCCTTGTATCGAACTTCCGCTCATAGCCTTGCCATCCGACAATCGTTGCTTTATGCTTGAACAAATGCCTGGGAAAAGCAATAGGTTCAAATTCAGGGATAGGGCTCTTGAGTTTTGCCGTGGGTTGGTGCTTAGCAGGCTTAGGAATCGAGAATAATTCTTGCTTGAGCTGTTTATTATGGAAAGCGTAAATCAGATCAAAGGGTGTGTGACGCTCAAAGGCTTTCCCGGTGTTTATTAACTATTCTTTGGACCGTAGAACGGGCAAATTTGTTCGTTTAACTTTCATCAACTCATGAGTAGGCCAGATCCAGTTCCTAAGAGAAGAAAACAGCCGGCTTCTCGATTTACAAGGACCAATCAGCAAAATCAATCAGCAAAATCAACCAACCAGCAAAAATCAATCAGTAAAATCCATGTATCAAGCTACATCATTACGATGCCACTACATTCATCTTTAAATAGCTTCCGCTCCTCCGCGCATTTCCCAACTTTCACTCTATCCTACCCAGACTTTATCCTCCCTCTTTCTGTCCTCACTGCTACAGTGGCTTCCAATATTGTCCAAGTGTTTCATTCTTCCAAAGGAAAACTATAAGTGTTCAACAGTGAGCAGCGCTTGTGCCCTTGGATCCTAGATGGGAGCAACCTGGAAGACATACTGCACGAATATTGGGCAGACTATTTGGATCCACTTCGTCCATTTCCTTCAAACATTCATCTCTCCACCACTTGTTATTTTTCCCAAAGATATCTTCAATCCAAGGAAAAACTAGCAATTGCAGGGCATTCGATGGCCTGATAGAGTTTCGAAGGAGGAAGAATGACTTAGAATAGAACCCTGCCATCCCAAGAGCAAACCTCGAAGGCAAGCATGGCAAATAAAAGCTTTCCATGCGGCCTCGTTTTGCGGTCCACCGCCCGCCTGCTTTAATATCATCCTGACTTATACCTAGCCTATGGGCTTCGATAGTGCCAGCATGACGGCCCCCATGAGTTTTCCTAGGACTGTTGACATTGTGCTGATCATAAAGGGCTTCCACAGTACGATAAGTTGATTGAGAGGCGAGACTTTTTGTCCTCTCTTTATTGCCCGGAATGACCTTGAGTTGGACGAAGTCAGAACTGTTAATTGACTTTACGACGTCTTTAATTTGAAGGCTCTTGGATTTTTCGTGATCCGAGCCCTTGTGATGAAAGATGATATTAGGATAATAGAAAGTAGAACAAGAAAAGAATGTTAATATAATCCATTCATCATTACTACAACACAATAAAGAAAAAAATGAAATTAGAAAAAAAAAAAAAAAAAAAAAAAAAAAGACAGCATGATAAAGTTGAAATTGAGAACTTACTTGCCAAAGTTGATACATGTAAAAGGCAAAAGCACTAAAGACGCATCTACGTACATCTTCATGTCGCAATGCACACGCATACCAGTTTTCATTATTCTTGTTGGTCTTACCCTTGTTAATTTTGAAGGTGAGCCCAATTGGTTGTTGTCCTCCTTCAGTTCTTTGTGTAATGATGGTGCTGAAGCAATCCGCAAAGTTTAAGTTTCGAAGATCCTCATCCCGAAGCAGCATATTATGCCGTGCAGTTAGACAGAACATGTCCCGATAATTAGTATCATACTCACGCGCTCGCATGTTTGGCGAATGTCTTTCCTTCGTCCAAAGTCCCATCAATATACTGTGGAACTGCACGGGGGTGTAAGAATCTCGAAGTGTACAGCCTGCTTCACGCCTGCCACCCGATCGAACGACATGAGTGTGAAGACTCTCTATATGCTGGATAAGGATGGTTTGGAGTAGCTTCATTTGAGATGGCGAAAGATCCCAACTCACATCGTTTCGCTCGGCCTGTAGTGAATGGATTCGAATCAGGACCTTTTTAGCCATCTTTATAGTCTCAGTACCGAGTGATACCGATACGGTTTTTTTACCAGTTTTATCGACTGGAGCAGCTTCTATTACTATGTCAAAGGCCAACGGCGAGGAGAATATGGGGAGAGAGGAAGTTTCGATAAAAACGATATAATACTAACAGAATGTCGACATTGCTATGTCGTCATATACGCGGCACCTTAAATAATACACAGTTGCTCGACATACTTTCGACTAGGCTAGCCCCGTGTATAGCCGAAGAATCCTCCTCAGCGGCAAGGTGCGTACGGAAATCTGCTCCTGGTTTAGTGCGCTTGAGTATAGTCTTCTTGAGGATGACTTCTCGAAAAAAACAAACGACTTTATCCTGTGAGTCCACCAGATATAGGGCACGACCATCTTTATCTGCATACCGTTCGCGATATTTCTCACAAAATGCCTGTTTAGCACATTAAGGGCCCATGTCAAGAATGATTTATTAGATGGAGTTGTTAATATTATAGACCCTCTGGCTAGTTGATAGCATTAGAGGAAAATACGAATACCTTATTAAATTTTATCCATTACATACCTTCCACAGACGATAGGTGGGCTGATATGAGGCAAGCGTTTTTGGTTTAATCCCTGAGCAGTCATTCATGTCATCAACGAATCGTTCCTCAGCATCCGGGGGTCCTGACTCTGATACTCGGAAACATATTGCAAAGGTATCGACCTATCAAGCTATTGATCTAGCCTGACCGCGGGTTCGGCGGGCAAAGATTGATACGGACGCGAATGTAGCTGACTTCTTGACTTTATAAGTTGCTGTTGTGGTGCTTGCGATGCGTTCTTAGGACGTCCTCTGGAACGCTTAAGTGATGGGGAAAGCGGTAGCGGTGATATTTCTACATCTAAGGACGGTGCAGCTGTGAGGACATTGGAAGACGCTATTGTAGACACCGTGGCTGATCCTAGACTTGACCCTGGCAGCATCCGTTCCTCTGAAAAGAATCCAAATTCCTTTTCCATTTTTGCTTTTTGAAAAAAATAAAAATAAAAAATCGACTTCTCTAAGATTAACTCTGCGAAATGACAAAAGTCAGAGAAATGAGAAGTCGATTGCTGAATGCTACGGCTAAAGCAGAATGGCTTTGGGATCTCGACGCAACAAGAAGAGGAAAATGTAGGCCGATGAAAGGATGGACAGAATAAAGAGAATGCAATGGACTGCAGTGGCATATAAGAAAATAAAAATCATACTTCATCTATAAGCATTGGTTGGACGCGCTTTTGACAAGCGAAAATAAAAAAACTGGTAAGTGCGTTTACCAACTTTCTGTTCCCTTTTATGGAAATTATAACAAAACCAAAGCATTTTCCTCCCCAAAAAGGCAGGAGTTTACAGAAACGCACTGTCCCCTGAAGAAACGAAAATAATTTCTGACACATAATTTTCAGGCACAATTGCCGTCTTTTTGCCATCTTCTGCCGTCCTCGATTTTCTTTGACTAGTTCTGTTGGTCCCCCCCATGTGACTTCTGTGAGGCTATCACCTTGGTATTTCCAGTGGGGCTGAGCCATTTATGAGGCCCAAGGAAGCCCTCACTGGGAGCTGTCTGGGGCCTTTTTATTTTATCATTATTTTTAAAAAAACAGAAAAAACAGAAAAAACAGGAAAAAAAAAAAAAATTAATTTTTCTTAGACACTTTCTTGAGTCGGACTTTGACCTCAATGACTATTCGAGTGATGCGTTGGATTCCGAGCCAGAAGCGGAGCATGAGCCACCTCCTAGTAGCATTCATCCTTTATCATATCCTGGTACCGCGGGAACGGATAGCTCAGAAAGTCCGGAGCCAAGCGAGGGGACCGATGCGAATGTCAATGAAATAACAACCAAACTTTTGTCTTCCCAGTTGCATGATTATCAATGGATCAAGTCAACTGTTGATGATACCACGATCAAGGAAATTGTAAATGAAACTCGCACAAATCAGTACGACTATCTCCCTCGTGTGTTTTACGTGGACAAGGAGGACTTCAGCACTTGGCTCGAACGAGACGGTCGCGATCATTTCTTTGTTTGGGTAATGCGCAAGCATTATGATAATAAGCCAGGTGGCAGAAGCAGGTTTTCTTATGTTGAAACCTATGAATGCCACCATGGACATGAGACACGAACGGAAAATGGCCCCCAAAAGGTTTCTCAAGGCTCTCCTCAAATTATCTCTCAAGACCCTGGGCAGGAATCAAGGGAAAAGAAAAAGAGACGCGTCTTGAAGCCTAGCCAGAAAGCTGGTTGTACAGCCAAACTCATTGTCCACAACATGAAAGACGACAGTGAGGATCCCGAATATGCAACCAAGGGTGGAAGAAAGCAGCTTCGGATCACATACTATTTTAGACACACAGGACATACCCTCGGCGATGTTAATGATTTTCAATACCTTACCATGACGGAATCAACGAAAGCACGGATTCGAAACTTGATTCGTCTTGGCTTATGTACTAGAGGAATAATTGCTAAAATTAATTTGACTGGGCCCCAGGCATATTCTCTTCACAAGCAAGGGCGTTTGCAGCGCGACCATGTCCTTACATATGAGGACGTTTATAAAATCCACCATAAATACATGTGTAAACTGACAAAACTATCAGACAACGACATGGACTCGATGAGGCTCTGGATGTCAAAGCTGCAGCAAGAGAAGCAGTTTACCGTCTTCACAAAGAGTTGCCTCTAGAAAGGACAGGATGGGAAGGTCTTTCCCAAATTTGCCCATGGATTCATGTCTCCTTTTCAGCGATCTGTATACAGCTCAAATTTTAATGTATTGGGCTGGACTCGACACATGGAACGAACCGCTCCAAGTTTGAGCTTTTTACAATAATAATCCAGGATCCACTGCGAATGAGTGCCGTCCCTGTCGCTTTCATGATCACCAATGACCTAGCCACCACTCTCTGGCAAGTTGGCTCTCTCATATTAAGGATATGGTTGGTGCCCCAGAGTTCATTACTACTGATGACGCTCAAGTGGAATACAAGGCCATCCGTAAAGCATTTGGACGGGATGTAACTGTCCATTTGTGTCTATGGCATGTGATGAAAGCCTGGGCCCGCAAGCTCTCGACCTTAATTCGAGGTGCCGATAGGAACCAAAACAAGGATCTTCGGCAATCCGCAATGAATGAACTCCGTTCGATTCTTTATGATCCATCCCCCCGAAGTGCCGGTGAGAAGATAGTTGAATTCGAAAAGAAATGGTCGGAGCACAATGGGGGGAAACTTTGGAAATACCTCAAAGGACGATACTTTATTGAAGGACGTAGGCAACGGTGGATGAAGTCATATCGTGTTGGCTAATTCTATGCCGGCATGGACACCAATAATTATGTAGAATCTTGGCACAATCATCTCAAGCCTCATTTTCTACGAGGCCATACTAACTGCCGAGGTGATAGGCTGATCTACCTTTTAAGCCATGATGTAGATGACTTCTATCAAGCGCTGGCAATGCGTAGTGTAGTTCGTTATGACCGGCATTCCAAAGGCGGGAAGATAGATATCTTGCAAGAAAGATGTCTAGACAACAAAACAATTGAGGAGCTTCAAGGTCTGGTTATCTACGTTGAAGGGTATTATTGCGTTATCTCGCCAACAACTGGGCGTGGTATATATAGCATTAACGTCGATGAAAACAATACCATTAGAGGATGTAATTGCCAATACTTTATTAATCGGCGCCGTCCTTGTATGCATATGCTTGTGTTATTCAAAGTCAAACAGAATGACGAAAATCGTCCACTAAGTCTTTCCAGAAGGCTATGCCTTTGGTCATGGACAAACACATGGCTGTTGAGCATGGTGAATATCAAATTGAGGAGGAGGGTGAGTTTAACCAAACTGAGATTCAACTAGTTGAAAATCAGCAAAGCGAAGAAACTGATGAGTTGCTTGAGCCTTGAGCTGATTAGAAAGTTTCTTCAGAGCTCTGATATTTTAGATAGGTCAAAGGAGAATGTAGGGAAGTTGAGAGGCGTTGTAAATACGCTAGATAGTATGTCAATAATCCCGAATACTTCTGGAACCAAGAAGCGACAACGGCAGTGTTACTAGATTTTAATAAAAAAAAGTAAACACAGAAAAAAAAAAAATCAACCAAATTAAGGTTTCTCCTATGAATAACGCATTTAAATTTCACACGCAATCATTACTGACGTTATTAGAGTGATTATATCTACCCTTCTCGAAAAGACGGCGCCATGCCCATGCAATGTATGATAGAAGGCATGAATATGCACCAAATAAAAAAAGAATGAAAAGGATCCGTTCAGTATTTATCGAGATAGCACCAAAAGTTGCGACAAAGTTGAGTAATATTAAGGATTATACAGACTTTAAGCGTGAATAGCTCCTGCTAGAGTGCTGAAAATCAGGCGCTCTTGGAACAGTCGAAAGAGGAGCTTATTATCTTTGGCTTAAAGCAGCTCCTAAGTCAATCTGTTCAGGATTCATGGAGCAACAACCGTATAGAGTTTTTCAATTACAAAAAAAAGCGAAAATATACCATTTTTGACATACTCAATGGGTTGTTGCGCCGGATTCTTGAGAGGCAGAGCCCAGCCAAAGCAGGGTATTACTCATCTAGGCTGTAGCTACGATATGAATCCTGGTTTTCAGTATTCTATGCAGTGGTTCTTCAGTAAATGAGCATAGAATATCGAAAAGTCGCTATTTTCTTCGACCTAGCTGCTTTTCCTTAAGGAAAACTTTTTTTTCTGGCTATGAAAACAGTAGCGATTTTACCGCCATTGGACTCGTAATTGAAAAGTACATATAACCTGAGGGTTCTGTGGGTTTTAAGTATATCTGTGTTGCGCTTCATCGTTTTTACTAAGTTTTGCAAAACTAATTTTGAAATGGTTGTCTAGATTGGTCACGTATCATATCCTAAATCACTCATCGCATTACCAAAGATATCGAATCCCCTCGAAAAGTGTAAAACCCACTTTGAAAAGTTGCGCTTCGGTGCTTGCTATCGGCTCCAAGTGGAGCGAGCCCATTTGGGCCTGAAATGAGCGACTTTACTTATAAGACTAAGGGTACCGACACGCCTTTTTGTCTTCACTTCACTTCACGAAATACGCTTTTATTGTCATGTGATGCATATCGGAAATAAGAAATTTTAAGTTCAGGACTGAATATTTATTTCCTCTCCTCTAAAATCTAAGGGGACTCGTTGCTTTGCTGTTTACTTGCATCTATTGCTTTACTTGCATCTCATTTACTTGGTCATCAAGGTCATATGGCAGGACTTTTATTGCGTTTCACAGTTGCTCCTAGCGTGTCTATGAGGGTGGGACGTGGAGATTTCTTGTCTACGCGTTCATACGGATGAGCTCTCTCAGCCATTGTCGCCATTCAGCCACTGTCCAGTAGTCCTCCGCAACTGGTTATGCTCAATGTCGTTCATCTGATGCCTCATTGATGCCGGCGAGGAGGGGAGCCTTTTGTCATGTTCACGATTACTGCTTCTAGCGTGTCTATGAGGGTGGGACGTGATTTCTTAACTGTGCGTTCATACGGATGAGCTCTTTCAGCCATTGTCGCCATTCAGCCACTGTCCAGTAGTCCTCCGCAACTGGTTATGCTCAATGTCGTTCATCTGATGCCTCATAGATGCCGGCGGGGAGGGGGGCCTTCATATTTCTTTATTCATTTTATTTTTCAAGTATTTGTCTGTATGCCAGCTGACTGACATTTATTAATGTTCTATTTGAGACAAAACTCTTAGAATGAAATCGTTTAGGCTATTTGCCATCACTGACCGGCACGACCACTCCGACTTCGACAAGCTTTACGCATGCTTTGTAAGCTACGTCGGTCGGGAGCGCCTGCGTGGCGATCGGGCAGCATCTTTGTACCAACTCGATATGGAAAGCTGCCGAAAGGAATACGATGACATTTGTGTCTTGGGGACCTTAGACCGCTCAAACGCAGCAGTTTCGATGATACGAACGTCAATCCAACAACATACGGAAAGTAAGTGTACTTATCGCAATGACTTTTGTATTCTGTAGATCTGATAAAAAATTAACACGCGCCTTCTTCACCAATGTAGAGGTTTCACAAGGTATTTTTATTGATGATATTGTCCTCTGTCCAACCTGGCCTCGTTGAAATTGTTTCTAACACTACACATTGTTTCATCTGAGACATAGCGAGAGGAGGTAGGTGTTGTTCTTTGGACGTCTTGTTTCTTCGGCAAGGTCGACTTCATCAATGCTGACGTAAGGAAATCTCTTAGGCACGATAGATGAACCCGAGACGACAAAGGCTAGCACTCAAGAGTCAGGTACTACCCTAGCTGCAAGTGTGGGAATGATCTATACTTTTAATTGATATTAATAGAGGCCGTAATTACCCAACGCTCAAATAGTTCCTGAGGAGATTTCGAGTTCTTCGCCTGTAACGGAATCAGTCTCTGCCCAGAGTACACGGAAGAGAGCGAGAGAGGCCTGTATCACAGAAGAGCCCTGGCATTCATTGGTAGTATCGCTGACCAAACTTGTAAGTTCGTTTGGTTTGGTCAGTATAAAGCGCTGACGGGAGAGATGAGAATGAAAAAAAGGAATGCAGAAAATGAGAGAGTATCAAAATAAAAGAGAGTGTACAGAGTGAGGACAAATAAAAAAAAAAGAATGAAAGGGTAATGATGTTTGCTGAAAGATGGGTAGTGGGGTGAAAAAAAAGAAAATAAAAGTGTACAAAGTAAAAAGAATGTGAGTTTATAAAATAAATAAAAAGACAGTGACTTTAGAAAAAAAAAAAAAAAAAAAAAAAAAAAGATGCATAGTCGCGTAAAACGAATTAAGCTCTAACTGATTACCTTTAACTAAAGTATAATTGGTTCAAATGGGGCGCTTTTGGGAAGGAGAGTAACATGTACGCAAGAATCGTGTCAAATATGATAGATGAATAGACTTCATTTCGCCTTCAAGCATTGATACATAACCCAAGATATTAGGAATCTGTGAGCGAAGGAAAAAATAATAATAATAAAATAAATAGGGTCCATAGCATTCGTGCATTCGTTTTCGTCAAAAGTCATCAACGATACCCAAGCAAACAGAAAAAGCATAAACACCAGCAGCTGAAGGAAATGAGTTGAGGCGCAAACGATTCCCGCCATTCGGGCAGTCAGAACCTCGAGACTTGATACTATACCTTGATGCACCCGCCATTCGGGCAGTCAGTGCACCTGGTCGACATCTCCTCCGCCATTCGGGCAGTCGAGGAGTACAGGGATAGGACTTTGACATCAATTAAATGTCAACAATGTCCATCACACTGCTAAGTCTGTAACATGGGATAGAGATTCTCAAACCATTTCACTTCATTGCTGATGAATATGCTCAAGAATACCAATCACTTACCTCAGGAGGAGCAGAGTGAACGAGAGGATTATTATAAACCAGGCTCCCAAGCAACGTAGTGGGGGCAATTACAAAGTAAGTGGTGAGATAACTAAAAAAAAATAAAATTAAAATGAAAATGAAATAAACAGAGTTATGATAAGTCCAAGAGAATGGATGCAAAGTGAGTGGTGAAAATAAAAAGCACGAAATGAATGAGAAAATAAATGAGGTAAAAAAAAAAAAAACCAGCTGTGCAGGGACAGTGTGCGAACAAAAAAAAGTTTGCTGGTGGTAAAAAAAGGAAGCGGAGTGGGAAGGCAATTAAACGCGAAATCAAGTCGTCATCCGCTAATTAATTAACCTCGGATTAAACGTAAAGGTTAGTGGAGGAGGAGAGTGAGAGAAAGGTGTAAACAAATATTGTGAAGAAAGTAATGTGTGGGATAATAATGTTGGTATATAATTTTATGATGATGGATGATTAATTAATTTTTATGCTGCGGCAGGAATAAAAAACAAGGCAAGAAGCTTAAATTTTGCACCACACTGTGTACGTAATTTATTTTTAGTGAGCACACTCTTCATTTTTCTCTCACACATTCTCTCAATCATTTTCTCTCTTTTTTCTTAATCTTTAGTGTCCATTATTTTTTTTTTTTTTTTTTTTTTTGCGCGCAATTATACCAAAATGACAACCCAAAAAATTAAACTCTTTTGTATTTCGATGGGGATCCCACTGCATTTCCTTTGAGCTTGGCTTTCGACGATACTATTGGCGATCTCAAGGACGCGATTAAAGAAAAACAATCACCTTTTGCTTGACGACATCCGCGCAAGTGACTTAGTTCTCCATCATGTTTCGATCTCTTCTGCGCCAAAAAGACTAATTACACTCAACAATCTAACTGCTGATGAGAGAAAGAAACTTGAGGAGCTGGAAGACCCAACTAGCGAGATCTCTGAGGTCTTTGGCACCACACCAGCAAAGAAAGCCATCCATGTCATTGTTCAGCGTCCATCTGCAGGTAAGCGCTGTTCTTATTTGTTCAATTACACTGATGATTATGATGACGCGTCTAATTACTTTTTTTTTTTTTTTTTTTTTTTTTTTTTTTTTTTTTTTTTTTCCAATTAGTCGCCCCAACAAGTATAATCAACCAAGTATAATAGTACATTCGTCTTCTCCTCCAATCAGCCGAACGTCATCTCCATCTCGTAAGTGATGTCCATCGAATTACTCTTCATTCTTTCGCAGTATGCGCTATATTAAGAATTCAATTTAATTAATTAGAGGACTTGGAGGCATCAATGAGGAGAATCACCGATACTTTTTTGCTCAGGAATCACCAGCGACTATTTTCCTAGTGGAGTATCTTAAACTCATCTCTGGTGGTGCAACAAGGGAGGGAATACGCAAGTTGTCCAAAGGGTCAATCAATCAAGGTCCTTGACAACGTATGTGAAAAACTCCATACTGGCGGAGTAGCAGATAGTCTCATTTACATTATTGTTGAAGTACCGAAGCGAGGTATGTCTTTAGTTCTTGTTCGTGGTCGACTGATGTTTTCGATTTAAGGCTTCAAAACTACCTTCTGAAACTATTCTATTTGTTTATATTTTAACAAACAGTTTCGAAAAGGGATCGAGATCAGCTAGAGAATGACGAGAGTGATAGGAGTTCCCTCAAAAAGGCCAAGCTAGAAAACATGAGCCTACTGGAGACGATTAGTGCAGCAGGACTTGCCCAAAAGGCTTTAATAAACGGTGTTCCACGCCTGCGGAGCCTTATGAGTAAAGAACTGGTTTCAATACTTAAAAATATTGGCGCCATGGTGGGAGAGGATAACCACTACTATTCAATACCCCAAACTACCACTTCCCTCCAAAACGCATCATTTCAAGAAATCGACGTGATATCCAGCCCTTTGGGGACAAAGCTTTCTGTGATCAACATGAATGATCTGTACGTAAGGTCAGCTTTCAAAAAACTCTACGACACGGTCGTCAAGGATTTTTTTATAAATGGAGATGATAGAGAGCCTGCAACCAAAATTGTTGTCACAGGGACAGCCGGTATAGGGAAATCATCCTTTCTCGTATACTTCGCCATCCGGCTGCTTGCCGTTAGCAATGAGGAAGACCCGCCTATTACCATCATCCAGAAAAAGGAAAGTTCAAAGTGCTATGCTTTCGGTGGACGATATGTTGTTCGATATGGGGACATGGAGGATTTCATGCCCTTCCTGCAACTACCCAACACTTGGTTCCCAGTCGACAGTGCACCATCACCAGAGCTCACGCAAGCCAGGACTATCTTCTCGGTATCACCAAGAACTTTACTTTCTAGCGCGAATGGGTACCAAGAAATCATGAAGAGGGTGATATGGAAGTACCACATGGCTCCATGGGAACCGAGAATAATGGGAAAATAGGCGATGCCGAGTCGGAAGCATTAGAACGCGTTGAGCTTGCTTTATCCAACCTCCGGGATGATGTATCAAATATAATAATACAGTATATGCAGGGCCGGGATTCATTGGAGTTTAGCAGCCAGATTTTTCACCGTTATCCAACAAACGATCATAAAGGATTCGAATTACGACAGGCTTCTAATGATGTAATGCAAAAGGTGTATACTTTATCGGACGAGAGTACCCGTGCCAAGGTGTTGAGAATGCTCGTCGATGGTAATCCACTAGGCAAAGGAGTAATGTTCCAAAACTATGTGCAGCGTATACTGCGGCTGGGCGGTCGTAGCTTTAAGGCCAAGAGCATTGATGATGGCACTGAGATAACTATTGAAGTCGGAGAAGGCCCGAAAACCAAATTCTTTCATACTTAGGATGAATATGTGAAGGACGATATGGAAGGATCATTGTGGCTGCCAAAGAGTAAGACCTTTTCTTGTGTGGATATGTCAATAGCTCCGAAATATGTATCTACTCCAGATTACGACGAACAAGAAACATGGCATCAAAAGTGAAAACTTCAAGAAGCTTCTGAAAACTCTGCAAGATAAAAAGTGGATTAGCTCCTCTGACGAGATTGCATTTATTTTTGTAGTCCCGCAAGACATGGTCGAGGAGTTCAAGAAACAAACTTACAGAACTGGAGCAGATCGTGTGGATCCTACGCCGACAAGACAATCGAATTAAAAAATATCAAGCAACATGTTTTGGCGGTTGATCTGCAAGATGAGCTCTGGAGATGCAGGAAGAAGGCAAGCCAGACGGACAACCCAAATGAAAGTAGAATTGTGAATCAATAAAGTCAATGTACTCTGATAGAGGAACTAAATCGTGATTGATTTCCTCCCGCATTTGTTTTCACATCTTTCTCATTTTCTCCTCCACCTCAACTGCACCTTTAACGTTCATTCGAGGTAATTATTCTTGATTCGCTTCTTTAATTGCTTGATTACTTTCAACATGCCTAAATCTCAGTTGAACTTTTCAAATGAACTACATTGGATCCGCAATGAAGACGAAGAACACTAACGTTGCTCCCGTTTACTGGATATAGGTGGCTTTACGGAGGAGGAGCTACGAAAGCTTCGCTGTACTTTCGAAACATGGAAGATTAATAAGGCTCAACTGCGTTAGTGAATGGTTCAGAACCATTTGCAAGTGGTTCCATTAATAATAATATTCATTTGTTCGTTTGAAAATCATGTGTCCCAATCTTCTGTTGGTTTATAGAATGACATGCTAATATAACGTAACCTTTTAATTTTGTATTCATTTAGTCCTAACGCTGAATCGAAGCTTCAGAAACGTCGGCGGATCAAAGCTGACCGTCCTGATGTCATCATTAAGCTTCGAGGATATGAGGCTTTTTTCGGTGAAGTAACAGGTCCTTCACAGGCAAGCAACATCTCTAAACGCGCTTGGGATACTTTCAGATGGGCGCGTTCGCAAAGTCATTTCTGGAAAATGGCAACGATATTGCTCCCATCACCCAAGTGATCTACACCTCTGGATCATACATTCGCCTGAACGTTAATTAAATAGGCAAATATGTCACACAAGTATCTCTCAATGACATTCTTCTCCAAATGTTATCGGATCAGGTTATTTTAAATCGAAAGAAGAATGGACTGCTGATCTGCAACCAGAGGAAATAAACATCCGCCTTTGAACTTAAAATCACTTAATTCCTATATATAATTCACATGATAATAAATATTTTTTGAGGGTTCCTATTCGTGTGCGAAAAGACATGTAGATATCCATGGTTTCACGTTTTCTGACGAAGGTCAGTTTCCGTAGTAAAGTAATAAGTGCACCAAGACAGAGTATATGACTAATCTAGGCAACCATTTCATAATTAGTTTTGCAATACTTGGTAAAAACGAGAGCACGACACAGAGACACTCAAAACTCACAAAACCCTCAGGTTATTTGTATTTTTCAATTACGAATCCAACGGCCATAGAATCGCTACCAGTTACATTTTCAGAAAAAAAAAATTTTTTTAAAGGAAAAGCGGGCAGGTGGTGGAAAATAGTGAATTTTCGATACTCTACGGCCATTTACTCAAGAACTGCCTCTCACGGTTCGGGTGCTATAATCTATTGGGTGTGTCAAAAATGGCATAATTTTGGTTTTTTTATACTTCCAATACTTTGTACAAGTGCTACTCCATGAATCCTGAACGGACCTCCTTAGGACCTATTTTAAACGAAAGACAATAAGCTCTTCTACCGACCATCCCAAAGACATCTGCTTTCCAGCGCTCTATCAGGAATATCGTTATTGATTTATATCTGAGAGTTGAGCAAGAACAAACGATTTGTGTTATTTTTTTTTTGACGAACACGTGAAGACGGAAAAAAAAAAAAAAAAAAAAAGAATGACGTATAAGAATCACTTTCATTATTCCCCTTAAAGTCGCACATTTAAAAGAATTCTTCGTTTCCTCAAAGTGTCTAATCATCCTTTCTTTCGTCCCATTTTCCCCTCTTTTACTTGATTAACCCTCGCAATCTTTGTTTACACATTTTTCTCCTGCAACACAACTGCACCTTTATTTGAGGTAATTAATCTTAATTCGCTTCTTTAATTGATTGATTATTGGCTGAAGACTTGATTTCGCGTTAAATTTCTTCCATTGCCACTCCGCTTCTCTTTTACGCTCTCTCAGCACACCACTCTCTCACTTTTTTTTTTTTTTTTTTTACCTCACTCTGTACACGTTTATCTTTCTCCCTCATTACGTGCCTTTTACATTCACTGCTCTCTTTGCATTCCTTCTTTTTTCACCCTCACAATTCTTCTCGTTTTCTTTGCGCACTAATTTATTTTTTTCCTTTTCCTCTACGTCTATTTATTTTTTCTCACCCTTCGCACACCATTTCTCAATCACACACCCATCTGGGTATCAGTGCTCCTATTTCAACTGAAATTTTGTCAATTATGATGTTTCAGATTAAAAAAATAAATATCAATTGACAAATTTCAGTTCGAATAGAAGCACTGCTGGGTATTTACTCTCTCGCGCGCCTTGTTCGTTCTACTTTACTGCCACCTCCTCGCTCAACATCCTTATCATCTTTGCACTTTCAAATGAAATTACTTGACGTTATAACGCCTTGGAAATAACTCACTTTATTCTATAACCAAATTGTTAGACCCGTTTCAGCACTCTCATCACCTTCTACGCTTAATCGTCACACTATCGTACAAGTACACGGTTGTTTTTTTTTATTTTTTTTTTATTTGTTATTTTACTTATTATTTTGTTTTCATTCTTGCAAGGCAGCACCTCGTGCCACTTCGATGTTTTATCGTTGAGGCATCTGTCGAAACCACTCCAGCTATTTGATACATTTCCTCCTTAGCCTACTCAATTAGTGTAATTGAGGTAGCTGCTCAAAGTTGAAGCTAATCGCTTGGCTGTTGTGCGCTCGCTGTCTTGTTTAGTGATAACACCTCGTGCCTTCTTGATGTTTTATCATTAGGGCATCATGTCTAAACCACCTTGGCCTTTTGACGCGTTTCCACCTTGGTCTACTCAATTAGTGTAACTGAGGAAGTTCTGAAGTAGAAATCAAACTCTTGGCTCCTGTGCCCTCGTTATCACTAAAGCACCTCGTCTCATCTTGATGTTTATCATGGTGGGATCATGTCAAAACCACTCCAGCCATTAGTGTATTTGAGGAAGCTGCTCAAAGCACTTGGCTCTTGTGTGCTCGCTGGTCTTATTGCTTTTAAATTCTTTTGTTGTGGAAACAATCCAATCCGTTTGATTACTGTTCTTATTGATTAATGTACAACACTAGGATACCTGTCAGAGAGAGATAATCTCTGAGTGCACGTTTTGTAGATTTTCCACTGATTTAATATGTGTAAATCGTGTAAACAATGGTCACTCACATGGACAAGGGAGGTTGGGATTAAGATGACGTCATTACGGCAAGAACTAATGATAATCTTGATGCGATCTAATAGCTAATGCAAGCAAACAGATGCTGCGCAATCCGCAGCAAGACCAGATGACTCATCCGCATGACTCCAAATTGACCAATGATATTCCGGAAGACAAACAAGAGGAGAGTACCCGATCCGATGCCAAGACTACGACTAGTAATCAATCATCAAACGAGGAAGACTCTGCCACCTCAACCAAGACATATAATAGTCTAGAAGTACCATCTCATATCAAGTAGCAATAAACACCTTATCTTTACTATACTTGCTTCCCTCACCTTTGCCCACATATTTCCCTTGATCCTTTGCCCACATATTTCCCTTGATCCTTTGCCCACATACTTCTCTTAATCCCTTGCCCACTTACTTCTCTTGATCCCTTGCACACTACCTGGTTAGTTACCTAGTCTTCCTCTAGTCTGGCTTTATTGCACATCATATCTTTACTATAATTTGCTTCCTCCATCCTTGACCACACTTCTCTTGTTCCTTGAACCCAACTGGTTAGTTACCTTTCTTGTAAGCTGACTTTATTACAATATCTCTGCAATCACTATCAATTTTTTGCAAAAATTATTAGGTACTTTCAATATGCCTAAAGCCCACATGAACTTTTCTAAAGAGGAACTACATTGGATCCGCAATGAAGACAAGATATCTCCCGAAATATACTTCAAAAAATTCAGATCAGGCGCTCTTAAATCTCACGAAGAACACCAGCGTTACTCCCGTTTACTGGGTATAGGTGGTTTTACGGAGGAGGAACTAGGAAAGCTTCGTAATGCTTTCGAATCATGGAAAATTAACAAGGCTGCTCAATTCTGGATGGATCGCAGTTCAAGAGATTCACAAATCAGAACAGCAGCTGTGTTAGTAAAGGGTTCGGAGGCATTCGCAAGCGGTTCCATTAATAGAAACAAATGGGATGAACTGGATGCGCAAGACGAGGAGCAAGGTATGCTTTTGGAACTGTGCCTATTTTTTCATATGATTTTTTTCTTCTTTTTTTTAACTCCTTATGACAATAGTTAGCCGCAAGCGTCCACAGGAAATCTTTAGAAACAGCAACAAACTGTCAAAGTCACAACGGAGCTATGGTGAGTGCCTTTATGGATTGGCTGAAGTATTACTGTTTGTATTAATATTGTTATTATTAATTATTGTCATTATTAATTATTATAACTGACGGTTTTGCCCATATTCTGTAATAGCAGCAGAGACTGGATTGAAGGAAAATAAATACGTGGGACATTCCGATACGTACACTGAGGTAGATGGTTCAAGTCCGCAGATCGATGAGCAAATTCCTTCTTCAGGTAAAATGATGCGAAATATATTTATATGCAAATAAGTATAGTATGGTCTTTAATTATAGTATTTGCCAATTAGATACGGCAGCGACAACCACGACCGCTCCTACCAAGCTCGACAAGGTAATGATTGCGTCGACAGCTGCTCCGAGGACTAAGGTAAATGCGCATTGAATATGTTAATACATTTTTCGACCTGAAGTGTAATACCATGTTTTATCATATAAGTCAACCGGTTGACTGTTTATTTTATGAACCAACTGTGCTTATGAAGTCTGCGAAGCCATATAATGGACACAAACTAACTGCTTCTTAACAATCTTGCTAGAATGCCAAAAAGCAATCTGAGGATGAGATAGAAGCAGAATTAAGCAAGCGGCGCAGGGTTAGCTTCGGTTCTACAGTCTCCACCACAACAACAACCTCTGGCTCACTCTACTCATACCATGGATCGGAGACGTCCTCAGAGTCGGATAGGTATGTCTACCACTTTCTTGGAGGGAGTGGCCGAGAGGACTCCATACTCGAAACATCATGGATGTACAATGGTGTCGACATCAGCAAGGACCTAATGACATTCCGAGATCGCATAGTTCGAGAGAACTATGGGATCTCGCGGCCCCATGAGATGCTGTACGTTTTATTTTATTATTTCATTCTTTGCCTTGCAGCGCCTTTCCTCTTCTATCTTGTACTAAAGACTACTGACCGCGTTGTCTGATAGCGTTATCAACTTTATCTTCCTTCTGGAGTCGGAGAACCAGATTTGGGGCTTGCAGGGGGAGGTCCAAGACCATGTTTGGGAGTCCATGTGGGACTCTGTGGGCAAGAAAAAGATCAATAACTTCAAGTCTACCATGATCATTGAGTGCCACAAATGGGCAGCGCTGGCAGCAAGTAACAACTTCGACGAGTACTCAAAGCTTTTGAGAAGCAACCCTCCCTGTTTTCCTCTTCTCCACCAGGCCCTGCTGCAGCTGATCTCGTCGCAACAGCTATGGACATTTCCTAGCCTTGAGAATGAGGCAACTTTTATTCGATACCTCATCGACCCCTGCTTGAATGTGACATTTGGGTCGATCAAGCATACGAGCAGCAAGTGGTATGTAATGTTCTAAGCCTTGTGTTGTGAATATCTTTTGTTCAAGAAGTCGCTAATGCTCTCTTCCTTATATTTTAAAAGGACAACTGTGCTGGATGAAACAAGAGGGCAAGATTCGCGCCTCCTCTTCCCAGACTTTTCTCTTGTGACCCAACTTCGCGACCATTCATGTTCCTTGGTTCATATGGAGGGCAAGACCGCTGCTAATAAGGGCTTGTCACAGATATGGGACGACCTTACCAAGCTGGGACAGGAACTGAAGCACTCTCTTGATGCTATGATCGTTCTGGAGCCCAGTGGTCCTGTGTCAGTCATAGGGATTCTTCTTAAAGGTAGGATGGTGCCTCATGTACCTTTATGTTGATTTCATTGCTAATATCGGCTCTTCTGTCTGTAGGATACAACTTGGAGTTCTATGAGATGACCATACAGGCTGAGGGAGTATATATTTTTAAAAAGTATGCAGATTGCTACTTGTTCAACAAAGCTGAGAACATGTTCCCACTTTGTAGGCTCCTTGAAATCCTTGAGACAACAAAGGTACATGGTTTAAATAAATTGTGATAGCGAATGAAGGCCGTATTAAATCAAAACTTGATAGTATTAACTCCACTCTGTAGATCATGGTAGAGAGAACTCTTATGAATCTGCGAGCCGTCAAGATTGCACCATCAGATTCACCACTGGTACCTTTTAGTTGGCTTAGACCGTCTTTCGTCAAGCCAAGAAGGATATTGTTGCCAGATTAGAGTGTTCCTGTCAATAAAGTTCCATGGAAACTAACAACATCAGTCAATGATATACAAGCTAAGCTGCCGTTGTACTGTCGTCACCTAAAGCCAATCAATAATTTCAAAATATTGACATTGTCATTCCTTTCTCCAATTTGATCTTCCTTGTTGACAATGTATAGTGCGTGCCAAAACTGATGCATTTTTCAACATTTATTTCTCATTCTCCTTCTTCTTCTTTATGATCTTCCCTGCCACCACCATTTCTCATTCCCATTTGTCTCACCTCCATGTATTCTCATCGTCATCGCCATCAGTGGCCTAATTAGCATTTAAATGCAATTTGCTTTCAGCCACTCATTGCATCTATAACGGCAATTAGCAACTTCCTGTTTTTATTTATTCCTGTTACTTCTCCTTTACCCTAACGATGTTCCCTCTTTTAGCCTTATATAGCTCCCTCATCCTCTTCGGCATACCGCAGTATAGTTTGTGTAATAATTCAGGAGGGATATGTGTCCATATGCAAGCAAAATCACTATAATAATTTTGTGCAACATAGTATTTCGCCCATATTTCTAGAGCATTCCTTGCAACAGGACATTAACTAGTATAAATAGGTCTACTTTTCTATTTAGTTCTGTAGCATAGTTCCCCCTGAATAAAGATACCTTTATTGCACCCTTAGATCCCCCTAGAACACTACCTTGACTTTTGCACCATACGTCTTAGACTCTCTCCCAGAGGTCCCCCATATTCTTTGGCTTGTCTGGATAATAATCCAACTGCACCTTCATGTATGCCCATATATTTTCTATTGGTTGATGACCAGTGCTCCTATTCGGTTTAAAATTTTGTCAATTGATATTTATTTTTTTAATCTGAAACATCATAATTGACAAAATTTTAAACCGAATAGGAGCGCTGTCATACATCTCTACTTACAATTAACATTCCACATCGTTTAGTATTTATTATGAGGAGACTTTCTATGGAAAAGGTACAAAATGCTCGGCCTTACTTCGACAAGGGAAGTCTACAAGCGAAGTGGCAAGGAAACTTGGTATCTCTATTCCATCGGCAATAAGGATCAGGAGTGACGTCAAGGACAATATTCCTAAATCCAGAATGGGCAGACCCTCATTGGTTTCTCCTGCTACCAAGAGTGCAAAAGTCAAGGTAGTGTTCTAGGGGGATCTAAGGGTGCAATAAAGGTATCTTTATTCAGGGGGAACTATGCTACAGAACTAGATAGAAAAGTAGACCTATTTATACTAGTTAATATCCTGTTGCAAGGAATGCTCTACAAATATGGGCGAAATACTATGTTGCACAAAATTATTATAGTGATTTCGCTTGCATCCTTCCCGTCATGAAGAAACCTATTATCTTGTTTTTCTTGAAGCCTCAAAGACGGCAAGCGCCTCTTTAGCGTTTGCGAGCGAAGATTTTGTTTCCCAAGTGGCTTCATCTAATGGATAGCCTTTCCAAAGAACGAGCCACTTAGGAGTTTTGCCAAACATTTTGAAGTCAATGATTTTGTCGACTTCATACTCCTCTTCTCCATCTACAAGCTCGGGGGCAGGGCGTGGTGGTAAGCGGTCGCCGAATTCACGAGGTGACTCAATATAGGGGCGAAGCAGATCGGCATTAAAGACTGGATGTTGATGCATGTCAGGCGGTAGTTCCAGCTTGTAGGCATTTTCATTGACCTTCGAAATGATCTTGTAAGGGCCTATGTACTCAGGTTCCAGTTTCTGCGACGGCCTATTTTTATGTCCCGCGACAGAGATGTTTTCCGAGCTTAAGAGCACCATGTCACCCACAGCAAACGTAGCAGGCCTGCGAGTTTTGTCCGCTTGGGCCTTTTGCCTATTCTGCGCTTCGATGATGGCATCCTGAGCTAGCGCCAAATTCATCGACTGGGTTCGAACAAAATCACTGACAGCCGGAACATTGGTATCAGGTGGCTTTAAAAGAGATCCAGGGACTAGTGGATGGTGACCATAGTTCAGAAAGAATGGGGAGAAGCCTGTCGTAGGATTGACAGAGTTGTTGTATGCGAACTCCATCATAGGCAGTAAAAGATCCCAGTCGTTTTGCTTGTACGATATGTAAGAGCGGAGCATTTCTTCTAATGTTCTGTTGGCGCGCTCTGTTTGTCCGTCTGATTGTGGAAGGAAGGCAGTAGACATGTTAAGTTTGGTGCCCATGAGCTTCATCAACGTTGTCCAGAACTTGCCGGTGAAACGTGAATCTCTATCTGACACAATTGTCCGAGGCATGCCGTGCAGTCTAAAAACATTGTCGAAAAAGAGTCGTGCAACATCAGAGGCAGTGTCGGTAGTTCGGCTAGCGCAGAAATGAACTTGCTTGGACAGTTTGTCCACAAAGACCGTAATCGCGTCAAAACCTCTGGCTGTCTTCGGAAGCTTGACAATGAAGTCCATTGTTACAGTATCCCATCGTTGGCTTGGAATTGCCAAAGGTTGGAAAAGCCCTGCAGGAGGCTTTAGTGAAGGCTTGTTACGCTGGCATTGCTCACAGGAAGCAATGTATTTTTTTATATCCCTCGCCATGCGTGGCCAAAAATATGTTCGTCGCATGCTACTGTACGTTTTATCGAGTCCCAAGTGGCCTGATATAGGAGCGTCGTGAGCGTCATGCAAGAGTTGTGAACGGAGTCCGTCGTCCTTGGGTATGCAGAGGCGAGGGCCTTGTCCAGCGTTGATCCAGAGTAGACCATCTACCACGAAGTAACGATCCGGGGTAGAGGCATCCTTATACTGATGCACGAGGGGACCTAGAATTGGATCGTGTAGGTAGCAACTGGCTAGTTGTTTTCGAATGCCAGGGTCTAGATTGATAACCAAGGAGTTCAAAGTAGTAGGTGTAGCCTCCAAGTCCTTGAGGTCCGGTCTTCGTGAAAGAGCATCAGGGACGACGTTATCTTTACCAGGTTTATACTTGAATACGAAATCATACTCTTGAAGCAACTCCATCCATCTTGCTTGTCTGCGAGTCAAGTTCGGCTGGCTAGGAAAATGTTGTAGAGTGGCATGGTCGGTATAAACGACAAAGTGAGAACCATCAAGGTAGTATCGCCATGTCTTCAGAGCATGCACCACAGCCAGCAGTTCTTGTTCGTGTGTAGGATAGTTGCGTTCCGCTGGGTTGAGCTTGCGTGAAGTAAAAGCTACTGGTCGTGATTCACCATTTTGGTCCGTCTGGAACAAGACAGCACCAATTGCAAAGCCTGAAGCGTCTGTTTCGACTGCTGTAGAGAGGGCAGGATCGAATATCCTAAGAACTGGTGCTGAGCTCACTGCTCTTTTCAAAGTCTCAAAGGCGTCTTGTTGAGATTTTCCCCAGTGGAATTCCTTATTGCAGCCTAACAATTGTGTGAGGGGAAGAGCAATATCAGCGTAATGAGAAATGTACTGATGGTAAAAATTAGTCAAACCAAGGAATTGCATCACATGTCGTTGGGTTGTTGGTACTGGCCATTCCCTTATTGCCTTGACAAGTCCGCCATTCGTCTTGAGTCCATCCTTGGATATGACATGGCCTAGGAACTCAGTCTCTTCCTGCATGAAGGAATACTTGGATAATTTACAATAAAGCCCAGCTTGACGCAAGAGGGAGAGTACTTTTCGGATGTGCTCTAAGTGATCTTTCTCGTTATCGGAGTAAATTAAAATATCATCGAGATACACAACAACACATTTATCAAGAAGTGGATCAAGTACGTTACGCATCATAGTCGAGAACGCTGCAGGTGCATTTGTAAGACCGAAAGGTACGACGTTAAACTCGTAGTGGCCATAGCGAGTTCGGAACGCGGTCTTGTGTTTATCATCAGGATGGACACGCATTTGATGATAGCCCGAGAGTAGATCCAGCTTGGTAAAACATTTAGCTGTTCTGAATCTGTCGATCAATTCATCGATCCGTGGTAAGGGGTACCTGTTTTTCTTTGTGATCTTGTTCAGGCCCCGATAATCAACACACATTCGAAGCGAGCCATCCTTTTTCTTCACAAAGAGGACTGGAGCACCGTATGGTGAGGTGCTCGGTGAGATTAATCCTTTTTGTAAAAGATCAGTTAGTGCAAGCGAAATCACTCTAATAATTATGTGCAACATAGTATTTCGCCCATATTTCTAGAGCATTCCTTGCAACAGGATATTAACTAGTATAAATAGGTCTACTTTCTATCTAGTTCTGTAGCATAGTTCCCCCTGAATAAAGATACCTTTATTGCACCCTTAGATCCCCCTAGAACACTACCTTGACTTTTGCAGTTAGCTGCTTCTTCAGTTCATCAAGCTCAGCGATCGACAATCTGATGACAGGTCGGACAGGTGGGTCAGCATAAGGGTCAGTCTCTATACGCATGCTATCACCTCTGTCAGGGGGAAGGCCATCAGGAAGCGTTGTAGGAAAGACATCAGGGAATTCGACTTGAACGATTTGCTTGATAGAGTCCGGTAGTTCAGAACTACTGCTAGAGACAGGTACTGGAACTCGAACTTGGGCGAGGAATACAGAGGCATCAGGTTCCGAGGCAACGGTAAGGAAGTTAAGAGCAGATATGACGGAAGATCGCTGTCTAGGCTTCCTGTCGATGCCAGTGCAAGGCCACAAGACCGGGGTACCTTGGTATTCAAAATGCAGATCATTTGTTCGCCAATTGATGCGAGGGTTGATATCCGTCAGCCATGGTTTACCCAAAATTAGGTCGTATTTGGATAGAGGATAAACAATGGCGTTGATTTTATCCTGATACGCGTTGCGGGCGAGGGTGAACGTGGCTGTGTGCTGAGCAATTGTCTCGGTACCGTTGGGAAGAATGACAGGAATGGGTCTACCCTCAATTAGCGGAACATGTGTGTTCTCGCAGAAAGAGGAACTTATGACATTGCCTTCGGCCCCTCCATCTACAAGAATGCGCGCAGGTCGACCATTCACTGCTCCAATGAAAGTAAGGAGTCGGCGAGAGTTTTTATGTTTGGCATAGGTAAGGCTGAAGGATTGAAGGCGAATTTCGTTACGACAATGGGAGTGGCGATTGGATGAACTAGGGGTAGATGAATGAGTGGAAGTGAGTGAAGTGGAAACAGTGAAAGGATCAGTGGAGGGGAAAATAGGGTCGGAGAGGGGATTGTTTTTTAGCAATGAGGAATGAGTAGGGGAATGGGGATCAGGATGAGGTGAATACTTAGAGAGTAGATGTAAGGAAGTAGATGCAGTGGGAGCAATAGAGTGATCAGAAAGGGGCATGGATGTTATATTTGTGCACAAAGGCTCTATGACCTCGGTTCCGGCATCTGAAACAACGCCCCTCACGAACGCAACGTTCTCGTTCAGCTGCTGTGAGCTTGGGTAGCGAGCTTGGCTTGGAGTGGTTTCTGTTTGGTCGTTGCTGATGGAGAGAGGTGTACAGGTTGGCAACCAACATTCTCATGTTATCGAGATCCATTGGTGTAGGGCCAGAATTATTCTCATGATGGGGTGATAAGGCGTTCGGGGTAGCGGATACAGGGGTGGCATCGATGGGATGTAGAATACTGTGGACAATGGTCGCCTGCTCAATGGCATCGTCCAACGTCTCTGGCTGTCTAAGTCTTACCTGCTTGCTTGTTTCGGGCTCAAGGCCTAGCATGTATTTTTGCAAAGCAGAGTCTTTGTCGAGATTTGTAGCCAGACGTAGGTGGCTTCTAAACTTGCTCGTATATTCTGCCACACTCATCCTTCCCTGACGAAGTTTATCCAACGCTCGGCGAGCTGCATTCGCAGAATCTGGAGGGGTGAACTGACGGAGGAATGCTTTACGGAAGTCAGCCCAAGGTGTATCGAGATTCAACCCGGAATCTCTCCACCATGCCTTGGCTTCGCCATTGAGACTGAGGACAGCGTATCGAACCCATTTGGATGGCGTGAGTGTGACAATAGTGTAATACTCCTCCAGGCTGTCGACAAAGTTTAAGGCTGCAACAGCGTTAATAGCTCCTTCGTAAGGCGTAGGCTTCTGTGGCTTTAGGACCGTGGCGAGGGTTCTGGCTAGGTCATTCTCAGCGGCTTCGTTGACTTTAGCAGTAGAGAGGGCCTGATTAAAAGCAGTAGCTATGGCTTCGCGAATGTTCAGAGGAAGATCGATGGACGAAAGGGCGTTATTCAAGTGTTCCATGGCGAGGGGTGAAATTCAATGGTAATTGTAGTTCTCTGGGGGTGGTCGTGGTTTCCTTTGCTACCAATGCAAAAGTCAAGGTAGTGTTCTAGGGGGATCTAAGGGTGCAATAAAGGTATCTTTATTCAGGGGGAACCATGCTACAGAACTAGATAGAAAAGTAGACCTATTTATACTAGTTAATATCCTGTTGCAAGGAATGCTCTAGAAATATGGGCGAAATACAATGTTGCACAAAATTATTATAGTGATTTCGCTTGCAACGCGACTTGGCTTGACAGGCAAACTATGCATGGAGGAATGAGTGAAGGAAATGAGCGGAACAAATTAATCAAGCACACGTGATCTTTTTCAGATTCGAATCAGACAAAAGTCATTCATCAATTCATGAGCTAGACATTGCTTGCTGTTCGTGACAAAATATCTAATTAACTTTGAAAGTGCATTTATTTTCATTACACATCTATCACAAAAGGCTGTAATAAAGCTGACCATTTCAAGCTACATTTAAATGTAATGTACTAAGTGCTCAAAGTCCCCAATATACAAAGTAACAGCTATTCAAACAGATCTGCAAAATTATAAAGCCTATGTCAACAAAATGGGACGTCCGTACAATGTTGGTAAAAAAAATAGAATTGCTGTTAGACAGTCAACAGCTCATTGTCAATTCTTTGACTATTGCCACTCTTGTCCTTCCAGTGAGCACTCATCTTCACTGTATCAAAACTCCTATCGTGCCAGAAATGCACCAAATTCACCCCTTGGTCCAGTTCCGCGTCGGTTTGCCAGTATGGGTGCTCAAGATAGTCGTCTGCTCGAGTAAAGTGAACAACCCAAGCTTCTTCTGCTGAGAGTAAGCGTTTATAAGTTGGCGACTTGCTGATAAAGTCCTTAATAGAAGTTTGACTTCCTGTAGCCAAAAGCTCGATAGCAACCGTCGGCTCTCCTGCTTTCTTGATGACAATATCACTATATTTGTGGTCCTCAAGCTCATGGTGGTGCCACTGGCTAATGATCCCATATCCTTCTATTTTGTTTAGCCAGTTGGTGAGAATCCTCATCAATTCCGTGTCATAGACGCTCTGTCGAGGGACATCAATGTTGTAGTCGCCCATAACCTTAACTGTTCTCCCCGATCTTTTGTATGATCGGTATTCCGACTGTATAATCAAGTTTTTATCGAAAAATCGAAGAGCAATCTTCATAGTCTCCAGAATATCCAATAATCCTCCTTGACTTTCCTTTGGGGGTGACTCCGAAGGAGCGTGGGGATATTTTGCTGGGATAATATATCTCCTCACAAACGAGTCAATGAATGCTGAGGCCATACGGTAGTTACTGCCATCAAGTCTTATCAGCACCCCTTCTGCAGTTAGGAAGTCTGCCAATCTCTGTTGTTCCATGTCTGTGATAGATATATCGCCGAGATACCCAATAAAATCTGTTCGGAGAAGATTAACAGCATCTGTAGCTGATTCACTCAAAAGTGAATCGACCATCCTTCTGAAGGTATGATGTGAAAGCATCATCTCACTCTGATTGTCTGTGGAGAAGTCCAGCCATGTATCGTAATCGAGACAATTCGTCGAGTCGTTGACTTTGGAGCGAAGATTCTCATGAATGGAACGTCCACAAAGACAAATCATTCCTGGATGACTATTGACATTGAGCACAATTCATTGTATTAGAATGGCACATCAACTCGTGGAGAGTTAACTAAGCTTAAAAAACATACCCATTTGACTTCCAGTGTATGTCTCGAATAATCTCATCATCTATTTTAATCATCTCATCATTCGCATAGTCATTAAAGAGCTGCCGCGTTTGATCAAGAGTGAAATACGGGTTCCTGATAGTATTGTTGACATTGAACGGGGCTATGTGTTGACCTGTTGTGCTAAGGTGCTGAAGACTAAAGGTTCCACATAAGACAATACTGTCAATGGCGTATAAATGGTTATTCTGTCGGATTGCTCGAAACGCCTGTAAGCATTGGTTGCGGATCTCGTCGCTTGCGTTAAACAGTAAATCAAACTCGTCAACCAAGATGACAATCTTCTCGTCCTTGAATTTAGTTCGACCGAAAGCATCGAGAAAATCTCGTTTGGTTGTAATATCATCGACTTTATAGTTGCGGCGAAGAGCATTTCCAAAAGCTTTCCAGAAATCAGGCTCATTATTGCCAACGGCAACTCCCTCAAATGATAGTCTAAATAAAAAATAGAGGGTCAGTACTGGTATATTAGCGCATACATTGCATCCACTTTATCCATTTTCACAGAAGTTGGCTTACGGGAGGCAGCGATATCCAAAGTCAGCTAATTGGGTGATAAGTCGATACAACCGTGTTGTTTTTCCAGAGGCACGTGCGCCTATGAGCATCACTATCTCGCGGTCAAAAACGCTCTGTAGTATTTCCTCATTGTTGTCATGGTCCGCAGGATCCACATAGTAGACTGATTAACTTCGTCGAATCTGATCGGTTCATTGACGGTCCACCTCTTTTTTTTCAAAAGTCGCGGTACTGAAAAAAATTAGAAAAAAAAACAGCAAGACCTGTCAGAAGAGAAAATAAGGAATCGGTTCCAATCCTTAAGGGAGAATTAGCTTACATAAGTCTTCGGCCCTCCTCTTTTTTTCCGAGTCTGTTGGTAAAGGAAGCAATGATAGAAATTTGCAAGAAAAAAAGAAAAAAGCATCAGAGGAAGTCGTCAAGCACATGTGCGATGATTAACCTTATGAAAAAAAGAGAGAGCCAATTAAACAAATGAGTCTTACTCGAAGTGGAAGTAGACGGATCTATACCGCAATAATGCGAAGGATCATTAGACATAATCAATGATTACAACAAGCGTCACCACATGGCATGCCGCAGTAACAGGCACAATTAGAATTTAACAGGCTTCTTACCTGCCGACGGCCTCTGGACAACGACGTGTATGGTTTTCTTTTCTGGTGTAGTGCCGAAAATCTCAGAGATCTTGCTTGTTGCACAAAGCTTTTTTGCATTTGGGTGTTCTGAAAGTGTAATGGTTTTTTCGTCCTCATCGTCTCCGATTACGATGGAGACATGCCAGAGATTCAATTTGTCGGCAACAATCTCTCGGAAGTCGTTTTCTTTTTCCTTCTTGATTGCTTTTTTGAGAGCAGCAATTGAGTCATCAGCATCCAATTGGACTTTAAATGCGGAAGAGTCGCCATCGAGAATGCAAAAGAGCATAATTTTTTGAGTCATCTTGGTTTAATTGCGCACTGAAAAAAAAAAAAAAAAAAAAAAAAAAGTAATTGGCAGTAAACCAGCAGAGAGCTAGTTTGATTAAAGTGAACTGAGCAAGAATGTTGGCGTTAATGTGAAGATTGAAAGAGAAATGCTTAGAGGAAGAGGGATGAAAGAAAAAAAAGATGGATGCGTGAGAAAAAAAAAAAAAGAGTGGCAATAGGATGTGCTCACTAAAAATAAAATTACGTACACACGTATGGGGGCAAACTTAAGCCACTCCGTTTGTTTTTATTCCTCATCCATCATACGAATTCCCTTAAATACTCAAGTTGCGTAGTGGTATTTTTTTGTAGAATTTATAATGAGGTGACGTAGTAGGCTATTTGCTAAATCCACCCTTTTCTGCCAGTTGCTTCTTCCGAATCACAATCGCCATCTAATCCTATTCCATCGCTCATTACTATTTTATTTATGTCAGGATCGCTCTCCTGCAGACTCCATTCAGGCCTTTTTCGTGTTTCTGTAGTCCATCTCCTGTCCCAGGTAACCTTTTTATTTTTTTTAAAAAAAAGAAAAAAAAAAAAAACGCGTAAATTCAAATTAGCCTACTTCATTTCTAACTCTCTGTCTTCCTCCTCTCTGAGATAGATAATATTAGCCGTCCACAATGGTATTTATAAATATCACGAACATGCTAGCTATTTCGATTAGCTTATAATTAATTATTTTTCTTGATGCAAATTATAGGTCCTCACCACTGATACCTTAATTTCGAGTAACGGTGAGGATGCAGCTGAAGACCTTGAGCTAGGCTCCGAATTCTACAATCATGATGAAGCTAGCGACGTTGATACGGATCCTGAAGAGCACGACTGTGATGATGGTGGAGACTATTCTTCGGATGTGTCAGATTCCGAGCCAGAAATAGTGTGGGGGCCAGTTGAACCATCCGGTGAAGACAGCACCTCTGGGAATGCTCTCGCGCCATCTGAAAATAACGTAGAAGAAGTAGAGGATATATCGAGATTGAGTCAAGATAAGGAGGCTCGTGCAATCAGTCTGGCTTCTACAATTGTGTCTGCGCAGCTACAAGAATGCAATGTTTTAGCCTAATTGATATAGCTTACTATGTATATGGAACCAAAGTTCAATAGGACAAAGAGAGGGGTCTTTATTTCTGGAGAGACGACATCTTATATGCTATAAGATATCGTCTGCCCCACGTGAGTGGTAAATTAAATCATCGTATACGCTATATGGGTCTACATATATGGTGCAAAGATTATAGAGTAATACTGACCTGATCTTAACAATGCCTTTTCTGAGTTTCTGTAATGTACTCAGCGTTACAAGCGTTAACCCAACCGCATCCTCACACTCATTGTTGTTCACGTAGAGACTGTCATTTTCAGGAGCCAAGTCATTCAAACCACTTGGGCACAAAATCGCCTGAACTGCCAGATTAATGATGTGTCCAAGGCATGGCCCATGGTATAAGCCATCCTTGAGCGGCCTAATGTTTTTTATTTTTATTTATTTTTATTTTTTTTAAGAGAAGCGTTAGAGGTAACTCATTACTAGATGCGCTAGCATTATTGAAAGTGACTGAGAATTACCATTCTACTGCCTTGGGATGCTTTTCAAGCTCTCGGATCATTTTGGACATATTTGACGCATTGTCGGTGGTGATACTTAGAAGCTTGTCACCAATTTTAAATCGATCGATGACCTTAGCCAGAGATTCCGCTAAGTTCTCACCTGTATGCGCTCCATACAATGGCTCAAATCCAATGACCAGCTCTTGTTGGTGCCAGTCATGATAAATCCAGTGAGCTGTTACCCCCAGGAAGTTGTCTTGGAAAGGGCTTGTCCAGCCATCAACGGTCAGTGATACCTTGTTAATATCCTCAAATAAGCTTATGACTTGATGCTCCATGTATTGGTATTTTAGCTTAGCCTATTTTTAATCCATCTTTTTGTCAGTGTTTGGTTGATGTTTGTTATAAAAAAAAAAATAATAATTGAAGAGTAATAATAATCATAATCATAATCATAATCATAGTAATAATAGTTTTACCTTGGTTGCCAAGGTGTCATCAGACGGTAGCTTTACTTGAGATGCTGTAGCCATTGTAGCATGGACTAGAAGCTCCTGGAGAGCAGTGCTTTTGACAATCGTAAATGGCTGCTTTGTTGTGATAACGAATCGGACAAGCAATTCGTCAAATCTCGTAGGGTCAAATACTTTTGGCTGAGAAAATGAATTAAGCATCTTGTCCATCGGGCCTTGCTTGGAGAGACTGCCATCATTGGCATTGCTATCTTTAGTGATGCGATGTACTCGCCACAGATGCTGGATGACCCCTGAAGTTGACATATTCGATGAACAAAGGTTTTCCCGCAGCTAGGGTAACAGCAGCGCATACCAGAGCCACTCTTAGTTTTAACACGCTCGGCCCACTTGTTCTTCAGTGACCACGCCCAGCTTCGGTTGATCGCCGTGCTGCTTGCCACGCTGGAGCTTCCCACGCTCCTCGTCACTAAGCTCTCATTCATCACGCTGCCGCTCATCACGCTCTCCATATCCATATCGTTGTCAGGTGCGTCAAAGCTGGCAGACATAGAAGTGTTACCAACGTCATAAACCTTAAGTTCATGTATGATAAAATTGCAAGGAGGTATTAATTTAAACATTAAGGTTAAGTTTTTTCCTTCTTTTCTTAATACAAAGTAATATGGCAAATGTAATCAATATATACTTCTGCTTCCTCCTCGATAATTCGACGACGTCGTTTACTCATTTTAAGAGATGTTTTGGGCTGAATTGAGATAATGCATGAAAAGGAAAAGAGAGAAAAAAAAAAAAAAAAAAGGAAAAGGAAAGGAAAGGAGGCGAAATGAAGCGAATGCAAACACATTTGTTGTCCTGATGCCGCAGTTGAGTATTTAGGTATAACGCACCAGATATCTCGCACTCGTTGTTAGGCTTTATTTTCTATAAACATGTGTTTTAACCTTATCTTCATGGTAATATTTTTCTTAATCCACGATTTAAATCCACATTTTGATTAAGAGTGCCGTGAGAAAAAATTTATAAAAATTTTAATCGGTATATCAATGTACCGAATGATTCGGTATATCAAATGAATTGAATCGGTACAATCGAGGCACCGAATGATTCGGTTTACCGAATGCATCGAATATTCGATACATTCGATTCGGTTTCGACAATTATATTCATTCGGTTTCGATTCGATATGAACCTTACCTTGGTCAATTCGATTTCGGTTCGAAGGTGTATTGAACCGAATGTACCGATTAGGAGCACTGCCTCATCGTTATAGAGTCTGGTAGCATGGACAGCTGATGAGACTACACCACGGTGAAGCAACAATCGAATATAATATGCATTCCGGTAATCGAACTTCCGTGGCCGACCAGCTCTACTTTTACTCCTGGCAGGCCCTAATGTCTTGGAGATATTATGGACTGAGGACTTGGATATGCCTACTCCTGTGGCAACCTGACGGATGGACTTGTGCTGCTCGAGTAAATGGAGAGCATCCTCAACAACGGAAGCTTTGATTGGCTTCATCTTTGGAGTCTTTAGAAAGAGTAACGTAGGCTCCTAGAAGAGTGTAGGTGAAGAGTATCTACTCAAGTGTGTGGGAGATAATTTGAAAAAAATTCAGCAAAGGTGCGTAAAATAAGTGATGGTTATATAATTGTCCAAATGAGATTAAATACTTTTGTCAATGAAAAACCATGGTGAATGAGACTAGAGATATTTTAAACTGAACCAGTCCACGTATCATTGGCATACTTGTTTACTCTGATAAAAATAAAAGTGCAAGCAACCATCGCTATTATTCTAATCAAGACGGAAAACATGAGCGTGGAACATTTGGACAAATTTGGAAGCCACTGTATAAGTAAAGTCGCTCATTTCAGACCCAGTTGGGTTATCTCGGCCTGGAGCCGGTAGGTGACTCCGAAGCGCAACTTTTGAGAGATGGTTTTACGTTTTCGGATGAAAGTTAATATCCGTAGTTATGTGATGAGTGCAACAGAACAGAGTATGTGACCAATCTAGACAACCATTTAAAAATTAGTTTTGCAAAACTTGGTAAAAACGATGGGAGCGCAATACAGTTATGCCCAAAGCATATGGAACCCCCAGGATCAATGTAGTTTTCAATTTGGAATCAAACAGTGTTAAAATCGCTCGCGGTTACATAGTGAGAAAAAAAGTTATATTAAAGAAAAAGCGCAAGGTCGCGGAAAATAGCGATTTTTCGATATTCTATGCTCATTTACTCAAGAGCCACTGCATGGAATATTGAAAAATAGGGTTTGTATCGTAGCTATAGTCGAAAGGATTGCATCCCTGGTTTGGCTTGGCTCTATCTCTCAGGATCCTGGCGAAATAGTCCATTGAGTGTGTCAAAAATGGCATAGTTTTGGTTTTTTCTGTGCTTGAACTACTTTACACAGGTGCTACTCCATGGATACTGGGTAGATTTTCTTAAGAGTAATATTAAACCAAAGGTAATCAGCTCCCCTACTGGTCGTTCCAGTGGCGCTTGTCTCCTAGCACTCTAGCAGGAGTTACTCATGCTTAAAGTCTGACCAGTCATTAAAACCACCCAAATTTATCACAGTTTTGAGTACTATCTCGATAAATACTGAACAAATCCTTTTCATTCTTTTTTTATTTTGCGCGTATTGGTGCCTTCTATTGTATATTTTATGGGCATGCTTCCATCTTTCCTAGAAGGATAGTTATAAGCATTCTAGTACTTCATTGATGATTGCGTGTGAAATTTGATTGTGTGATTTTATGGGAGAAACTTTAATTTGGCCTGATTTTTTTTTGTGTATACTTTTTTATTAAATAAAATTAAATTTAATAACACTGCCGTTGTCGCTTCTTAGTTCCGGATGCGTTGGGGATTAACGGCAAAGTATCCAGCGTATCTTTTACTGACCTTAAGGTTCTTACGCTTTCATTCAACATTTTTAAATCATCAAAATTGTGAATA